TTTTGTTTATTATAATGGTTGTAATTCAATTATATTATTTTCTATTATATCTTATATTATTTATTTTGTATTTTTAAATATATCTAAAGTCTAAAAATATTCAGCATTATTAAATAATAATTCAAATTATCTTGTTAATTAATCTATAAAAGTATTATCTTCAATTAATTTAATTGATTTCTATTAATCTTATGAATATAATTCTGATAATTATTTAAGATCTTCAAAATAATTCAATTGATATTAGTTTTCTTATAATTCTTATTTCTCCTTTTAAATTGGAAACATATATTATTAAATTTATTTATACATCTTTTCTAAAGAATCATCTATTGATCTTTTAAAATCCATTATTTAATCTAAAATATTTTTATAATAATTCAGTCTTGTTTAATTCTCTTTAGTCTTTATTTCTTATTATTAAATCTTAATTTATTATATTCTTTCTTTTGATTACTCAATAGTTGTTACTTTATTATTATTTAATTTATCAACTAAACATTTACCACAAAAAAAATTTATTTATTATTTATCACTCATATCCAAATCAACTGCAATCAATTCTAAATTATGAATCTTACATATTGTCTCTTAAATCTCTTAATTTTATTTTTATTATTGTAAAATATTCATTTTATTATTATATTTATTAATATATAAATAAATAACATATTTACTTATTTTTAAACACTATTTTTTATAATATATATATTCATATACTTGAAGAATAGTGAAAAGCTATTGAAAGAAGATTTTAATTGGAGGAATTCTGAAATTTGATCTTTCTAAAAACTCAGATATTTGGTAAATTTAATTTTTTATTTTCTATTAAATTACATAAGATAAAGTAATTTGAATTAATAATTTCTTCTGAATAGTAACTATTGTAATTTTTTATAGTATACTTAATATTGATATTTTCATATCAATAATAAAGTTAGTTTAAAGGACTTATCTTATAGAAATAAAATCTTAGATTTTGCAATGATTAAGAACATTATCTAAGGAAAACTATTTTGATTTAAAATGATTATCAGATAATCAATTAGAAATAAATTTAAGTAATTTAAAAGTACTTCTTAATAAATAACTTTTGGGTGGATTTTGAAGTCTTGAGAAGAACGATTAAAATAATAAGTCAATGAACTAAAAAATGAGAGTGCTATAATTTATTTTTTAAGAAAAATATACTAATTCTACTTCTGTCTTCTTTTAATACCTTCCTTAAGTAGAATTTTTTGAATTAAGACTGATACTGATATTAATGTGGTTAGGTAATTTCCATATTCTTATTTACTTATTACTAACTTTTCTCTTCAGAATCAACAATAAAAGTTAAAAAGCATTAGTAAAACTTAATGAAGATTCACATAGTCAGGATAACTAGGTATAATTTATAGAAATAATTTAAAATAAATCTATCCTTAGAAAATCAATATCGAGAAGTTAATAGAAAATTAAATAAGAAATTTTAATAAACAACTTAATATTTTAATAGAAAAAGAAGAAACACATTTAGATATATTATATGTAATTATGAAAGAAAAGTTTTTCAAAATTTAATATAAGATAAAACAAAAATATTAAAGTTAATTGAAATCAATCTGGAATTTAATATAAAAAATATTCCCTTTATTTACACAACTTTTCAATTTTATATAAAAGTTTAACTTGGATTCAATTGAAAATTAAGAAGTTCCATTATAAAAATTAAAATAGATTAAGTAGAAAAGATAAAAATTATGTTATATATAATATCTTGTAATTTTTTTTTGGAATAGATTTTCTATTATAACCTTGTAGTTGAAATATGATATTGCATAATCAAATTTAAATCTAGTAATTTAAATTTTTACATGAAGAACAGAAATTAATAGAATTTTATTAAATTTGATTATTTTATATTTATACTAATATTTTGAATATTACTATTTATAATTCATCTTAAACAGATGCCACTATAGATATAGTTATATTAGAAAACTAATTTAACATGTTAATACTTTGAAGTTTAATAAATTTTCTAAAATTCTCATAAGCCAAAATTTATTAATCTTATTTTGTATAATATCAATAAATAATTTTTGAATAAAGTTAATTTGATTACAATTTATAATTAAAAAAATTAAATGTTGTCTTTTCAAATTAGTTTGAGATACTATTATTTCTTACATTGTTCGATTTCTACAATAGCAAAGTAGAAGTTCAAAGCATAGGAACTACCAATAAAACCCTTAACAATCGAGCCTAACTAGAATAAGAGTTAGAACCATAGATTAAATTGAGGTTAGTTCCTTTGTGGATGATATTGATTTGTTTATTTGTAATTAAAATTCTAACAATATTTATAAATAAAAATATAGTATATGGAATTATAAAGAAGAAATGGGAAGCAACATCAGTAAAAAATCCAAATTAAAAAAAACATAGTCAACCAGGAATTTATTAAATTGATATCTAAATTGTAAAAATTTATTAAACCTAAAATTACATTATAATAAATTGGGGGTATGTATAGTACATTACATCTACGGTCAGTAGATGAACTGATAGCGCATTCTGATATTTTCTGGCCATCTCAAATATCTTTTTTTTTTAAGATTTAGAAAATTTATCCATTTACTTTTCGTGATGACTCTATTTTTGGTTCAATTATGAGAGGGGCTCTGAGAATTTTATATTTAGCCCATTTAGAGTCCTCTTCTGTTGTGATTTCGTATATTTTGATCAACTCCTCTAAATATTCTCTTGACTCATTTTTGACTTTCTTGTCTAACCAACATTCAACCATTCTCTTAACAATAGCTTCTCTATCCTTTTTTTCCTCTCCAGATTTAAGTTTATAAGGAAGAGTATGTTGAGAAATCATAAATGGTCCTCATATAGTGTTCACGCAGCACCCTACTCTCGCGAGGAGGTTCTTAGACAAGCAATGTATTCTTGTCTTGTTTCATCCTCCTTTTAGGGTATCTTAGACTATAGCTTTTGGACATGAAATTTAATTTTCTAAATTAATTACTTATTTAAATTTCTAGAGCTCTATTCTATTTTATTAAATTATGTATAATTAAGTAGTTCTAATCTCACAGATAGTTAGATTTAATCATTAGTAAGAAGTTTATATTATACTATAATTTGGGTATACAAAAAATTACTATTTTCTATTAGAATTTCTTCAATAATTACCAAAAATACAAAAAATTAATATATTAATTTACTAAACATATTACACAATTTACCTTTTTATTTTGCTATCAATTCTGAAAAAGTCATTGAATTTAATTACTATTTCTTGTTTACCATTAAAACAAATGTATTTTATAATTCTAAAATTAAATTTTTTCCAAAAATAATAATGAATTTCTTTAAAAAGACGAATTTCTAATTTATTAATATTAGGTTTCAATCAAGGTTTTGAAAATTAGTTCCAAAATCATTATTCTTATTATTTATATCTAAACTTTTATATTCCAATTTGATGATATATTTATGAAATCAAATATTTAAAATTATTCGAGTTTCTTGTAAATGCTTCTGAACTTAGATATATCATTTCTACTGTTAAGGATTTTCAATATTTTTATGAAGAACTTAATACCATAATAGAATGATATTAGAAAGTATTCCATTAACCTGTTGATTCTAATAATGCATTAAGAATTAAATATTTGAATAAGAATTCAAAAAAAAAAGAAAATCGAAATAATTAATTTATAATCTCAATATCTAATTAAATAATTTAATATCTTTCTAATTTTCCTTTCTTTAATGGATCTGGGATCATATTTTTTCAATTTTAGAATCTGCTAAACTTTAATTCTGAGCTCTATTTTGTAAAATTTAAAAAACTTCTTACATTTAATCTTTGAAGAACATCTTGAGCATATTATTAAATGATACATTTACTACTTAGCAATATAATTTCTATATTATAGGGATTGATGACTAAATTAATTTTAGGCAAAGAAACTGGCTCTTTGTTTGATAGGATAAATTTTCTAAAATTAATCAAATGAAAGACCAAATTTTTATGTATTTCACTAAACAGAAAAAAAATTAAGTAATTTGCTTATTCTTCTCTCAAAAATCTTAGAGAACGAAATGTTAAATAGATATGAATTATAAATGAATACAAAATTTAAACAAATTTATGAAAAATTTATAAAATTGAATTTATAATGAATATTAATGAATTTATAAGAAAAAATAGTCCTTTATAAATTTAAAAAGAAAATGCTTTAATCAAGATAATTAATATCTCATGTAACTTTAATTATGAATTTTATAGAGAAACTAAAAGAGTAATATACATTAATGTAAATCATTGGGGGCGATGTGATTAATTAGAGGAAATGAACTAATATTCGTAATCCATTTCAAGTTTATGATATAAGGAAGGATTAAGGAAGAATTAAGAAAGAAGTAGATTATAATATTTTTGTTAATTGAAGATAAATTGAATATTTTAAAAATGAAGGAGAAGAAGGTTAGAATGTAAAAATGCTTATTAAACACATTAAAAAAGATTTGGGTTTTTATGAAAAGTAACAAATAATGAATACTTTCTCCTTAATTAGGTTCCAAAGATCAATATTAGGGCTATTTAATGCGAGTAATTTATCCAACTAGTTAATTGCAAATTACTATTAATATTCAACCTGAATTAGGAGATTCTCATATTCATCTCTAGCAATAATCTAGTGTATATTCTTATGAATCCATGATTCTAGACAATACATCAATCCATAAATTACAATATCCTTTTAATATCAATTTGATGTATCATCTTTATATTAATTTAGCTCAATTTTTTATTTGTTTACAAAGCACATGATAGGAATAGCAATCTATTTGTAAGAGACTTGCTAACAATTAACTAAAAATTATTGATATGATTCTATAGGGTCTGAATATCTAATATGAAGTTTCAAAAATTATTGAAGTGATGAAATAAAAATATTGAAGAATATAATTTACAATCTAATTTAAATGAGTATGAGTTTGTGATTCAATTTATTTAGTCGTAGAAAAAAGTATAATAACTTATGAATTTCTAATAATTAAGCTACATTCCTCTAACTCATTGAATTACTTTGAATTTGTCCAGGCATAAATTAAATACAAACATACCATAAAGTCTTATCAATAAATGTAATATGAATAAATCCAATTATAATCTCGCTAAACTTATTAAAGTATGATAGAGCTTTCTTATTTTAGAGTATGCTATAATTTCCATTAATTCTTACATAACAGAATGTATATTTTATACAGTATTTATATTAAAAGGATTTATCAATTAATTATAATATGAGATCAATATCTAATATTTGTTTTTAGAATAAAACAACTCTAGTTTGAAATTTCTTTTACTCAATTTTTTCATTAAATAACAATATGAACAAATCGAATACTATAAGAATTTAGAAAAGTTTATCATAAAACTAATTAATATCCAAGCAGTTTCTATACTGTATCATTAAATCAAAATAAATAATTTTAATATTTACAAAAAATATTTACTAAATAAATAAATAATTTATGATAGGATAAAAGTTATGGAAATACTACTAGATAATTTCAAAACTTAAAAATAACTAAAAAGGACATTGTTTTGGAATTGAAATCATAATAAAGTCAGTAAATAAAGTAATTAATGATAGATATATGATGTATTTTTAAATAAATTTTTTAATTCTAGTTTCTTTTATTTTTGAAGTATAAATACATTAAAATTTAAATCAATTAATCAAACAGATTAGTATTCTTTATTATTTATCACATTTCTTATTTTATTTCAATAATCTATGATAAGATATTTTTTTAGAAATAAAGAATTATACTGTACCAAAGTATATAATTATATTTTTGAATATCACATTAAGAAACCCTTAGAGATAAAAAAAGGAGAATAGAAAAATCAAAAATAAAATTATAATATTTCTCTTATTTTAAAGAAATTGTTAGATTTTAATATGAAAAAGTGACTATAAGTATTGCCATATAAATTTCCAATACCTTTGCTATAAACAATTTATGTATAAAAAAATATACCATTGATTACAATCAATTTAATAATAAAAGCGCTTTAATATCGAAAATTCGAGGCAATTATATAATTATAACAGTTTTCGAACCTTTATACTCATATTGATAATTTAATAAATTAAATATTAATCTAATAAAACAACTTTCGAAGCCTAAAATATTCATTAGATATGTAAATAAATAATCAATGGCATAATTTAACAATGAATAATAGTTAGATATTATGACATTATACTTCTTTATGGTTTATAAACCATTGAAAATTGGGTTAGTGTAGATTTAAATTATAAATTACTTTTCAGTCACTACTAAGTTTTGAACTGCTATTTGAATATTAATTTCAATGTAGTTCTATTTTTAATTTGCTCAATATTAAATCATTTTATATGACTCGCTTTTCTAAGAAATATATATATTATTTATGAAGCTTTCATAGGATAATAGTAATTTCAAAGTTTCAAATTAAGACTAATGCTATATACATCATAGATGAGTATAAGTATGTAATATGAAGAATTCATATAATTTATAATATAATATTTCGCTTCTCATTTCTTTGAAATGACTTCTAAAATTTTAATTCATCAAAAATCTTTATGAGCATTTCATTCTAATACTTGATTCATCAAATTTAGAGTAAAATTAAAAACTTTTCAAAAGTAGCTTTATTATTTTTCAGTCATAAATAAATTAATAAAATCTTTTAAAGTGATTAAAATTTAATTTATGTTATCTTCAGAACCATTCCAAAGATTTATAATTAAATATATATTATAAAAAATAGTGTTTAAAAATAAGTAAATATGTTATTTATTTATATATTAATAAATATAATAATAAAATGAATATTTTACAATAATAAAAATAAAATTAAGAGATTTAAGAGACAATATGTAAGATTCATAATTTAGAATTGATTGCAGTTGATTTGGATATGAGTGATAAATAATAAATAAATTTTTTTTGTGGTAAATGTTTAGTTGATAAATTAAATAATAATAAAGTAACAACTATTGAGTAATCAAAAGAAAGAATATAATAAATTAAGATTTAATAATAAGAAATAAAGACTAAAGAGAATTAAACAAGACTGAATTATTATAAAAATATTTTAGATTAAATAATGGATTTTAAAAGATCAATAGATGATTCTTTAGAAAAGATGTATAAATAAATTTAATAATATATGTTTCCAATTTAAAAGGAGAAATAAGAATTATAAGAAAATTAATATCAATTGAATTATTTTGAAGATATTAAATAATTATCAGAATTATATTCATAAGATTAATAGAAATCAATTAAATTAATTGAAGATAATACTTTTATAGATTAATTAACAAGATAATTTGAATTATTATTTAATAATGCTGAATATTTTTAGACTTTAGATATATTTAAAAATACAAAATAAATAATATAAGATATAATAGAAAATAATATAATTGAATTACAACCATTATAATAAACAAAAAATGAATTTGTAAATAATTATTATATAAATTAGAAAACACCAAGTTTAAATAGAATTTGTATAAATCATAAAAAAGAAATTATTATGATTGATATAGATACTTAAAATAAGGAAATAGAAGATAGATTTGTTTGTGTTGATTGTATATCTTAAAATCCATAAATTAAATATGAAACAATTGAAAATATTAATAAATTATGGATAGATTATAATTCAGAATCTTAAAATATATTATAATAATATAAAAAAGAAACTAAAAATAAAAGATATGATTTATTTAATTAAATTACTTAAATGAGAAAAAATTATAATTAAAAATTAAATGAAATTAGTGATAAATTAATATTAGAATAATAATAATAATAATAATAATAATAATAATAATATATAACTAAAGAATCAAATTAAATAAAAAAGATATCAATATAATCTTTAGATAATGAATAATTATTAAAAGATTTAAAATAAATAATTTAAAAAGAAAAAGTGACTTAAAATTAAACAATAATAAGTTTAAAAAATAAAGATTTAATATTTTAGAAAGAGATAGAAAATCATTTAGAATCATTAAAATAATATGATTAATTAGATANCATTTCATTCTAATACTTGATTCATCAAATTTAGAGTAAAATTAAAAACTTTTCAAAAGTAGCTTTATTATTTTTCAGTCATAAATAAATTAATAAAATCTTTTAAAGTGATTAAAATTTAATTTATGTTATCTTCAGAACCATTCCAAAGATTTATAATTAAATATATATTATAAAAAATAGTGTTTAAAAATAAGTAAATATGTTATTTATTTATATATTAATAAATATAATAATAAAATGAATATTTTACAATAATAAAAATAAAATTAAGAGATTTAAGAGACAATATGTAAGATTCATAATTTAGAATTGATTGCAGTTGATTTGGATATGAGTGATAAATAATAAATAAATTTTTTTTGTGGTAAATGTTTAGTTGATAAATTAAATAATAATAAAGTAACAACTATTGAGTAATCAAAAGAAAGAATATAATAAATTAAGATTTAATAATAAGAAATAAAGACTAAAGAGAATTAAACAAGACTGAATTATTATAAAAATATTTTAGATTAAATAATGGATTTTAAAAGATCAATAGATGATTCTTTAGAAAAGATGTATAAATAAATTTAATAATATATGTTTCCAATTTAAAAGGAGAAATAAGAATTATAAGAAAATTAATATCAATTGAATTATTTTGAAGATATTAAATAATTATCAGAATTATATTCATAAGATTAATAGAAATCAATTAAATTAATTGAAGATAATACTTTTATAGATTAATTAACAAGATAATTTGAATTATTATTTAATAATGCTGAATATTTTTAGACTTTAGATATATTTAAAAATACAAAATAAATAATATAAGATATAATAGAAAATAATATAATTGAATTACAACCATTATAATAAACAAAAAATGAATTTGTAAATAATTATTATATAAATTAGAAAACACCAAGTTTAAATAGAATTTGTATAAATCATAAAAAAGAAATTATTATGATTGATATAGATACTTAAAATAAGGAAATAGAAGATAGATTTGTTTGTGTTGATTGTATATCTTAAAATCCATAAATTAAATATGAAACAATTGAAAATATTAATAAATTATGGATAGATTATAATTCAGAATCTTAAAATATATTATAATAATATAAAAAAGAAACTAAAAATAAAAGATATGATTTATTTAATTAAATTACTTAAATGAGAAAAAATTATAATTAAAAATTAAATGAAATTAGTGATAAATTAATATTAGAATAATAATAATAATAATAATAATAATAATAATAATATATAACTAAAGAATCAAATTAAATAAAAAAGATATCAATATAATCTTTAGATAATGAATAATTATTAAAAGATTTAAAATAAATAATTTAAAAAGAAAAAGTGACTTAAAATTAAACAATAATAAGTTTAAAAAATAAAGATTTAATATTTTAGAAAGAGATAGAAAATCATTTAGAATCATTAAAATAATATGATTAATTAGATATTTAATAATCAATAGATATATTTAAAGAAATACCAAGTATTTATTTATTTATATATATATTTTATTAGTTGAAAGAAATTATATTTTATAATTATCTGAACTTATATAATCATTTTCTAATTAAACATAAACAAATGATGAAAATTATTAAAATTAGATTCAATTTATAAAAGATATTTAAGAATTGATAGATTAGGCTAAAAAATATTAATGTTAAATTAATTTATTTGATTAAACTATAACTTTATTTTAATAACATATTAATAAGATTCAATAAATTTAATAATAAATATTAAATTAAACTAAAAATTAAGATAATAAATAATAATTAATATAAATTTAATATTAAAATTTATTAAAAGTATTAAATGATTATATTAATATTTTTGATAATAAAAATAAATAAATAAATAAATATTTTAATATTTCAAAATTGGAATAGGATTTAATAAAATTAAAAGAAATTAATTAAAATTTAGAAATTGAAAGTAATATTATAATTAAAATAATAGAAACCAATTAATATAATTAAATGTCTTAATAATTAGATCAAAAACATTAAGAATATTAAAAATTATTAAAGGAATAATAAGATTAAAGTATTTTTTTTATTTATATTATTTATAGATTAAAAGTAAATTGAATAAATTAATAATAAATTATAATCAAAAGAAAAAGAATATTTAAATTTAATAGAAAAATTTGATTAAAATACTTAACAAATAATAAATCTAAAAAAGTTAAATGAAGAAGATAAATTAAAAACTATTAAGACATTAGAAGATTAAAGTATTAATTAATTAATATATATATATATAGAAAATAAAGAAATTGTAGAAATCAATAAAAAAATCAATTAAAAAGAATCAGAATTGTAAACAATTTAAAGATAACTTGATATCATTAATTAAGAAAAATTATAAAAAGAAAAATAATTCAAATTAGAATTAGAAAAAGTATATTATAATTTTAATTATTTATCATAGATTTAACAATATCCTAAAACTTTATAATTTTCTAATACTTNTGAAAGATTTCCTAAAGAATTTGACATTTGTTTTATTTATCACAAAATTTTGCGTATTCTAAATTTTAAATTTTCGTAGATAGGTTTTAAAATATCATTATAATATAATAAGTGGTCCGCTGTTGTAATCCATACATTAGGCTAAAGTTCTCCAAGCTCTTTTCTTCAAGTAAAATGAGAATACTCGACTGATTTATTGTCTCTTAGTATTTTGGCAGCAGTATGAAGAAGATCAAAATAGCAAAGATTATTGCATTAGGCCTGAAGAATATAGAAACTTTCAAGAAATGGCTTTGCAAAGTACTTTTGTTTTCCAAAAACTAGACAAGGAACAAGAATCTACATGGGTGAAATATAACAAAGAAGAAGCAATTGAATTAATGAAAAATTAATTTTTGAGGAAATTTTAAACTAGAATTTTCATTAGCCTGATATTATAAAATTTTAAATTTAGTATATGATGAGAATCCTATTTTAGAAATTAGCTATAGGAGTAAATAATATTTCATATTTGCTCAAAGCGGCTGTAAATCAATAGTTTCAGATATTAGATCTAATCTTAAGCTCAAAATAGGAGTGCTAAATCTAGATCAGTACCAAATTAAGAATATGTATGGGATCTAAAAACTAAAAAATAATTTGGTAAAACCTTAATATTTACAAATAATAATATACATAAAGAGTAAATCTAAATTCTATTTTTAAAGAATAGATTTAATTAATTACACAAAGGCAAAAAAATAGCTGATTCATTTTTTCGATTAATCTTATATGGATTTTTTTTTTAAATATATTCAAATAAATTTTTTCATTAAATTTTATCATCTTAGAAACTTTTCCTTATGAAAATTTATTCTATTATGTTTTAATTCAAACAACAAATTGAATTTTTGCTAATTCTTGATCCTTTAGAATTAATAAAATATATAATGAATATTGCTTCATTTGATATTGATTGAAATTTGATTTAACTAGATTAAGATATTTAGAAATAGGTATTATTTAAAGATCTTTGAATTCTTTCAAATTTCAATAAGCTTAACTGAATGAAAACTTTGTAATTTCAAGCAATTTCTACAGAACAATCATAGATTTAACAATATCCTAAAACTTTATAATTTTCTAATACTTATAAGGGGGCTGGTTGTTAAATATGTGAAGGTGGTAAAGTTGTTGAATGTAGTAGTGTTTGGTATTATTGTCTTTGTGAATAAGCAATTCCAAAGACTGGGAAAATAGTATTTGCATTCTAAATGATAAGTGGATCAAGCTTTATGGTTGGAATTGGATTCAGAGATATTATATAAAAAAATAATTATAGTGGTAATTGTGGAGTTGGGTATGGGTATATAATTAAATCATAATAGATCATATTTGATTCAAAATAATGGTTATACTTACTCTCATCATAATAAAGATGTAAATAACAAATAATTATCATTCACTTATACAACTAATGATGTAATAATAATGGAAGTAAGTATTGAACATAAGTATATTAAATGGACCAGATAGAATAATCCATTAGCAACAGTTGTAATTATCAAAACTATTATTAGTAGTTAGAAATAGATACATCCATATCATAAGAATTATATCCATGTGTGAATATTTATTCATCTAAAGTTAAAATATTGGATAATATTCCAAATTGATAATGGACAATTAAAATGAAATATCATAAATAAGTTAAATCAACATATAATTATGTTTTTCTAAAATTATAACTATAAAAAAATTAGAATATACATGAAATTTACAGAAATTCAAAAAAGTGGTTGAAAGTAGATTTTTTTGAGTTTATTATCCAAAAATTTGTTGATCTCACAAAACTCATTATCAAAATAATTTATATGTTATATTTATACTATATAAGTAAAATATATTCATATTTAACGAGGATATTTAACAACTTGTGTATTCAAAAAGAATTAATTTAATAATTATTAATTATATTTGAGAAAAATTTTGAGGAAATATCAATTGATTATTTTGAAATGCTTTAATTTAAAATATAAAATATTCAACTTTTGCAAAAAAATTTCGAAGTTTCAATAAATGATTTGAAGGAAACAAAATATCAATAGAATGAATGATTAAGGATAATGTAATAAGAAGATTGCTGCACTTAGAATGATTTACAATGATAAAAAATCAAGAATTAAACAATTAAGGTAAAGGATTATTTATTCCTAATTTTCGTTAAATTTTCCGATTTTAATCATCTAATTTATTGTATTTATTTATAATATGATAAATTATTAAAATTAATCAAATATTATTTAAAGTAGAGTTGAAATACAAAACTTCTGAAAATTTATTTAAAAATATCTTTTTTTATCATACAGTTAATTAATCCTTCTTATTTCAATACTAATTTGCTAAACTCAAATAGTTTATAATTTTCATTCAAATAAATCATCAATCCGTAACTGAAATTTTTAAAAAAGGCGTTTATTCTTTAAATTATTTGCAATCAATAAACAGATTAAAATATAGAATAAGAATAAGGTCAAAAAAAATAAAAAGTATTTAGATCAAAATTATAAGGTGAAATAAGAAAATTTAGCAGGTAATTTAAATTAATAACTTATCAAAGATACTGATTTATGTATTCTAATTTAATTTCTTTTAATCAAGTCAATTAATTTTTTTTATAGGAGTAAAATTTCAAGTAAAAGTTTCGGTGGCTCTAAGATTGTGGATCGAAATTTATTCACGAATGGGAGTTTGTAATTCTATTTTTCTCTTTTGGTTGAATCAATATAAGAAAATGGGCTTCTTCAAAGTGAACTCTTTCAATAGTTTTGAAACATTTTTCATCTAATCAAGAATTTAGTAGTATAGAGCTTAAAGTCCAGATTCTTATGATTTAATCTTTGTTGGCATGAAAAGAATATAAGTAAACTTATCCCTAATGGGGATGAGAAAACTAATAGTAAACCTCTTATTTGAGATCATGACATAAATATTAGAGAACAAAGAACTTTTTTATCTAAGTTTAGTATTTATAGGGGTATTTATGAAGATCCAAAAAATATTTAAAAATTTTGATTTTAAACAAATTAACTGTTTAATATAAGTTTATTATAATTTTTTAAGAATATGTCATATAAATTATACATTAATCAATCGGAAATTAACAATAATATAATGAATATCAACATTGAAAACAATATTAATTATTCATAGAGGTGATAGTTGATTTGGGAAGTGCTATATTTTAGTTTATGTCCATACTTACGGGATACACTCAAATGTCAAATCTACCCAAATCAATTAGAGAGTTAAATTAGTGAAATATTTTGGCGAAAATGAGGATTAATCTTAAAGTAATTTAATTACTTAATAGGAGAAATTTTTTTGAAACCATTTTAGAAACTTTATAATAAAAACTATAATCAGACAAAAGCTGCTCTTAAAAAGAAGATGGGGGAAATTGGATTTAGCTTATCATCTAAGTCTGCTCATTGATTGAATGAGGTAGATGAAGGAACTGAAGAATTCCTTGACTCTATTTATATAACGTCGTGTACTTCCACCCCTTTTTTGATATCTTAGAGATGGCTTTTAAGGACTTTCTAATAATGAACCTGATGATATTAAAACGTTAAAAATTGATGATATGAGAGATTAAACCTCTGTATATGTAGTTTTTCTGGGACAATAAAATGAGAATTTGTGCAATTGTTAATCTTAAATCGATTATTTGCTTTAATAAATATAGATTATGGAGATATAATTTTAAGGATAAGAGTTATAATGAGAGAAACCTGTTTATTCTTCACTTTCAAATTTATGATGGAGTTAATCTCTTCGAAAGATGCAAGCCATTTGGATTCTTTAGTAATGAACCTGATGTTCTACTGAAAGATGATCTTCTTCATCTAAAATAACATTGTTAAACATATAGAAATTTGTAGAATTAGAGCAAATAACTTATAATAATAAAAATGATGGATTTCTGCTTTGAGACATCATAATAAATTTAGTTTAAGATACTTTAAAATAATTGAAAACAGAATCAAAAATATCTTTGAATGCTTTAATAATTAAAAAAAACTAGATTTTTCGATACTAAATTATTCAATGATTTGAAAGTTTGAATTAACTTCTACTTTTGAATCAAATTTAGTTTATACAATAATAGGAGTAGAGATTTAATTGTTAGAGGTAATTTTATAAAGTTTCGAAAGATTAATCAAAAAATATTTGGTCATCCATTTATTATACATTTCAATTAAATTCTAAGTCATTTAAGACCGGAGTTGTAAAAACGATAGAATAACTCCTTTAATTATTATTTTACTAATTTTTATCTAATAAACAATAAAAATTTTATTTATGTTAGAGATGGGGCTATTCTGTGTTGATTTATTTTTGTGCTTTCTTTTACTTGAAAATTATTAATACTTAAAATTCAAATTAAATGTTAATTTTTTTTTGCTCAATTATGTATATTTACTAATAACTCTTATAGAAAACTGATGAAAATTATGTTGCAATTATATTTCAAAAAATAAATATAGTAATGAGTGAAAAAGATATTGTCAGTACTTGATATTATATCTTTCTGATGGCTTCCTATAATGTTTTTATATAATTTTTTTTAATGAAAGACTGCTGTTTCTCTTTGCCATTCTTCAAAATTTAGCCTTATAAGTATGTGATTTATCAAATCTTTCAAGTCTACATTATGATATATATTGGTCAAGTAAAAAATTACATGCATTATCAAAAATATATTAATTATTATTATATAAAGGGTTTGTGTTACTTAATCAAAAAATAAATGAAAGTGTAAAATTTTTCATTGAAATTAATTTATTACTAAACACTATCCGAATTATATTTATAATAATCAAAATTAAAAAAAAATAACAAAATAAACTAAGTGAAAGTAGGGAAATAAAAACTACTTATTTGAAAAAGGGATTTCAAATAAGAGGTTTTTAATTTCTCTAAGAAAGTTGAGTTTAGAATATTTGTTGTTGCTGATAGCATGGAACTTTAAAAAATCATAATTGTTTAAATGTAGAAAAACGAATAAATTTAGAGTACCTCTTTATAATTATTAATTTCTACAAGCTTATAGTAATTTTCTTATAATTACTTAACTCTTTTTCATGATTCAAAATAATATAAAGCTTAAAATTTATATAAGCTTGAGAATAATTTTATCTACAAATTATAGTTCTGTAGAAATTGCTTGAAATTACAAAGTTTTCATTCAGTTAAGCTTATTGAAATTTGAAAGAATTCAAAGATCTTTAAATAATACCTATTTCTAAATATCTTAATCTAGTTAAATCAAATTTCAATCAATATCAAATGAAGCAATATTCATTATATATTTTATTAATTCTAAAGGATCAAGAATTAGCAAAAATTCAATTTGTTGTTTGAATTAAAACATAATAGAATAAATTTTCATAAGGAAAAGTTTCTAAGATGATAAAATTTAATGAAAAAATTTATTTGAATATATTTAAAAAAAAAATCCATATAAGATTAATCGAAAAAATGAATCAGCTATTTTTTTGCCTTTGTGTAATTAATTAAATCTATTCTTTAAAAATAGAATTTAGATTTACTCTTTATGTATATTATTATTTGTAAATATTAAGGTTTTACCAAATTATTTTTTAGTTTTTAGATCCCATACATATTCTTAATTTGGTACTGATCTAGATTTAGCACTCCTATTTTGAGCTTAAGATTAGATCTAATATCTGAAACTATTGATTTACAGCCGCTTTGAGCAAATATGAAATATTATTTACTCCTATAGCTAATTTCTAAAATAGGATTCTCATCATATACTAAATTTAAAATTTTATAATATCAGGCTAATGAAAATTCTAGTTTAAAATTTCCTCAAAAATTAATTTTTCATTAATTCAATTGCTTCTTCTTTGTTATATTTCACCCATGTAGATTCTTGTTCCTTGTCTAGTTTTTGGAAAACAAAAGTACTTTGCAAAGCCATTTCTTGAAAGTTTCTATATTCTTCAGGCCTAATGCAATAATCTTTGCTATTTTGATCTTCTTCATACTGCTGCCAAAATACTAAGAGACAATAAATCAGTCGAGTATTCTCATTTTACTTGAAGAAAAGAGCTTGGAGAACTTTAGCCTAATGTATGGATTACAACAGCGGACCACTTATTATATTATAATGATATTTTAAAACCTATCTACGAAAATTTAAAATTTAGAATACGCAAAATTTTGTGATAAATAAAACAAATGTCAAATTCTTTAGGAAATCTTTCAAAATCAATAAATTTGGAACCAAAATATAGGATAGAAAGATTTCTTTAAAAAAAATAATTACCTTGAATTAGATTAACATTTTGAAGTGATTTAACTATATCAAATAGCTTTATGATCTTATTACAGATAATTTATTATTTGAAATTATAAAATATATAAATACAATTTTAAACTGATTTAAAGACTTGAGCTTATAAAAGGTAATAGTATATATAACTAAGTCTAGTGATCTTATCAATAAATAAATATAGAATGTTACTCAAAAAATTGAATTACATTTCTAAACTTCACCTCTATTAAATAATTGTTGAAGATTATAAAAAGGATTATTATATTTTTAATTTTAGCAAATTCGATTCTTGGATCGCTAATTTAATTTTGCCAATAAGAATAAAATTATATACAAATTAATAAAAATATAAAATTTGGGATAAAAAAAAGAGAATTTAAAGAGATAACAATTCATTCTATATTAGATTAAAGATATATTTATGAGTAATTCTGACTAGTTGAGATGACAGAAGATAATATTAAAATAAAATAATTAATAATTAAGAATATTAAAAAAATTATTAATTACATAAAGTATCTAATTTTTGTTAATATTAGATTATAATCCTTAATTATTTTATTTATGGATTATGTTAAATCAGCAATCATAATGCTAGAAATTCAATAGCCTAGATATGCTCCAATTTACTACATACTTTCAAGTTCACTATTGTTTTCAATAAATTCAATGTTTAGTAAATTGATATCAAATATTCCTTCATCTTAAATTGTATATTTTGGAGCAATTATAATGTGTTTGATAAACACTATTGTAACTAGTAACTAAAAAATATCATTGTATGGATTTACAACAGAATACCTGCTTAATAGTAGCCTCATTAGTTAAAGTTGTTTAAGATAAATCAAAAGCATAAAAAGGATCTTGAAATTTAATGATATTCATGAAATAAAGAGTAGATTTATTATATTTATTGATGATAATTTTTAAATATATAATCTTTTAGTTTAAGACTTTTTTTTAATATCTTTTTCAAAACAAATACTTAGACAAAATTTTTGAAATTAATAAAAATGAATAGGACAGTTATTAATTTGAAAGATGATTTTATTCATTAGAAAATTATAGATATAATCAAGTTTATTTCTTTGGATAATATTTAAAAAAAATCATAGCACATAAACTAGAATATTTAATAAAGAATCATATAATAACTTTCTGTTTTTTTAAATAATTAAACTCAATTGCTTAAATTTATGATATTAGATTTTATTTGAGTAAACTAAAATAACTTTAAATTTTTATTAGGTTTTGTGAAAAATTTTAGATCAGCATTTCCTATTTTTGAAGTTGAATAAACTTTTTATTTAATTGATTTTCTCTAAGATTAAAGTTTTTGTCTCAATATTTGATATTCGAAATTTATTACTTTTACAAATTTGAGATACCATATTTTTTGTTACTTTAAATAAAAACAATCACAAAATCAATACTTAAAATTTTTAATCTATTTAAAATATGTTAAAATGTTATTTCTTCAAATTAGAAAAATTAAAACAATCTTAAATTTTTTTATAATTAGCAAAATATACAAGATGGCATATAATTTTGCTATAAACTTTATTGTGATGCAATAGTAAAATTTAGAAATGATGTAAAGAAAACGGTGAAAATTGTATTACTTTGTAAATTATTTTCTTAAAATAATCTATAACAGTTATGAGTGAATTAAATACTCTTCTTTATTATCATAAACGTACTTTATTTCTAGTTTTTTCACATTTTCCTGATTTCTATCAGACTTTGTTTTTCCAACTAATTAATGATAAGTTATTGAAAAATATGTATTGTTAATTTAATTATAGTCACATCTAAATATATTCTAACTTACTCATTTCCATAAAGATATCATTTTTTCAATTATTTAAGTTGGATATTTTTAACCCTTATCATCAAATAGAAAGTATGGTTTTGGAAAATTAAATTACTTGATCTTTGATTTTATAATCAATAAGTATAAAATCATTTTAACATCAAATTTTTTTCTTTTCTATTTGTATATTCCCTCCTGAAAAAAATAAGTTAGTTTATTATTTTAATAAAGTCAAATGGAAACTCTAAAATTTAATTGAACAATTATTGATTTTTTAGATAATATCTAATCTCTTTTTGTTTCACTTTTTGTATTTAAATTTCTATCATTGCTTAATTGATTTCTAAATTTTTACTTTTTATTCATAAAATTTTTAATGTTTCCCATTTTACCAGTAATTATTAGAAAGTGTAATTTAAATTAATTAGAAATACCAGAAATAATAAATATACTAAGTTTAAATGTGCTAATAAATTTCATATTATAATTATATGATTATTTTAACAATAATAGAAGCAGTTGTTTCTGCAACATTTGGTGCTTTAGTTGTAGCCAGCAGTGGAGCACTTTTAACTCATCAAAAAATCTTTAATAACGAATTCACAATGACATTATCTAAAGTAGTTGAAAGAATGTTTCTTCCAGCTATGATTTTTACTAATTTTCTGAAAACAGTAACTTTAGATTCATTATTCGGACTTATTCCAACAATATTGACAACATTTTTTTGTATCCTATGCGGATATTTAATAGGAGTTGTTAGTAACAAATATTGGATTAAAAAAGAAAATCTAAACTCTATCATAGTCTTATCAGCTGCTAATCCTCATACTATAAATATATAATTATAAATAGCTTATGGTTTAACAACATACTTTTCAAAGATAACAGGTCAATCTGAGAAAGAAACTGAATCTAAGCTTGTTACAATAATAATAATATAGACTGTAATAGTTAATGCTTTCAGATGGTCTATAGGAAAGAGAATAATGCAATAACATAAAGTCACTGAACAATATTCTGAAGTGGAACTCTTAACTCTTAAGATTGCATAACCACAATAACAATTATAAATTAATCAAAATAAAAAATAAGAATCCTCTTTTTGGAATCCTCCACTTATTTCAGTCATTGTCTCTTTATTATGTTTACCAATTTAAAATCAATTGATTAATGATACATTTATACATAGAGCCCTTTTCTTACCATTATAAACAATTTCAAGAGCCTGTCCCCCTTCTGTTTTAATGATATTGGGAAGTAATCTCTATTTAATATATTTTAAAAACACGTAAAAAAAAGAGAATTTAATTACTATTCTTTTAATTGTTGCTAACAGATTAATATTATTACCTATGATTGGATTATCAACAGTTTTGTTTTTAAATTGGTTTGGTATAATGACTGATATATGTGAATTGTTCATTTTGTTTATTACTTTTTGTACTCCTTCAGCAATCACTATCTTAGTTATGGCAAAACAATATCAATAGCAATTAGAAGATGTAGTTTCATTAATCCTCTTTTATGGATATATATTATGCATTATAACCCTACCTGTTTGGATGACAATATATCTTGCAATTTTTTAACCAAAAAATGATTGAATGCTTATTATTATAAAATAAAATTGATATGTTTTAAATTAAAAAATTACAATAACATAGATATATAATTTTTTTAAACCCTTCTTCTTGTAATCAAAATAATAAACTTTTGAGAAAATATCATCAAATTTTTTTAATTACTTACTCCTCTAAATATAACTCTATTATTAGTTTTTGCATATTTATTAAAAATAAAAGATAATTCTTAAATTATTTGAAATGAGAATAAAAGATTAAAAAATATAATCAATTTCTTTATGGTCACATTTTTGTAATTGATTGATAATTTGATTATTACAATTTATATTCAATGAATTAATAGAATGAAAAATAATATCATTATCTATATTAGATTATAATTCATGATAGATTGGTAATTTTATAATTAAAATTTATATTTAATATAATGAATAGATCAAAATTCTTATCATAATAAAATTTTAATTAAAATTGATCTAAAAATCATCTTTAGAAAAAAAAAAAATATAAAATTCAGATTAATATAGTTTGTATAAACGAAGAAGCAATTGTTTTGCTAATTTTATTTTTAGACAAAAAAAAGAAAATTATTTTTACTAATTCAAAAATTAATGAATATTTATCATTTTATGAATATAGTTATATAAGTTATCTCTTTTTATAACATCTATAAAATTTTGAGTTAGTAATGAATTTATTTTATACTCTTTGCTAGGATTATTAATGCAGATTTATAATTTTTATAAATATGAATGAACCTAATTATAATAAAAATGTAATTTACTTCTATTATTGAGATTACTTTTATGCTAAATCAATATTGTATTATTTTTCAATTAAATTAGTATTAATGATTTAATTTATATTTAAATTGGCTTTATAATAAAAGTTGTAAATTTTTTTTGGCAAAATCAAGCTGTCCTTGAAGACAAATAATTTGTTAAAAATTGACTTTTGTGATAGATTTGTAAATTCTGCTCTTAATTTAACATCATATAAATATTCCTTCAAAGATTTTGAATACATTTTTTCTGAGTATAATTTGGATAATGGTTCTGAAAATTTAATTAATGTATTATATTTTAATAATTTAATTAGCACTTTTTGCTTTTTAATTGGTACTCTGCTGTTTTTACTCCAAATTAATAAGTTTGTAAAAATTGGACATATAATTTATCATTATTTACATATAAATTGATTTCTCTTCCTAGAATCTTACCAAAGATATAATTTTCATCAAGTATAATTAAAAAATATTTGATTACATATCTAATAACAATAAATTTACCAAAAAAAATAATTTATCAAAATAATTTTCTAGTTTTTATAAGAATAATGAAGCCTAATTTTGCAATGAGATTTTCTTATCTTTTTTTTTATTCCCTAGGTAGTTGTTAATTTATACCTTTACTACTGGTAGTAATATAATTTTAAATTTATTACTCATAATAATTATCAAGATTATATAGTTGCTAGATTTTTCAAAATTTTCATATAAGTAATTAAAAATCATGAATTATTATTAATATTTGAGTTAGCTTAGATTGAGTCAATGTAATGATAATCAAAGTTTTAATTTAGCTGAATGAAAATTGACGATAAAAATTTTAGTTCAATTTATGAAATGTGTTTTATCAATTTCGAATAAACTATAAATTCTAATATTTAATTGAATTATAATATTTCTGGTGAATTATCAGGATTAAATAATCCAAAATAATTTAAAGTATTAATAGTAGATTATTAATATTTATTAGTAATCTAATAATTATTTATTTAATGTTAGCAATACATACATAATTTATTAATAATTAAGTTAAATGATTTTTAAAAAATCATCTATATTTCACAATATTTTAATCTTTATTAATAATATCTATATTATTTGCAATGGAGTGTTAAATTAAACAATGTAGTTAATAACTTTTNTTGATTGATAATTTGATTATTACAATTTATATTCAATGAATTAATAGAATGAAAAATAATATCATTATCTATATTAGATTATAATTCATGATAGATTGGTAATTTTATAATTAAAATTTATATTTAATATAATGAATAGATCAAAATTCTTATCATAATAAAATTTTAATTAAAATTGATCTAAAAATCATCTTTAGAAAAAAAAAAAATATAAAATTCAGATTAATATAGTTTGTATAAACGAAGAAGCAATTGTTTTGCTAATTTTATTTTTAGACAAAAAAAAGAAAATTATTTTTACTAATTCAAAAATTAATGAATATTTATCATTTTATGAATATAGTTATATAAGTTATCTCTTTTTATAACATCTATAAAATTTTGAGTTAGTAATGAATTTATTTTATACTCTTTGCTAGGATTATTAATGCAGATTTATAATTTTTATAAATATGAATGAACCTAATTATAATAAAAATGTAATTTACTTCTATTATTGAGATTACTTTTATGCTAAATCAATATTGTATTATTTTTCAATTAAATTAGTATTAATGATTTAATTTATATTTAAATTGGCTTTATAATAAAAGTTGTAAATTTTTTTTGGCAAAATCAAGCTGTCCTTGAAGACAAATAATTTGTTAAAAATTGACTTTTGTGATAGATTTGTAAATTCTGCTCTTAATTTAACATCATATAAATATTCCTTCAAAGATTTTGAATACATTTTTTCTGAGTATAATTTGGATAATGGTTCTGAAAATTTAATTAATGTATTATATTTTAATAATTTAATTAGCACTTTTTGCTTTTTAATTGGTACTCTGCTGTTTTTACTCCAAATTAATAAGTTTGTAAAAATTGGACATATAATTTATCATTATTTACATATAAATTGATTTCTCTTCCTAGAATCTTACCAAAGATATAATTTTCATCAAGTATAATTAAAAAATATTTGATTACATATCTAATAACAATAAATTTACCAAAAAAAATAATTTATCAAAATAATTTTCTAGTTTTTATAAGAATAATGAAGCCTAATTTTGCAATGAGATTTTCTTATCTTTTTTTTTATTCCCTAGGTAGTTGTTAATTTATACCTTTACTACTGGTAGTAATATAATTTTAAATTTATTACTCATAATAATTATCAAGATTATATAGTTGCTAGATTTTTCAAAATTTTCATATAAGTAATTAAAAATCATGAATTATTATTAATATTTGAGTTAGCTTAGATTGAGTCAATGTAATGATAATCAAAGTTTTAATTTAGCTGAATGAAAATTGACGATAAAAATTTTAGTTCAATTTATGAAATGTGTTTTATCAATTTCGAATAAACTATAAATTCTAATATTTAATTGAATTATAATATTTCTGGTGAATTATCAGGATTAAATAATCCAAAATAATTTAAAGTATTAATAGTAGATTATTAATATTTATTAGTAATCTAATAATTATTTATTTAATGTTAGCAATACATACATAATTTATTAATAATTAAGTTAAATGATTTTTAAAAAATCATCTATATTTCACAATATTTTAATCTTTATTAATAATATCTATATTATTTGCAATGGAGTGTTAAATTAAACAATGTAGTTAATAACTTTTTGGGTACCTGATTATTTTATTATTATTCTATATATTGTTGTGTTTCTTTGAATTATTATTATAAAGTAGCAGTTACTTCAATTTATTAACTAAAAATACTTAATCAATTAGAATCTTAAACAAGTTATAAATTTTGGAGAATAGATTCTTGTTAGTTTATCCAAAATTATTATTTATTATAGATGGATTAATAGGAGATTTAAGTTTATTTTTGATGTTTGAATTAATAATCTCTTTCTTTTTATAGCAAATATTTGATATGGTTAGAAATATTTTTAATAATTTACATTTAACAATTGGAATAAGATCATTTAAAGGTTCCAAATCAAAAGTTAATTATTTAATAATAAAAAATAAATGATTAATAGATAGTATAAATACAAATCAATTAAGAATATCACATAAAGTTGAGAATTTGAAGAACATCTTTTTCGCTATTCATCAAAATATCAAAAGCTAATTTAAAATCAGCTTCAATTAACTAGGGTTTTAAATATTTAAGAATTGCAATAGCAAATTTGATAATGAAATCATGCATATTGCGATTATGTAACATTAGATCCCATATTTAATAGATTTAATCTAGATAGAATTCACGTGACATACAAGTGATAATCCATCTATAACCATACATATATGGATGAATGCCGAGATTATATAAATACTTGAATAAATTTGGTTCTTTTAATTTGAATTGAGTTTCAAAATTTAAGAGAAGACCTCTAATTCCAGTGTTAGTAAAATCAAGTGTGGAAATATATGCATCTTTAAGTTGAGCCATTATTTTAGTAAAACAAAAAAATGTATCTGCTTCATTTTTAATGATCAAATATAATGGGGCAAGCAAATCACTCATTCCTTACATATATTTAATAGCTGGGTTAAGTTTACCATATATATATAAAATTCGAATGAGTATATCTTGATGTATAGGTAGAGTGTTATTTTATAATTTTCTCCTTTTATATTAATCAGTAAAAAAGTATTAAGAGAACCTGGCATTTGTTTGTTCTTTCATAATAGATTACTTGGATAATGTACGACTTAAAATAAAAATATATTAAGATACGGAACATCTTTTTCAATCATTTCATATAGTTGCTCATTTTAGATATATTCATTATAATCCATACATNATATTTCACAATATTTTAATCTTTATTAATAATATCTATATTATTTGCAATGGAGTGTTAAATTAAACAATGTAGTTAATAACTTTTTGGGTACCTGATTATTTTATTATTATTCTATATATTGTTGTGTTTCTTTGAATTATTATTATAAAGTAGCAGTTACTTCAATTTATTAACTAAAAATACTTAATCAATTAGAATCTTAAACAAGTTATAAATTTTGGAGAATAGATTCTTGTTAGTTTATCCAAAATTATTATTTATTATAGATGGATTAATAGGAGATTTAAGTTTATTTTTGATGTTTGAATTAATAATCTCTTTCTTTTTATAGCAAATATTTGATATGGTTAGAAATATTTTTAATAATTTACATTTAACAATTGGAATAAGATCATTTAAAGGTTCCAAATCAAAAGTTAATTATTTAATAATAAAAAATAAATGATTAATAGATAGTATAAATACAAATCAATTAAGAATATCACATAAAGTTGAGAATTTGAAGAACATCTTTTTCGCTATTCATCAAAATATCAAAAGCTAATTTAAAATCAGCTTCAATTAACTAGGGTTTTAAATATTTAAGAATTGCAATAGCAAATTTGATAATGAAATCATGCATATTGCGATTATGTAACATTAGATCCCATATTTAATAGATTTAATCTAGATAGAATTCACGTGACATACAAGTGATAATCCATCTATAACCATACATATATGGATGAATGCCGAGATTATATAAATACTTGAATAAATTTGGTTCTTTTAATTTGAATTGAGTTTCAAAATTTAAGAGAAGACCTCTAATTCCAGTGTTAGTAAAATCAAGTGTGGAAATATATGCATCTTTAAGTTGAGCCATTATTTTAGTAAAACAAAAAAATGTATCTGCTTCATTTTTAATGATCAAATATAATGGGGCAAGCAAATCACTCATTCCTTACATATATTTAATAGCTGGGTTAAGTTTACCATATATATATAAAATTCGAATGAGTATATCTTGATGTATAGGTAGAGTGTTATTTTATAATTTTCTCCTTTTATATTAATCAGTAAAAAAGTATTAAGAGAACCTGGCATTTGTTTGTTCTTTCATAATAGATTACTTGGATAATGTACGACTTAAAATAAAAATATATTAAGATACGGAACATCTTTTTCAATCATTTCATATAGTTGCTCATTTTAGATATATTCATTATAATCCATACATGAATTGATAACTTGGGTTTGAATGGTTTAGAATGAACTAAAACTGAGAGAGTTCTGATCAGAGTCTATATTGTCCAAAATATTGAAAATTTCTAAGAGTTCATAATTAATGAATTCATCTATATAGGAATAATAGAGCTGTTATTATTTTTTAAGGAATGACAATTATTGAGTTTAATCTTGAGGTAAATAATTGAGATATGTCATCCAAATAATTGCTCTAGGGGAATATTATTGCATTTAAATAAAATATTAATAAATATTTGAATATCTAATCATTCCTTCTTTGATTTCTGTTTCTTATTCTTTTTATCTAATCTTGGATCTTAATTAGATTATTTAACCTTGGAATAAACTTATATATTTTATAATAAATACCAATATAAAATACAAAACAGAAACTAAAAATGGCAATTGCTGCAAACAAATAGTTGATTGGATCTTTCATTCCTTATTATTTAGATAAGTAAAATTAATATTTATCTAATTAATCCTTATTATTAGATTCTGAATCTTTGGCTTAACTTTTCTTACTCATTTCAGATATCTTCTTTTTTAACTCAGCAAAAACACTTTATTATTAATTAGGTTATTGTACTGGACTACTAACTGTGTTTTTAGTAGTAACCCATTCTTCAAATCTCTAATATTAATTTAAGTTATAATTACTCTAATATATTTCATCAAAGTTTCATCATTTTTAGTGAAAGTCCAATCAAAAGAGGTATTAGTAAATTAATCAAAATTGAAATCTGGTATTTGTTATTTGAAAGATTTGTAATTCTTTTAGTCATCCTAAATAGATCTCATTACATTATTCAATTCTTCTTCAGGGGCCTTTGAATAACATTCTTCCAACATAGTTGTCTAGATTTTATAAAAGATGGTTTCCCTATTCAAATTAGATTAACTCTTAATTATTTCATTGATTTATTTTTATTCTTCTGATAATTCTTAAACTGATAAAACCCAACAAGCAGTTAGTTTAGCAATTACTCTATTCGAATAATCAATAAATTTACTTTTGACCTTCAGTTTCTATTTCAGATTGCTATTACTATTATTATTATGCTTCAGATTCAGTATTTTATGTATTTAGATCAGTTGCATATAGCTTAACAATTAATAGCAAAGTCAATATCTTAAACATATTTATACGTGTATAAATTATTAATAATTTAATTATTTTTAAAATGAGCGAAGAGATAAATTCATTTACTAGTAGTGTTTTATCTGATAATCCAATGATGAGTGAATAAGATGCACAATTAATAGTTCAAAGTTATAATTCAACTATTCGTATATTTAAGTATATATATTACAGAATCACTTGTTAAAGAGAATGATGTTTTACAAAAGAAACTTGATGAATATGTTCAAAATGAAAAAGAAGAAGAGTAAAAATTATAATAAACAAAACAGCAATACGAAAAATAAATAACAAGAATGGAAAATCTAAAACAATAATAATTGTAAATAGATTAGGAAAGAGAGTAAATATTTACTAATTCAATATTTGAATAATAAAAATAATTGGCTCCAAATGCAGTCAATTATTTGTATGAGTTTCTACATCAAGATTAAAAACAGCCTTCTCATACAAATATAATTCATAACTAAGGAATGGACACTCAAAATTCATTAATGCAATTTGATGAAGATATATCTCCTAAAATAGAATAAAATGATCCTTAATTATTGAAAGATTTACATTAATAGAAAGAAGAACTAGGAAATTAAAAAAATTAACTCATTTCATAAATATTAGAATCAATAGCCAAATATGCTGAATTACAATTATAAAAATGTTCTAAAAAAGAGTGCTAATAATGTCATCTATTATACAATCCAAGAACCAATTATATAGTATTAATTTATACAAATTATTATAGGATTCCTGTCTATTTCATAGTGGTAAATTAAAATTTTATTCATGTAAAAAATGTGGAGCAGATGATTACTATACTTGTTGTAATAAATGTATTAGATGTAGTGAAGGATGTAAAACTAATTTCCATCAACCAAAACCATGATTTAATATTATTCAAATAATCGAATCATCCATTTTGCCAGAAGATGCAAATCCTTTTGTTAATTTCTAATTAATTTAACTTTCCATCTTTGAAGAATTATCAAGTTAAATAAATATCCTTTTTTCATATATAGCTTTAAATAGAGCCAATCCTGAGGATACTAATCCACATGCTATGATAATATTATTATTAATAATACTAGCCACAAAAACAGGATCTAAATATTGATATCCTGTCATCTTTAAAGATTTAGTTAGCATAAAGAATCTAAGGATTGATAAAATCAATTCTAAAATTTCAAATCTTCTCTTTCTTCTCAATTTAATTAATGAGTTTTATAATTTCTTTGATGTATCTTATGTCATTATTTTAGTCATTTCTTATAAAATCCTATTCTCTTTACTAAATACAATTTAATTAATTTATACTTTTCTCTAAATATTATTAATATTGTTAATCTTAACATATTAATTATTATTCTCATTTAGGAAAAAGAATTTTTTCTTTGTTTCCATCTTGTTTCTATTTCTTTTTATAATACTTTGCTAATATTCTTACTTCAATAGGGAATACCTTTATGCCAAAATTGCAATAATCCACAAAAAGTTATCACTTACATAGTACATGAAACTTGAATAATGTCCAGAAATAGCTAATATTTTGAATAATAATGGCTTGTTTTGTTTAATTAATCTTTATATTCCTTTAATTTCATCTAAAAAAAATAAGAGTCTAAATATCTTTCGACTTTATGAAATACTCTACGTTAATGAAATGTTAATTACATCTTTAAATTTTTCAGCAACTACAAAACATTTTAATTCATTTTATGAAATCAATTATTGTATATAGAGTAGATTTGAATGTTTTGTACAACTATGATAAAAATCAAATGAATATTGTAATAGTGCCATAAATTTATCTCTACCTTTGGAAGTACTTAAAAATTATGACACATATCTTGATAAACTTGTTGCATTTAAAGCTAATCGTCTTGGAGCTTAATTCATATGATTCTTTAAATTTATGATACTAGTTGAATGGCGAATATGATTAGATTTCATGTTTTTTATATTATAAATTATTAATATTAAATTTATTAATAAATAGAATGCAAACTTTTGAATATAGTGATGAAGAAATATATCAGGATTCTGTTAAATAGAAAATAGATAAATTACATGATCTACCATTAAAATTTAAACATAAAACTCTTTGTATGAGAAGTGTAAGTGGAATTAGTTCTCGTAAATCATAGACATGTTTTAAATTTAATAAAAGAAGATAAGAGTCTAGTTCTGAATCCTCTTGTGATGATTCTTCTGAAATATAACTATCAGAATTTGATATATCTGATGAGAACAAAAATGCTAATATTTTATGTTAATATAAGAATAGTTTTTTTAATGAGAAAATTAAGATGTTTAATGAAATAAAATCTAAAAAGTTTTGGCTTGGCAACTAAATTAGTAGAATTAAAATAAATAAGGATGAATAATCTATTAATTTAAATAAATCTCCATCTTTAAATAGATAATCATCACCTATTTCTGAAAGTAATCATAATACTTTGACTATTATTAAGAAGAATAAAGATATTACAGATTATTCTATTGATCAATCATTTAAATAAGTCAATTCTCCATTAATGTTCTATTTATAAAATGTTCAATAGACAAGCATCAATAATAATAATAATAATAATAATAATAGTTCTAATTTTATTAATAATAGATCATGCTAATAATCGTAGAATAATAGTTAATATACTATTGATGTACCAGGTAATGAATCATTTGTTTAACAATCTTCAATTAAACTTAATGAAAAAGAACTTTTAAATTAAATAGTTGAATCTGTTTTTAATAGAAACATTTAATTATTGACCAAAATTGTATTATTATTGTAAAAGGAATATAGAACTGATATATTGAATATGAAAGATATTAATGGAAATACACCATTGTTATTATCTATTAAATTGTAATAATAACAGAATTAATTTACCACTATTCGATTATTATTATCAAATGGATCTGATCCTACAATTAAAGATAATGATGGGTGGAGTCCAATTGAAGAAGCTGTTGCTCAAAAAGATTTATTGACTACATCATTATTGTTTGATTACTTAGTTTCTAAGAAATTATTTGACATGTAATAGGAACGTAACTAGATTGATTAGGAACTATTAAAAATCAATGATTTCTATCTCGAAATGAAATGGGAATTTAAATCCAGCCTTATTCCTTTTATCTCTAAATTCACTCCTAATGACACTTTTAAAATATATAAGAGAGGTATTATAATTTTATAATTCAGGTTCTTCTTTGAGATTGGACTCTACATTTGCAGGGACTAAGAATTATAAAAATAAAAGAAGGGATCTAACAGTATTTTATAATCCATTAATGGGATAAGTGTAGAGAAAGGAAAATAGTTCGAATTGTAAATTTGTTACTATTTTGAATAGAGCCAAAAAAATATACTATTATCCTATTGTAAAATTATAAAATTAAATTAGCAAGAAATAGATCCTGAAGAAAAGAATCAAATTTTGATGGATTTATTAAATTGTGAAAGTGTAAGTGGAGATATGAAAATTATAGGTTGTGAATTAATTAAAAGTAAGAATTTTTTTGGAAATTATGTAAGTTAGAAAATTAATAATTGGATTTGTTAGAAATATGAATTTCGAATTTTAACTTCATAACATTTCAATAAGAAATATCAATCAAATTATTTTATGAGTTTAGATTAATATTTAAATTAATCTATTGATTAAAATCCTACAAGTGCAAGATTTAATATAGAGTAAATAACAAGTTAAATAGTAGGAGATTAATTATATGTTAATTCTCCTTCTTTTAAATAAGAAAATGAATAAATGAAGAAAAATAATGAAAATAATATAAAAAATGGAAATGATAAAAGTATTATTATTTTAATTAATCTTATAGAATAATCAGAATCTTGTTTACTTTATATTAATTAAGAATTCCCATTAAATTTTTAGCAGTTTCTTCCTATTATAAAAATGCTAGCTAATGGGAATGAATTTATTTCATCTTTACAAACTGTTCTATCAAATGAGACTGTTAAATAATTACTTAATAATAAAGGATTTCCAGTTAGAATAGAGATACCAATAAACTTTACTATTGATGCTGTTGTGACATTTTAAGGATATAAATAAATTGATAATGAAGATATTGAAATAAAGAAATTATTTTAGATTCCAGAAGATTACTAATTGGTTTCTAGAAGAGATGCAACTAAAGTTATGAAAAGAGGAAAAAAAAGATTATTTTTAGCTAATTTATTTTTATGATTTAATATAATATATATGTATCATTTTTGATGAAATTAAAATATTGAAAAATGCTATTTAAATCAAAGGTATAATTATTTGACAAAATGAGTCAATTTATTATTCTCTAGATTTAAATCTAAAAATAATGTTTTTGATGATTGAATATCTTTCCATAATTTATTTGTCATTTAATTCTTATAATTACGATGCTATTGTTATAATTTAAAAATTGTTGCCATAATTTTCCAATGAGACTCAATTTATTTCATACAAATTGGATAATTAAATAAATATTCTAATCTCTTTTAAGTAATAATTGTTTTTAAAATTTTCTATATGCTCATCATCAATAATGATATCTTTTTTTAACAATCATCAAGAAAAGATTCTATACTTTCTATAATAGCTGCTTCTTCACCAGGATATAACCATCTAAATTTGCCTGCTTTATAAATTTGATTGAAATTTCTTTCGATTTTAAATCTTGAAGATTCTAAATACAATGATGTATCATCTTAAATAGCATATTTTTCTAATAATTTTTTTGGAATATTTTTTGTTATTTTTTCTGATTCTACCCATTTAATATTATACTAATTAATTTCAGATACATATTCTTTAACCAAATTGATTTAATTTGCCAAAGAGATGTTTACTTAAGAAACACAAGAATGTAAAGTTGATTCATAATTGTAATTTGGTAACATTATAGTTGTATTTATATTATTATTTTTAACACTCTATTAAGTACTTTGTAATAATTCTAAATTTTTGATATCAAAATGATTATCATTATTTTCAATTGTTTTCATTCTCTTATTTTAACGATTTATAAATAACAAAGCTGTTTTAGCTAGAGAATTAATATGATAAGTATTTGATCTTTTTCTGTCATGATATTATTCAGTCATTTATATATTTTTTTCCTTACTTTTAGACTTTGAACATAAACTAGTCTTTTTTGTTTTATTAATAGATTTCAAATCTCTTAATTATGATATTGTTAAATTCAACACTTGAGGTTATTCAAATGATTAACCTAGGTCTTCAGTTGATGTCGAATATTTCTATACACTATATTAATTCCTTAAAATTCTAGGTTTATGGATTATTTAGTTCATTATAAAACTCTATGAGTATTTTGGAGGACAATTAAGTGAAGCATGTTAATTCTTTGTATATAGATCTGGACATCTCAGTTAATCAATAAATATTTAATTACAATTCATTTTAATGAATAATGAAGAAGAATTACTTAATTTTTATAAAGATGAATTAGTGTGTTTAAAAGAATCAATCATGTCATTATAAGAATAGAAGCAGAAATTAATTGAAGTATCAAAATCTATTATTTTTAGAAAGTTGAACAACTTGAAAAATAAAATAACATTCTTAAAGAAAATAATGATAACTTGAGTGAAATGTTTACTTAATATAAAGAATATACATCCACACAAATTAGAGATCTAGAATTTTAGTTAGTTAATTTAAGTGTGGAAAGGGCTGATAGAGAATTGCTTTTAGATGTATCAATATTTTTTAAAAAAGACTTTACATTAGGAAATCAGATAATTAAAAAAGGCAAATTTTGAAAAAGAATAAATTATAAAGGAATAAGAGAGTATCAAATAGGGAGATAATGTATCATCATTTCAAGATTCACCAGATAATTTAAGTTAAATAAGTTAAGATGACTAAAGTTAAAGAAATGTTGAAATCAAACAAGAATAAGTTATTTATTTAAAAAGTAAAATTAATGCAATTATATATTAGAATAATTTCATACACCCTAGAAAAATAACAAACCTGAGATCTAATCTATTATTGATAGTATTCCAAAATCAGAATATACAATATTATATGAAGAAGAAATGAAGAAAATTAAAGTAAAGTGATCTTAAAATTTAGGATATTTCAAATAAATAATTTGAAATGAAAATTTGGTAAGATCAAGTTATGGTACTTTTTAAAGAAAAATATAAAAATGAAAAAATCATTAATGGAAAATTAAGAGAATTACTAAGAAATTCATATCCAGAACAACATAGAGGCAAAATCTGGTCTTTTGTAAGAATATTATTTAAGTTAGTTAATTGGTAATCAATTATAAATAAATAAATAACTCTATGAAAAATTGTTATTATCCATTCCTAATCATCCTTTGATCACTAATGAACTAAAAAATTTGATTAATAAGTATTTTCATTGTTATTAAGTGATCTTTAGAGAACATTTACTATTATCAATGATTTTGAAAATTCAGATAAGTTGAAAGATGAATTAAGAGAGATACTTACCATATTTCATGTATTAGATTAAGTTATCATATAAGATTTATAGACCAGATATGGGATATATTTAAGGGATGACATATTTAGCATTCATGTTTCTAATAAGAATGCCTAAACAAAAAGCTTTGAAATGTTTAGCCAATATTTTATTTAAGAGCCAATTGTTGAGGACATTCTATTAATTTAAAAGTCATTATTTAGAAGCTTACTTTTTATTATTTGATTCTTTTTTCCAAGAAAAATTACCAGTGTTAGCTAATAAATTTAATTAAATCAAATTACCAAAACAATCATTTTTAGTAGAATGGTTTTATACTGTATTTTCAAGAGCATTCAATTTAATAACATCAAGCAAAATTTGGGATTATTTTTTATGTGAAGGTGATTTATTCTTAATAAGATTAACTTTAGCAGTATTATCAAATTTAGAACCAGATTTATTAAAATGTGAATATGAAGTAAATATTAATTTTATATTTAGGATATATTAATGCTAATAAGATAGAAAACATATTAGATAAAAATAGATGAATTATTTAAACATTTAAATAAATTCAAAATTGAATAGAAGACCTTCCAAATCAGATTATAAAAATAATTAGATGATTTGTGAAAGTTATCATATTTAAAAGGAAAAAGTATATTATACATAATTTTATCAAAATTATTATTATCAACATTTTCCTGATATGGATCTAATTGTCTTAAAGAATTTACAAGTACTAGGTGTAATATGTGTAATATTGGTTTATTAATGAGTTCTACTTTCCATTTCAGTTAAATTGACGAGTGTCTGATTATTATTGTAGCTCTTTTGATTTGATTATTTTCTTGCCCTTAATTTTACATGAGTTGGTATTATTACAGAAGAACGCTACATTTGTTATTACCTTAATATCTCAACTGAATTTTCTGTTTCAATAGTCTATCCAATTGATGTTTACGAAGAAGTAATAAAAATTGAGTTTCTTTTTCTATCTTTTTTTTCATGTTGAATCTTTTTATATTAATATTTTTTCAATATTTATGTTATAAGCTTTCTATTATGTGCTTATTTTTATTGAGATAAACATTCTCTTTCATTTTATTATTATCTGACAAATCTATCTCTTATCTATTATAAATTGTTGTTATTTATTATAAATCTTAATTCAGATTCTTCCTCTGGTTCAAGTGATTTTCGTTTTTAGTCATAATCAATATGTTACAATAATATTTCATTTTAAGAAACCTTTAAATTTTTTTAAGATCTTATACAGATTTGTTTATTATTGATATTGAGAAAGAGATCTTTCAATTAAGATTAAGAATTTAGATTATGATTAAGGGAAGTTAAATAATCATCATAATTTTTAAAGTTGTCTAAAATCAATCTTTATCGTTTATTAATGTAATCTTTATTAATTTATATTCTTTCTCTTAAGCAATCCATAATATCAGGATGATTACCTTGAATAGCTCTGAAATCAGATTATTCCATATAATAAGCATTAGTATTATCAACAACTTCACAACAGTATTTTCTTTATGGCAAATCTTCTATTAATTCTTCTTATCCAATTATACTACCATCTGATAATTGACTTAACTTATTCATTATAATATAATAATACAATTATCTTTTATTTATTTGATTATTTTGATAAATATAATTTGTCATATGATAAGTTTTAATTCTTTTTTTTACCCATTAAGGTATCTCTATCAAAATATTTATAAAGTTAGACTCTACCAGTTACTATAATAAAAAAGAATTATGGTTCATCTCCTATTTACCATAAGATTGTTTTGCTATGAAAAACAATAGGTCTTAGATATTAGATGAATTTAGAAATATTAAATTTGAGAGTTCCAGGAAATATCTTCATAAAATAATCTATGGTATTTCTGGCTTATTAAATAGATTTCTGAAAGATCAATTTAAAATCATTTCTCCTCATAGTTATACAAAATGCCTTCTCAGAATAGACAATGATACTTGCTGATCTAGGTTTGTCAGATGTTAATGCTACATCTCCAAAGCTTTATCCTGAATAATATTAGAAAATCTAGAATTATTTTATTATTCTTACTTTCTAATATAAGAGTACTCCATCTTTATAATATTTATCACCTTAAAATTTAAGTAAGTTATCAAAATTTACTGTTAACTATTTTTTTTATACCTTCACTAATTCTATTTCTTCTAATTTCTTTACTTATTCAATATCTCTATTAATATCATCTAATGGTCTAGGTCCAAATACACCGACTTCTCCTTTTAATATTATGTACATTTTATCACCATATTCACCATAATGAAATATTGGTTATCCATAATCATACTATTCAAATTAAAAATATTTAATTGCATTTGTAACAAATTCACTTAACTTCATTCCTTCTGGACAATTTTATTTAAAGAATTCAATTGTAGATAATGAATCAATTACTGTTTCTATTAATTCATTATTTTCAATCTTTCCATATTCTTAATAAAGTTTTAATGTCTATGATAAGTGCTCCTCATTTTCTTTTTTAATTCTTGCATGTCTTGCTGCCTAATCAAAGATGAGAGTTTTATTTTACTTAGACATTATTATATAATAAAATTAATATAAATTTTCAAGAATTTGATAGTGATTAAAGATTTAAAAAATGAAAAATCATATAATATGAATTATAGAAAAAGATATAATATTCTTATCAATGATGATTTTTTCTAATTTTTTTCTTTTGTATTTAAGTAACTTCTTTGTTCTTGGAATCATTATCAATCATTTCTGTGTCTTTTGTATTATTATCACTACTAACTTCTGTTCTCATTTTTTTTCCATTGATAAAATTTCGTATCATATTATACAAGCTGATTTGTCTTTCCATTTATACTTAGAACTAGTCATATCGATGACGTAGATCAGGATTAGAAAGTATTCGATAAGCCTCAGAAATTATTCTAAATTCTGCTGATTCAGGATTCTTATCCTGGTCATATTTTCATAATTTACTGGATGATGTTATTTGGCAAGAACGCGATATGCTTTTTTTATTTGTTCCTATGTCGAGTTATTTGAAACACCAAGAATATTGTAATAATTCATATATTAATTGAGTAAATGTTTATTACATGCCAATTAAAACATAATTAGAATTGTTTCGAACTTTCTAAATCTTTTTATTGCCATTCATTATTATCTTATTCTTCTATAGAATTACCATCAATTCTCATCAAGAACTACACATCTTAACATCTTTTATTAATTTCCTCTTAACCATCATAAATTTATATATAAAAAATAAAAAACTTTACTTTTTTTTATAATTCTAAATTGATATTTCCATTTAAATAACCTCTCAGAAATTCTTTTGATAATTTTTATAAATAATAAACAATAATAAAGATAAGTAAGTAAATACGACTATCAATATTCTATTAATTTATTTAATTCATTTATAATCTAATTTAAATAAATTATTGTAAATGTCTTATACCCTCACCCTAGAGGTTTTATTTATACATAATAATATATCATCGTTAATTACAATAAAATTACAAAGAATTCTAGATTAAACTTCTGAAATTTACATTCTATATTTATATATTTATTCAATTATAATAATATTTTCAAGAGCTATAATGATATAATATTGTAGTTATTTCTTTAGCTCGGAGCAAATTAAAATGTTATCTTATTTTACATTCATTTATTTTTACTTATACAAAGTAATATTTTATATTCTTATTGTATAAAAATTTAAAAACTATATAAATGAAAAATGTAATTTTAGTTATGATTTTCATAATAAAAATTGAAAATTTGTTGAACTTTTTTCATATTCTTATTTATGATATAAATTTGATATTGAGGTAAACTATTATTTAGGTAATAAAGATTGAAAAAAGTAAAGAAGATTGCTTTAACCAATTAGATTAATTTCTTTATTAAAAACGAATAAGAATCATTAGAGTTATTAGAAACATTGATTTAACTAAAATTATCATATTTTTATCCCTCTCTTTTATTCATATATCTCATACATTAATATCTAAATAAGTTTTTTTTTTTCATTTCTATTCTTAGATAAGACTACATCAAACTTCAAAATTCATTATTTATTTCATTAATAATCATTAGATAAGATAGGATTTTATAAGACTTTAGTCATATAAAAAAGAATTTAGTAAGCCTTATTTAATAATAACAATTTAAAGGATTTAATTGTAATTTTAAATAAGTTCTATTATGGAAGATTATTAGGATTCAACAAAATGATTTATATTATAACGAAAAATGAATGAAATAGTCTAATTATAGATTATTAAATTTAATGAATTGAATATTTATCTTCTCATATTAGTATTATAGAAATAATCTTATTTATTTATTAAAATTTTTGATAAATGTTAAAAGAGAAACTGCAAGAAATAAAGGATTCAAATACAAATTTATATTAACATTTGAATAATGTATTGACTAAGATATTATTGGATAATCCAAAAGTATGAATATATTATGAGTTATAATTGTAGAATGCTTTTGAATTATTTGAAGATTATTCATTTTAAGTAAAATCAAATGGATTCACATTTGATAAATATAATGAATTTGATAATGCAGAAAGAACAAAAGTTACTATGGATTAAGCTATTTAATAAAAGACATTGAAACTAATCAATAAAATTAATCTTGGAACTGATGAAGAACCTTAAGAATCAACTTAAACTGGATATTTACCTAATTTAACAGAAGAATCATATTTATATGAATGGGCTGGTATTGGAATTGATGAGAATTATAAAATATTTAAAGCATTGACAGTAATTATATTTAATTTAATATATTAGTTATTATCTGTTACTAAATAAGCATCTAAACTTAGATTTTGGGGTAAAATTATGGGAAGAGATAAAGATTATTATATTGCTGAAGGAGTTGCTACAAGTACTGTTGAAGATGGTGAATTACCACCTGAAGTTGAACCAAGAGGATCTGGTATTAATACTAAATCATATTGGGCATGCACTGATATATTAAATGATAAAGATTGGGTTGAATTACCATTGGTTACACCATAATAAATCAATATATCTAGATAAATTAAATATATGTTTACAGGTAATTTAGAAAGTGATGTTATCACTAATCCTTATTTCTTTGGAAAAGAAAAACATTTATTAAAAGCATAAATTGTTAGAATTACATAATCTACTGTTATTATTCCAAAAGGTTAATATATTTTAAGAGAAGGTGAACCAAGAGAAATAGATCCAGCACCTGAATATAAATTACCAGGATTTCATGATTTAAAAACATTAAATGATTGGATGCATTTCAATTAAAATATATTAAATGTAAATTATTTTAATTATTATTATTAATAGTGTGGTAGATTAGTACATTTAATACCATCTGAATTACCTGAAGGTGTTGAACCAGAAGCTTATTAAAAATAAATAGAAGCTGCTGATCCATTTGAAAATAGATTAAAACCAATTTCAAATGATAAAATATAAAATAATAAACCAGCTTGGAAAATTAGAATTGTTGGTGATACAACTGATTATAATCCTTTAGCCAAAGACACTAATAATAAAGTTAATAATGGTGTTATTATTATTAAATCTTTAGTTTGGCCAGGATTAGTAACTGTCTATTCTGTAATAATCTATTTTAATTTATAATAGAACAAAGTATTATCACAATTATATTATGGTTATGGATTTAAGGCAACAAATAATCATTTCTATCCTAAATAACCATAATAAGTTTAATAAGAATAACCAGATCTTCCAGAATAACCAGAACCCAATTTCCCAGCTGAAGTCCCTTAATAACAATAAGATTGATCATTATTATTATTAAATTATGGAATAAGAGGATACACTTTATTTTATATAATTTAATGTAGTCATATATTCGAATGACTTAATTAATCCTAGTTAATTGTAATAGACTTTAAAAAGATATATGAATAATTAATATGATAGAAATAATGCCATTGCTAAATTTTTACTAATTTTAGGGTTCATATAATTATATATATATAAGTAATATCAATTTATTTCATTTTCTGAATCTATTTAATTTTCTAAATCTATATCCAAAAGTAATAAGAGTAGTTATGATAATTATTGAATCAAAAAGATGCTATTTGATACTTCATTACTTTATTTTGGTTATTTAAAAGTGTAAGTTTTCTATTTAGCCAACTAACTTTTTTTCCAAATTCGTATGACTTTTGTAAAATCAGCTCTGCATTAAGGACATGTAAGATTCTGTTTTGACCATTATTTAATACATTAGAAACAAAATACATGTTGACAATTTTAAACAATTCCCTTTTTATAAGTAAAATATATTGTTACTTAATCAACTATAGAGGAATAGCAAATACTACAATTTAATTCTGGATTTTATAAAATATTTATTACATCATCTTATTCTTTAATTTCCTACTTTCTTATATTTTTTTGGGTTCTTGATGAAGTCTCTTAAGATATTAAATTTTCATTTATTTTTTATTTACCCATATTTCTATTAATTTATTAATAAATATTTTTTTTTAAAAAAATAATAATTATATCAAGTTCTTTAAATGAAAAATATTAGAATTATATGATAAATAATAGAAATAATGTATTTAAATATTATCATTACTATAATGAAGCAAATTTATCAAGTAATTAAGTCATTCCATGTTCAATTGCAAGATTCATCATGTCAGCTATTTTGTACTTGGATGAAATCAATTTATCTTCACATTATTTTAATTATGATTCTAATTCTTTGACCCTCTATTTAAATTAATATTAACTATTTATTAAGTCATCTAATTATTTCTTTNCACCAATCAATATCAATATTACAGAATCGATTGCATCAAAGCACGTTTCTTATAACATCAAAGGAGAAGATAGAATAGGCCAATTTGAAGCATTGCGTCGTTACAATGACTTTCATGTTCTAAGACTGACTTTATTACAAAGATGGCCAGGATGTTATGTTCCTCCAATTCCAGCAAAATAAGCTCTTGTATGATTAGTATTTAATAGTATAGGGAAATAATGAATAAAAAGTAGTAGAGGATCGTAAAAGATTCCTATAATATTTCCTAGAATAAGTGGCTAAGTTAAGACATATTTACTTCTCTGATGAATTTTAAACGTTTTTAAGAACAAAGAATACTGATATGGAGAAAGTATTATAATATATTTGATATAAATAGGCATTACAAGGATTACCAAAATAATCTATATAAGAAGTGTATGAAAAATTTAAGAAAAATTTTCCCCATTTAAATGGAAAAGAGGTGAATTCAGATTTAGTATTGAAAGTATCTAGTTTTTCCACTTATTTAAATAAAACAACAAAATAATTAGAGAGTCTTAAAGAATAAGTGAAATTATTGGCTACAGCAAAGAAATAATATACAGATTAATTTAGTATTACTAATGATATATGTATTTTAGATATAATGACTTAAACTATTGTACCAGAATATGAGAAAAATATTTTAATAGAGTATGTTAATCATAAAACAGAGAATTTAATTTTTACAAATCACAATGACGTAAATGTTACCGCAAGAGAAATTGTAATATTGATTTAATATTTCAGAAAGATTAAAATGCTTAAACGAATAATTATGATTATCTAGTTGATTTGTTAAGAATTGAATGTAGGGAAGTGGAAGCATTTTAAGAAACATTGAAATAAAAAGAATTTGTAGACAATTTGAAAACTTCTGCATAACAAAAATTAAGAGATTAAAATAGTGAACTTGTAAAATTATAAGCTGGAAAAACAACATTTAAATCCATGTTTTCAAAAGGATCAAATACAGAATAAGCATAGATATTAGAAAAGAAAATTTAAGATGTATAAAATAAATATATTATTTATAGACTTAAAATGAAATTAAATTATTAGAAGAACTTTGTATAATGATTACATCCATTTTATGCTTTGATGAAATTGATAGATTCAAAAAGAACAAATAAAATAAATATTATGAAATTTTAATTAAAGTTAGCTAATTGGAATAATAACTCAATTAATTAGTATTTATAATATTCAATTATACTAGTACATTAAATTCTGGTCAGAAGTATCAAAAGGAACAGAAGCAGAAGTAGTTGTTTGAAAAAATAAAAATATAAATAAAAAATATAATATTTTTATAAAAATATAAATTTTCAACTTTTAATAATAATATAAATTTTGATCAAATCTTATTATATAAATTTAATTTGATATATTCAAAACCTAAGAATATTTGTAAATCTTATATATTAAAAATAAAAATGCAATAATAACAAAGTTAAGAAAATTAAGAATAAGTAAATTTAGAATAAAAAACACTCATTGATGAATGTGAAATCTGTTTATAAGAAATCAAAAGTAAAGGTGTTTTCAAAAAATGTAAACATTACTTTTGTATTAATTGTGTGTTGAATTGGACTTTACATTAGAAATCATGTCCTAAATGTAGATGTAAAGTTTCAAGTATTATAAAAATTTCTATAAGAAAATATCCTCGTTCAATTAAAAAAAAAACATCTAGTAAGTATCATGAATATTTTAAGAATAAATCATCTATTTGTCTAATTCTGAAAGTGAAAGTAGTGATTCAGATTATATTCCTATTAACACATTTGTTGGGAAATATGGACCTGAAGATTTTCTATGAAATATAAATTTAAATATATTATAAAATTAATTTACCGCTTAATCAATTAACCTCATTATTTTATTGATTTTTTATTAATAGTAATTAATAATTTAAAATATAATATATTAACTTAGTTTTATAATATTTTTTAGAATTAGTTTTCTATTTTGATTTATCACATCAAAATTATTAAAGACTAAATTTTTTTTCAAATTAAAATATTTTAATGTCACTCATATTTTTTAGAACTAAATCCTTATTATATTAACAATTTAATAAAAATACTTAAATAAATTAATAATAATATTTTGATAGAAGTTTTATCTTGTTTTTATAAATATTATTAAATATTATTAAAGTTTATACATGAATCCTTCTCTAGTAAAAATATAGTAAATTTAGGCTTAAAAATTTAAGAATTTTTGTCAAACTATTGATTTATATGGTGCTTATCCAAGTCTATTGATATTTGGAAATTAAAAATATTCAAGTATCCTTGGAGTTCTCTTTACTTTGTTAGCATCAACATTGACATTTGCTTATTTAGTACAATAGGTCTAAGAATTAGTCTACAAACAGCTCCCATAAACAATTTTATCGGAACACTTAGTCTCAGAAACATCTGTAAGTTTAAATAATATTATATATAGCCATTTCCATTATAATCTCAAAATTTTACTTTAGCAGTGTCAGTTGGTAATATATAATCAAATCCATTGAAAACTATTAATAAATACTTTACAATTTCAGTTGAAAATTGCTAAAGAATACGACAACTTAATACAACTACAAATAAAATTGATGTCATTAATACGTATTCTTGAAAAATGATTAGTATAGATGTGTTACTTACCCTATAGAAGCATGCAGTTCTGAAAATTTTGGAACAGAGTTGTAAAAAGAATATTTCAGTAAAATTCGATTAGGAACAGTTTAATGTATTAAGAAAGAAATATTAGAAAGAAATCCTCCGGTAATTATATATATATTATATTGAGATACTATAAGGAATTATTTCAGGAAATATATATTAGTATATTTCTATAAAATTTTCAGCTTGCAAAAATAGTACAGAAAAATAAGATTGTGCAACAATGGATTAGATAAATGAAGAATTAATGAATGGATATTATGTAGTTCATATGAGTGATTCTTTGATTTAAATGAGTAATCCAGAGAATATTTAACAGAATTTCATAAAAATGTAATTTACATCATTCTCAATCTCAACATCTAAAATTATATACTCTGGATTTAGGATTATTGAATCAATTACTGATAATGGTGTACTGACTAACAATATTGTAGAAGATCAATTTTTAGTACAATAGTACTTTTAAGAATCATCTTCTAATTATAATTAAGATTATTTAGTTAATCATTTTATAATTATAGACAACAAATATACTAGCTATTAAAGATCTTATATTAAATTAACAACTATCTTAAGTAAGATTGGAGGTCTATGGTAATTAATATTTATAATTTTTGGGATTATTACAAAACCATTTATTTAAACTGAAATGAGAATTAATTTAGCAAATAAATTATTTAGATTTTAATCAGAATTAAATGATCTTACTTAGAATGTAAAAAAAGATAATAGTACAAATAAGAATTTAGATAAATATATTTTAAATTCAGGATCTAAATTACCTAATTCAGTATTTGATATTCTAAAATTCATATTTGGATGTCATAAGAACAGAATAAAATCATTGAATTTGGCAAATTAGAGAATTTAAGAAAATTTAGATATAGTTAAAATAATGAGAATATTTTAAGAATTTGATAATCTAAAACAAATTTTATTGACATTTAATTAAAGAATTTTATTTGATCTTATTCCAACTCCTTTGATAAATGGATAATTAGATAATAAAATGAAATAAAATTAACATTCTAATAAACCAATAATTATTGATAATACTTAATAATAAAATAAAAATTATTAAGATAGATTTATTGAAGCTTATAAATCATTTTTTTAGATTTAAATTATGTCTGAAATGAATGAAAATATTGGATAAAAAATAGTTAAATGTTTAGATTAAGAAATGATTAAAGTATTTTATGAATATCAATCAGATACTGAATCAAGATAATTTTAATTTGAAGATAGAAAATCTAAAAATACAGTTGATAGAAATTATCAAGATTTTGAATCTAAATTAAGTGTTTCTCCTAATAATTCAAATATTTAAGAGGTTTAAACAGTTAAAATCTTTCTCAATAATTAATATAATAGAAGAAAATTTGATAATTTATAAGTTTGATAAATCATGTATAAATACACTATATATTGTACTATATTTTATCATTATATATAATTTAATAGATATTTAGCAAATCTATTTTTTGAGTAATTTTATAAATTATAAATAGTAATTAAGATTTGAATGATAATCATAAATAAAAGTTTTACTAAAACTGCTTTTTCATTTTGCTTACATTTCCTAAGAATACTTCTTTAGGAAATCTATTTTTGGTTACTATATCTATTTATTTTCCAAATGTCTAAAGGAATGGATCTTAATTTATTGGATGCATAGGAGGCAAGAATTTTTGTTTTTTTTAAGAATTGTCACAAAAAATTGAGAAATTATTTGATTATTATTCTCCTTTTTAATACTAACAGTGATCAGTTTCATTATTACTATCATCATTAATCAAATTAGGTTGACTATTATTATATATTTGATCTTTGTTATGAATACTAAAGGCTCTAGGTTTAGTTATATAAGTTTTTCTTTCTTATTGTTAACTAAATTATCTTGTTTTTCGAATTTAATACAATTAGTTTTTAAGATGTTCTTAACGTTAAATAAATTACAATAACTATGTTGTGATTTTTAATTACCTAGCATTATTTGACTACTAATTTAGATTAGTAAGTTGAGATGGACATTGAATAATCATTCTAAATGTAATTAGTTTATTGAGAAGGGTTTCTTATCTATTTATTATCATGAAGAGATTTATCTTACATTATAAGATGAATAAAATAAGAAATAATTAATTGGAATTGTAATTAAATAATGAAATGATGATGAAATAAGTAATGAATATTTATAATTAAATTGTTATGGAATCGTAATTGAAATAAAATTAAATGAAATAAAATAATAAATTATATATAATAAATATATATATATATATAATGTCTTACAAATTCATTTTAAGCAATAAGAATCAGTATTCTAAGGATCGCAATGTTAATATAGATTATAGTCCTGTTTTTAATATGTATAAAGAATAAATTATATTAATTTAGATAGTTGTAATAAAAATTGAATATATTTCCAATTTTCAATGATGATCATTAATTTACAACTCCTGGATTTATTATTGAATATGAGAAAGTATATATATAATTTATATATTAAATTTAGCCTGCATATGAAAGCAATTTAAACTATCATTAACAATTATTTAATCAAAAAATTGAATAAATAAAAATAAAAAATAAATAATTGGTATAATTCATAATGATTATTTTAGTTGATTCCAAAACCAAAACATCGAGTTTAGATTTGCTCAGTTTGTAAAACTAAATATACAGATTACTTAACTGTATTAATAAAGAAATTAAATTAATTAGCATACTTAATCAAATTTACATAAAAAGTTGTTCTTAGCATCTCCATATATTAAGAAAATTGAGAAAATTTAAAATGATTTGAATTAATAATTATCAAATTATAATTCTTAATCAACAGATACAGAAGATGCTTCATTATTAGAATAAAGTAATAGAAAGAAAATTAAAATGGATATATCCTAAATGATTTCAAATTACTGAATGATAAAAATGTATTTATTATTGTAAAATTCATTTTTATTATTATTATAATTATTTTCTAGTTTCTTCCATTTTTTATCTATAAATTCTTTTTTATCTTTCAATCTAAATTTTTTAATACTATATAATTTACATATTCAGGTCTAATTTCTTCTTTTATAGGATTCTCAGTTTTAAATTCTGAAATTTTCATACCTGATTTTTATTCAAATTCTTGAATTCTTTCAGCTGCAATCTAATCCATATATTTAACATTATAATAAACATAATAACCACTAAATGCAAATAAGGTTCCTATTATAATAATTGCAAACTATTTTGGAGAATTATTTTATTTTTATTATGAGAAATGTTAAACACTTTTATAATGTTTCATAAGGTATTTTTATTTATCAAATAACCTTAATTAAATATATTAATATGAATGTTTGTTTAGTACAATCATTAAAAAAAATAAGGATGTCTTAAAGCATCATTGCAATTGATTCTTTTTGATGGACTAAAAACAAAGATCTTAGACAATAAATCAATTAATAATGGATCAGTTTTCTAATTCAAAACAATATAAATAAATATCATACTTAATTTCTTTGATTATAAATTAGGAATATAAAATTAACATCCCAATTCAGCCTTTTCTAATTCATTAGGAGTACCTAACAATTTACATATTTCTACTATCTAATCAACAGTATTCTGTCCAAAAAATAATTATTTACCTAATTCCAATTCAGCCAATATACAACCAGCTGCCCATATATCAATTTTAGTATTATAAAATATTTAACCAAATAGTAATTCAGGTGCTCTATATGCTCTAGAACATACATAACTCAAACTCTTAGATCCATCCATTTTTTTTGCACTACCAAAATCAGCTAGATATATGTTTCCACTTTAATACAAAATATTTGCTGGTTTAAGATCTCTATGCATAATATTTTATGATTCTAAATATTCTAATGCTTAAAATAATTATTTAGCCACTCTTTTTAATGGAACTCTAATTGCATTTTTCAGATTTCCTTAATATAAATCCATAACTAAATGTAAATATTTAGCCTTATTTTCAACAGTATAATAATGATCACGTAAAGGTACAATATGTGGATGATGCATATTCATATGTATTTCTAATTCTCTATTTATTTATTTCGGATCTTGCAGTACTTTCTTCATTGCATAATAACCACCATGCAATTTATCTTCAACAATAAATATAGTACTATAACTACCCTATCCAATCTATTCTAAAATTTAATATTTATTTGATTTATTAATATTTTAATTATTAAGAGTCATGTATTTAGGTATTAAACATCTTTCTTGAGATGTTGACAATTAATGTTTATCATTGGGAGTTACTCTTCTTTTTTTTGATTTATTTTAATTCAATTGCATATATTTATATATATATATATATTTATTTATTTTCTTAATGAAATTCAATTATTTTTATACTTATTCTATATAATGATTGTATATCAAATTATAATGAATCTCTGATTATAATCATGTAAATTAAGAAAAATAGATGAAGATAATACAGATATTATTTATATATATAATTTAGATGATCCATAACACAAACCATTTTTAATTAAATGTTATCCTCTAGATTGTTTAAATATAAAAGTGATAAGCAATGTATAATACTATTCTTTGATAAAAATAATAGTAGACTAGAATTTAGAGTGCAATTAAATTTTATATATGTATTGAAAATAATATAATAGTGTATCATAACAATCCTAAAATATATTTGAAAATTTAATAAATAATGCAAAATACTTTTATGAAATGATTTATTGCAATTTAGATAAATCAAAACTTCATTTTTTATTAGCAATAATTACTATAAGTTATTAATTCAACTATGAACTACTTTCAATTGTAACCTTAATTTAATTTAATAATTTGAGATGAAGAAAAGAAGTAAGTTCACTTAATTATAGAATTTAGTTGAATTTGTACAAAATTTAACATTATTATATTAAAATTTATTTAGTGAATAAAAATACTCTTTTGAGAAAATAGAAATTATTGAGGAAATTTAAATAAGTCAAATTATTTTTAATTGTTAATCAAAATTGGTTTTGCTTTAGAATATTAATTATTTAGAAGTGTTTATCAAAGTTTGTAAAGAAAAATGTAAAATTGTTGAAGAAAGCAAGCGTTCTTAGAAATAACAATTAAACATCAAGTCTAATGATTTTATTAATTTAATTCAGTCTGATTAAATTCAGTATATTATAATATTAAATTGAGTGTATATAATTAAATAGGAAGTGTTAAGATACAAATAGTAATATATTTAAAAACAACAAATTGAGAGATAATTTCGAAATTATGTTAAAATAGTATTGAAATTATAAATATAGGATAATGGGATAAGAAATGGAAAAGAATTTGTAAATCTCCAAAAGAATTATAATTAAATTATATTAAAATGATAAAATCTTATTTAATAAAAAAAATAGAGATAAATAGGGGAATTATAACTTAATTATTATTATTTAATTAATATTATTGATGCAAGTAAAGTTATCCTTTTTCGACGATGCTAAATTCTCAAAGTCTTTTTGGGAGAAAACCAACATTTAGATAGAGGAATAAAAAATTGAATTTTAATCTGTCCTATTTGAAAAAAGCAAAAAAACTGGTTTTTGGACAAGCAAAAACTATATCATTTAAGATGGTAAATTAATAAAGTTGAGGGTATATAAATAATTATAAATGATAGCCAAATAAGAAAAATATACATCATGTTAATCTAGGGATATCAAGAATAGAGAGAATTAAGTATAAAAATGAATAGGAGTCTGATGTTTGTAATAAAGTATTGAATAATATATATATTTATAGAAGAAATATGGTTTTCGAATAATTCGTAATTAGAAATTCAAAGAACTGTATTCAAGATCTAAAGAACTAAATTAATAAATCTGGGATTTTCTCAAAAAGTAATGTCTTCAACTTACATTCAAAGAAGAGTATGTTATTGAAAGAATGATTGGAAAAGGAAATTTTGCTAAAGTAATTAAATTTAATATGACAGGTGTATCTTTGTAATAAAAAATCTGATAAATTGTAATATGCTGTTAAGGCATTTGAAAAAAGTAAGATGATGAATTCTGAAACTGATAAATAAGCATTAATTAAAGAAATGTCAATTATGAGGAAGTTGAATTATAAAGGATTAATAAAAATGCATGAAATATTTGAAGATGATACTCATATATTCCTAGTTCAAGATTATTTATAAGGAGGTGAATTATATTAATAGATAAAGAAGAATTAAAAATAATCTGAACCAATAGTTGCTACTATTCTAGCTACTTTATTGGATTCTTTAGATTATTTACATAAATAAAACATTCTTCATAGAGATCTCAAACCAGAAAATATGATATTACGTAAAAAAGGAGTTTTGGAAGATGTTGTAATAGCAGATTTTGGATTAGCAGATTTTTATGATCCATTAGGTAATTATATGTTTCAAAGATGTGGAACTCCTGGATTCGTGGCTCCAGAAGTATTATAAGATAAGATTTATGATTCGAAAGTTGATATTTTTAGTGTTGGTTGTCTAATGTTTCTTTTGATTGCTGGTAAATCTCCTTTTAAGGGTTCTACTTATGATGAAGTTGTAATGAGAAATTATCATTGTAAAATTGATTATCCATCTATTGATACTATTATTAGTAGTGCAGGTACATTCTTTATTATAAATATTAAAAGGATTATAACTATTAAAATTATTGTTGCATCCTCGACCATCATAAAGACCATAACCTAGAGATGCCTTAAGACATGAATGGTTTATGATCAATCTAGATAAAACAAGATATTCAGAATTAAATAAATCAGAAGAATATATTTATGATACTAAAGATACTATTAAATCAAGTAATACTGATGCAGGTAGTTGTGGATTTATGAAAAACTTTATTGGTCCTTCAAATTTAGATAAACCTGAATTTATGACTCCTCAATAAAATTGTATTGGAAATAAAAAGAAAGATAATCTTCTATTCACTCCCCAAATTACAGTTATGCAATAAATTTAAGAATAATTTAATGATAGTGAAGAATAGATGTCTATAAAAAATTTAGATGATGACTTTACAGATATGATATTCGATGATGAATCACCATAATCTCATAGATTACCTTAATATCAATTAGTAGGAAAGCTAAAATAAGCTGTTGATTCTAATAATTCTTCTTATTATGCATCTCCTATAATCAAAGTAACAGATATATATATAATAAATTTATTAGAAAACTCCAGAGAGCCTTGCCAAAGATATCAATCCAAAAGTAATGACAATAAAATAAAAAATATATGAATAATAGACTTAGCCAAAGATTGCTAGCAAAATAAAGAATAATTTGAAAAATCTTGAGCAATTATGATTTAATGACTAAAATAATTAATAATGTTTTAGAATTCTATTTCAAATCTCATTCTCATACAAAAAATAAGACTGTAGTTATGAGAATTTTAAAGATTTTTTAACATTCACAATAGAATATTGGGGATATTTTTAATTCCTCTTAGAAAACCAAAATTAATTTAATTGACATTGATGCTTTAAGATTAAAGTATAATTCAAAAAATTTCTATAAAAGGGTAGTAATACGGATGTTGTATCAGAATGTTATTATATGTTCTAATAAATTCAATGTAATTGTAAAAAAGGATAACTATAACATGAGTAATAGATGAAGATCTTATAAGGAATATATAAAATTAATCTTGTATTTAAAGAATTCAATTGATAATGAATTCAAATCAATTGATCTAAATTATTAATATTAATCAAAGTATATTATTAATAATTTTAATAGTATGAATTCAGAAGCTTCAATACGAACCATAAGTGTAAAATATACAGTTGTGTTTTGTGTTATCATTGGTTTCTTATTTTTATTTTCACAAATCCTTGACAATTTATTCTATGATTATACTATTATAGAAACAGAAATTGTCTTCATTAAAAGAGTTGGTATATTTAATGACTAATGATAGATTAAACTAATAATTAAATGATTATAGAATTAAATGAAGTTACTGAATAGAGTAATTCATTGGTTCTTACTTTATAAAATAACATGTAAAGCACAATAGAGCAGATTTATAAAAAAATCAATTATTAAGTAAATGAAGAAGAAGATTATACTTTGTAATAATTTAATAATCAATATCGATAATCATTCAATCTAATATCAGAGTCAATATTTTTAAAAAATAAAATGAATAATTCTATGGATTCAATTTATCTATTAAATATAAAGAAGACCGTTAATACAGATTTTGCAGGAGTAGGTATTTAATTTTTACTTATTATATAGATATCTCAATTTATTCAGATTATGGTACAAACTTTTTTGATTTATCACAATCTATCACATTAAACAATTTTTGGAATGAAGAATTGTAATTAAATTTGAAAAACAAAATTGTAACTAAATTTATAGAAGGATTGAATTATATACTGCTTGTATTATATGATTATACAACATATGATTAATAAATTGCCTTATTAAAAGATAATGATTTAGAAATTATACATACATCAAAGCATTAGATTTAAAATATTGCAACAATAAATTATAATATCATATTTCATTATTAATATGATAGGGATATATATTTATATGAACGTATTTAATTTATTATTATTTAAGTGTAGTTAATTCATAGAAGATAAGCAAAATTTTATAATACTAAAATAATAATATCTTATATTTTTAAGTGATTAAATTGTTTTTCTTTAATGAAAACACAATCGGTGTATTTTACTTAGAGTAAAATTAATTATTAGCATTAGAATTACAAACGATAAATATAAAATAATAGGAGTAGCTTTAAATGAATATAAAAATGTATTTTTAAACATAGATATAACTGAAGAAATGATAAATTTTGATTAGATTTAATAAATAGAATTACTTCATGATTATAATATGGAACAAAATGTATTAGTAGTATCTTACAGTAAAAAATATTTATACTATTTAAAAATAAAACCTTTTATGTTTACCACATAATTTGATTAATGGAACCCAAAAAAACTAAAACTAAATATTCTTGAATAAGAAAGAGAAATATTTAAAAAGATTATTTATGATCATTAAGATCAAATAATATATATAGTATAATTATTTTATTTACAACTAGTTATCAGAAAGCACTTAATCAAAATTTAAAATGCATTTAGTGGATCTTACCAATTTAGATGATAAATCAAATAAAATTGATACTATGAAATTAAGAATGCCATATTTTAAATATGGAATCTAAGCTATAGATTTTCTCATATAAAAGAATTAAATTAATAATAATGTTATCCTTTTCTTGTTAAAAAATGGAGATGTTGCCTGTATTTAGCCGTTATAGTATGGAGAGGGAGTTTTAAAGAAAACTTTCATAATAGAATTGTTAGATATTGTGTTAACTCTATCATTTATTGGATTCTTTAGGTATCTAAAGCGCTTATTATAAAAAATATATTCAAAAATAATATCTTGTTGTAGAAGAATTTGATAAAAATGCTTTTTATTAAGATATATTATATATATAATTATTTATTTCAGAAATTCCTTCTTGATTTTTACAAGCTTAAATTTGATATATGTAAAAAGTTTAATTTTTAATAAAAGTATTTTATTTAAAATTTTTGATAAATGTTAAAAGAGAAACTGCAAGAAATAAAGGATTCAAATACAAATTTATATTAACATTTGAATAATGTATTGACTAAGATATTATTGGATAATCCAAAAGTATGAATATATTATGAGTTATAATTGTAGAATGCTTTTGAATTATTTGAAGATTATTCATTTTAAGTAAAATCAAATGGATTCACATTTGATAAATATAATGAATTTGATAATGCAGAAAGAACAAAAGTTACTATGGATTAAGCTATTTAATAAAAGACATTGAAACTAATCAATAAAATTAATCTTGGAACTGATGAAGAACCTTAAGAATCAACTTAAACTGGATATTTACCTAATTTAACAGAAGAATCATATTTATATGAATGGGCTGGTATTGGAATTGATGAGAATTATAAAATATTTAAAGCATTGACAGTAATTATATTTAATTTAATATATTAGTTATTATCTGTTACTAAATAAGCATCTAAACTTAGATTTTGGGGTAAAATTATGGGAAGAGATAAAGATTATTATATTGCTGAAGGAGTTGCTACAAGTACTGTTGAAGATGGTGAATTACCACCTGAAGTTGAACCAAGAGGATCTGGTATTAATACTAAATCATATTGGGCATGCACTGATATATTAAATGATAAAGATTGGGTTGAATTACCATTGGTTACACCATAATAAATCAATATATCTAGATAAATTAAATATATGTTTACAGGTAATTTAGAAAGTGATGTTATCACTAATCCTTATTTCTTTGGAAAAGAAAAACATTTATTAAAAGCATAAATTGTTAGAATTACATAATCTACTGTTATTATTCCAAAAGGTTAATATATTTTAAGAGAAGGTGAACCAAGAGAAATAGATCCAGCACCTGAATATAAATTACCAGGATTTCATGATTTAAAAACATTAAATGATTGGATGCATTTCAATTAAAATATATTAAATGTAAATTATTTTAATTATTATTATTAATAGTGTGGTAGATTAGTACATTTAATACCATCTGAATTACCTGAAGGTGTTGAACCAGAAGCTTATTAAAAATAAATAGAAGCTGCTGATCCATTTGAAAATAGATTAAAACCAATTTCAAATGATAAAATATAAAATAATAAACCAGCTTGGAAAATTAGAATTGTTGGTGATACAACTGATTATAATCCTTTAGCCAAAGACACTAATAATAAAGTTAATAATGGTGTTATTATTATTAAATCTTTAGTTTGGCCNAAAATTTTTGATAAATGTTAAAAGAGAAACTGCAAGAAATAAAGGATTCAAATACAAATTTATATTAACATTTGAATAATGTATTGACTAAGATATTATTGGATAATCCAAAAGTATGAATATATTATGAGTTATAATTGTAGAATGCTTTTGAATTATTTGAAGATTATTCATTTTAAGTAAAATCAAATGGATTCACATTTGATAAATATAATGAATTTGATAATGCAGAAAGAACAAAAGTTACTATGGATTAAGCTATTTAATAAAAGACATTGAAACTAATCAATAAAATTAATCTTGGAACTGATGAAGAACCTTAAGAATCAACTTAAACTGGATATTTACCTAATTTAACAGAAGAATCATATTTATATGAATGGGCTGGTATTGGAATTGATGAGAATTATAAAATATTTAAAGCATTGACAGTAATTATATTTAATTTAATATATTAGTTATTATCTGTTACTAAATAAGCATCTAAACTTAGATTTTGGGGTAAAATTATGGGAAGAGATAAAGATTATTATATTGCTGAAGGAGTTGCTACAAGTACTGTTGAAGATGGTGAATTACCACCTGAAGTTGAACCAAGAGGATCTGGTATTAATACTAAATCATATTGGGCATGCACTGATATATTAAATGATAAAGATTGGGTTGAATTACCATTGGTTACACCATAATAAATCAATATATCTAGATAAATTAAATATATGTTTACAGGTAATTTAGAAAGTGATGTTATCACTAATCCTTATTTCTTTGGAAAAGAAAAACATTTATTAAAAGCATAAATTGTTAGAATTACATAATCTACTGTTATTATTCCAAAAGGTTAATATATTTTAAGAGAAGGTGAACCAAGAGAAATAGATCCAGCACCTGAATATAAATTACCAGGATTTCATGATTTAAAAACATTAAATGATTGGATGCATTTCAATTAAAATATATTAAATGTAAATTATTTTAATTATTATTATTAATAGTGTGGTAGATTAGTACATTTAATACCATCTGAATTACCTGAAGGTGTTGAACCAGAAGCTTATTAAAAATAAATAGAAGCTGCTGATCCATTTGAAAATAGATTAAAACCAATTTCAAATGATAAAATATAAAATAATAAACCAGCTTGGAAAATTAGAATTGTTGGTGATACAACTGATTATAATCCTTTAGCCAAAGACACTAATAATAAAGTTAATAATGGTGTTATTATTATTAAATCTTTAGTTTGGCCAGGATTAGTAACTGTCTATTCTGTAATAATCTATTTTAATTTATAATAGAACAAAGTATTATCACAATTATATTATGGTTATGGATTTAAGGCAACAAATAATCATTTCTATCCTAAATAACCATAATAAGTTTAATAAGAATAACCAGATCTTCCAGAATAACCAGAACCCAATTTCCCAGCTGAAGTCCCTTAATAACAATAAGATTGATCATTATTATTATTAAATTATGGAATAAGAGGATACACTTTATTTTATATAATTTAATGTAGTCATATATTCGAATGACTTAATTAATCCTAGTTAATTGTAATAGACTTTAAAAAGATATATGAATAATTAATATGATAGAAATAATGCCATTGCTAAATTTTTACTAATTTTAGGGTTCATATAATTATATATATATAAGTAATATCAATTTATTTCATTTTCTGAATCTATTTAATTTTCTAAATCTATATCCAAAAGTAATAAGAGTAGTTATGATAATTATTGAATCAAAAAGATGCTATTTGATACTTCATTACTTTATTTTGGTTATTTAAAAGTGTAAGTTTTCTATTTAGCCAACTAACTTTTTTTCCAAATTCGTATGACTTTTGTAAAATCAGCTCTGCATTAAGGACATGTAAGATTCTGTTTTGACCATTATTTAATACATTAGAAACAAAATACATGTTGACAATTTTAAACAATTCCCTTTTTATAAGTAAAATATATTGTTACTTAATCAACTATAGAGGAATAGCAAATACTACAATTTAATTCTGGATTTTATAAAATATTTATTACATCATCTTATTCTTTAATTTCCTACTTTCTTATATTTTTTTGGGTTCTTGATGAAGTCTCTTAAGATATTAAATTTTCATTTATTTTTTATTTACCCATATTTCTATTAATTTATTAATAAATATTTTTTTTTAAAAAAATAATAATTATATCAAGTTCTTTAAATGAAAAATATTAGAATTATATGATAAATAATAGAAATAATGTATTTAAATATTATCATTACTATAATGAAGCAAATTTATCAAGTAATTAAGTCATTCCATGTTCAATTGCAAGATTCATCATGTCAGCTATTTTGTACTTGGATGAAATCAATTTATCTTCACATTATTTTAATTATGATTCTAATTCTTTGACCCTCTATTTAAATTAATATTAACTATTTATTAAGTCATCTAATTATTTCTTTTAATTTGAATTAATCATCTTNAATAACCAGATCTTCCAGAATAACCAGAACCCAATTTCCCAGCTGAAGTCCCTTAATAACAATAAGATTGATCATTATTATTATTAAATTATGGAATAAGAGGATACACTTTATTTTATATAATTTAATGTAGTCATATATTCGAATGACTTAATTAATCCTAGTTAATTGTAATAGACTTTAAAAAGATATATGAATAATTAATATGATAGAAATAATGCCATTGCTAAATTTTTACTAATTTTAGGGTTCATATAATTATATATATATAAGTAATATCAATTTATTTCATTTTCTGAATCTATTTAATTTTCTAAATCTATATCCAAAAGTAATAAGAGTAGTTATGATAATTATTGAATCAAAAAGATGCTATTTGATACTTCATTACTTTATTTTGGTTATTTAAAAGTGTAAGTTTTCTATTTAGCCAACTAACTTTTTTTCCAAATTCGTATGACTTTTGTAAAATCAGCTCTGCATTAAGGACATGTAAGATTCTGTTTTGACCATTATTTAATACATTAGAAACAAAATACATGTTGACAATTTTAAACAATTCCCTTTTTATAAGTAAAATATATTGTTACTTAATCAACTATAGAGGAATAGCAAATACTACAATTTAATTCTGGATTTTATAAAATATTTATTACATCATCTTATTCTTTAATTTCCTACTTTCTTATATTTTTTTGGGTTCTTGATGAAGTCTCTTAAGATATTAAATTTTCATTTATTTTTTATTTACCCATATTTCTATTAATTTATTAATAAATATTTTTTTTTAAAAAAATAATAATTATATCAAGTTCTTTAAATGAAAAATATTAGAATTATATGATAAATAATAGAAATAATGTATTTAAATATTATCATTACTATAATGAAGCAAATTTATCAAGTAATTAAGTCATTCCATGTTCAATTGCAAGATTCATCATGTCAGCTATTTTGTACTTGGATGAAATCAATTTATCTTCACATTATTTTAATTATGATTCTAATTCTTTGACCCTCTATTTAAATTAATATTAACTATTTATTAAGTCATCTAATTATTTCTTTTAATTTGAATTAATCATCTTAGTTTATAATATAAAATTAAACTTTTTAAGTAAGTTCTTCTTCCTATATTTAATTTAATTTTCCCTAGAGTTCTTTTAATTCATCCAATTTCTCCTTCAATTTAACATTTTCTAAACCAGCATTACCTTATTCTACGATTAACAATAGATATTACTTTATTTTATGTGTTATTCATATTATTAAATTTTTTACATTAAAAATGTTTCTTTTTCTTTAAAATTTTATTCAAGTTCTTACTTTTAATGTAAAACTTATTTGTATTTTTCTTTGTAATCTTTTTCTTCATCTCCAAGAAAATTAACAATTTAATTTGTTTTACAATTATTTAATTCTTCCTACAATTTATTAATATCATCAACCTTAATTAATTATCTAAAATTACTTATTCATTATATCTTTATGTTTTATAATCCAATTATTTTTGTAAAACTTTATTTTAAGCTTCTATTTTTTTTAATTATGTTTATAACTATTTTAATTAAATAGTAGATGATTATTATTAATCAATATTCTTATCTTATTGTTCCAATTATTATTATAAATTTAAAATTTATTCTTTAGATTCCTATTATAAACTTTAATATTCTTGTTATTATTTTTAAAGAGCTACATTCATTTCATTAATTCTTTATCTAAGATTTTATATTTCCATTTACAAAACCTTATCATTTGTTGTTGAATCTCTTTAGAATTAAACTGTTTATACTATATTTTATTAAGGTTTTTATTAGCTTTTTAATTACTATAATTCTAATGTTAATTAAGTATTGATAGATAGTGCTTATTCTTTTTAATGTTAAGCCTTTCTTAATTACTCTTATAATATGCTTATTTATTAAAGAGTTTATTTTTATTCAGGATTCTCTACTGGCTTTGAAAATAACAATTCCTCTTTTTCTTTTTCATTTTTTGCATTTCTGGCCTTTAATTGCTCTATTTTTTAATTACTTCTTTCTAACTCTCCTTATATTATTTAATATTTTTCATTCATTTTAGTTAATTCATTTTACAATTAATCAAATTTTTACCTATTTTTTTTTAATTCATTGTCTGTCTAAATGAATAATAATAAAAGAATATTACTTATGATGTATCCCTTTATATCATTTCCTTTTCCTTTAATAATTTTTAATATTATTCTTAAAGTTTCAAATGATCTATCCTCAAAATCTCAAATTCAGATTCAATCTAATTTTAATAATAATTAAATACCTTCTTACAATTTTGGCATTCTTGATCAGCAAATAAACTATTTATTTTAGCCTAACTTGACATTATTAGATATTTAATAATGTTTATATTTTATTTTTAATATATATCACTATTACACTTAAATAGATTTAATAATATATAGAATAAAATGATTGTTATATTTAGAATAAAACAAATAATCTATTTTGAAATTGATAAAAATACTTATAATATTAAATAGATTTAAATATATAATTTCTATTTATTTAATGATAATATAAATGTGTAAATTATATATATATATCTTAATATATAAATACTAATATAATGACATTATCACATATAAATAAATAATAATTCATTCTACTATTTCTTAATTTTAAGCATGTTAATTCATTAAATATAATGCATATTATGCTATTATTTTTTATAATTCCTCTTTAATTTCTTAAGTTTACATTTATTAATAAGCTTCTTTCCAATAATTTAACTTTACATTAATTGTTAAGAATGAATTCCAAGAATTCTCTTATGCTATTCTATTGATTGAATTATTCATTTCAATAATACTATGTACTTTTATTTCATATTTATCAACATTAGTTTATAAATTGAATTTATACAATTTATCATACAAAGGTCTAATTTATTTTTTTTGTTCTATTTATTTTTTTTAATTTTAAGAAGAATATCTCAAATACTTCTATGAAATTTCTACCTATTAATTCAATTTAGTTGGAAATGATTCACTTCTATTTGATTTAATCTTATGATCAAATAAAGATTTTGTTCCATTAGAACCTGCTTAAGTTGAATTATTTTATTCATCTTTTTACATTAATGAAACCTATTTAGAAAGTACTAATTATTATGATTCATCTATTTTTGTTTCAATTTATTATTCATATTCTTTTGGTGATAATTTTTATGACTTTTTATCCAATAATTTCTTCTTCTTTTTCTCTATAGATTACCCTCTTTCTTCATTAGATTTTTCTATTTATTATTATTATTATTATTATGTTTTCTTCTTCTTTCCTGAATGCTAAACAACTTCTTTCTTTTAACCCTTCATTTTATTATTCATTGCATTAACTGGTGGTACTTGATTTAATTAAATTTTCTCTTATGGCTAAGGAGATGATAATTGTGAATCAGTTGTTCCCCAAGTCTTTTTTTTATTCTTTATCAATTTTCTTATACCTTCTCCCCATAGAGCTGATGCCTAAAAAAATACTGAAAGAAATCTGAATCATTATAAAATTGGAATACCTATTTATGTTAACCAATTATCTGATAACTGCTTCAAACAATTAAATCATATCCTTTTATTTTCTTACAGAATCTACATATATATCTGACACAGCCTAAGTTAGATTACTGTATTCCGAATTTAATATTAGGTAATCATTAATTATCATAAGGTCTAAGATATGAAGGAACACTATAACTATAGTTCCAACACATTTTTGTAACATGAATTTTTTGTTAATTACATTCAAGATTTCAGTATGAAGTAAATTAATCACCAAGCCAACCAAATATAAAGTAATTGAGGCTCTTATAAACTAAAAATTAGTTCAAACTTACTTACTTCAGGATAAAAACTACCAAAGTTATGATTATAAAGCGAAGATGAGATTTATTAAGCTTATTGTAATTATTTTTGAGAAGTAAGACCATATTGTTAAAGTGAATTTTGATTTTTTGCTTTTTAATCACCTCTAAGTGATGCAAACAGTAAAATATTAATTCCAATCTAGAAAGTCTTTATTGTCACTACTCTGAGTTCTTCCAAACGCAGACGCAATGTTAAATAGAGGTTCTTGACTTTAGAACTCATAAGTATTAAATAATTACGTTTTTCTAAATTTCTTAATATAACATTATTCTTATCAATACGATTACTTCACAATGCAAGCAATAAACTGTCATCGTAAAATTCATTTCTATAACAATTTTTATCTATTCACATTAAATATAGAGATTTCAAAGAGAATGTAAAAATAGAAAATAAACATATACATATAGTTATATTCATAATTAATATCAATAATTATATATGTAATTTATTTTATTCTAAAATTATCAAATGCTTACCCATAAGATTCTTATATCATTCATAATTTTCTATATATATGATACTATAATTATTTTGTTTTTAAAAAGAATTATATTGATATTTTATTATGTCTTTAAATAAATAACTCCATTACTAATTCATAAATATAATAATTATTTTGATTATAATTATTTTATATCAATAATCCATTGAGAATTTTATAAATTTATAAACATTATATATATTTTCATCATTTTCAATTGAATTAACTTCTTTATTTAGTTCTTTTAATTACATTATCATCAATATAAATCACCTATTTAATTTTAAATGGATTTCTAGAGATAAAGAAGAAATTTATGATAAAAACAAGATTTGTATAATATTTAAACTAATTCTTAAATAAAATGTAGTGATTCATGTTCACATAGTTTATTGATTATGAATTAATATGTTTATTATGTATATATAAGTTTCTATATAATTCATTGCTTAGATTTCCTGTTTATAAGTTTTTTTATTAAAATTTGATTATAAATACCTGGTGTTGAAAAATGTATTTTTTAATATTTTTTTTAAGATTTTAGTATACAAATGAATACTCATACAATTACTTATCCTAAACCTTTAGTTCGCATATTGCAACATTCAAGAGCAGATACCTCTAGTGTTTCATCAAATCAATCTTACGAATCTCATTTTACAGATATCGAAAGACCTTAAAATCCAATGATAAAGAATTTCGTAGACAATCAAGAGGATGATCTCGAAAGCTTCTTTGATCAACTAGAATGAACAATCTTTTCTTATGATTTGTCTTATTTTGTGTAATATATTAACTGAATAAATATTTAATTACACTATAAATGTATTTGTTCTTAAAGAAGCATTTAGATGTTTTAATTGTATAATATTCTTTGTTTATGTTAACATATATTTGAATTTAAAGCTGAAAGAATATCAAATTATTTAATGATTTAAATGTAATATTAAAAACCATATTGTTTAGACAAGCGAGAAAAATAATTGTATAATTGCATAATTAAGATCTTATGATCTTTTAAATTTTTTTAGGAATTTCTTCTCATTATAATCTCTAAAATATATAATAGATGATATTTATTATTTAATGGCAACAAAAAGCTATTTTAATATTACAACCAGCGAAATTGAATTGTTCCCAAGACAATATAATCACACTTATAGTAAATAAACATACTTGAATACTCTGCAAAACTCTTTTAAAATTTTTAAAGAGTAAAAGTTTTCATATTTCATAAACATTGATCAATTATTTATCAATTTTAAAAAGTCTGAATCCCTAAAAGTCTAAAAACAATTGTTAAATAGAAGAAAAGGTTTATAAATTTGCTAATAAATTACAATATCAATTTAGCCAGTATTACAATTGAATAATAATAATGGAGATTACTTTAATGAATTTTGAAAAGAGAGGTGCATTTATGAAGGGAAAACTTTATAAAAACATAAATAATGATAATTTAATCGAGAAACACTATTAAGATTAATCAATTGTCCACTTAAGAATGAAAAAAGAATTTTAATAATAAAATTGATAATGTTAAATCTTTTATAATAAGAAAGTGAGTATAAGAGAAGATTAAGAATTTTGGTTCAATTTTTAAATAAGTTTCATGAAAGATAACAATGATTTATCATTAAAAATCAGGAAAATCATCGTCTGCTAATGGATCTATTAATCTTGCACTTTATCCTGTTAAGATATGTTTAATAACACTTTCATTTTCAGCTATTTTTCTTTCATATTCTTTTCTAAAATCAGGATAATGGTATAGTAGTATTTCCTCATATACCATGTCTATTAATTATAGATATAAAATACCTTTTAATTATTCTGTTGTTAATTCATACAATTCAAATTCAAATTCTTTGTCACTCACTGGTTGACGAAATGGCTCATCTTCAGGAGAATGAAGATCCTCAAAATATGGATGAGCCAATGCTTCATCAGCTGTAATTCTTTTATTAAAATCAATTTCTAAAAGCCTTTCTAATAAATCATATCCATGAGGAGAAATTCCTTTGATGATTTTGTCCAGTGGAACTTTCTAAAATTATCCTAAATGAACCACAGCTTCTAACATCTTTTGTTAGAAGAAAGGATCTTTATAATTTTTAATTTCTTATTTATTAGGAGTACCAATAGTTTCAAAGATTAATTTTAATTAAGATTCTGCAGATGCTCCTCTCCATAATGCTTTTCCACGTACAATTTCAGCAAAAATACAACCTACTGACCACATATCTACAGCTTTTGTATATTATTTCAATCCTAGAAGCAATTCAGGAGCTCTATAATATCTAGTTTCAACATAATCAGTCATCACATTTGGATTTTAACCATTTAATCCTTGACTAAGTAATGCACGACTTAAACCAAAATCACAGACTTTTAACATACAATCTTCTTTATTTAAGAGTATATTCCTTGGCTTTAAATCTCTATGTAAAATGTTGGCAGAATGCATATATTTAATTCCTCTTAAGATTTAATATAGAAATAATTTATAATGATCTTCTGTTAATTTAGCATGTTCTCTTTCTAATACTTTACGTAAATCAGTATCCAATAATTCTGTAACCAAATAACTAAAATTATTTCATTACTTTACATGTCATTCATTGATACTCTTGATTTGGGCAAAGCTATGGTAATTAAATTAACAATCTAGGAGATATGTTAAAGAATACATTTTCATGTTTAAGATTCCTCAATATTTTCAATTCTCTTAATGTACGTTTAGCATAAAAACGGTGTTAAAAAGTCTTCTCGATTTTCTTAATTGCCACTTTTTTAGGTCCTTCAGGAGGAGCCTTTAAATCATCTGCCTGTAAGACCACTCCATAGGCTCCACTTCCTAATTGATTTGTGGGATTATATCTTTTGTCCAATATGAAATTATGATCCCCTACTTTAAACACATTAGCGGTGTAATTTTTTTGTGTATACTATGCATATTATTCCTTTATGTCCATATAATTATTACTTATAATTAAAATTATATTAATGAATACTAAATTTAAAATTTGCAATCCTATATTAATAAATGAAGAGAACTATCAATTTTATATTATATTAAATCATTATTATAACTAAAAATGAGATTTTTGATAAGTCTATCTGCAGATTGGACAATTGTTAATCTAAGACATTGAATATCTTTCAAAAGAATTCAAACAATTAGCATGAAACATATGTGAACAACTAAGTAAAAACACTTTAGCATTTACCATACTTTATAAACAAATTGTACAATCTACTTCTTTCCTTTCTAAAGCCAATTTTTTTATTCTAATCCAATCCACTTTTATTATTGGTTATAATTTAGCCATCTATTCATTATTATGTTTAATTTAGTATATCTTATTTAAATTGTTTTCCATTTGCTCTTATTTTATTTAAATATTTTCACCCAATTGATTTATTGCTTATTATGCTTAATTACCCTATTATTAAATTGTCTTTGACATTCTAGTTGAAATCCTTGATAATTTATAAAAAAGTAATTTCCTTTTCAATAAGCTATTTTCAGGTCTATATTACATTTTTATCATCCTCTCATAAAACTATTTTCTACATCTAAATTATCTGAATAATGCTTATATTTTAATTATTGATTAGATTGTATATTATTTATTAGCAACCATAAATTGCCTCTTTTCATAATCCTACCTTCTACATATAGGACATTATTTTGTTTATGAGACTCTCTCAAAACTTTCTAAACAGGTTTAATGATAGATATGACTACAACTCAAAATTACATGTTATTGCATTCTGAATTTCTCTAAACAAATAGGACATACACAATTTTAAATATCTTCCCTTTTTAAAGATTGTTCCTCAATCTAAGCCCATTCTTCTTAATTTAAAGGTTTTGGAGGTGATGGTACTAATCCTAATTTTTATGCTAAAGATAATTATTTAGGATTTATTTTAGGTAACTTAAAGAGTTATCTACTTAAATGATCTTGTAGTGCTGCAGCATTAATACAGAATTTATCCTATTGTCTATCCTAATTACTCTTTTGTTTTTTAAACTATTTCATATCAATAATTTTTATATTATAGTTTCAGTTATCAATTGCATATACTTTTTCTCTACTTCTAGTTTTTCTTTCTTTGTACATTTCTCTTATACCACTAGGAGTATAATTTATATTTTGAATTCTTTAAAGAGGAGGTCTCTAAAAACATCTCAATATTATAAAGATTGTACTAAAACAAACTAAGATTCCTGCCATAAAGTATTCTATCATATAATAATATATTTTATATCTAATACCTATTATATTAATAAAATATATAATTTTTATTTATAAAGACATCAAATTTAAATCATTACTTCTTAGAATAATTTCTTATGTATCTTATTTATAGTATTATTAATATGAATGCTTCCTCTTTTATTTACTATTCTTAAATATTTCTTTTTATTTTAAACACTAAAATTTATTATTTTCAACTCTTTGTCTAATCTTTTCTGTTTAATTAGAAATTGGACTATTTATTTTGTCATTAATCTAAACTATATCTACATTAAACTATGCTATTATAATAATATTCAAATGCTTTATCTCAATAGCTGAATTTTATATTATATTATTCTTCTCAATTAAATCACTTTTTATGATTAAAGTCTTATTATTTACATTTTCTATTATCATTGATCATACCTTTTCCCAATGAATGCTTATTGCATTTTCAGATCTACTTTATTTATTGACCCATGAATTATCATGCTTATGTTAAATAGATATCATTCTAATTAATTTCGTTTAAAAACTTTTATTACAATAGATGTATTCCAAAAATTACTATATTCCTAGTTTTCTTAATCATAAATTATTATTCTCAAGATTGATTTTTATAAGTTATATAAAATTATTTTATTTCATATTTATTTATTTATATAAATTAAATAAATTTAAACAATATGTAATTACTTAATTAAAATATAATGTATTCTAACCTCATATGAGATTCAGTCTTATCTATTTTTAAATCTAATTTATTCTTAATATATATAATTATATGATTAGAAATTATAAATTGATACAGAATTTTACTAATTTTACATAAATAAACCCTAAATATCACTTAGTTTATAAAGGAGATTCTTCTTTTTTTCCCTCTTTATAAAAATGATTGAAAGTTATAAAAATAATTTAAGATTTTTAGCTAAAAACTTAACAGATATTTCAGTTTTCTTAAAATACAAAATATATTTACTTAAAAACAAAATTACTTTAAAATCTTTACCCTTTCTGCTCTCAATTTACTAATAATTCGTTTTATATAATAGAAGGAATTCTTGATTAAATAAAGTTTATGCTGTACTCTATCATTTGAGAGCAGTTTTGGAAAATTATCATAGAAAACAAATTATCTTCCAAAAAAATATGATATTCATTAAAAAGAAAAAAATTTTAGAAATTTATTTTTTTGATTCTTTTTAAGAGGATAAAATAAAAAGAGAATAATTTTTCTGAAATTTATTATGATTTCAATTTTGAAAAATATAAAATTTAGTTTTAACAATTATATTTTAGATTTAAAATATATATAATAAGTTATATTTTTTATTTTAAAGAAAAGAACCTTAGTAATTAGTGATTATTTTTGAATATCTTTTTTTTACAGTAATTCCAACAAAAGTATATAGAATTTACATAAAATGTATATCATAATTCCATTTAATCAAAATTAAATTGTATTAATTGAAATTTTATTCCTCAGATACAGAATACTTTCAAATTATTATGAAATTATAATATAAAAAGAATTAATTTTCATATAATTAATGTTCAAGAATGTGATTATGTTCTATCATAAATTTTCATTTGGATATGAAGTTTAACATCTTTTAAAAATTGTATTTTGAAATGTTATCATCCTCAATATTTAAAATTGATTATTTAGTATTAAAATATTCTTATTTTTACATTAAATAAATTAAAAGAAATAATTATTATGATTTCTTAAATAAGTAATTAATAATTGAATATTTAGATATTATTAATAACTAAATAAGTTGTTTTGAATGGACTATTAATAAAAAGCAATCCATGTGGACTTTTAAATATAAATATCAGATTGGTTAATGTAATCACAGAACATACAGGCTTACTCACGGGTTCGTATGTGAGTAACAACAGTATGTTCTAAGGCCGATAACGAATGTTTTCATCATACATATAGTAAATGAATTTTGTATATTGGTAAGAAAAAATAAATATTTTTTAATTATGGGTTCTTAATATTCATATCAGTTATATTTAGTTTTAACTCAACAAATGTGAAATACCTAATATTCAGTTATTAATTATTTTATTAATGGGAAATAATTGTGCAGGATAATGTACTGGATGCTATAAAAGAGATATAGAAATTACCGTAATGATATGTTTGAATTTTAGAAAAGTGAGTAGCAACCAATTTTATCAGATAAACAAATAGAATCCTCTTATAAACAGAGTTCAAAAAATAATGTTTAATAGAATACATTATAGATGGGAAATAAGGGTTTATCATCAAAACTAATCACGAAAAGCTTTTTTGATATGGTTGAAGATAAATAAAAAAAGGTAAAAGCCATAGTTACAATATAATCTCACTGGAGAGGATATAAAGTTAGGAAAGAAACTTATTCTATGAGAAAGAGTTAAACCAATTTAACTAGTCAAGTAAGTAAATCAACAGGTAGTTACTTTGATAGATTAGAAAATGAGTCAAAATCACAAAAGTATTAAAGTGTTGATTCTATAGATTGATTAAATTATATAATGGATAGTGGTTAGGTAATGAGAGACATGGATATGGGATTTAAAAATGGCCTGATGGAGCTAATTATGAAGGGGAGTGGCAACATAATAAAGCTAATGGGAAGGGAATATTTCATCATGCAGATAAAATAGAATATGATGGGTATTGGAGGAATAATAAAGCATGTGGATATGGAATATTGAAATCCCCTAATGAACCTTATTATGAAGGAGAATGGGAAGATGATTATTAACATGGATTTGGTAAAGAGAAATGGGCTGATGGATCATGTTATGAAGGTTAATATGTAAAAGGTAATAAATGTGGTAAGGGTAAATATATATGGAGTGATAAAAGTTATTATGAGGGATAATGGTTGAATAATAAAATACATGGATATGGTGTTTATCATTGGATTGATGGGAAAGGGTATGTTGGAGAATGGAAGAATGGTATGATGAATGGATAAGGAGAATACAATTGGATTGACGGTCGTAAATATACTGGAAATTATTTGAATGACTAAAAGCATGGATATGGAGTATATCGTTGGGTTGATGGTAAGGAATACAGAGGAGAATGGAAATTTGGATAATAACATGGAGAGGGTACTTACATTACAGTTGATGGAAAGACTAGAAAGGGAATATGGTAGGATGGTAAACTAGTTAAATGGATTATTTGATAATATATTTTAATTAATTTTAACGATTATAAACACATGAAAAATGATGAAAACATGCCCTAAAATATCAGTCATGATTTAATTATTAAAAAGTGGAGAGATAAAGAAAATTAATCATTCAATCGCGATTCAACTAAATATAGTTCTATTAATTCTGTTATTGAAAAATCATAGTCATTCTAAAATCTTAAATTATCAAATGGATAATATTGGGGATAATTGAAAATGAATAAACCTAATGGAATTGGATCATGTCATTTTAATAATGGGAGTTTTTATTATGGAGAATGGAAAAATAATGTTATTCATGGATTTGGAGTCTACTACTTTAATGTTGGAGGTTATATTAAAGGAGAATTTAAGGAGGGATATGCTGATGGTAATTGTGAGTTGTCATATCAAAATGGATAAGTCTATTAAGGACATTTTAAAGAAGGCAAATAATGTGGGATTGGTATTAAAATTGGTAGAAGAGGAAAAGAAGTTGTCTAATATAAGGATGGTATACGAGTTTGTTTGAATGAAGAACCTTAATTAATAGAGGATATTTAAATAATGTTGAAGAATCATTTACCATAAATTTATATTCATAACGATAGAATTGTTTATGGATTGCAATGTGATTTAACAGGTTTGGGTATAATTTAGTATAATAATGGAAGAGTAGATATGGGATAGTTTCAAAATGGATCGCTTAATGGGAGAGGTAAAATAATATTCAAGAGTGGAGATATATATGATGGTTTATTGAAAAATGGAATATTTTAAGGTTAAGGTAATTATTAATTATTAAACTTAAGGTTTTTATTTAAATTACAATTCAAAATAATTGACAGAAGGACAATTTGAAAGAAATTAAATTCTAACAATTCAAAAATAATCCCATCAGTATCCTCCATACACAAATGATGAAATCTCAATTGTTGATTAACGAATTGTCATAAAGAATATCCATTTAAAAAGTAGAATTATGATGGCAAACAGTTAATAGTATTCTTCTGAAAAGAAACCAAATAAGGTTAATAAGATATAAAATTTAATTTAACATATGCTTTACCCAATAAAAAAAACATAAAAAAGTGAAAGTGGGTAACATGAAGAAGTTATAGATAATCTTCTGTCTCGTGTTCAATCACCATAATAAAGAAAGAATCTAGAATAAATAATTAGTTAAGTAACATCTCCTTAAAGAATTAGATGATAATTTATATAGTAAAGATAAACAAATATCTATATAAATAATAATATATGAAATATATATTTTTTCACTTATTAAATGTAACAATCAAAATTAAATAAATCATCCTTGTAACAACAATCAATAAAGGTTTATGTAAGAGTAAGACCTTTATTGAAAAAAGAGTAAGGATAAGAGTGCATTATAAAGACTGGTCAAGTAGCTATTTGTTCCTAAAAATTAGCAAAAATATGTAGTGATTGAACAATCTACACATATACTAAAGTAGGAATATGATTAAGTGTTTGATGAGAAAGTATCTTAAGCAGAAATATTTAAATTTATATCTCCAACTATTCATAAGGCATTGCAAGGATACAATACAACGATTATGGCATATGGTTAAACAGGCAGTGGTATTTCTGTAGTTCTTAATTAGGTAAAACGCATACAATGTTTGGGAGTGACTGGGAGTATTCACTTAATATAAGTTTGGGACATTAATCGACATTTATTGATGATTTATAAACAGATTAGAATCATGCAGGCATGATACCTCGAACTATTTATACTCTATTTAATAATTTATAATAGGGTTATTATGTTTACTGTTCATTCTTGTAAATCTACAATGAAAAAATTTATGATTTATTGTAAGATCATAAAATACCTCAAGCTTTATAAATTCATGAATCAAAAACAGAAGGAATTTATGTTGGTAAATATAATCCAAGATATTAGAATAATTGACTGAATATGCAGTGAATAATTTATATGATTGTTTAACATTGATGAAGAGAGGAGAGAAGAATAGAATGATTAGACAAACAACAATGAATTTAAAATCAAGTAGAAGTCACACTATATTTCAATTATTAATTGAAACAAGTAAAGCTGATTCAGGTGGATAATTATTGAGATCCAAAATCAATTTATGTGATTTAGCTGGATCAGAAAAGATCAATAAATAAGACTCAATGACCAATGCTCATTTAATTGAATTAAAGAGCATTAATTAATCTCTTACTACTTTGGGGAAAGTAATACAAAATTTATCTTAAAATAATAAAAATATTAACAAATTGCCTATTCCATATAGAGAATCAAAAATTACTAGATTATTATAAGATAGTCTTGGTGGTAATACATTAACTAATATATTTGTCAATGTTGCTCCAAATATATATAATATTGATGAGACAGCAAATTCATTGAAATTTGCTTAAAGAGCTCGAAATATTACTTAAATAGTATAAGCAAATTAGATTAATGCAACAGATCAGGAATTAGTTAATAAATTATTAAAGGAGGTAGATAATATATATAAATATAGATTGACTATTTAAAATAATTACTTAATATGAAGAGAAAAGGATTGAATAGTAATGATATGCATTTTAAATTAATGAAAATTTAAGAGGAAAATGAGAGATTGAGATAAGCAAATTTATCAGTTAATGAAGTGGAAAAATTGATGTAAGAGAATAGAAAAATGAGAGAGGAATTATAAAAATTGTAATCTTAATCTCATGAAAATTCAGAAAGTTCTCATTTGATGAAGCATGGATCTGAAGAAGGATTTTCAGGATCAGAAGTTGATAAATAATAATACAATACTTATTAATAGACAAAGCTCTCGAATAATGGTCTATTAATAGTAAGCAATCCAAGTATGTAAAAGACGGAAGTGACAATTCGTTATAAGGATAGAGGAAATAAAATGCAAACTAAATTGGGATATGTTGAAGCTAGTGATTAAATGTTATAAAGGGAAAAGAGATTAATGAGTGAGAGAAAGAGGGTAATCGAGAGATTAGAATTGTTAGAATAATTATAATTTAGAAATAGTTTAAATTCATCTTTACCAATAAATGGAAAAATTCCTAAATCATCTAAGAAAAACTCATTTAATTTATTAAATAAAACTGTAGAAGAAGAAAGAACTAGTTTACCAAAATTAAAACTTGCAGAAAGAAAACTAATTAAATGATTAAAATAATTATGAATAAATAAACTAAATTAATATAAATAAAAAGTTACTGAGTAAATCAATTACTTAGACTTATATATTTTGTAAATCATTACAAGAAGTTAAAGCTCCTATAGAATCTTTGGTCAATTATGAGAATCCTATTGAAGTTAGCAATCTCAATGATGCTAAAGGACTTTAAGGAAAAAAGAAGGCTTATTTATTTCCTTAGAATCAAAACCAAATACAGAAGTAAATTGTGTTCGAAAAATTAAGGATATTTTGAATACTATTTTGCCACCCATTGAATGGGATCATAAAGGAAAGCATTATATATAATATGTATCACATGTGGCAGCTACAAGAGAAGATGTTGGCAATTTACAAAAACTTTTGGATGGACGATTGTTAGCAAGATAAGCAAAGTATTTTTAATTGAAAATTAATTATTCTAGAGAAATTAGTATTTGTCCAATAAGAGAAGAATTGTTGAGTCAATGTTTTGATGAAATTATTAGATAAGTTATAATTGATTGTCCAGAGAGAGGTTGTTTTAATTTATTATAACTTAGGTTTACTGTTGATGAGAGTGAGGGATGAACTCAAGATGACTATTGCAGCATATTAAACCTTATACACTAAATTAATAAATTTGCCATATTTTATAATTATTTAAATATCAAATTAAAAAAAGATAAACTAATTGTGCAATTCTTCAGTTACTTTTGGAATGAGAAGATAATTATAATCGGAAATTGGGAAGAATGAATTAGAAGATAAAATAGTATAGTTGGAATAGAGGAAATAGAAATTAAAAGAGAAATTATTAAATAAATTTATTTAGAGAATCGATCTACTAAATAAGAAGGATTCATTAGATAAAAAAATAAAAAAAAGGAATTAAATTATAGAATAAAAAAGAAAAGAGGAAATTGAATTTATTAAATATTAAGGATAAATCATTTCTTAAAATTTTTTAGCCAGAATTGAGATGAGTGATGTTTCAAAAAAAATATTTATATTATTTTTAATTTGTAAATGAGTTAACCTATACGTCAAAATACCACTAATGCCGCTAATGCCACTAATGCCACTAATGCCACTAATACCACTAATGCCACTAATGCCACTAATGCCACTAATGCCACTAATGCCACTAATACCACTAATGCCACTAATGCCACTAATGCCACTAATGCCACTAATGCCACTAATGCCACTAATGCCACTNAAGAACTAGTTTACCAAAATTAAAACTTGCAGAAAGAAAACTAATTAAATGATTAAAATAATTATGAATAAATAAACTAAATTAATATAAATAAAAAGTTACTGAGTAAATCAATTACTTAGACTTATATATTTTGTAAATCATTACAAGAAGTTAAAGCTCCTATAGAATCTTTGGTCAATTATGAGAATCCTATTGAAGTTAGCAATCTCAATGATGCTAAAGGACTTTAAGGAAAAAAGAAGGCTTATTTATTTCCTTAGAATCAAAACCAAATACAGAAGTAAATTGTGTTCGAAAAATTAAGGATATTTTGAATACTATTTTGCCACCCATTGAATGGGATCATAAAGGAAAGCATTATATATAATATGTATCACATGTGGCAGCTACAAGAGAAGATGTTGGCAATTTACAAAAACTTTTGGATGGACGATTGTTAGCAAGATAAGCAAAGTATTTTTAATTGAAAATTAATTATTCTAGAGAAATTAGTATTTGTCCAATAAGAGAAGAATTGTTGAGTCAATGTTTTGATGAAATTATTAGATAAGTTATAATTGATTGTCCAGAGAGAGGTTGTTTTAATTTATTATAACTTAGGTTTACTGTTGATGAGAGTGAGGGATGAACTCAAGATGACTATTGCAGCATATTAAACCTTATACACTAAATTAATAAATTTGCCATATTTTATAATTATTTAAATATCAAATTAAAAAAAGATAAACTAATTGTGCAATTCTTCAGTTACTTTTGGAATGAGAAGATAATTATAATCGGAAATTGGGAAGAATGAATTAGAAGATAAAATAGTATAGTTGGAATAGAGGAAATAGAAATTAAAAGAGAAATTATTAAATAAATTTATTTAGAGAATCGATCTACTAAATAAGAAGGATTCATTAGATAAAAAAATAAAAAAAAGGAATTAAATTATAGAATAAAAAAGAAAAGAGGAAATTGAATTTATTAAATATTAAGGATAAATCATTTCTTAAAATTTTTTAGCCAGAATTGAGATGAGTGATGTTTCAAAAAAAATATTTATATTATTTTTAATTTGTAAATGAGTTAACCTATACGTCAAAATACCACTAATGCCGCTAATGCCACTAATGCCACTAATGCCACTAATACCACTAATGCCACTAATGCCACTAATGCCACTAATGCCACTAATGCCACTAATACCACTAATGCCACTAATGCCACTAATGCCACTAATGCCACTAATGCCACTAATGCCACTAATGCCACTAATGCCACTAATGCCACTAATGCCACTAATGCCACTAATGCCACTAATGCCACTAATGCCACTAATGCCACTAATGCCACTAATGCCACTAATGCCACTAATGCCACTAATGCCACTAATGCCACTAATGCCACTAATGCCACTAATGCCACTAATGCCACTAATGCCACTAATGCCACTAATGCCACTAATGCCACTAATGCCACTAATGCCACTAATGCCACTAATGCCACTAATGCCACTAATGCCACTAATGCCACTAATGCCACTAATGCCACTAATGCCACTAATGCCACTAATGCCACTAATGCCACTAATGCCACTAATGCCACTAATGCCACTAATGCCACTAATGCCACTAATGCCACTAATGCCACTAATGCCACTAATGCCACTAATGCCACTAATGCCACTAATGCCACTAATGCCACTAATGCCACTAATGCCACTAATGCCACTAATGCCACTAATGCCACTAATGCCACTAATGCCACTAATGCCACTAATGCCACTAATGCCACTAATGCCACTAATGCCACTAATGCCACTAATGCCACTAATGCCACTAATGCCACTAATGCCACTAATGCCACTAATGCCACTAATGCCACTAATGCCACTAATGCCACTAATGCCACTAATGCCACTAATGCCACTAATGCCACTAATGCCACTAATGCCACTAATGCCACTTATGCCACTTATGCCACTTATGCCACTAATTCCACTAATTCCACTAATGCCACTAATGCCACTAATTCCTCTCAAGGAAAATGCACCACTGACTAATTAGTAGATCTTCGTAATAGCCTTAATTGGAAAGTATTTATGGAAGAACATTCTTTTAATATTTATAACCAATATCAGTATGATGGAGTAATGGAATAAATTATAATTAGGATATAGATATGCAAGAGCTATATCAATTTGATCTAGCAGAAGAACAAATTGCTGATACTTAATGAATTTGCAATTATTATTCCGTCAGAATTGAATTATCATAAAAATAAATATATATCCACATAATCAGAAAGAGAGAATATCATCTCTAATATTAGTGAAAATCTTATTATTGGATGATTAAAAAATATAAATTTATATATTCATTTGTTTGAATTATTATTAAATTACAACAATGTATGTATGAATATTTATTATTTAGTAGATTTATATAGTATTTTGAATTGTATTTTTTATAATTTTATGGAATCTGTTCTCTTTAATCTCAAATATTTATGTAAGTTATCATCTGCATTTTGATGAAGAATTATTTATTGAATGTTTATCATAATAATATTAAATTAATATATGTTTAATTATAATTCAGAAGGAAATGATAGAAAATAATATAGTTTAATTAAAATATACTCATGTTAAGTGCGAAGCTTGATTTGTTTGATGAATAATATTTATTAATATTAATTTGCATCATTTAATTATAGATTATTACCTCATAAATCATAAAGGCTTTCATCTTAATAATAAATTTTATTAACAGGATGATTATTGCAGAATCGGGTTAATTGTATTAATCCATTAAATTACTTGGTTCTGGTTCCTTCGGATCTGTTTATTTGGTCAAGGAACTAAATAGTAAATAAGAATATGCATGCAAAATTGTACATATGATGATTTCTATATATTTAGATATCCAAAGCCCATATTTAAAAGTATGATGCCAGTTCCATGATATAAAATGAAATCAACATTCTTGTTTCTTGCAATCACAAAAACATTGTTAGACTACATTCGTATTGGGAAGATTGTAACAACATTTATATACTTCTTGAATATTGCAGTAAAGGACATCTCATTGATCCGAAAACTCCTTTCAATGATGATGATGTGTTTCAAGTATTTCATTAAATTCTTGATGGAGTCAATTATTTACATTAAAATAACATCATACATAGAGATTTGAAAGTAAGTAATAAATCTAAATAAGTTTGAAAATATTTTAATACATGAAGATGGTACCTTAAAATTATGTGATTTTGGTTGGGCTATAAAAGTTGATTAGAAGTCAGTTCCAAATGTAATGTGTGGAACTATTGAATATATGCCGCCAGAAGTTGTATCGAAATCTTCACTTGATTTCAAATTAGATGCTTGGTCATTAGGAGTTATATTATATGTATTTAATCATTATATGTAGGTATTATTGTATGGCAAATTCCCTTTCTAAGGAGATAATTAAGATCAATTAATAAGAAATATATTATTTGATTAATTGATAATACCAAGCAGAAATGACATAAATGAAGATCTAACGAATTTAATTTAAGCATTATTAATTAAGAATTCTCAATTAAGACCAAGTATTGAATAAATTTACCTATGTAAATGGATGAAATTAAACATGAAATCACATAATATTTTTAATCATTACGAAAATGAATAACTTAAGTTAAAAGTTAAATAAAAAAATATCACTTTAAAAGTTGTAAATAATTCATTATAGTAAGATTATATTATTATTATAATTAGTTCTACTCCAAATAAAAAGATGGTAAATTCTAATTATGTTGAATCCAAAAATGATTTTGATCATAAACCAACTTCATTTGGAAAAACACATAATAGTTGTAGAACTATCAAATCAATATCGATTAACCCTTCTCCATAAATTCGTTAGATAGATAAATTTTTTAATTTCTTAGAAAATATACAAAAATTTTGAATATATTTCAATTTACTATAGATGATTTATGTATATGTATAAAGTTTATTATATTAAACATAATTAAATTAATTTTATCATTTAATTCTCTTTTAAAATTATTCATCTTCCCAATCCATTTCATCCCATTTTGGTTAATTATCAATTATAGAAACAACAGATTATTTTTAAATTTTACTTTGAGTTTTTTCATTATTTTATTTTAATAATTGTGCTACAGATTGTAAATCAACATCTTCATTTTCTAAATCAAATTTCATGTGATATCCACATAAATGAACAGTTCCATTTCCCTTTGCTTCAAGCTTTGCTATTTGTTATTCAGGTGTGATCTTAATTCTAAGAGACATTTAAGAGTTTTTCTATTCATCAATATAATCATACTTGATTCAACGAAGCTATGACTATTCCATTCATTAATACATTAATATTGATACCCTTAACCAAAACTGCTTATGATAATACAAATTAATTATGATCATCTACTTTCTAAATAGTTTATGATTCCCCTGCTGATAATTATATACCATAAAACATATTTATTTAATAATATTTTTATTTAATATCCCTATTTTTTATTATCTAAATTCAACCATTTTCTACTTTAATTTATGTCTACAGTAATCTAATAAAATTATAAGTCATCTCATAATTCTACCTACTGGATATTTTTAGATATATCCATTCTCTCCTAAAACTTGAATGGTTTATAAGCCCACTTGATTATCATAAGGAAAAGTATAATAAATCAAAGCAACACAATCCTGAAATAAATTATTATATTTTTTAAGTATTTGTAATCATACCCACACAATTGCAAAATCTAGCAAAATTGTATAATAAATCACTATTAGTTTGTTGAGTAGGATGAATTTCAGTTAGCTTCTTTGTAATATCAACTTGTATCAATCCTACTGAATCTGTTGCTAAAACTCATCTCCCATAGTTTGTTTATATACTAATTTTTAATAATTTGTAAACCATTTAAATATATTATGATATAAGTAGAAGTTTAAATTAAATATAATTAATTTTTAAAAAATTCTAATTATAATATCAATTTTATAAAATAATTATTTTTCTTTTATATGAAATATGTATATCATATTTTCATTCTCACATTTGGATCTACCACTCTAGATAATCCATCTTGACCTCTAATAACAAGGTCTCCATTCTTGTTCAATTCCTCAACAATTCCTGAATAAACTATTTCTAAAGTTTTGGAATCTACAAAGTCACATAATTATCCTTTTCTGTATAAAATCTAATTGATTCCTTCTCTAAACATTTCAAAACCATGTTCATTCAATTAATACAAGGTTTTGATTACTCTTTCTCTTAATTTCTAAAATAATTCTTCTTGATCAACTTCCTTACCTGTATTTTCTTCAAGACATGTAGCTCCTTAGATACACCAATTCACATTAAGACCTATTCCTACATATAATACCAATTCATCCCCTATTTATTCTGATTCTGTTAAGATTCCACCTGATTTTTTTGAGTTAAGTTCAATGTCATTGACCCACTTCAATTCAGCATCTAAATTGTATAATTCCTTATAGAGTTTCACAATTGTGTATCCAATAACTGGAGTAATATTCTTTAAATACTATATATTTGTAAAATAAGGGAAGATTATGGTAGTTAAGATGTTTCTTTTTGATTGACATTCCCATTTTCTATCAAACTAACCTCTACCGGCAGTTTGATGTAATGCTCTTAAAACAGTGATTTAACCTTTATAAAGGTTTTAGTATTCCTTTGTAGCATGTGTTTAAGTGGAATCTATTTCTTCAAATAAGATATCGACTATTTTATGTTATTATGGATCCATTATTAAATTTTTAGTTATTTCTTGATTTGTAATTACAATTAAATATGTACGTGTAATTATTATTAATAATGTTAGCAAATTTGATTACGTTGTTAGTTTCTTCCTTATCATTAACATTTATAGGTTTATTATACACAGAAATAGTCACTTATAAATACTAAAAGGATGTTGAAATATTTATTGGTTTCTTGAATAAGTTTATATCATAAAATTATTATAATCCTCAATCATATGATAGATAAGTAACTAATTATTTCTAAGTAGTTCAATTCAATTCTTGTATAACCTTAACATGATTATTGCATCTAATCAGATACTTATAAATATTATCATCCAAATTCAATTATGATGGACACATATACATTTAGAGAGTATTCAGGTCTAGTTAAATAGGCACTTTAATAACATTTCTTTGATGTATTGCCAAATGTCACACTCTATAAAAGAAATACAAAGAGTAACCAAAAATGTTATTTTTAGTACCTCATTAATATAAATTCCCTTTGTAATTAACATTACCATATACTTATTATGATTAACTACTATATAACTTTAAAGTTGGATAAAGTATATTATTTCCTTATTCAGAATAGGTTCTCTATGTCTCTTTTAAAATTATAATCATTTACCTTAAAGATCCTCTTTGTCTCATAAAAATCAATTAATGACTAATTAACTTAATTATTTAAATGATATCAAAAATAAAGGTCTTGATGAGGATTGCATAGTAATAAATTTAATTATATTTAGACCAATGCCACTTTTCTGCCTAAAACTTATAGACTTTTTGAAGAGTCTGAATGTAAGTAATTTTTTACTTATTTGAATTCAACAGAGTATTAAGATAAAGTAAAAACAGAAGGTCCTTAATTTATTGTAAAAATGGGATTAGAGGTTCATAGAGGTAGAGGAATAACAATGTTGTTTCCATAAGAAACTGAAGAGTTGAAGGAGAAATTTTAGTATGGTTAGATTTGTGGATAAATTAAGACATATAGAGTGGCCCAATAATATATAGGAAATCCATTATTATTTAAGGGACATAAAATAGAGTTTAGAGTTTATTGGATTATTGTATCAACAAATCCTTTAATTGCATATGCATATGATAAAACACTTATTAGAAGATGTATTTATCCATATGATAAATTTTCAACACTTAAAGGAGCTCATGTTTGTAATACAGCAATTGTTAAGAAAACCATATTATCAATGTAAAATGAATCTTAGGAACAAGATGAGAATGATAATGATGATGATAATGATGATGAATTTACTACTATTAATAAAAAAAATAATAATAATAATACAATTAATAATTCTATTTCTGATCAAATTAATTAAGAAGATCTTTATATAGATTGGAAACTTGATTATTTATAAGAATTATTACTGAAATAAGGTAAAATAAAAAATAAAAAATGGTTAAAATAAGAATTATTACCTTAAATTGATAGAATGATTATTCATGCAATAAGAAGTGCATAATATACATTTGCAAAAGATAGCAAATTAGGGGAATTCTTTGCTGCTGATTTCTTATTAACAGATGATCTTAAACTTCATATAATGGAAATCAATTATAATCCATAGACACTAAAAACAACTGAGGCTAGAGTTAAATAACATACAAAAATGGTTTAAGATATGGTTGAAATATCTAATGCATATTTAAGAAGTAGATATATAAGATTTAGAAAGATTATTGATAAGGTTGTAGATAAATTATCTAAAGGGAAATCAAGATTACAAGATATAGTAAATCAGAAAATGGGTTAAGAAATACATTAAGCATATTTTAGTAGATTGGAATCAAATATTAAGATTAGTTCAAAAAATCTCTTTAGATTGATTATGGATGATGGATTATAAGGAACATCTAAATATAAAGATCTTTTATAAGAGAAATGTATAAAATGATTATATTATTCAAATTTTTATATGCATTAGAAAATTTATAGAAAAATTTATATTATAAGAGCTTTATTATTAAATTTTTTTTTGTTCTTTTACCGTTGAAATTAAAAAATTAAAAAATAAACTACACAATGTTGGTCTAACAGCAATAAAGATAAATGCCAATTACACCCATTCCAAGTAATGCAAGAAAAGTTATTGAAAACTTCAGTTATGCACTTACAGATGCAATTGGAAAGGGTTTCAGTTCTGTTGTGTATAGAGGTAGAAATGATGAAACAAATGAAATTGTTGCAATTAAAGTTATTGATAAAAAAGGACTCAAAACACCATTACATTATTAATTATTGAAATCAGAAGTAGAAGCATTATCATAATTAAACTCAAATAATATAATGAGATTATACAAAGTATATTATACAGAAAATAATACTTATCTAATAACAGAGTATTGTGACTCTGGTGATTTGGGTTCATTATTAACTAAATAAGGAGCATAAAAAGAACCATAGTTATAAAAATTGTTTTAAGGAATAATATAGGGATATAAATAGATGAAATAAAAGGGTAAATTTTATATTATACATTCTAGGAATTGTACATAGAGATCTAAAACCAGCCAATATTCTATTAAAAGGATAAATACCTAAAATAGCAGATTTTGGATTTGCTACTACTCCTTAGACTGTTACTACAATGCCCAATGTTAATGTAGGATCACCATTGTATATGAGTCCTTAAGCATTTAAAAATAGATATTCTGAAAAATCTGATATATGGGCATTAGGTGTTAGTTTATTTGAATTATTATTTGGTTAAGTTCCATGGTAAGCTGGAACTGAAAGAGAATTAGCTTAGAAGATGGCTATTGTACCTGTTAATTTTCCAGGACATATTTCAGATGAATGTAGAGATTTTATTTAGAGATGTTTAATAGTAGATGAGAATAGAAGAGCAACAGTTGAAGAATTAGAAAGACATATATGGTTATAAAGATAAGAATTATAAGTAATTAAAGGGAATGGATTCTCTAGTATTTCTAGAGGTAGTCATGGTGGTTAAGCAAATCATCTTTAATTTCATGGTGTTTAAAGTAATGGTTGTATAAATACTACATCTCCTTTAATGGATAATCATAATAAATAATAGATGTTAATATAACAAAGAGAAAGCAATTATGGAAAAGAAAATAATACATCTTCAATAGCTAGATAATAGTAAAATTCAATATAATAATAACCACTTAAATCAATAAAAAGAGTTTAAGAATCAAGGAAGGAATCATAAGTGAATTAATCTATGAATCAAGAATATTCTAGTTAGAGAGAGGAGGAATGGAATGATAATAAAAAGAATGATTATATAATTGTTGCTTAAATGAACTTTTGCAGATATTTATATAGAGTAGCAGCATTAATTGATAAATATAGATTTGTTACAACTCCATATTTGAGAGAAAAATTATTATTTTTAGTTAACAAGAATATAATGATTAAAATGAATAATCTCTAAGAATTAGTTGATGGTCACAATACTCTTAATTTAGATAAATTTTAAGATTATATATAGAATTGTTAATTTAATAAATTGAGTGCAGCTATTAATTAGTATAATCAAAAATATACTTTATAATTTAATACTGTTTGGTTATCTTTATAGAATCCAGAATAAAAATAATTATTAATTGTTGATAAAAAGTTTGATGCTGTTTTTGATGATAATTTTACTGAATATGAATCTTTTTATATAATTCTCAATTCCATTCTCAGAAGTGCAATAAAAGAGATTGAATATTAACTCGAATAGAAGATTACATTTCAAGATACTCAATAATTATTACCAATAGATATTGAAGGTGGTGTAATATTATTAGATTATTTGATAACATACTTTTAATTAGCATCACTCATTCAAGAATGTTTCGAAGATCATTATGGATTTGCTGTAGATTCTAAAATTGAATAAATTGCTGATGGTAAACCTGTACGTTTAACTTATGGACATTATATCGAAATCAGAAATAAAATAAAATAACTTGATATTTGATATATAATTTATATTGATTGTTATTTTATACAGAGTTTTATATTATTTATATTTATTAATATAAATATTTAAATAGAGATGCAATCATAAAATAATCAATATCTTTAATTTGTTGGAAAACCACATATTACAGCAGTAATTGCAGGTGGAAGAAGAAGAGTAAATTATACATTTGAAGATAAAAGTGAACTTGTTGAAGAATATGATATCAATAATCATGAATTAATTAGTAAGTTTTGAATAATAAGTAAATAACAGCTAGAAAATGGAAAAAGTTATCTAATATTAAAGAATCATAATGGGTTTATGAAATTGGAGAAGCACCAATCGATCAATAAAGCGAATTAAAATTATCTAATACTAATGTAACCATTTATTTAATATATAATAGCCTATATTTGTAAGAAAGGATACTCCATAACACTTTTAATTTAGAGTTCGTAATCTAACTTATCCAGAAGATGTTTATCAAATGGAAGTTGATGAAAAAACTCAAGAAATTGTTATTAGAACAACAAATAAAAAATACTTTAAAAGATTTGCTATTCCTGATATGAGGAGAGCTAATCTCAAACTCGAACAAGGAAAGGTTACTCATGTTTATAAGAATAATACTTTAATAGTTTCTGTAAATAAATTAATTATAAATATAATAATTAGTATCCAAAACCAGATCAAATATTAGAGAGAGAGTATTAGATTAGATAGGAATTTGATAAATTAAACAAGAAGAAACCTAAGGAAGGTGATTTAGAATGTGTATAACAATGATATATTTAATGTATTTTCATTCATATAGAATATAAGTTATATTATTTCAATAAAGATTATATATATAATTAATATTTTTTAATTTTTCTTAATATGAATACAATATCTCAAGCCATAGCATCATAATCATCATCAACCTTCTTATTTTTTTTCATACGATAAACAACATATCCTATACCTAAAAGGAATATTACTCCTCCAACAATTATCAATATGATCCACCATAATTTGGAACTATTATAATTATAAGTTTATACCTTTCTTCAGGCTCAGGTTCAGGACCAGGGGGATTAGGAGGTACAGGATCTGGTTTAACAGTTATCTTCAAATCAAAATCAACTTATGACCAATTAAAATCGTTTCCAACTTTAATGACTATTTTTTCTGATTTTAATGGAGAATCAGCTGATTATGTGAAGGTTAAATAAGGTTCTGCATTTAATTTATATTATTCAGTATCACTAGATGGTGAATTAGCATATAATTTTTCATTTCTATAGAATAATCCGAAATTTAATGGGTTAAATGTTGAAGCATCTGCAATGAAATTGAAACTTCCAATTGCTGTAGTTGGTTTTGTTGATTCATTGATTGGATAAATTGCTACAACAATCTTGTCTTAATTTTAATATGGAATTGCAGCATGAGTCTTAGACACAGCCACACTTCTAACAATATTCCAATTACCATATCTATTCAATGAGAATTAGCTTTCTAAACTTGAATATGTCAAATATTATTATCCTTCCTTTTAAGCCAATTTAATTTTCAAACCATAATTAACAACATTACTAGTTTATATGAAAACATTCAATGTATTAGCATCAAATGATTTTAATTCTTTGACTAATAAATATTAAGTAGAACTTATGGCATATTATTGTATTTTTTATAATTCAACTGATAAATTAACATATTCTAAATTGACTGCTACTAAATTTGAATTTTAGAAATAGAAATCTTAAAAGAAAATACCTTCTCCACTTGTAATAAGTACTTTATAATATTGAATATCATCAACTTTATTTACTGCTGTGACAAGGAAATCATTAGGTGTAAATGTTAAAAGATCTTCATATTTTAGTTAAATTTCATTTAAATTGATTACATATTCTTCATCTAATACCCAATTTTCCATGTTGATTTTAGAAATTATAAATGATTCATTATCTAAAACAATTAAATAGTCATTTTGAAGTAATTCTATTTTTTTAGTTTATTTATTTAATTTAAATATTTCACCAACAGGGAACCAACCTGTTAAACTAGCACCACTTGTAGCATAAACAGTGTATTAATCACCATCATGACATAAACTTAAAATGTAATTAGTTGATTATGTAGATGAATAACATTAATAATTTTCAGTAGGTAAATCTAAAGGTAAAATAGCATTTTAAGTATCATCATCATTTAAGAAAATTAAAGCATCAATAGCTTAAGCAATATTATTATTAATTGATCTAATTTTATAAGGTTTATAAAATTAAACATTAGCTTTTTCAACTGTTTATGTAAGATGAATTCCATTTTCAGCTTTATTACATTAGTCACAAGTGATTTGGAATCCAGAGATTTAACCACTATACCAATCATTTCCTAATAACATTTCTTTTTTAACATAATCTTTAGAATCTATTTCAATTGAATTTGCTTTGAATTTGGTTTTATCAATATATACTTTAGTTTATGTATTAATAACTTTGATAGCTTATTTAATATTAATAGAAGGTGAACCCTCAAAATTATAAATTTCAAGTTAAACATCTACTGATGCAGCAAATTATGGATCATTGATAGATGGTTCAACAATTAAAACAGGATTTGTTAACATAGAGTATACTTAAGCTGAAGTTTTGGTTTGAAGATAGACATACATTTAAGATGAGGTACCTTATGTTGAAATTAATTATGGATCCTCAACAGGTAAAGCTTAAAATAATGCTTCATGTTAAAGTGTATTAGGTTAGATAACTAAAATGTGATATTTATTAACATCTTCATTAATTTCTTAAGTCTTAGTTTTAGCAACAACAAAGAGATAACCTGTGTCTGAACAGAAATCACCTAATAGAGGTTATACTAATTCAAAGTCATATAATTAGACTACTTTAGTCTTGAAAATATTGTTTAATCTATCAAAATCATATTCTACAATTTCATTAGTTACAACAAAGAATGTTTCAGCACCTATAGCAATTTCAATATTATCAGATTGATCTATGGCAATTTATTTAATGAATGTAAATGATGTATGGAAATCTAAGAGAGTGATATGATCTTCATGTACTACAAATATAAGATTTTCTCTTAATTTTCTATTACCAAATATCTTCTTAGGTGCCCATGTTCCTTTGTAACCTTATTCTACTAATAAATCTAAATCAACAGATTTAACAAAATCACCATGTTCTGTATATGCATGAACAGTGCCATTTTAAAGTAATAATAGATTATTCTTTAAGAATAATATGCTAACACCATTTTCAAATGGAATAGTATTAACTTCTTTGACTTAATTATCAGAGAATACTTTAAGATTAACTTTATTATTTTCAACATAAGCAAAGTGGAATTTGGGACATTCACATTCCCACATTTAGAATGTTGATTTAGTCAATTTAGTACCTATATTCACATTATCAAATATTTTCACATAAGTAGCATCACCATTAAAGATTGAATCATGAGTAGCTTTGAGAATTGTTAATTTTCCATCCTTATTTTATTGAGCTAAAAAGAAATATGATGATTGTGTTCCAACTAAAACATCATGGAATTATAAATCCTTTTATAAATCTTAAGCAAATTTCAATTCCCAATAGGTTTTTAATGAAACTGAAACTGCAGTTTTATCATCTTTCAATTCTACTATCTATTTATATTATTCATTTGGACCACTAGTTAATACATTCAATTAAAATGGTTCAGTATCTTCTGTTATTTAACTTGGGAATGGAGTAAGTGTATCACTATATTTATATAGTTATTTATCATCACTTTCAATTATTTAATATGTAAGTTGAACTTTACAAGTTTGATCAACACTTGTTGCAATAATTTCAATCATCTTCTTTTCTTATACATTATCATAACCTTTATATTATAAATATCCTTATGATAATGTATATCTATAAGCTCTATCCAATGTTAATACTATCATATCAGGTAAGAATGGATTAATCATAACATAATTAGTTTATGGAATTACTTATAATTGTAATAAATCTTTTGATTTTGCATCTATATCAAAAAGATAAGTTGCATCATCATGTCTAACAACTATAAATTCTTATGATAAATCAATATTTGCTGGGAATGTATAATGAACTCCTTCAGGCAATTTGTATTCTGAAATCAATTAACCATTTACAATCAATTCTACAAAACCATATCCTAATACAGCTATATTCTCAGTATAAGTGCCATCCCTTCTCAAAAAGATGTTTCTATCAAATGCATAAGCAAAACCCATTCCTGTATCAATTTATTTCTTCAATGAAAATGTACCATTTGGAATAAAATTTACTATAAATATACCATATTATGCATCCAATAAATAAATATCTCCATTCTCTAACACTTTCATATCCACTATATTAAATTCAAAATCATATTATTTATTCAATAACCAAGACATAGTAACTCCATCTAAAACATATCCTGTATTTGATGGTTAACCTTTATCATTCAATAAGAACACTTCTAACAATGAGTCTCCACTTAAAGATCCATCTTGTAAAATTGAATATGATGGAGTTGCTCTTACTAAATATCTGAATTCTTTTCCACCTTATCCTTTTACTTTATATGATCCTAATAAACGGCCATGATTTGCTTTCACTAATGCTTCCTCTATCAAATATTCATAAGAATCTCCATTATTCACATAATATAAAACATTATGAGCAACACCTTTAACAATCTTTGAACAATCTACTATAAAGGTCTTATCAGCTATATATTCCAAATCATAACAATCTAATCCATCTTCAATCTAATTCAAGATTATGACCTCATCAAATTTTGGAGCTATCACATTCTAAGCTGCCTCACTATTATAATTATTATATATATACCCTTCTGCTATTCCTAATGTTATTTATGTCGTTCCCTTATTTAAAAACACAAATGAATTCACCCAATATTTATTTGACTTTAATGCTCTTGATGATACAATCTTTGTGGCAGCTAACTCATTTTAACTTTAAAATACCTTATGAATATAAAGCAGAACCACCTGTGTTCTCTACAGGTTCTATTATCTTGAATTGGTTCTGTTGGGTATCACTTAATGAGAATGTTAACCCTTATCCATTAAAAAATTCATCAACTAAATTCCAATTCAACTGTTCATCTTTTGTAGCATAGATAGTCAATGCATCCATCTTTGAACTGCATTTCTAAAAACAAGGAGTTGTTAGTAAAGCAACAAAAATAAATGATGAAATCAAATTCATAAATTAAAATATCTACATTGACTCAAACTAAATTTGCTTATAATTTATTAGAGTTTGATAATTGTGTAATATGTAATATTCAATACAGATTTTACAAAATAATATTCAAATTTCTATATTATAGAAACTATAATTCTAAATGCATAAAACCTATTCTATAAATATTAATTGTTCTACTTTAATATGCTTTTAATCTCTAAACAAATCAAGTTTTATATAACTAAAAAATACATCATCAATTTTATTAACTTTGTTTCATTTATTGAAAGTAATCATATTGAAGATAAGAATTTATAAATAATTATAATTCGTTTGAAAAAATAAAATATTGCATTATCAATCATCATGAATCTCATCTAATTAAAATTAATTTATTTGATAAAATTCTTCTTCCTACTTTAATAATTATTATTGCTTTTTATTTTCTCTACAAATTTTTCTTATAAAACCCATTTTTTCATTTTTTTTTTCTTCCAAATTAACTAAATATTATTGAATACAAAATACCTAAATATTAGGCCTTTTTCAATAAATAATAATAATCTTCAAGTGTCTTTCTTGGACATCCAACTAATTCAGCTGCTTAATCTAATGTAATCCTTACTGTTCTTCCATCAACAACTCTAGTTTCTGTTTGATAAACCTATCTAATTAGAATAAATTAAATTTTACACCTCCACAATTTAACTAAATTCATTGCTTCACAAACATATCTTTCCTTTGTTCTAGCTCTTGGCTATTATTGCTATTATTATTATTACTACATTAATTTTTATATTTTATACAATTTAATATATAATAATATTATAATTCATTCATTCTAAGCTTTGTTTTTGTTAGGACTCTTAAGTAATAATTATTTTTTCTAACGTTCAATATCTTTGGCTAATTGTTATTGTTATTAAAACAATTTCTCTTTATCTTCTTTAAATTATTGTGCTTTTTCTAATTTCTCTTATAATTTTTTATTTTTCATATCTACAACTTCTTTAAGCATTTCAGCAGCCTTTTATTTATGCTAATTTATTTATTCTTCCTTTTTTTGTCTTTCATAATCTTACCTTATTCTTGATAAAGATTAAGCTTCACTCATAGATTTTTAATGTTCTTCATCCTTTTATCTAATTTTTTCTTAAAATGTTTCATTTTTATTATTGAGTATATTGCCATTCCTTGATTTAATCTAATTAAGTATATTTATAATACATTTAATCTATAATTATTTTTATTCTTTTCGAATTAATCTATATTATTTTCTGCTAATTTCATTCTCTCTTCAATTTAATTAAGTTTATCTTCAATTTATTATACTTTTAATTATGCTTTATCACTTTTTTCTGACATAATTTTTTTATAGTTTTGCTAATTTGACTAATAGAGATATCAATACCATAACTTTTTTTAATTTTTCTAACTTTTCTTTTTTCTTTAATTCTAATATTTCTTATTTATTTAATTAATTTAATTCAATTTCATCTAATTTCTTATGATATTATTCAATTTTTTGTAACTTTTCTTGATAATATGCATTTTTCTCTTCTTCATTTTTCTATTTAATCTTCTTTATTTATTTTTTCTTTGCTTATTTCAATTCATTCAATAATATTTCTTTCTTTTCATTTAACTCTTTCAATTATTCTTATTGTTCTTTCTAACTTTTTTCTAATTGTATTTTTTTAATTAATATTTCTTCCTATTATGTTTTGACAATTCCTTCTGCTATTCTAAGATTTTATATTAAATTATACTTTTTAACAATAGATTTCTTATTTCTATCAGTTTAAATAGTTTCTAAATTACTTTTATTAAGATTAAGTTACTCAATGACTTTATCTTTGGATAAATCATTTTATGCTAATTCTTTCAATCTATCTTACTCTATTTTTTAAATTTTAAGCAACTTTTCTTTTTCTTTTTCTTTCTTTTTCAATTCTATCTAAATATTTTAGATATTATTTTATACCAATAATTTCTTGTCTTTCAATGCTTATTCAACTTACTATTATTTAGATTTTGTTTGTTCAAGAATTGCAATTTTATGTTTCTCTTATTCTGCTTTTTATTATTCATAAAATTTCAATTACTCTAATTCACGTTCCTGTTTTATTATAAATTAAGTCATACTTATTTTTTTCTCATTTTGGCTAACAATTTATCTTCTTAAAATGCAAGATATTGATTCTCAACTATTTCTATAGAATTAAGATATACATTAAACAGTATCAGTTGTTTTCTTCATTTTCATGTATAAATAATATTATATAATATTAATGAATAGATGTATAGTATTATAAATTGTCTTTGAGAAGTGATTGTATTTTAAATGAGTTTGGAAATTGAATTTTATAAATGCAATTTAATAAATGATGGATAATAGTTATGACTATTGGTTTTCAAAATATGATTCAGAGTCTTTCGAAAAAGATTTCATCAAAGTTCCATACAATGAATTCCTTAATTAGTTGGTATCATGAATCAACTTTGTTTAGATTGTAAATCCTGATTTCAGTCTTCTTCCAAATGAACCACAATTTTCATTAGATAATGGTCATAAGACTTTGTAATAAACATTGCAAACAAATCATTAGATTATATCAACATTCTTCTTACCCTTACTTGATAATTCAAGAGAATCTTTTTTAAGATGGGTGAGAAGTGTGATAGCATTTATAGATTGTGAGAAAATGTATTCCATTATGTTTTGGAATTTGAGTTTCATACCTAATTTTCTTGAATATAGATTATATGCAAGTTTTATTAGACTCTATAAATTCTTAATCAGTTTAAACTAAAATGTGATTCAAACAAAATCATTAACAACTGAATAAATAAGATTGTCAAACAAAATCACTATTAAAACACTTGCTGAAAAATATTAAGATGCTCTATATGTGTCTTTTGAAGAATTAGTCAAGTTTTAAAGATAAATGTTAAAAGTATTTAAACCACTTGTTAGTTAAAATCCTACTCTATTAGGTAAGATCTATTATTTCATTTATCATATGTATGATAAACCTACAATTCAATTACGTAAAGATCTTGATTTATAATTTGGATAATTAGAATATTTATGGGTTAAGAAAATTCTTGCTGAAAATGAATTAGCAATTAAATTTATTGATGCTTATTTAAATGAAGATAAATAGACATTTTCAAATAAAGATCAATTTTTATTTGAAGATTCTGAAATATTTAAATAATTAGTAAGTTCAAATAAATCAGAAAATCTATATAAAATAGATGCTTAAGATAAATCATTATTAGAAAAATCAAAGAAAATATAATTTCTAAATTCTATGGACAATAAATGTAAAAGAAGAAATCATGATGGTAAATCTTCATTCTTAGTATAAAATTATAGTGTTGTTTCAGAATCAATGAAATCATCATCTGAAAATAGATCTAAAACTTATACTGATGAAGCACCTAAATTGAAATAAAATTCTATTTAATCTAATTCTATAACTGAAAAATCTACATTTATTTAATATTCAACCAATAATCCAACTAATGTATAGAATTCAGTTCTTGGATTTTTAGCTAGTGATCTTATTCATCTTGAAAAAGAACATCAATAAGAATTCAAAAGTAATACATTACCTAAAAGAATCCAAACTGATGATTCAATCAAATTAAATGATGATTTAGTAGAATTCATATCAAAAGCTGATAATTAAATAGTTGCTATCAGAGATGAAGATATTACATTAGATGATAATTACAAAAGGAAAAGATATAGAATAAAGATTAATAAAAAATTTGAAGAAAATGAATCACCTGATATTAATAGGAAATAAACATTTGCAAGTCTTAATTAATAAGAAAATAATGAAGAAGAATTAAGAAAAGTTAGAGCTAGAAGACTATTAGAAGAATAAAATTAATTTTTTTATTAAAAACTTAGATATGCTAGTAATTAAGATAATGATTTACCTACTGTTAAGGATAAGGATCTTTTCAGTAATTATATCATATAAGTTAAGGATATTCTTTTGAAGATTCAATGAGTGAAGATGAGGAATCAGAAGAAGAGATTAAATTAAAATAATAATAATTAAAATAAGCAAAAGTAATAGTACCAAAAAATTATTCTTAAAATACTTAAGGTATAATATTTGAAAAGTTTAAATAATATTCTGGAGATTGTATTCAAGGTGGATCAGAAAAAAGAAAATGTTTTTTAAATAGATTATTTCATATGAATGAAAATTCACTTAGAATATCAGGAAGATCTTTAGTATTAGATTTTGAAGAAAGAAAATGGTATATATATTGAATAATAATAATTAAGGGAATTATTAAAATAAGCTCATTTATCAAAGAAATTAATGAAAGAAGAGAATTATATATTAAATTTTGATGAACCAATACCTAATATCATTTATAGAGATAAACATTTTAAATAGAAATTAAAAACAAATTATGAAAAATATTATAATTTTTGAATGCTTTTAATTATAGTACATATAAGAAATATTCATTCTTCTAAAAGATCAGAGATTTCTTCTGCAATTTAAACTAATTCTTATAATTTTTATTTTTTTTGATTTATTTAAATTGATTTTTAGCTAAAAGGATTACGTTATTAAAATAGTGTTTTTGAATGATCATGATTTTAATTTAAATCTTTCTTCCTTAATTCAAGTAAAGCTGCTTCATGTTTACTTCTATTCTATTTACTAGCATTTTATCTTTATGCTATATCATTAATATTACTCTAACTATCACTCTAATATTCTTTTAAAAGAATAGTCTTTTTTTTATTTGATACTAATAATATATTATATTAATATACTTCTTGCTTCTGGTTTAGTTGTTTCATCTAATATAAATTATTATAATTATTCTATTGTTTCCAAATTTTTCTTTCTTCTATCTTCTGCAATCTTTCTCATTTTATCCATCATATGAGGAAAATCATCATAAATCTCATTTTCAAATGCTTAAAGAGTCAAATAATAAAATTCACAATTTGATTCACATTAAACAATATATTCTCTAGTTGTATGAAAAAAGATTTCTATTTCACCAAAATATGAACCACTTATCATAGATTTGAATGAAAATGATTTTAATTGATTAGTAGTTGCTTATACAATGAAATTAGTTTTAAAATTTACTCTTCCTATATCAATCAAATAAATTGCATCTGGATTAGATTTCTCTTCCCAAATTACTCTAAAATAAATTAATCTTTATTTACTCGCTTTCCAACATAAATAATGGTTTTAATAAAGGTACTACATGAACAACAAAAGCTTTATCTTCAACTAATTAAAATAATGCTTAATGTCCAAATACACCATTATGCATAGACATCATTATATCATATCTTAAATTCATAGGAATATCTTAAAATATTTTAGTATCACTTGCCCAAACAAATCCATTCTTACTAAAATTGTACTCCAAAGTCTCTTTTAAACAATCTCTTAATTATCTAGATATTTTCTTTTCCAAACAAAATTCACTCATTATAGCCTTTTTCTAATTTAGTATATGTGCCTTATAATCTATTTAAGATAAAACTGAAGACAATAAACCAATAATAGTTGAATAGAATAAGACTCCTAAAATCATTAAAATTATTGTAACTATCTTTTCTTATGGAGAATATGAATGGATATCACCATATCCTACAGTAGTTAAGGTAGTGAAAGCATAATACATACCTGCAATATATTTAGTTTGAATAGATGAATTTGATAGATCATTTTAATATACCCAACTATTTATTTCATAATCATTATATGCAGCAACATAATGCCAAACACAACTTGATAAATGTATAACTAAAATAACTGATAAAAATAGTGATGTTAATCTAGTCATACCATAATTAAATTAAAAAAAGTCATTCCCTGTTATTCTAAATTATTTTGATAATTTCATTAATCCTGTCAATTTATACAATCTTGGTAATTTTGCTAATTTCACTAGTTTAATTTCTTAACCATCATTTGAATTAGATGAATCAATCATATAAGTTAATGGTAAACAAGAGATTAAATCAAGCAAAAACCATCCTTTTAAATATTTCAAAATCACTGCTCTTTTTTATACTACCAATTTACCTTCTTCATCATAATATCCACTAATCATATTTATCAATAAATCTATCCAAAATAATACATCAGTAACTATATCAATTTATTACCAATATGATTCCTCTTTGTGAACATAAAATGATACTATTATAAATCAAATACATACTTCTAAATGGTAATATTATAGATGTGTATAATATAATTACTGTGAAAATTAAATTCCAAACAAATTTAATATAAGAATCTGGATGAATTATTGGAAATTATGGACTTTAATCTTTATGCTCTGTAGACTTATTAAGAGGAAAGAGGTATTTTTATAAAGCAGGTCTTAAAATCATCTAATATTTACCTGTCTCTTGTTGATAAATCAAACAAATTAGATGATGTTCCATACATAATTATTTCTTATGATAATTTATTGAGTAAATATATTGCTCTTAATCGAATAAAGGCTCTATGAAAAATTGACTTTATTTCCTCTGGACTCATAGCTTAATGTTCTGGTATGATAGTTCCTTATCCTTTCCCTCTTAAAAAAAAATTCAAAACTTTTAGAGCAACTTTTGGGTCATGTTTTTATTCCTTCATTATTTTTTTAATTTATTGTTATAATTAATTTTATGTTAATAATAATAAATTATATAAGAACCTTATATAAAAATGGAATTATTTATTAAATATGATAATTCAATATATTACATTATTAAGATAAATATTCCAATTATATTTCATCACATTTATATAGATTATATAAAATTTTCTAAAAATAGAATGTGATTGCATTCTTTGAAATTAATGGGATGTATTTAAACTTAACAAATCAATAATTTAAACTAGAAAATAAAAAATAGATCATTCAAAAGACTAAACATATTAAATTCTTTTAAGATTTTAAGAATCAATAGCTTTTACTGAAAACCTTGTTTTTGATAATAGCTTAAAACTAATAATAAAAATAATGTTAATTATTGGTATCATTGTTTATTCTTTATTTTTTATAATAACAATAAATGAAATTCAATATCATTCATTTAAAGTAAAAAAATAAAAAATTAATAAATCCTTAAAAACAATTAGTAATTATGTTATAAATATAATTAAGAAGAACATTAATACAAAAATGATAACATCATCAGCCAAAGCTTCAATTCTTATCAAAATTCATTTTTTATACACTCATTTTATGAGTTGCATTGGTATTTAGTTAAATATCAATTTTAACCAGTAATTCATAAAATTTTCATTTATAATTTTTATTAAAACAAAAATTAGTGTATGATTAAAAAAATTAATACTTAGAATTTACAATGCAGTTGTATATTGCTTTCTTTATATACCAATTAAACGAGAAGCTAATTTCAGCAATTAAGATTGGAATTCAAATAAACTAGCTATATACTCAGCTCAAATATTGAATTAACATTATATTTCTTCTAATGAATAGACTTTAGAAGTTCTAAGAGTTAATTTACTAGAAATTTTTACAAATAATTATCATTTTTATTTATTAATGTCATAAATATAAAGCATTAATCTTGATTAGGGAATCAAAGAGAGTCAAAAGGGAATTCTAAACGATAAATTTAAAAGAAAAATTCAATTTCTTTAATTAGTACTTTGTTAAAACTAGACAATAAAAACTGCAGCAACTTTAAGTAAAATTAATTTTGCCACAGCAAAAGTAGTGCTCAGAAATTTTCGTAATTGTGGATTCATAAAAAATTCTGATAAAGGTATGGATGACATATTTATATTAGATTATGAAAAGTAAATTGATATGTTACGATAGATTGCTTGTATAAAATCTGAGATCAAATAAGAGAAGATATAAAAACGAGAACAAGAATTTAAAATACTTTGTTAGAAAATAAAAACTATACAACCATCCACAGTGAATAATGTAATTTAAAGTTAAATGAAGATTAAATCTCAAATTAGAGTCTTCTAAGAAGAACTTTAAAATTAAGAATAAATATAATTACAATTAGTGAAGTCCATTCTTTTAGAATAAATAAAATTAATGAAATCTAATTGAAAATGGTGTTGTTTATTATATTAATAACTTTTCATCATTTTTTGTTTTATTAAAAATATTATACTTTTATTTATTTATATCACTGATATTATTATACAAAGCAGATATTTTTTATTTATTGGATATATATTTACTCAATCGAATTTATTGTATAATAGTTTAAATTAATCAAAAAATTAGTAAAATGTAATATTAAAATTATCAATTAATTTAAGCCAATAAAAAATAGCCATATTATTAAATATCATAATAATATTTATTATAATGCTAAATGTGAATTCTTTATATATTTACAATCATTATAATGTGAATTATGATTACACATTAACCAAAAATGTTAAAATTATATATTTCCACCTAAAATATTAAATACAAAGATACTCTATTAATAATATGTATCAATTTTCATTGCTAATTTAAATATTTTACATAATATGATGATGTTAAAAATCTCAAAAATTGCTTAAAAACATATCATTTATTTACATTAAGGAAAAAGGTTGCATATGAATTAATAAATAATTTAAGATATTAAGAATTTTCAATTGATAAAATATGAAATTGTGATTATTATATTAATATAAATCTTTTTGACAAAATAATAGATATTTATTACAATTAAAAATGATGAGGTTATTAAGATTTATTATAGTGTTTTGTTAAATAGAAATTAAAATTTATTTAGTTTGATTAAAATAAAATTGTTGATATTGAATTTATAAAAGAAGTTTAAATGATTTTTTGAATACATATAAGATTAAATGAAAATTATATCTTAATATAATAAAAATCATATTAATAATAATAGATTTATCATTCATTTCTTCCTAAGTATAATTCAAAGTCTCTATGTTTTTGATTTGTTTAGGATATTTAAGAATTATTTAATTTAACAAGTGTTCTTTTGATTTGTAATTCCAATCCTGATAATTATGGAGTAAATGTGATATTTTTTTATAAGAGAACTAAGGTGCCAAATTTTGATCTTTTATCTGATAAAATAATTTTATTATCAACTAATTTAATATGTGCATGTTCTCTACTTACACTAATATCAGCAATACTGATTTCTACTTCATGATTTCTTCCTATTTTAAGTTCTTTTTTTGTTCCAAAATTAACTATATATAATCCATTACTGTCATTTGATTAAGGATTATCATGTTATTTCTTTTGTTAGAATTCCATAATTATATAAGGTTTATCTTTTGGTTTGCTTAATTCTATTAGATTAAATGATTTTCCATTCCTTTCAAAAATTGGAGGATAGACTGATTTACAGATTTCACATTCCAAAGATTTCCATATAAATCTAGTACAATATGCATTACTATTAAAATGAGAACTTTATTATATCCTAGTTGAAATAGAATATAAATTAATACCATCTTAGTAAACAATTTATATGTACATATTTAGTACTACCAATACATTTGCATGGATCAATTAATGGATTTAAGGGTGATTCTCCAGTTGATAAACAAATTCGACATTATTTAGAAAATTCATTTTTATCTTCAACTGAACATATTGATGATTCTTCTAATAAATCTTAATTAGCTTCACGATACAATTAAATTTCCTTAATAATTAATTTAACTCTTCCTAATTTAATCACATCTCCAACCTTCAGCACCAAGCCTTCATTAATGCTGGCAGTTTAAATAGACCTGGTGACCAACCAAATTTTAGATCCTTTAGTCATTTCACAAACCATTTATCTATTAGTGTTTGTTCTTAATTTCTGAATATTAAAACTCATTTGAAAGTCAGCATGAATGGTTTGGTTCTCAGATAAAAGTTTGTCTCCTTCCTATATAGATGACGATCAAGTTTACTTCTTTTGAATAGTCATCAACAAGTTCTTAAGTTTAGAGCCTTTTATTAAAGCGTAGATTTAATAATTAAAAGGTTTCATTTTCATATTCAAGTGGAAGAAGAAGTGTTTCCTCTATATTTTCACTAAAAATATATAAGAATATAGTTTACTTGTTTTTGGAGTAGCTCCCTTCATTATATAAAACTTTATTAGCTTTGCAAGTAAGATAGCTAGTGCCATTAATAGGGATTTGTTGACAATGTATAAAAGTACTGTTTTCATAATCATAGAGACTGTAAGAATCTTTCTACCAAGTTTTTACATCTAGATTTAATAATGGAGGTTGCTGTGTATAAGGTGGTGCTTACACTTCTTCTTCAGTATGATTGTTGAATTGAATTTCTACTTACTCCTCTTCCTATACCAAACAGTTTTGACAGTTCCCCATATTTTAATATATATATATATATTTTTATGTTAAATTAGGATGCAGATTTGAACAAATAACCATTTCACAATCAAATTCCTAAACCCATAGCTCTAATTGATGAAACTATAAGTCTTGAAAATGACATGTTACTTGGTTGGGCACCAAAATTGGATTACAGTAAATTACTTACACTAAATTTCAACAATTAGTTAAATGATTAAATAATGTCAGAAGCTTTATAGAACAATTAACTTGTTTATGTTGGATTTAGACCTTAAGATAACCATTAAATGCATAAGTAATATTCAACTACTTCATCATATCCATTTAAAAAATCTAAAGCAATTTAAAACAAACCTTAATATCCTTTTTTGGGGATGAATCCTACTTTTAATAGTAAAATATAATTCAATTCAATTTTTGAGAGTGGCAATTTGGATTTAGTGACTTAAGTATCAGAATTTGAGTATAATTTATATATGAGAGTGGATGGAAATACTTAAGGACATACATCTTGGTACAATTTTGAATTAAATGGAATGAAAAAAGGTGAAAAAATCTAATTAAATATTTGTAATTTTACAAAATCTCACAGTCTTTATGAACGTGGAATGAAACCATATATATGGAGATCAACTAATTAAGAATGGTTATAAGGAGGAGAGAATGTATAATATAGAACATCTTAAAATAATAATAATTGTCTTAGTTTTTGTATCATATGCAATTAAGATAATGAATTAATTAAGATTGCTTATTGTGTTCCATATACATATTCTTAATTATTAGAATATTGTGATAATTTATAGAAAAATTGTAATCATGTTAAATGTTCAATTTTATGTGAATCATTAGGAGGAGTACAATTACCTATGTTTACTTTTAGTAAATATAAAAATAAGAATAAGAAATGTATAATAATTTAAGCACGTATTCATCCTGGAGAATCAAATGGTTCATGGGTTATGTAGGGTGTAATGGATTATTTATCAAGTCAATCAGCAATTAAAATATTAGAAAAGTATTAAAAATTGAATAATCTATTAAAGATGTATCATTAAAGTAATACCAATGATGAATCCTGATGGAGTTATTCTAGGCAATTATAGAACAGGTTTAGCAGGAAAAGATTTAAATAGAAAATTTAAATAGACTGATGGAATTCTATTCCCTACTGTTTAAGCTATGAAGAAACTAGTTAAAGATTAATACAAGAAATTTGGAAATAATTTAATAGCCTTTATCGATTTACATGGACATTCCAGTATGAATAACATATAAACTAGTCAAAAAGAATGTCTTTTTGTATGGTCCAGAATATGCTCTTTGGAATTATAATTATTATAAATGTCGTATTCTTCCAAAATTACTTAGTTAGAAAACTGAAATGTTTAGATTTTATTCATCAATTTTCAGAATTAGTTAATCTAAAAAATCTACAGCTCGTGGAGTATTTGCTGATTTATATGATATAGTAAATTGTTTTACAATTGAAACATCAAATGGTAATTACTACACATAAACTTAAACATTTGAATTTAATACTAAAAATTGGTTAAAAATGGGTTGGATTATTGGAGAAACTTTAATAGATATGATAGATACATAAAATGAAATGGATTAGATTTATAATTCTAAAAATGAAGACCTTAAAAGATCAAATAGATTTACTAAAAATAATTCAATTCTCAATAAGAAAAGTATCACTGATCCTTGTTAAATATCATTTTAAAATACAAAATTTTAAAAATTAATCGAATAATTAAAAATGGATGCTGATAAAATGAATCAATCTTGTTCTGAAGGTAATTCTGATTCATTTGATGATGGTGATGAAATAGAAGAAGATACTAATGAAAACAAATCTGAAGAAATAAATAAATCTAAATCTATTCAATCAAAACCCTTATTATCTATATTGTATTAAACTTAAAAATCTAAATTAGAATCAAAATGTAGTCCTACTTATTAAAAACCATTATTACAGTAAACTATTATGTTATCTATTGAACATAATCAAAATAAAGTCTATCAACCTTATCAATCAGCTGCTTAAAGAATGATTCTTAAGAAGATGGCATCTCGTTCTTAATCTAAGAAATTAAATTAAGTAAATAATTATTTAACAAATTGCATCAATTAAAAATAATTTGCTACTATAGAATATCTTGATAATTCTTTGAATGTAAATCAAACTATGGAATAGAATCCTCATTCATTAATACCTAGACCATCTACAACTTAATTGGAAGTTATGGAAGATGAAAAATTCACACCTTTTCAAGGACTCAATACAAGTTTATATTCTGGCTTTAAACGTCATACTAGATTGCGTAGTAATCTAACAGCTTAAAAATAAAAATAATTAAGAGAAATTAAAAGAAATAATTAAACTAAATCACCTCCATAAATTACAACAAATGTAAGAAATACTATTATGAATAATACTTAAACTAATTTTGAAGCTATGAAATTGAAATTAAAAATGAGACTTTAATAGGAACCAACAAAATTATCAGAATCTTATAATACAACTAGACCTTCTGTTCCACCTTCATTTTATTCTGTCAGAAGAAATATGATAAAAAGACCCAAAATTTGATTATTAATTATATATCACTTATAGTTAATATTTCAACAAATTTGGTTAAAATTTTCAATTTTTATACAGTAATTATACATTTATTATACAGTAATTTATTACATCCAAATAAACAAAAGATATATATTCTATAGATTAATATTTATCATGATAACTAAATGCATATACAAATATACAAAAAGGATTGAAAATTATCTTTTGTATATTTGTGATATAATATTTAATTGAAAAGATCAAATATACTAATTTGAACTGTTTATTTATTTTATAATAATTATTCAAAAGAATATCATGAAAGATATATAAAATGAATAGTAATAATGATCTTTTTTATAAGAGGTATATATTTCATATGATAAATATAAATACTTTGATTTGATGCATTATATTGAGTTGTAATGACATCCGTAAATCTTTGAGAAAGTTTCGAAATTCTTTTATATTCTGTTCAAATTACCTCAGAATAAAAGCATTCAAGTTATAAAAATATATTAAAAAAAAAACATTAATTAATTTATTAAAATGTAAAATTCTTATGAAATTGCAGTAAATAGAGCTAGTGATGCTGAAGAAAGGATCAATTATTGGTAAAGTAAAAATTAATAAGATTAAGGCGTGAATAAAGTGAATTCGTTGATTGGATTAAGAAACCAGAATAAATATTGACAAAAATAAATGATTATTTTTATCAATGGTTTGGAGATGGAAAATTAAATTTCTGTTATAATGCATTAGATAGACATTTAATTTAAAGGGGAAATCAAGTGGCTTTATATTGGGAAAGCAATATGGTTCATAATAGTTTGTAATACACATTCAATGAATTACATGATCATGTTTCTCGTTTGAGCGGCGTTTATCGTCAATTTGGTAAACTCTAATATAGAATAGTTCAAAGGAGTTTCAAAAGGTGATAGAGTAATAATCTATATGCCTATGATTCCTGAAGCAGTATTTGCTATGTTAGCATGTTCAAGAATAGGAGCAATTCATTCTGTAGTTTTTGGAGGGTTTTCTGCGTTGGAATTAAGTGGGAGAATTAAAGACTGTAAGCCAACCTTAATAATAACTGCTTCATGTGGGTTAGAAGTCAATAAAATTGTTGATTATAAGGTGATGTTAGATGAAGCTATCTAAATATCAAATCATACACCAATTTGTTTAATTGTATAAAGACCAACAAAATAATGCAATATGGTAATTGGAAGAGATTTTGATTATTATACTGCTATGAAATTTGCTAATCCCATTGAATGTATTGAAGTAGAAAGTACTCATCCACTTTATATTCTTTATACTTCTGGTACTACTGGATAACCAAAAGGGTAACTATATCTATTCATTATTATAGTATCTAACGTGATACTGGAGGCACAGTTGTGGCTTTATTGTGGACAATGAGACACATTTTAGGTTTGAAAGCCGGTGATGTGTACTTCTCTATGGCTGATATAGGATGGGTAACTGGACATTCTTTCACAGTTTATGGCCCACTTTTATAAGGATGCTCTATTGTTTTATATGAAGGCAAACCTGTTTAGACTCCAGATCCAGGAGCCATTTGGAGAATTATTGAGAAACATAAAGTCGTTGGATTCTACACTGCCCCCACTGCTTTAAGAGCTATGAGAAAAGAAGATCCTAATGGTGATTGGATTAGAAAATCAAATATTTCTAGTTTAAAAAGTATTTCTATGGCTGGAGAGAGATGTGATATACCTACATATAATTGGATACAAAGTAATACTGGTGTATTAATAAATGATCATTATTGGTAAACTGAAACTGGATGGATTATCTCTTGTAATTTTATGGATTTACACACTTTCCCTTCTAAAGCTGGAAGTGCAACTAAACCTTCTCCTGGATTTGTGATTAAAATTATGGATAATGATAATAAAGAGGTTGAAACTGGATAAATGGGAAGAATTTGTATCAGATTACCTATGCCACCAAGTTTCATGTAGACTCTCTACAATAATGATGAAGCTTTCATTCAAAAGTATCTCTCTGATACTCCAGGATATTATACTGCTGGAGATGCTGGCTTCTTTGATCAAAATGGATATCTACATATCATGACTAGAATAGATGATATTATTAATACAGCTGGACATAGATTAAGTACTGCTGCTATGGAAGAAGTACTCTTAAAACATAAGGATATTGTTGAAGCTGCAGTTGTTGCTAAATTGGATGATTTAAGAGGTGAAATTCCTGTTGGACTTATAGTCATTAAATAAGGACATGATGTTAATCCAGTTAATTTAGAAAAAGAACTTATTTCTATGATTAGACATGATATTGGACCATTAGCATGTTTTTAAAGTGTTATAATTGTTGAAAAGTTACCAAAAACTAGAAGTGGAAAAGTTCTTAGAGGTACTCTTAAAGCTATTGTAAATGGATAATAATATAAGGTATTTATTTACATATATAATTATTTTATAGATGCCTGCTACTATAGAAGATGACTCTGTTTTAGATAAAATTAAATTGAACTGTCTCAATTATGGTAAAGGAATGGGATAATATTGTAATTTAGACTTTGGAAATAAAGATGTCTATGTAGAAGAGTGAAATTATTTATCAATACATTTAATTTTATTATTTATTTTTCTTAACTGATATCATGAAAAATTATTTTAAAGACACTCAAAAAACAACTGCAGCTTCTAATCCACCTATGACTTATCGCTTAAAAAGAGTCAACTCTCTTGGTATTTTAGAATCTCCCTTTAGAATTAATAATCAAAAAGTTATGCTTACTTAATCTTCTATTAACAAATTGAAAAATGATAAATTTCAAAAATTTACATCTTAATTAATATCACTAAGATCTCAACTATAAAAAAATAATCTCGAAAATTTAGATTAATAATCTTACTTTTAGTCTTGTTATATAAGTAATCTCTCTAGTTAATAATCAATTAAATCATGTTTAAGTTCAATTAATAATAATAATCCAACAAATATTGATACAAATAGATAATCAAATATTATTATCAGTCATCGAAATAGAGGTCATAATTCAACTCATTCTGTTAATAAATTTAAAAAATCTAATTTTAAAATAGTTGAAGATATTAAAAATGGAAGAGGTAGAAAAATTTATGAAAATGGATTTATTTATGAAGGTGAATGGGTTAATGGTTTAAGATCTGGAAATGGTACACTTAAAGATGCAAATTAAAATATAATTTATTAAGGAGAATGGTTATATGATCATTTTGAAGGTAAAGGAAGATTTATAAATTAAGATTTTTAAGAGGATAAATTTAATTTAAACAATTTTAAAACATTTCAATTAGTTTAACATTAATTTACTATATATGAAGGAGAATTTAGAAATGGATAATTTTTTGGAAAAGGTGTTATGTAATTTAATTGTGGAGATGAATAATATAAATTTGTTGGTGGATTCTCATAAGACACTTTTCATGGTGTTGGTACCCTTTTATAAGATGATTAAATTGTAATTTAAGGAAAATGGATTTATGGTTGTATGGTATGATAATTAATATAAAAATTATTAGTTATATTTTATAAACTAGATACATTTTTTATTTATTTATTTTTTTTTTAATTGATTTATTAGAGTTTTTAATTTAATATAAAAAGATAAATTCAATAGTTTAAAATAGTTCTATAAATTAATATATATATACTTTAAAGTAATCAATTATAAAATATATAAATTAAAGTGTTTATAGTTTTATTAAGAAATATAAGAATTGATTTAAATATCAATCATTAAATCGTATATAAAATAATATATTTATATTTAATTCTAATCTTGTATTAAATAAAATTTAGAATTGATTATAAAATAAAGAATTGTAAATATTTGATAATAAATACAAATAATTTTAATTATTATAATAATCATAAAATTATTATATGAAATCATTTTATCTCTAAAAACCAACTTAAGTTAGAGGTAATTCAGAACCTAAAAAATAAGAGAAGATATAAAGTAACTTAAAAATGTCAGTTTCATAAAAGATGCATGAAACATAAACAAAATGGAATGGATTAATTGCTAGAACAGTCACTCTCGAATAAAACTTATTAAGATTACGTGATTCAGTTAATTAAACACTTCGTGGTGGTAGTAAAGAATCAACTTCATCTAAATCAACAGCAGAATAATCACATAAACCACCTACATTAGTAAATATGACCAGCAGAATTGCATCACCAATGTTAAAAAAGGTTTCTCCATAGGATTGTATGACAATGTCAAGAATATAGACATATAAGACAGTATAATCTTGGTTTCCCAAGTCAAGGTTCCAAACATTTGAAGCGATTCCTCAATTTAGAATTGGTAAATTACTAGGAAGAGGATAATTTTCAGATGTTCATTTGTGCATGTACTATCAGACTTTAAAATAAGCGACAAATTGAGTAGTACAATCTATGCTTTGAAAGTGATAAAGAAAGAGAAAATTTAGGATGAATAGTTATAGAAACAAATGATACAAGAAATTCAAGTGCAAATGAAACTTAATCATCCTAACATAGTTAAGTTGTATAATTGCTATTCTGATGAATACAATTTGTATTTGCTAATGGAATATTGCAATGAAGGTGAACTCTTTAAAGTCCAAAGAAAATAACCTGGATACAAGTTCCCAGAAGTAAATGTGCCTACAATACTTAGAATAAAGCATCTTATTATATAAACTAAATACTACAATGCATTTAGTATATGCATTAAAACAAAGTCATGCATAGAGATCTAAAGACAGAGAATATCATGTTATCATTTAATCAAATAAAAATTGGTGATTTTGGATGTGTTTGTTCTAATCAAGACAGAAGATAAACTTTTTGTGGTACAATAGAATTCATGGCACCTGAAGTAATTCAGATGAAGGGTTATGATTTAAGAGTGGATGCATGGCAAATAGCTGTACTTGCTTATGAATTAGTGTATGGTTAAACACCATTTGTTCTTTTAGGAAATAAAGATTAGAAAGGCATAATGGATAATATACTAAAAGTATTCAGTTTAATTATCATTTCAATTTAGCATCGTTTAACAATACCTCATACTTTTTCATCTGAATTAACATTCTTTGTTAAAGGAGGTCTTCAATCTGATCCTAATAAAAGATTAACAATTGAATAAATGATCAAACATCCTTGGATTACCAAACATAAATTACCCTAAACTAAATGTGAATACAATATCTGAAAATATAAAATAATTAATAAAAATAATATTAAATATCACCAATTCAAATTGAACATCATATTTTTATTCTATACTGGAATGCTAATAATATTAGTATCTAAAAAGAAAGAACATTTATATTCTTTTCCATTTTCTTCCTCTTCCTATTATTGCTATTACCAATATTAGATATTCACACTTATTTAATCTAAACAAATCTTTTTAAAATTTTCACTAAAAAGAATTAATTATTATCTTTATACTTTTTCAAAAATTCTCCAAAAGCATCAAATAAAGGCCATACTATAGCTTTTAAAAAGCCTTCCTACGATTTAGTTACACTTTGACTTCTGTCACACATTGGTGTCACTTATATACCAACTTAAGCTTCTAAATCTCCTTATAAAAAGAATTCTTCAATAATTCTACGACTCCATAATTTATGTAAATTCAATTATTTTGCTCCATGTCCAATATCTATATATTATTATTATCAATATTACCTGCACATTTAATTGCTATAGAAAGAATTAATAATTTGCTTTACTCATCTGATTGACTATCTGAGCCTAAAGCTAGAAAATTCTTAAATTTATTTAATAATGGAAAATGCTTTTGTAAATCAGTATCCAATATTAAATTTAAACAATACTTTCTAAATCCTTTATAATCAACATCATTTATGTTCTTTAAGATATTTGCCTTTTCATCTTTCAAAACATGAAACATCAAAGAAGCATGATAACTTTCTAATACACTTTAATCATTATCTATTTAATGGTTTCATCTTTACATATTAATGCTTATTTAGATTGAGAAGCAACCAAAAAGCCATTATTTAATCCAGGATGTCCTACATCATGTGATAATGCTGAAATAATTAAACAACATTATTCAAATGGAGTGACATCTAGACCATTCTCTAAAAAAAAAGATGCAGAATTTGCTACATCCATAGCATGAATAGAATTATGATAAGGATTTTGCATATAAAATGATTCAATTCTATGACAGAATTCAATTTAAATTGACTTTTCTTTAATTTTAAGTACTTAATTAATACTAATATTTAGTTTAGATTGATTACTTATATTATTGAAATATAAAGGAACTAAAACTAATAAATTTATTTGGTTCATTAACTTCAAAGAAATCAAAATTAAAATTATTTAAACATTCTTTCATTTAATTATAATTAGAATCTATAAAATATTAATGTTCTTAAATCTTAGTTTCACCTTATTATTATTAAAAATTAAATTCACGTTCAGTAAAATGATTAAGAATAAAACTATGATAATAATTTTAAATTACTTTTTAGCTTCAGGAGAGAAAGATTCAGAACCTCTAGTATCAATATTCTTATTACTTCTTAAAAAAGAGGGTAACCATAAATGTTCTTTTCTACCACTTACTATTTTAAGTAAATCATCTAAATCATCCAAAGTAAAAAAATTTTCATCATTTTCTTTAATTTCATCTCTATTCATACTATGACCAACAGTATGAGCAAATGATAATGATTCATTAATAGAATTTAATCTTAAAGCTCTTCTAATTGGTGATTTTTTACTAGGAGAATCTTCTATTTCTTAAATAGAACTTTTATCATCATCATCAGGTAAATTACGTACTGTTAATACTCTAGAAGGTTAACTCATTTATTTTTATAAAAGCTTTTCTTCTAAATAACTATGCTCAGTTTTGTCTAATAATTTCTAATATTTTAATAAACGTAATTTTTTTAATAATTCTTCTTAACGAGATTATTATTAATCTTCAATTATTATTGTTTTATATGACATCTCTATTTCTTTCTTTAATTTTATAGCTTCTCCATCAAATTCTTTAATCTTTTAATCATACTCTTCTTAAATTTATAACTACTTTTAATAGAGTATCCACATAATTGTTAATCCTCCAATCCAACATATAATTGTAATATCATCTAATTTCTATGATAAAATATATTGTAATCCAACTTAAAATGTTAGAATTCCTATTAAAATAGCTATTTTAATATTAGATAATCTAAATTTGATAACAATTATGATCATCTAAAAACATAATAATACAAAATCTATTCTCAACTATTCAATATTAATTTCTGACATTAATGTCCAAAAAAATCTACATGTTAAGAATTTACTTAATAAAAACCATTTTAAAGTGAAGATTTGTAAGTATTAAGGATTTGATGAGTAAATGATCTTTAACAAATAAATCAGTACTAATGAAGTATGTAACATTAATGTAGTTTGTACTAATCCTTCTAAGAGAAATAATGTTGCTATCAGAAGAGCTTCACTTTTATTCAAATAAGTTTATTGTGATGGCTTGCTAAAAAGTTCTTAGAACTTGGCTAACAGTCGGTCTTATTATCTTAGTTATTAATCATAAATGTTATAAGGCATTAATTAATTATCATTATTTTGTTCTATATCGTTAACCAATTTCTTATATTCTCTCCTCTAGTAAATCTCTCTTTTTCACTAATCCAATTCTTCTTTGATATTGTATCAAACGAGATGACTTTATGTCAATCTATTATGGACTTACATCCACTACTACATCTGAATGAATTTAAGGACTTGCCAATCTTGAATTATAGAACTCTTTAAATCGTACTTCAATCATATGTCTTCTACTTCCATAAATTTGTTTCACTTAATTTGCAGAAAGTATGCTTTTTAATTCCTATTAAGCAGATGGTTATTTCTTATGTTTATCCAATATACGTTTGATATTATCCATCATTGCATCTAATTTTGGATTCTCAGGTAATGGTATATAGTCTAATATCATAGGAGATGATTCAGTAGTCAGATTTTTTAGACGTGTTGATCTGTTCGTAAGTGGTCTTTACTATACTTTAGATTACATATCATCCTTAATACCCTAAACTATCCTTTGACATCTAGTTAGCTTTGTTGATTTTTGTAACATAATAATATTAAATGAACAACCTTTATTTAGATCTATTCATTCTCTTAAAAGGATTAATGAGACAATTTATAAATCACTCATATCAATTCACTTTTTATCATTAAATTGTTAATGGATCAAACAAATTACATAAACATGTTAAAATATATATTCATTACAAATATCATTTATTTATAATTCAATATAACTACTGAATTCTTATATCAAATATAAAATGTTCATAAGAGTATGATTATATTTTGATATCAATTAAATTATATATACTTCTTTATTGAAAATGATAAAAACATTAATAATATATTGTTTCATATTATAATGCAATATTATTTTCAACTTAATTTATTTTATCTATTTAATTCAGTCCACCATTCACGATAGAATCTTAAAAAAGGACTCAACAACAACATAGCAACTACATAATAAAATTATATTGCTTTCACTATTTATGGATCTCTTGATATATATTTTGCCAATGGTGTTAGTATAATTATGGCTATTATTATTAATAATATTATTACTTGTGATTGCTTTCAAATGTAAAGTACCAGCCCAAAACTTATTTTTAGATTTTAACTTTTCTTTTCCTTTTAATAAAAATATGTTAACAATTCCTGCTAAAATCATTAGGAATCCTGAAATTCCTGCAAATAATATTTAAGCTTTTGTTATCTCTGCTTGATCAGGCCATAAATAATCATATATTATACGACCGCCTAAAGCTGTAACACTACCAATATGTAATACTCTGAACACATATTTTACCCAAAACTCAGTATTATACATAATAAATTAATTGTTATATTTATATATAATTTTGTATTAGATTTATTAATATTAATATATATATATTCTATATATTAATCAACTAATAATTGTAAATAATATTAATTTCTGGATAACAAAAGTATAAATAAATTTTATTAAAAGAATCCATTAATATTTTATTAATTATTATTTTTAATATAATGAAGAAAGAAAAAGATAATAATAAATATTTAATAAAAAGTTAAGAGAATTAATTTAAAATTTATTTTTTAAATATTCTAATAGATCTATAAAATATATAAAATAAATGATATATAGTTACACTATTTGAACTCTTGTTTTTAGAGTCATATAATTGATTTTTAACCATTCATTACCTCTTAATATATATTATAAAAAACAGAGGATTTATTGCTTAACAAATCTTTGGTTGCCCCTGATTCTATTAATATACCATTATCTATGACAAGTATTCTTAATTAAAATAATTTTATACTTATCACATTTCATGATTGTATTAATACGATGTGCAATTGTTATAACTGTACAATCTCTAAAAGCTATTGCTATAGCTTTTTAGATTCTTTCTTCAGTTTCTAAATCTATATTGGCAGTTGCTTCATCTATCAATATAATTTTAGCTTTTTTAAGAATAGCTCGAGCAATACAAATCAATTACTTTTCTCCAGCACTTAAATTATCTCCACTTTCATTAATCATTGTATCCAAACCATTTCTTTCATTTAAAAGTTTCTCTAAACAACAATCATATAAGACTTTTGTTATATCATCATCATGACATTATCCTAAAGGATCTAAATTTTATCTAATAGTTCCATGAAATATAACAGCATCTTATTAAATAGAAGTAATTGAAGATCTGAGTTTCTACAATGAAATCTAAGAAATATCAATATCATCAATTAGAATTTGACCTTCATTAGCTTCTAATATTCTTATTAAACTGAGTGTAATAGTAGATTTTCCTGCTCCAGTTCTACCAACAATTCCTATTTTTTCATTTTAATTAATAATATATGAAAATTCTTTTAATGCAAATGGTAAATTAGGCCTATATCTAACAGATAAATCTTTAAATTCTATCTTCCCATATATTGGCCAATTTTAAGGTGGTTAATTTTGATTTTGTTTTTCTTAAGGAACTTTAGTAAAATCTAGACATCTTTCAAATGATATCATATTATTTTCTATTAATCCTAATGTATCAATCATTTGTTAAGTATTAATATCTAAGCTGGATACATAGGTTAAAATTAATCCAGCAAATGGAGCATTATCAGAAAAAAGTATACAATAAATAATGGCAAACATATTTACTATTAAACTTAAAAATCCTAAAATTTAATTAAACCAACAACTTGCATGATTAGAAATAAATATAATTTATCTATTTCTATCTAATTTTTGACTAAAATTAGATAGAAATAATAAAGACTTTTAGAAAGCTCTTATAGTTGATAAACCTTATAATGATTCTACAAAATAACTCAATATTGGACTTTTACTTATTAATTCTAATCTTTATAATTCTCTACTAGCTTTCATGTAAATTCTTTAAATTTTGATACTTAAATAAAAGAAAAATAGTAATGGTATTATTATCAATTTTGTTGTAGCTATTAAACCAATTATTGTAGAACTTACAATTTAACTTATTTTAGTTGATGCAAAACTTAAATTCATATTGATTTCTATATCTAAAGAATTTATATCCTTTGTTAATCTATTCATGATTCTTCCTGTAGGAACTCTTTCAAAAAATTCACATTAAGGAGCATTAAGTAAACATTTAATAATTTGATTATGTATTATTGTTGTAGATTTAACACTTGAATTAGCAATTGAAGCTGCTCTACCATATGCTAATATTGCTTAAGATATTCCTAAACACAAATAAACAATCATATAAGTCTTTTGATTGTAATCTTAATTGTATAAATCTTCTGACCAATGTGCAATCCAAAGATTAGAGAATAATTAAACAATTATCCACATTATCATTACAATAAATAAGAACATATAATTTGTAAAACCACCATTATATAAAAAATACTTCTAATAAACAGAAATATCAATATCTCCAGATTAACGATCTTCTTTTAATATTAATTCTTCTTTATCTTTGAATTCTTTTTATTTTTTTGTTGCAGAAGATGTATTCATATATAACATATCATTTTATATTTAATTCTTCTATAAATCATTTTCTATAAGTTCTTCTGTTTTAGTATTAAACTTTTATTCTATTTCTAAAAACTTTTAATTTTATTTCATATATTGATAATTCCCTTAATCTGTAATCTCTCCATTTTATATAAGATAGATTTTATCAGTAAATTAACAATAGTTCAAAGTATGAGTACATAACATCCTAGTTTTATCCTTTAAATATTTAAGGAAACATTCTTTCATTATAAAATTGGCAACATGTATATCAACAGCACTTAATGGATCATCTAATAAATATATAGAAGCATCACTATAAATTGCTCTTGCTAAACTTATTCTTGCTTTTTAACCACCTGATAAATTAATTCCTTTTTCTCCAATTATTGTTGAATCTCCATCTATTAATATTTCTAAATCTTAATTTAAACAAGAATAATAAATTGCATTTTCATAAGATGTTTAATGGAACTCTTTACCAAATAAAATATTATCCTTCACACTCCCATTTTATATCCATGCTTTCTATCCAACATATGCTATATCTCCATATATTTATACATGAGGCTATTAATGTCCCTCTTTATATACCATCTCTCCTATTAAAGCTTAAATTAAGGATGATTTCCCACTACCAATATCTCCAATCAAAGATATAAATTAAGTAGGCTAAATTATTAAAGAGATATTCTTTAAAATTGGAAAACTCTCCTTCTCTATCTAATTTCTATTCCAATTAAAATTTCCTTATTCTATTTTTATTGCTATATTAGTATCTCTATAATCTAATTATTCTATGCATTTATTCATGATTTCATCTGTCTCCAAAAATGTTGATACTCTTTTTAATGATAATAATGCTTCTTATAATGAATTGTATGAAATTGGTAATATTTATAAATTAGATGCTAACATTAAAAGCAAACTAATAATGGGAAATACTTTACTAGGAGTTAATTCATTTCCTAAATAAGCATAAACACCAAAACTTAAACTTAATATCAATTAAGGAGAAAGCCAACCAAAAAATACATTAAAAGAAAAATGATCTAATCTCTTCTTTATACATATTCTTTCTGCTTCTCTCAATTATTCTATTTTGTTTTAAAATATAGATTCATATGCATTTATTTTTATGAATTTTATTTATTAGAAAACCTCATTAGTTTATTTGATTCTATCATCTTTGCTTTTTAGAACAGCCTTTTAAGACAATAATAACTTTTTGCCAAGAAAATGATTTGCAATAAATGTCAAAACTATTATGATAATACCAACAAATACAGTAAAACCTATTTCTCTATATATGTATATCAAAGTAATTACTATTATAATAATTATTATTTACATGTTTATATTGGAATGATTGATATATTCAATAGATTATTTGAAGCATATACCATTTTTTATGCATCTACTTAAATTAAATTTGTTATCTCTCCTATAGTACGTTATGTATTGCTTAGAGTTGATAATTTTAAACATTTATTCATAATCTACATACTCACTATTGCCATAGCATCTTATCCAGCTAAAATCTTTAATATATATAATGATATTTACTAACATCAATTTTGAATGAGATTATGTTAATATACCTATAATTCTTACTGCAAAAATAATGGAAATTAGAATTATACCATCTGATTTTGTTTTTTCTTCATTAGAAACATAAATCAACACATAATGGATTATCAATGGCATTAAAAGTTGACTACCCAATTAAATAAGTTGTATACAATATATTTTGAAGAACCTTTCTAATAATTACTATAAATATACTAACAAAAAACTTTAACAGCTATATTGTTAAACTAGAACTTAAGTTTTATTTTTAGAATTCTGAAAATTATTCATGCAATGATTCTGATGATTATTATATAAAATATTCTTCTAATTCTTCTTCATTTAACTAATGAGATTATGCATTCTAAAAATAATATATTTTTAAACTTTCATTAGTGAATAAATATTCAAATAAAACAATCTCCCAAACCAACTTTCTTTATTCTCTCTATCTGTTGTAATTATCAAATTTTGCTATTCATTTTTATAATTATTAAGTTCTTTATTCATTAATTAAATTATTTTTTGCTTTTATTTATCATTTTATTTATAATCAATTTAAACCTTTATAGATCTAAATTTCCATTAAAAACTTTTATCTATTTATAATTTTAATCCCTTATCTTTTTGTTAATATAAATAAATCACATATTATACTATTCCCTGAAATTGATGAATGAATTAACCAAATAATTATAATCTTTTTTAATAAAGGTGTGGTATCAAAATAATTGTTTTTTAATTAATTTAACATGAATAAATACACATGCTTTTTTAGAAATAAAAATATTGAAGACCTCTATCAAAAAAATCATCAAATATCACAAAGAATATTTTAATTTAAACTATTTTCTTATACATTAACAATAGGATTGCTATTTAAAATTTGTACAATGATAATCTCAGGAAATATTGATAATATATATCCACATATTACTATGTTGCTTATTATATTGATTTATAATGCTCTAAAATTTGAAAATAGTTAAAAATTAAGAATAACTTAGTCAGCAATAAATATTATCTTTACACTTTATGTTCTTTAATATGATGTTTTTACTGACTTAATTGCTTAGAGCTATAATGGTGGGAATTAAGTGACAGCAAATATATTAAATAGTATAATGGGGGAATTTCCTGAAGCTGCTATTGGAACAATCATAACTTTGGGAATGAGACTTTATTTTTTCTTACGTTCTGGAGATTTAGAGAATATAAATGTTATGCTTATAACTGCTGCACTTCATTTAGTATGGATATATTACTTATATAATTTTAATAAAGCCAAACGATCTTAGTTTATTTTGACTTTAGTTGATAATAAATGGGAAAAAATATTTCAATAAATATTAAATAATAATAAGAAATTTGTATTATTACATTATGATGATGAAGAGTTTAAAATAAAAAAAGTCATATAAACTATTCTACCTTAAAACACTTCATTTGATACTTTTTATGAATATATTCGCTAAGCAAAATGCAATAATCAACCAATTCAGAATTTCTTTTTTTAATAAATTAATTAACATAAAAAAAATTAATAAGATGTTATTAATTAATAAATTCTTGTCAAGTATGAAAAGAAATTAATTTAATTTAATTTTTCGCTATTTTTTGGAGATAAACCAATCATTCTTCTAGTCAATGAAGATTAAACTAAATCTAATAATGATATCCTATCTCAATCAACCATTATTCTTAAAATACTTAAACATTTAGTTAACATTATAGATTTAGATAAGTAGTATAACAAAAGAAAATTCTTTTAGTTATCTTAATTTATCCAAATCAAATATTTAATAGGAAAAATTAATTCACAAAAGAAATAAATACAATAAATTAATCTGAACAATTACATAAAGAAAATAGCATATTAATATAAACGCTATTTAACTATTTAAACATATGGCTTAGAATGTGATGTTAAGATTTTAATAGATGTTCTTCATCTATTCTTACTTATTATATTTGGTAATACAAGTAAAAAGTATATCTAAGTCGACATATACAGAGATTTTGATTATAAAGTCCATATAGTATTCGAAGGATTCTTTAGATAAGATAACATTAATATCCTTTATCAAAAATTCGAATTTTACTTTGCTCTTATAATTAGAAGGTGTTCTATACAAGAAAACTGTAATAAATTCATTTATTTCTAGATATTAAAATTGAATTAAATGAAGAAATTTTATGCCCTTTTATTAATAATTAAATTAAGATTTTTTGATTATATCTTTGTCAATATAATTATATGTATTAAATCTTGTTATTTAATTTATTTTCAATTGATTTTATTTTTGAAATTTAGATTTTTTATAATAATTAAAATGTTATCTGAAATTATCAACTAGAAATAATAATACATAAAATCTGATACTATAACTTTGAGTGATTTTGGAATTCAAACAATTGGATATTCTAATACATTTAAAAACATGTATGTGATTTGGCTGATTATAATAGAACTAAGTTACATCTCACAGGAAACAAAATAGTGAAATTAGATGGATTAGAATAATTTACAAATTTACAATACTTAAATTTGTCTAACAATCAGATTGAAAGTATAAAGGAATTCTAACATGTTCCATAATCATTATAGTGTTTGTTTGTAGCTGGAAATCCTTTTACTGCTAACTTGAATTATGGTTATTCTTTGATGTGCATACTTATGAATTTATAATAGTTGGACAATGACAAAATAAATAGATAATTAACTTAAGAATATTAAATTAAGATGCAAACATATGGTTTTCATGTATTAGCATATTTTGTACATTTTAACAATAAATAATTAACTCCTATATTTAACAATAGATCAATAAATTATATACAGAAGCTTTTAATGATAATAGACTAATTAGAAAATTAAAATAAAGATGAAATTTAAGGTTTATGTCAATAATTGTAAAACCTATAATTTAAAAAATCTATTGCTGATATAATCTTAAAGCATATCTGTAAATTTGAAAGAGATTAATTCAAAAGTAATAATATTAATGTTTTCTTTGCTAATTAAGCCATGTAATCTTAACATACAGATCTATAGAAATTTGCAGATGATGAAGGATATTATTAATAAGAAGTTCTTTAAGCTTTCATTTCATATGAAGATAATCAATAGTTTCCTACTTTCTCTTTAAACTAGGCTTATAATCTTGGGATTCTAGATTTTATATATCAAAGTACTTTGACTCAAAATACAACATTTAGACCATAGGAAGACAGAATAAAATAATATGTAGAACCACCACAATAAAATTTTTCATTAATCAATAAAAGTAATGCTAGTGTTTAGAAAAGCATACTTAAACCTACTAGTTATTCAGTATCTACTTAATCAAAATTTGATGAGTGTACTTAAGAATATCTTAATAATTATAAAAAATAATATCCATTTTTGAAAGGATTTGAATAGCTAAAGAAGAGTTTGCAGAAATATTATTTATAAGAATTCAAATTGAAATTAAAAAAGAAAATAAATAGATTAAATTAATAATGTATAGCTGGTACATTTAAATTGGATTACTTTAAGAAATTATATTAAAGATACTTAATTAAAATAGCATTGCAATAGATCAATAGAAAATCAAAAATATCTAATATGATCAATATTCTATAGATCTAGAGAAAACATTAGTAATTGTTATCTATTAAACATATAAAGAGTGTTGTTTATGTATAAAAGAATATGGCAAATTTACAAAGATAAATATATTTAAAAAGAGCTGTATTTAAATATTTAAATCCAAAAATAAGGTATGGAAAGATAGCTAAAAAACTATAATTAAAGTTGTTAATATTAAAAATAAATGGAATTTTAAGAGAAGCATTAAAATAAATAAAAATTACAGCTTTAACATTTAAAGTAGAGATAAGGAAAGACTTAGCATTTTAAGTAACATTAAAAAAGGAAAAGAAATAAGAGTCACGTGCTTTAGAGAATTTTAGAAAACTAAGAGAGTTGGGTAATACTTAATATTGATAAATAATTAAATAATGTATTCAATTACAGCTCGTTTTAATTAAATCGTGTTCTTTACATCATGGACATTAGGTATATTAATCATACTAAAGAAGTCGTGTTATCATTGCTTAATTAGGGTACAGCATATTTCTTTAAGACTGGAAAGCCAACAGTAGATCTAAAGATATTGAGTGCAGATAAATTGTATTGAAGATTAAATGATTATTCTATTTAGTCATCATTTCAAGGCCACTTATTATAATGGAGGTGTAACCGATTGGGATTAAGTGACATTTAAATTTTCATTAGAGGCAGGTTTTTTATACACGTAATATTATTATTAGATTTTGAACCAGTATATAATTGGAACTTGAAACAATTATTTTTATATGTGAATGTTCATCATGAACATTAGGATAAAGGAGTAATGAATTTCTATAAATTTTATAGTATGAATCAGATTGTGTGATATATGATAAAATTATTTCTAGACCAGATGATCCTAATAGTTGGAGTACTTCATCTAAAGTATTTTTAAAATAAATACTTAGCTTGTTTTGAAAAATCAAAGAGCTGAATATCCACTCAAAGATATTCATAAATAATTGCGTAATGCTACAGTCAATTTTGAAGTGTGGATAGAAGTTATGCCTTATGTTGGTTATATAAGGAGAGAAAAATTGGGTGATTTCGAATATAAAATGCCTTAATAGTATAATTGAGATGTGTAATTTATATTTTTAACAATCACATTTTTTTGAATGTCTTGTATTGATTAAAGCTTTGCACAATTTTAACAAACAGCTTAGTTCTTTAATCCAGATATTGGTAACAATGGAACTCTTAAAATGCCCTAAAAAATAAAAAAAAGAGAGATCTCTATGCCATCTTATTATTTTGATGACTTTAAAGGATTTCTCAAGTAACCAATAAAAATAACCTCCAATATTACCTAAAGGCGTAATACACATACAACTACAACTCAAGATAATAGTCAAATGACTTAGTCAATTAAATAACCAAATAAAAGCTTAAAATAATTGACTTAAGCAAATACTTAAGACTTTTCAAAAATAATCAATATAATTAGTTAATTTAACAATACTAATAAATTAAAACATACATAGAGTGCAAATTCTATGCAATACAAATTGATTATACCTTTAAAGGAAAAATCAATCAATATAACAAGAGATAGCAGGACTAACTCAAGATGTAGTGTAGTATCTGCATAAGGAGAAAGAAAACGTAGTATAAAAGTAAATGACCCATATGGATTAATTAATAATAAAATAATGAGCAAAACTAATTCGAAATAATTCTTAAAACAAAAGGCTTAAGATAAATTAGTAGATAAGTTATTCTCATAAAGATCAGATAGCGTTTAATGATTATTTATCTATAGATGCATATTATCAGTCTTTTTTTATATTAGTTATATTTAATTAAAGATTTTCTTAGAATACTATACACAACGTTTCATATTAACTAAAAAGAAATAAGTAGATTATTTATATAATAACATACAAAAAATCAATGTCTAAATTGAATTTAGCTATCTAGAAAATCAATTCAGACATTAAATCTAGAGCTTATTAATTATAATTATTTATATAAATATTTATCATCATTCAAATCTCATTATTTATGTATTACAACTATAGAATAATTAGTTTGATCTATGTATATGTATTTAGTTTTTATATTAGTTAGACATATAATTATATTTTTATCATAAAAAAAGGAATTAAAATATCAAAAGAAATTTGATAAAAATCTAAAAATAAATATGATTAATGGTTCTTAATAAATTAACTAAATGACAAAGGAAATAGAAGAAATATAATGATTAAATATTTATATTATTTTAAATATTTGTTTCAAATTGGGGGAGATATACAAGTTTAATTTAAAATTAATCTTTACATCTAATTATGCTAACTTGGTAAGAAAGTTGAGTATATTTCTTTGGCCCTGAAATGACATTTGCTAGCTTTGTCTACATCTCCTTATGATTAATAGATCACAGCTATGTTATTAAGAATTTATGCTCTTTAAACACAGTTTTTTCTAATTATGTTTGAATATTTTACTGAAAACATTATAATGCTTAAATAAAGTAATTGAGTGATTATTAAATATCTGGCACTAATCCATATGTTAATCCTAAAAGATTGAATACTTCAACAAATTTAAGATGTTTATAGTCCTTATATATTTTATATTTAATGTTAACTGCCTTCATAAGAAATTCAATAGCTTCATCTGTATTTTTTTAAATATAATTGCATTCACCTAATGAAACATAAGCCTCAGCTATAAATTCATGATCATCTGGAACGAATTCTTTAAGAATAGCTATTGCTCCATAAATTAATTTTTTAGAGAGATCGAAATTTTCTAAATATAAATTATCAATTACTAGTCCAAGAATGTAATTTTGCCATCAACAGCAATATATAAGTTATTTCAGATTTCCATTATAATTTTTCATAATATTAAAGAGCTTCATAAAATGTGGATTGAGCATTTTAATAAGCTTAATTGAGAAAGTGTAATTTTCCTAATTCAATTAAAATTTTTCCTTCTAAATTTGGTTCTAAAATCTTGAACTGTTTCTATATAGTTTTTAATTATTTAATAGCATTCTTGAAATCACCTACTTATTTATAAAATCTTGTTAATAAACACATAGTTCTAACAGTCTATATTGCTTAATTGAGCATATGGTTGCAATCATGATCATTTTCTATCATTGAATTTTAGAGCTAATTAGTGATTGACTTTAAGATTTTGATATAGTTTTAAAAATCACCTGTATCTGCATTCTTTTCTATATCATCTAATTATTGAGATATTGTTTTAGGAGTTTAAAGTTCTTCTTTTTATGGTATAGAATTTTAAGTTTGATCTGGAGAAAATTCATAGTTTAAAACAACTGGTTTCACGATCTCACTTCTAACTTTTGGGGGAGAAGCAATGAATGTTTTAGAAAGATTTGACATTTATTATTGATCTCGCTAAGAGACAACAGCTATTTCATTTAAGTCTTTGACTTAATTATTTTATTAAATCATAGGTTGTTTAACTATCGAGTTGCTCATTGATGATAATCTAGAACTTTATTTAGAATTGTTGTCTAACTAATTTGATTAACTTCATTACTTGATTATAGGTATTAGCTCTAGTTTTGACCTCAACAATATATCCTTTCATAACATCTTCTCTGATTCTTTATAATAATCCATTTAGTTGATCGTCTCTTCTGAGAGTTTCTTGATCAATTCGTTCATAACCTGTTGACATTAATAAATAATAATAATTATACTTTAGTATGATTTTTAATGTTTAAAAATATCATAAAATAAATAAGCATTTACAAATTCAAGTTACTATTCTGTAAAATTTGTAAATTTCTAATTGAAATATTTTATCAAACATCATATTATTTTTAATATTTTCTTTCTGAATTCTAAATTTCTTATTTTTGAGTACCTATAATTCAGTATAGCTTTTAGTCATAACTATAGAATGTGTATTGCTTTCTCTAAACTTAAGAGTTTAAGGCATATTGATTTATTGAAAATTTAAATTATTTTCTATATTAATTCTTTTCAACCAGATATTTGACCCAAGTATTTACTTTAAAAAATTAAATCATTCATTTTAATCATAGAGATTCTGTATGTTGATTTCCAATTTTTCATTCCTGTAATACTTTAGTTTAAGTCATTTTTATAACATTTAAAAATCAGATGATTCCAATCAGTATATTAATAACTAACCGTATGAGTTTGTAGAAAGTAAACCTAAAATATAACTACCACATAATTATAATTATAATTATAAGGCTAATAAAAAATTTGAAGTTGCAAATTCAGATGTTGCATAATTGTCATCAAAATTATTAAAAATCTATCATCAAAATAAAAAATAACTAAATCTTCTTATTTTTTAATATAGTCTAGTTTATGTCTCTATGAAAGACTTCTTAAAAACTAATGAAGTATAATCCTTAATTAAGATCATTACTTATTTATGTTTCATCAATCTATGTATTTTAATTCATTCTTAAAACATTATATGTTTTTTTAACTTTTGAAACTTTATTATAATCAAAACACATAATTCATTGGTTTTAGTATTTCTATCAAAAATAACCTCTTATTTATTATAAAAGTACTTGTTTTTGAGTAGATACCTTATGCAATCAACTTATTCAATCTATATTTTTATAAAAAGCCAATTTAAATATATTAAATTCTTAAATACTTTAATTAGTTCTATTATATCTCTATAAAGTTATAATTATCCCATCCATTTTAATTTTATACTTCAAAATCATTATAATCATATATTAATAAGTAAATTATAACTTTCGATAATAGTAATCAATTATTTGTGTCTCATAATAAAATATTTAAAAATCCTTGTTTTATTATCAAGTATTAGAGTTTCATCTTAGAATATGCATTACTCAATTATTCTCCAATTTTTACTTGAAAGATTCCTTCTAAACTTACATTACTTAAATGTTCCATTTCACAGTGATCTCAAAATGTAGTTTAGTGAATGTGAAATAGAAATTAAAATTGTGTGGTTTTATTAATCATTTTATTAATTATTGATCATTAATTAATTTTCTCCATCTTTTAATATCATATCTAAATACCCTGTCTTATTTATTTTATTATTAATAGTAGAAATCATTCTTATAGAGATTTATTATAATCAGATTTTTTATATTCTCTTTTGTCTTTAAACTTTTCTCATTTTATCATTATTCTTACCATTAATGACTGAAATACATATCTAAAATTTGCAATCTTCACCTAACTTGATATCTATATTAATTATAATAAACTAAATTTATTTAGCTTATGGATTCAGTATCAGCTGGTTACACATTTATTTTCTATATTAGGTATTGCAAAACTAGATATTTTTGGATAACTTGTATTCCTCAGAATCAATAGACAAGCCAATTATAAAACAATCTTTGGAGGTTGTGCTTCTATTGCAGTTATGAGTGTAATGATTCTCATTTTCATTACAAATTTTATTTCCTTCATTCAAAAAGAGTAATTGAAAGTTGTCTCTATATCCGAGTATGAAGATTTAATTGATACAATCTCATTTCAAGATTCACACTTTCTTTTTGCCATTAAAATCGAATAGCTAAATTTTATTTAAAGACCATACTTTAATATCACTATGCAATAAAAGTAATGCTTAATGCCCATCTAAGACTCTACTTTAGAAACACAGAAGGCGATGTCAAGAAAGAAACTATAGACATTCAATTAGTTCCATGTACTTTAGATCGTTACACGTAAATATTTGCAGAATACCAAATCAATTTTACTTAGTAATTTTAATAACTTCATCTGTCAGACTTTTTATGTCCAAGGTACATATATATATAAGTATGATAGCATAAATACTAACATCTTGATAGGAGGTACATACTCAAGTAAAATTAATATCCTATAAAATTAGGCAATTAATTTGATTTCATAGAACTATCTATTACATAATGTTAAAATAGTTCATAGAATTTATGGAACCCAATATGTGATGATCCTATTGATACTAGTTTTAAAGTCAGATTGTATACAGTTAATTAAGTATCTAATTTATTTACGTTAAGAATATCAATCCTTATAAACCTAAAGATTCTTATATTTAACCCTTTTTAGATGATTCTTTATCATTTACTTTTAATTTAAATTCAACTAAGTTTGCTAACATTTATTTTACAAAGTATGAATTCCAAAATGATGAAAGTCTATTACCAATTAGGTATGTGTATATTTGAAATAATCATTTAGTATGATTGAAGAAAGGACATTTTTTGTTTTAGATTCATCAGATATTCAACAAGAAATTACTGAGATCGAAGAAAATTCATTAGCAAAATTGTAATTAAGAAAAAAACCCTTTAAAACAAAATTTTTAAGATAATATTAAAAATTAGATGAATTACTATCTAATATAGGTGGAATTCTCTAAATAGTGACATTTTTTATTGGATTATTGGTAACTATATATAATAGAGTTAAATGTATATATATTAATTAATATAGTAGATATGGTTGAATTGTCAAATAGAATTTATGATTTTAGTATTGATGATTCATATTAAAAGAATATATATTCAGAAAATTTATAAATTTTAGCAGAACAATAGAAAAATGAAAGGGTAGGACTTGATTCAAAGATATAGACATCAAATTAAAGAATAATGACTGAAAATGATCAATGTGATAATTGTATTGAATCATTTAGAGAAGAATAGAAAAATTTTTAGAAGGATAGTTTGGCTATTAGATTAAGTTTTACAACTGGTTTAGATTACTTTTCAAATTAATTGTAAAAGATGTTTGAGAAAAAGAAACCAATACCATTAGATTTATAAATCTTTTTGAATTATATAACATGCAATTTACTATTTAAAGATGTTCCAAAAGTTAAATTAATGAATAAAGCTTAGTAAGACATTATCTCAAATATAGTGAATAAATTATTTCATAGTCAGATATTTATACAATATTGTCTAGATTGAATGAAATTGATAAATTGAAAGAGGTATTATTAACACCAAAACAATTGGTTATGTTTAATTTCACTCCAAAGAAATTAATAACATTAGAAGATGAAGATCTAAAAATAGATAGAAATATGGTTGAATCTTAACATAAAACTTCAAAAGATAAGTAATATTTATTTAATAAAAATAAGATAGGTTGAATTTTTAATATATGCTAAAATGATGATGAAGATGAAAAGATAAAATAAAAAAGAAAAGAATACAGGATAAATTAGACCACATAAAAGAGCAAGTTTTATTCCATAACCACTTAATAATTATGTATATTAGCAAATTTATAGTGTAAGATAATTATTAAATAGATTAGGCATATGATGAAATCTTCAAAAATAAACATCAATAGGAAACTTTAAATACATAGTTAATCTCCATGTTAGGTCCAGAGATGGAATTGATTTATAAGGTTGGCAAAATAATAGATTAAAATGTTAGACCCATAACAAGGAGTCATAAGAAACTTATATCATCTGATAATTAATAGAAAGGTCTCATAATAGAAGAAGATAATCATAAGGAAGAATGTAATGATTGAGATGATCTTAGTTGAATGATAGATGACTAATTATTATGAATACTTAATTAAAACAAATATATTCTGCTGAAAAAGTACAAAGGTTTGAATTATTATTTCTATTTCATGATAAAGAAATGAAAGGATTCATCAGTTCTAAGGGTAAATTAATAAAATTAATTAGATTTACCATTCATATTGAGAGCAGCAGGTTTGTTAATATCTGATAAAGAGATTAATGATCTATAGGTAAAGGAAAAGATAAGCAAAGATGATTTATTTAAATTATTGATATAACTAAAAGATAAGAGACCTGTAAAATAGGAGATTGAAGCTAGTGTAAAAGTATTTGATGAACAAAACACAGGATTTATTGATACTAAAGAATTAATGGGAATTGTATAATAGATAGGAGATGAATAGGTTGAAAAAGACTTTTAGTTAATATTAAATAGTGTTAAAGGGAAGGAGAATTAGGTTTCAATTGACTCTTTAGTTAATCTACTCATGAAAGAATGAGTCATTAAAAAATTGATTAAATATATATATATAGTTGATCATTCTCTTCTATGAATAGAGAATCCATTTGATGGATCGACTAAAATTTCATTTCCTTCTTCATAGTGGGAACCCTCAAATTAATTTAATGTTTATTCATAACGTTGATCTGGATTTATTTCTAAGAATTATATAATAAAATACCTTCTTCTACATTTATCTCTGGATAAAATGATTAAGGTAAATCATGAAAGCAGATTCCTGGAGCAGGTTCAATAGATTTTAGATACCCATATATTTTCTCTACTATTCTTTATAGTTCTTCTTTTTTGTTCTTATTTTCTACATTTTATTTGATTGGGAAATGCAATTTATAGTCTGGAGCATAGTATTCATAATAGATTTCAGAAGTTGGAATTGGAGCATCAATTTTTTTGTTTAAACACAATCCAGTTTCATATGCCCAACATCTAGCTACATTTTATATTGTATATCCTCCTCCTCCTAAGACCAAGATTGGAACACTATATTTGATCATGAATTCAACACAAGCACCATGACCTTTAGTTGATAAATTATATCCACCCAATCTATCATGACATAATGAATCAGCTCCACATTATAAGACTACAGCTTCTGGTCTATAGATATCCATAACTTAGGTGATGATTTTCTGAAAAATTTCTGTAAATGTCTCATCATTCATTCCAATTTTCAAAGGGATATTAAGAGCATGATATCTACCTAATCCTTCTCCATAACTATCAATATCTCCTGAGCCTGGAAAGAAATCATCTCCATATTGATGGAATGAACAAGTCATGACTCTATTTGTTAAAAGAAAAGCCTCTTCAACTCCATCTCCATGATGTACATCAATATCAACATACAAAACTCTCTAATGCACTCTCAACAATTCCAATATAGCTATAACAATGTCATTGACATAACAAAATCCACTGGCTTCTCTTTTCTTTGCATGATGCAAACCTCCTGAATAATTAATGGCAATTTCTGCATCTTATGAAATTAACACATGAGCAGCATCAATTGACCCTCCTGCAGACAATTGACAAAAATCATATAGACCTGGAAAGCTAGGGTTATCAGTGGAGTCTCCAACTCTGAAACTATTTGGTTGGGGATAATTATTATTAGTTTCTATGGGTTCATGAGTGTGTGGTATATTATAATCTAACAAATCAAACTCATTGTAGATGTGACTAGTAAAATGAGTGATATTAGGTTGTTGATTATAGTGTTAATACTCATTGACAATTTGACTTCTAACACTTGTGAATTGACTTAAATATTGCAAGTATTCTGGTTCATGAAATTTCTCCATCTCTTTCAATGAAGCCTATCTATTCATATATACATCGAGGTTTCGATATAAACTAAGACTTATTTATAATACATTACCCATAATTCACAATTAAATTATGCGCCATTGCAATTCTTTTTGGTTTCATTGGATGTTCCTTACCATAATGATATCTCCCTATTTAGGGATGATAAAAATAGGCCACTCTTTTATTAGTATCATTTTGCATTACTATAAAATAAATTATTAAGAGACTACATATATGTATATATATATAATATTCAAAGTAGGTACTTATTAACAAGATATTCTAATTTTTGGATATCAGTTGGTTTAGAAATACGTTCTTTCATACCACATTGACTGGCTATAAGTACATCTTCATCTCCAGAATATGCTGAATACATTGTTATTATAGAAATCTCATTCAAATTCCGCTCTTTCAGTAATTAAGTTATCTAAATATTAAAATTCTTACTTCTTAAGATGCTTAAAACCCATTTTTACCAGGCATTTCTATATCCATAAAGATTAATCTATAAGTCTTACAACATTTTTAAGATAATCTTTCTTTGACTAAATCGATTGCTGAATTACCATTATAAGCACTGTCAGTTTTCAACTTAAACTTTTTAAGTAAGACTTATAAGGCAAAATGATTGCATCCTATATCATCAACTATCAATATCTTGCTACAATCACATTATTATGAAATCTAAGCAAATTAATGTTTATCTATTTCAAACTCATTTGAATAATTCTATATTTGATTTGATACTCTAAAACTTACTTTAGTATATTTCTCATAAATAGAATCTATCTCAAATAGCTAATCTTTATATAGATATTTAGCCAACTATTATGAAATTCTTAAACCTAATCCAAGTTTATTAGAATTATATTGAAGTGAATCTTGAAACAACAATTCAGCTTACTCCTCAATTTTTTCAATGATTTCTTCTGTAATACCTTATCCATCATCTTCTATTGATAATTTATAATATTAAGGAGTAGTTTATGTAATTAATTTGATAGTACCTCCTCTATTTGTAAATTTAACTGAATTATCTAATAAATTAATAAAAATTCTAATCAATCTTTCTTTGTCTGTATAGATTGTGATATGATTCACATTTTCAATGATTAGATTGATATTTTTTTATACACATTCAAAATTAAAGAGTTCATATAATTATTAATAAACTTCTTATAATTTGAAACAGGATTTATTCAAGAATAAAGATGAACATTAAATTTAAGCATAATCTAAGATATCATTTAGTTGGAATTACAATCTTTTAGCTGATACAATAGCAGGATCTAAATGAGATTCAATTAAACTTTAAGATAATTGATCTTTCAAAGCATATAATTAAGATACTGTTCCATTAATAGGAGTTCTTAATTCATGACATAATGAGTTTAGTAAAGCCTATTAAAATTTATATTTATGATTAAGTAATTTATATTCTTCTCTCTTAGTGATATTTTCCAAAAAGAATAAATAAACCACAGATTCCCATTAAACAAAACCTTCTAATTAAAATATTTTAAGTTTTAAACTTTTATATTTAACTTTACCACTAGATGTATTCATATTATCCATTCTAATTATATATTGAAAATTATCTCGAGACAAGGATGTTAATTGACTTTGATGAATTTTTTTAAAATTCTAAAATATAGATTTAAGATTTTTTCCAATATTGGCATCACTATCTCCTTTAAATTAAGATGCATTGTTGTTATATTATGAAAATACATCAGGAATGTGTTCATCTAAGTATTTTTTTTATGGACTAATTGAAGGTTATTTTAGAAATGTCAGTTTACTGGGTGATTTTTGAGGTTTTCTAACTTTTTTTGATGATCTAAACTCACAAAAGTCTCCACTTTTATAATATAAAATTAATACCTTTAAATAGCTTAATCTAGAAATGAAATAATATCATTTGGATTTGATAAACCTAACAATTAGGTTACTCTTTGGTTAAAATCTAAAACCTTTAAGGACTAATCAACAAACAATATCCCAAAAGGTAAGTTATTCATAATGGAGACAATTTCTGAATATTTGGTACTAGGATTTTTCTCAAGTTTTAATGGTTCTAAATTACCATTAGATTCAGATAAAACTGTTGTAGGTAAATTATTTGGTTGTTTTTTTACAATAATTCTTTTATCCATATAATCTTTATTAAATCCAATAGATTTATGTTCTTGTTGAGGAGATTCTATTTCTCCATTAAGGGCTTTTAGGATTATGCTTTCGTTTAAATCATATTTGATAAAATCTCTTTTGCTTTCACTTGATATTAATTAATCTTATTCAAATTAGGTTTATTTAAATTTGATCTCTTGTTAAATCAATGTTTAAGTAAATTGTGAACATTTCTATAAAGGCATTTAATTTATGATGTAATGATTGATAGGTTATAAAAAGATGATGATTAGAAGAGAATGTAAATCATAATTTTGTTATGTAAATATAGCCCTTATGGTTATGTATAATATTTAAAAATGGACAATTAGTCTAGTTGATAGGTTTTGAGAATAAATTTTAAATAAGATGAGCATAGTATACACAAAATAGGAAACATTGGCTATGTTAATTTTATGTTAAAACGGAAGTTCAGAATTTATTACACATAATGCCAATAGACCAATTTTTATATAAATGATTGAAACTTTCCAATAATTAAGGATGAATATTATTAATCCAATACAGAGTGATATTATATTTAGGCAAATGATTATAAGATTGCTATCTTACCAAATAAACGCTATATCAATGAAGTCCTTAATTATTAATTAGAGTATCAATAATTTTATAAGTATTTCCATTTATTAATAAATATAATCATAATAAATATTTATCAAGTAATTGTTTAAATTATTTTTGTTCAATAGGCTTAGGTAATATCTCTTTGATTCCACAATTTATCAAAATATCGTTATTTTCATTCCCATTATAAGCAGAACACATTACAATTGTACATTAATCAATCAAATTTTATTATTTCAAAATCTCTGTGATCTATTTATATTATATAATATATATAATTACATCTTTTGAAGCTTAATAACCATTCTTTACTGGCATTTCTATATCCATAAAAATCAATTTATAAGTTTTACAACATGTTGAATTCAATTTTTATTTAATTTTTTCTATTGCTTATTAACCATTATAAGCACTATCCATCTTCATTTTATGTTATGATAATAAGGCTTCAATTGCACTATGATTGAATCTGACATCATCCACATTTAAGATTTAAATACAATTACAACCTATTGTAATATTACATCCTTAGAAAGATGGAAAATTTTATTAACTTACTTCTTTTTAATGATTTTCTATCTTGAATGATATCTTTGTATATACATTCTCTATACTCTCTATAACCAATTCATTATTAATACATAAAAATTTAGCTATTTATTAGGAAATCTTCAATCCTAAACCTAATTTTGTTTATTAAATTAAGAATGAATCATATAATAGTAAATCATAATTACTTTTAATTTAATTTAAAATCTTTTCAGACATTCCAACACCATTATCTTCTACTGAAAATATTATACATGATTTTTATTTCTAAATTGCCACTATAATAGAACCATATTAATGTGTAAATTTAATTGAATTATCTATTAAATTAACTAAAATTCTAAGAATTCTCTCTTTATCACTACAAATTGTATAATTAGCTTATGTATTTAATTGAAAATCTAACTATTTCTCTTTACATTCTTGATTAAACAATTCTTTCAAAATTTCAAAAATTTCATTTGAATCAAATTATGAAATAGTCAGATTAAAGTTTTTACAATCAATTTAAGCATAATCCAATATATCATTCAATTAAAACATAAGTTTTTTTGCTGATATTATAGCTGGCTATAAATTCTTATCTCTAATTTCAGGTGCAATTAATGTAGATAATGCATTTAATTATGATAATGTACTATTCATTGGTGTCCTTAATTCATGACACAATGAATTTAAAAGTGCCTATTAATATTTATATCTAATATTCAACTAACGTAATTCTTCCTTATTTGATATATTCTCAATCAAAAAGAGATAGTTTATTTTATTATTTATTTCTACTTCATATACTTTAATTCTTAAATAACATTTCATAGATCCTAAATCCTAAACTATTTTAATTATCTATATATTTTATCCTATTGATTATACAGAATTATCCACATTATTTGTAAGAGAAGAAGACTTTTATGCAAATTTCTAGATCAATAGATTTAAATTTCTAAATCTAGTCTTAGATGTCATTACTTCATCCCTTATCTAATTATTTGTATTTTAACAATAACCAAGATTATGATTTATATTTGTAATGGTGCCTCCATCTGGATTCACTGAATTTTAGTCATTTAAACTTTTTGATATTAAGGATAACTATGGACCTTTTAAGAATCTTCTACTTTAACGGTTGCTCTAATTAGAACCTACTTACTTGATGGATTTACTTTCCCATGATTCACAACTTAATTTATATATGTATTATACCTTTCTAATAACGAATCTAAACTTAAAATGATGTTTCTTCCATCATTATCTGACACTTTTAAAAACTATAATAATTTTTAATTATTTATCACCATTTCAAATAAGTTATTTATAAGTCCTATTCCAAATGGTAACAAATCCCAAATCTAAGGTATATCTAAATTAGATGTAGATTTCTATGATTCTAATTCTTTGATTGAAAATGTATTGATCAGATTATCCTTTTATTAAACAAAGGGATTTTTAAGTTCCATTTACTTCAACTCTTTCAAATTTTGTTGGATGTGTAAACTTCTCATAACACTGCTACATTATTCATCCTATTCAGATTAATCCTTTACAATTTATGGAATTTACTCTATATTGTATTTTGTTATATCTAAAGATTACTTCTTAAATGTCATTTGATCATCCTCTTTCTTCAAATGCAACATCCAATGATTCAAAGGTTACCATAAAAAACAAGTCAACAATTCAGTTATGTACAGTTATTCCTTATATTATATGAAGGTTCTGATAAAAAAATACACCATAATTGAATGTTTCATAAATTTATGCCATTTTTATGCATCATCAAATTGTGTAATCAGAATTACTATGAAAGTCCCTAATTAAAGTGTATTAATTTAAGGAATATCTTTGTATATGAATTCTATATTAAGTACACATAATAATGATGCTCCTATATTGTTTGTGTAAATATTTTGTTTTTTAAGTGTCTCCATACCCAATAATAAAACTGAAATTGCTAAAGAAATTGAGTTTAGAATTGTATATTAAAGTTAGCTTTCCTTATTCATGATAATTTCCACAAGAAAAAAAGTGTTTTTTATTGAAAATTGCACGTATAGGTAACTTGTATAAATTAGCATTTTAAAATAAATATATCACAATCTCCACAATCTCTTTCTTAGATATTAGTTTAATTTTATCTTTTTAACAACACCCTTTTTATGTGGATATTAATACTACATAAGATAAAATTCTATAGCATTGTTAATAATGATAATATGAATATAATAAGATAAGATTTTCTAATATTATCTTATAGATATCTATTAATATCTATAGATTACTATAGATATCTAAAAATAATCTATTATCTTTTTATTTGACTATTCCTCACTTGATTATATTTCATATTATATCAATCAATAAAAATAATAATTTTATTTGTCTATTTTTATCATGTTTTTTTTTAGGATAAGTGTAATTAATATATTAATAAATCCAATCTTTACAGTAATTTTATAATGGTTACGGGAAGTAAGAATAAAAAATAATCTATGAAATAATTAGAATAATCAATTATTGAGACAGAATCTTTACAGAAATTGATAATTACAATGGAAATAATAATTATATAAGTTGAATCATATTTATATAGATTCTATATAAAAAATGAATATTGGTTGGATTGGTACAGGTGTAATGGGTGTTTCTATGTGTAAGCATATTCTTAAAGCTGGTCATAAATTGCGCATCTATAATAGAACAATTGCAAAGGCATAACCTCTAATAGAAGAAGGAGCAGAATTTGTTCAACCAAAAGAATTGGCAGAAAATTCTGATATTGTTTTTTTAATGTTAGGATATCCAAAGGATGTTGAAGAAGTAGTTTTAGGAGAGAATGGAATATTAAATCATATGAAAAAGGGTACAGTATTAGTTGATCATACTACATCATCACCTGAATTGGCAGTGAGAATTTTTAAGGAAGCAAATGAGAAAGGAATAGATTCAATTGATGCTCCAGTAAGTGGAGGAGATATTGGAGCTAGAGAGGGAAGATTGGTAGTGATGTGTGGAGGAGAATAGAAGGCTTTGGATAGAATAAATGATGTATTAAAAGTTTATAGTGCAAATGTTTAATTATTGGGGAATGCCGGTTTAGGTTAACATACAAAGATGGTTAATTAGATAGTATTGGCTGGAAATATGATAGGAACAGTAGAAGGTTTGTTATATGGACATAAATGTGGATTGAATTTGGAATAATTGATAAATACAATAAAGAGTGGAGCAGCAAATTCAACAGCTTGGAGTGTTTTGGGATCTAGAATGGTAAAAGGAGATTTTGAACCAGGATTTTATGTTGAACATTATATTAAAGATTTAAGCATAGCAATAAATGAAGCTAATAGAATGAATTTGAGTTTACCAGGATTAGCTTTAGTGAAACAATTGTATCATGCTTTGGTTGCCTAAGGTGGAGGACGTAATGGAACATAAGCATTGTTATTGGCTTTGGAGAGATTGAATAATCATAAAATTAGATGATTGATTATTTTAATATAAATTCTGTTATGCCAAAACTCTATACATTTAAGGACCCTAATTTCAATCCTCTTTAGAATTATGTTGTAGATAAAACTTTAGGATAAGGAACCTTTGGAAAAGTGAAGTTGGGTATTCACAAATGCACTAATGAGAAAGTATTAACTCACTTCAATTTACAAAGGTAGCAATCAAGATTCTAGAGAAAGAGAAAATAGAAAATGAGGCTGACTATGTGAGAATTCAACGTGAAATTCATATTCTACGTAAAATTCGTCATCCAAATATTATTTAATTATATGAGGTATATGAAATGAATTATAAGAGATCATTGAGAGTGAAATAAAATTATATCTCATAACTGAATATGCACCAGGAGGTGAATTATTTGAACATATTGTTTCGAAATCTCGACTTGAAGAGCGTGAAGCTGGTCGTATATTCTTTTAACTTCTCAATGCCATAGAATACATACATTAACTAGGTATAGTACATAGAGATCTCAAACCAGAGAACATCTTATTAGATATTAATAAATAAGTTAAAGTAGTCGATTTCGGATTATCCAATCTCTATTAACCAAACCAAAAATTACATACACCTTGTGGCAGTCCTTGTTATGCTGCACCTGAAATGGTTAGTGGATTACCATATGAAGGATTGAAAACTGATATATGGTCATGTGGTATAATTTTATATGCAATGATTTGTGGGTATTATATTTATCTAAATTATAGTTGTGTACCATTCGAAGATTAAAATACTAAATAACTATATGAAAAGATTAAACATTCTGATTACAAACTACCTAAAAGTGTATCTCCTTAAGCTGCTGATCTACTTCGAAAAATTCTCTAGAAAGATCCCTCTAAAAGAATTACTATCCCTGAAATCAGATAACATGATTTTATTCTTTTCGCTGGTAAAATGACTATTCCAGAAGGAGTAAACACTAAGTATTATCAATAGAGTATCTAGATTGGATAATTTTAAAATTGATGTTGATTACACTATTCTTCAATAGTTATTATAATTTAACATCTCTGAAGAAGAAGCTGTCTAAATGATCAAAAATAATAAACATAATTGTATTACTACTTGTTATTATTTACTTAAACTCAAATAACAAAGAGAAAAATAGATTAAACCTGATAATATCCCATCTAAACTAATTTCTATTGAAAAATAGAATTTATTTAATAAAACACCAATTATCGAATAATAAAAATCCTCACCCTTAGTCAAATAAAAATTATATTCATAATAATAACCTACATAACCTTATAATTAAGATGTTTAATAATAAATCTTATTGCATCTTCTCCAAAATCAATAACAATAACATTAATTATTACTCTAACAATAAGCATAACCTAAAGAACTTAAATAACCATAAGTCTCTAAAGTAGCAGAAACTGGAGGTTCATCATCTATGGAAATGTTCCTCAATAAAGCTTTCTCAGATAGAAATCAAAATAAATCATAAACGTATTAAATTATTAATCATATTAAATTAGAAAAGGTAAAACTAAATCTTAAGATCCTGTACCTCATAGAGATACTTCAGCACCAAAAAAAACCAGTTTGCCTTCTAAAAATCAAAAATCTATCTCCTAAAAACCTTCCTGTTAATCTAAAGGATAATTAGCTTAATTACTTGCAGTAAAATAATCTAAATACTTAGGCAATACGTATTAAATTATATATATATTTTATATAGAGATTCAACTACTTATGTCAGACATAAAAGCAATTTAAAATTTAAACAAGGTAGTACTGAAAGATCAGATCGTCATAGCAGTAATAGTTAAAGATCTGAAATCACTTATCTAAAAAGAAGTGTAGAAAATAGAAGTAGCTAACATATTAAAAATGATCGTAAAACTAGAATGATAAGTACCTATGCATATAATGATACATAAAAACCAATATAAACATAACCAAATGAAAGAATTTATGTAATTATAAATCAATATCATATTTATAGACTGATCTAAGCAAAGAACAATCAAATGTACTTCAATCTTAGTAATAGAGATTAACACATATGGATAATTTGGCTTTAGGCATTTAAATATATAAACACAATATTTAGAATAGATTTCTAATTAAATAATAATAAAAAAGAAAAAGCAAATAATAATAATGAATTTATCAATCAATTTTTAAAAACTAATTTTACTTTTTAAGCTTTTAAGTATTATACATATTTAAATGCTGAAAATAAAATATTTTTTAATTGTAATTATAATTATTATATATTTCTTTATTTATTTAAAAATATCAAACTTTGATATTAGTTGCTACTGCATTATCTAATTTTTCAAAGAATTCTTATGAATCATATAATAAATGCTCTTCATTTATTTCATATTCAAGATATGCACCCTAATTTATTGATTAATAAATCATACTTTTTATTAATAATAATTGGCAACTTCTGCATTAATTTAATCAGCTGGAGCAGAACTCTATTCTAAAGCACATTTACTTGGAGTTTGACACTAAATTTAATATTAAATATCTTACATTATTTTAATATCCTGGATGAGTTGGAGTAACAAATGGTAAACTTGTGTTGAATACTTTGCCACATGATTAACATGATAAATATGATCCTGCTATTTTCTAGGCTAATGATTCAGATAATTTGAATCTAATTGCCAAATTAACACCATCTAATAATCTATCAAGTCTTAGAATTATTAATTTCATATATTTACTTTTCTGCTTCAATGGCATTATTAGGGAATCCAAATAATAATGCACCATTAGTTTAAGTGGATTACAATTAAACCTATTCAGCCAATCTAGCAACATTGTCCTAACCATCAATAAATTACTTACTTCTCCAGTTGTCTTTTAAGCATCAACAATAGAATATTAAACAAATTGTCTAAAAGTATATTTAATTCAATACTTCTCAACTAAATTTCTTACAAATGGATTTGATTACAAAAATACAATCTTTGGATATTAAGGCATTTTAGCTGTGTATTTAAATTAATCATATATAACTGATTCTGTGAAGAATAAATGAAGTTATTGAGCTCTTTGGATAGCCAATCTTGTGTTGCCAAAAAATTATTGATTCATTATTATTATTAATAAAATTATATTATATCATATAATCACTATATATTCATTATTTTGTATTAAACCTTAATAACATCTATATTAATATTAATTATTAATAACTAATATACTAAATTTATTAATAAAATTACTAGATAATTATAATTTTCAATATTCTAGAATTTTCAAATGATCACTCTGAATATCTCTAATTAAGTAAATATTGTGTAATTAATTTATTCAAAATAATAAAGATAATATATATACAAACTATAATAATAATAGTTTATTAAACAATATAAAAAGTTTAATAAAAATTCAAACGTAAAAATTGATCTTTTCATGGAAATTTAAAAAATTAATTTTATAATAAAATTGATATTCATTCCTTTCAACTTAATCAATAATATGTCTAAACCTTTAGTATTATTTTTTTTTCAATTTCATGAATTATTAATGAGTGATAATTTAAAATTTAACCTTAAATTTAATATTCTTGGTATTAATATTATTATATCTCTGATATGAAAAATGGGAAAATAATAGAATAAATTACTAAGATTTATATATATCGGATTGCAAAAATTGCATGATTATATAAAATTTAATATGACAAATCAATTTGATATGTTTAATATTATTTTTTATTAATCCTTTAAAGAATGAACTTTTAAGTCTAGACATCTATTTTAAATCGTTGTTTTCGCTCAAAATTAGGAAAATTTAAAATGAGAACACAGATATTAATTATTAATGGTTTTATTTTGGCAATAATTATTCCTTCGATCATATTGACATAGACTATAAACTTATATTATGTAAAATAAATACTGAGTAATTCTGAAAAGGATATTATGCTTAAGGAAATGTTTAATCATTTAACAAATTCAGCTGATTTTATAAATGGATAATTGAATTCTGTATTTACAAGAAGTATTATTTCATAAATCATAATAGCATAAATTACTCTGACTAATCTTAATTAATTATATTGGCTTTAATTGAAAAATAATATTTGGATCAATAAACCAATCTCACGTCTATGTGATCGTAATTCAACAATAATGCCTTCTGAACATTCCTATTCTATTCCATGTTATTAATATTTTGCACTTAATGAAAATGATTTTGAACCATTTGAAGATTTAACTGAATAAACATTAAGAAATCATACCTATTTAATAAGTTCAAATATTTTAGGTATGATGGGTCTTGATGATCTATTTATTCCAAATTAATTTTATTTCGTATCTTCAATAGACCTTTATGAATTCAGTTACGTATACCCTTAAGGAGCAAAATTAGAAAATTTTCATCCTAAAGAAAGAATATGGTATCAACAACATTTCAAAAATTTATAGTAAGATAACCGTAACAATACTTAATTAAGTGATGTATATAAATATTTCGGTACAGAACCTACTTATTCAATGACTATGACACAATCTATGTTAAATTTAAATTGGGAAATTTAAGGAATCTTTTGTTCTGATATGATATTTTAGAATAATATGATTAGAGTTAAGACTATTAATATTATGATAGCTGATTAAAAAGGATAATTACTATTAACCAATTATAAAAATAAAGAAATATCTAATTCATCTCAATTAAATAACTTTGCAGATTCAGAAATTACAGGATTTAATTCTGAAGATTGGAATTCTCTTATTAATTATTATAATAAACATACTGTTTAATCTACTTGTCATTTAATAACTCATGATATCTTATGTAGATATAATACAGTTTATGAAAAGGATGTAGTAATAACTATTAAAAAGCTTAGAAATATTAATTATTATCTAATTCTCTTTTATGATATATAAATTGAGAATGATATTGATGAATAAATGAAACATCTCAATTAAATATTTAATAGAGAAATTCAATAGATAGCATTGATTGCAATATTGATTTCAATATTTTTAATATTAGTTTCAGTTGTTTTGATTTATCTAATATTTTAGCCAATTTATCAAGTGATACATTAATCCTCTTTATTTCTTAAGAAAAGACAGTGTTTAAATAATAATAATAATACTAGATCAATTCATTTTAAAAATTAAATATAAAATAAAATTCTAAAAAAAAAAGTAGAACCTTAGAATTGTAGTAAATTATATGAATAAAGTAGGCAATGCTTTAATATAGTTCAAAGTTCAATTCGATTCCTTATTTGATAGAGTATTAACGAAGACAATGACAATCAATCCTTAATGTAAAATACTTTAATAATTTAAATATCCTCGAAATAATACAATAAATAAAATTAATATAGAGAAAATACTTAAAGAAGATTTAATAAAAGATAATTATTATGAATAAAATAAAGAAAAAAATAATATGAATTTTTTTCTTAAAAAATCCTTCAGTTTTAAAATTGAATCAAATTGATTTTCAATTATGTGCTATAAATTAAATTTAATCTCAATTTATTATTTATTCATATCAAACCTTTTATTGATTCATATGATCCAAAAACTATTGCCAAAACTGTAAATATAGACATTAAAAAATATTCCATTTTTAATCTCAAACTAGCTTCTTAATTCTTAAAACAAATCCAATGGGCTAATAATGGTATTAAGAACTATAAATATCTAATAATCTTATTACTTAACAAAATGAACCGAAAAAACTACCAATTAAATTTATAAATTATGAAAGATCAGGTATCTTGTATGATATTATATAAATTGTTAACATTAAAAGTCCTCTGATAATTAAGGAATTTTTATCTAAAACAAATACACTTTCATTTTCATCCTCAGATTCATCAAATGTCTTATAAGAAAGTTATGATATATGCTATTCTATAATTTAGACAGCAGGAAATAATTAAAGTGCATATGTCATTAATATACAAATTCCATAAGCTATCATAGTGATTGATCTTAGATAAAGATTCTAAATATTAAATATAATAATTTAATTGAGATTATCTTTATAACCCCAAATTGCAAAGGTTGTAATCAATATTGCAATAAAAAAACATATAAACAACGACAATTCTTAGTATCTTTGAAATGGTTACTTATTTATCATATCATTTCTAATAGGCAAAATAGTTAAATTACATTATAATGTTAGACATGCTATTCCAATAAATTAAAATGTATCTAAATATATTAAAATAATACTTTATAAATTTATACATGGTCGATATGAAATACCATCACGAAATACTATAATTAAACAATCAAAGAATATTATAATAAATGTAAGTAGATTAACATAAAAACCTATTTTACTTACTTAATGAAAGTATTTCATTCTTCTTATTAAAGACAATGGAATAATCAAAATCAATGTTAAAGAGAAAATTGTTAACTTTGATAAGGGAATATTGATTTAATTCAAAACAACATCTGTTGATTGATATAAAAATATTAAATAGGCACAGCAAACTCCAATTTAAGAGAGGATGATCATTATATTAGTTATCTATGGCCAAACCCATTTTAATGTTAATTCAACTATATCTCCAAAGAGTAATTTTCTATTTGAGTAATAATCTGCCACCTCAATTAAGAATGTATTAGATCATAAATGTAAATAAATATACTTTATAGTGCAAAAGAGTACTGGAATTGTTATTAAAATTGAACCTAACCATCCAACTTTATTAGCTGCAAAAGGAAATGTAATAGCTCCTATTCCAATTATTGATTTAATAAAATTGAAAAATGCCTATCTTTCATCTTATATATTATGGATCTTTTATTTTTAATCTATTGGTTCAATATCTACATCTCTATCACTAATATTCATTATTATTAATTTATATTTAAATTTTTATTTTTATTGATTACAAATAATTATAATATTCTTTCTTTTTAGAAATCATTCAAAAGTTTATAACTATCTATGATATTCCAAAAACGAATTTTTATATTCTAAAAAAAGAGAAAAATAAAAATTAGAAATACAGAAATAAATTAGTGAATATCTTTTAATAAATAATTATATTTCTTAATAAATGGCACGAAGAGGATAGTAACCACCACCTTAATAAGCACCTCCTGCTTAAAAGAATCAACCAGGAAAATTCAATCCAGCTGAATTTGTTAAACCTGGATTGACAGAAGAAGAAGTCTTAGAAATCAAAGAAGCATTTGACTTATTTGATACAGATGGGTACTTATATATATCATTTTTAAGCACTTAATCTATTGATCCAAAAGAATTAAAAGCTGCAATGACTTCTTTAGGATTTGAAGCAAAAAATCAAACCATTTACTAAATGATTAGTGATTTAGATACAGATGGAAGCGGTTAAATTGATTTTGCAGAATTTTTGAAATTGATGACAGCCAGAATTAGTGAAAGAGATTCAAGAGCTGATATCTAAGTATTTTATATATTAAATCATAATAGAAAGTCTTTAATTTATTTGATTCAGAAAGAGCAGGAGTTATTACCTTAAAAGACCTTAGAAAAGTAGCTAAAGAATTGGGAGAAACCATGGATGACTCAGAATTGTAAGAAATGATTGATAGAGCTGACTCAGATGGAGATGCTTAAGTAACATTTGAAGATTTCTACAATATTATGACAAAAAAGACCTTTGCATGAATTCATTATCACATAAAACATAAAAACATATTCAATATAAATTATAAGTATTCATGTTCCATTTAACTTATTCTCTCTCAGTCTAATAAAGTAGAAAAATACTTAAAGAATAAACTAAAGAACTGATTTTTATTAATTTTTATTTATTAATACTAAGACTTTAAAATTATATTGAATTTCTTATTATAAAACAAAAAGGATATATGAAATCATACTAATATTTTTTCTTGATTAAAAAAGATTTAATAAATAAAAATACAAAATTGTTCAATATATACTATAAATATATAGATATAATTACAATAATTTTTTATTTGATCAATATGATTGTAAATAATATCATATTATTCAAATAATAATTTTAAATAATATTCATTTAACAACCTATTAATAAAAGTATATTCATTATTTGAATAATATGAGTTATTATTAATAATAATGCAATAATAAAAATAAAAACTATAAGCCAAGATTAAGAATGTTTTTTAAATATATAACAAACTCATTTTTTTAAAGTTTCATTTTTGGAACTCAAGAGATGGCTACTAATCATTTTATCTGGTTCATCAGCAGCAGCATAATAAGTACTAATTCCATCAAGATATTTTAATGGATCTTCAATTTTAGGACTGTGTATCAAATCAATAAACAATTATTTTTTTATAAATCTCTTAAAAGTAGTTTTAGATTAATTATCAGCTTTACATATTTCTCTTAAATCTGATATTGTAGTTGATATTTGTTTTGCTTTTTTGTTACCTTTATCTTTTTTAATTTTTCTAGAATTATAAAAATTTTCCACACCTTTTGTTTTTGTAATATTATTTTATTCAATATATTTATAATAATGATTGCCTATTAATTTTGGCAAATTTTTATAATCTATTCTAGTTTAATTGTTCTCAAAATTTTTATACAATTAATTTGATTATTATTGATGATTAGTTATGAAATTTTATTTAATTATTTACTCAGATTCCTTCATTTCAAAGATAGCTGGTCGATAACTGTTTTGATCATATGGACAATTTGAATCCTAAGCTTCATCAGCAATAGGATGAAATGATGAATACCCACATTCGAATACCTCTTGCATTCAAATTTCTAGATTTAATATAAGAAAATAATTATTAAATTTTGTATTTCTATCAGGCATGCTTTATATTAGTTTATTATAGTATTACAATATTAATTTTTTTTTTGTATAAATTTTATATTATACTATTTATAAAATATTTATTGTAATAAGTACTTATATAATATTAGTGATTTATAATGATTTGAATGTAAATATCTAATATTTTAATTTTAATAACAGAATTATCAGCAATATTTAATATTTTATTTATCTATGAACTCTATTATTAATAGTTATGATAACTTTAAAAGATAATCAAAATTTAATTTATGATTTCTAATTAACATATTATTAATATGATGTGTGTTTTTTAATTTTAATAAATATTATTTTGATTTGAGATGAACATCAATGTCCTTCGAAATTGTAACAACAATTATTATATTAGCTCTTGCAAAAATAGATATCTTTGGATAAAATATAACGTTAAACATGAATAAAAATGCTAGTTATACAACAGCTTTTGGTGGAATTTCATCAATTTTGATTATTATATTACTCAGTCTGATTTTCTTCTCAAACATTGTAGAATTTTTTGGAAAAGACAATGTATTCTATGATAGTGAAATATCCTTCTCTAATGATCCTGAGTTAATGGAAATGATGGAAGACAACTCTATGTTTGCATTATCTATTGATTAAGTTAATTTCACTACAAACCCATATTTCAATATTACTGTTGAATAGAGGTATTAATATTCGTTTATTATTTTTAGGATTTACTTAAGAAATGCAAATGGTACTCTCATTAAATAAACCATTGAAATTCCTATGCAACCATGTACATTAGAGAGGTTTAATAATATATTTCTATAGCAAGGATTAGACTTTACTGATTAGTTTAATTTTTTAGGAATGAACAAAATGTTATGTCCTAAGTATTTTTAAACTACTTAAACATTAGATCAAACTTTACTTTTTAGATGGAAGGAACTTATTCAAGTGAGAGTTTTAAATTCATAAAATTAACAGTTAAAGATTGCAAAACTTTAAATCAAACTAACAATAGTCTTTGGAATCCAATATGTAGTTCTGCTGCAGAAAAGGCCAAATATCTTGCTTCAAATGCCTAATTTAAATTATAAATCTTTTAAATTAATACGGTAGTCAATCCTTTAAAACCTAATAATTATAAAAGCATATACATAGATAGTGATATGTATTTTTCATTTGTACCTTTCAAATTGGCTAGATTAGCTAATGTTTATTATAGATAATTTATTGTAAATAATGACTAAAGCATTATGCCATACGAGTATAATATATTTATAGATTAATTGTTAGGGACATAGAATAAGAGAAAATTATTGTTAGAAAAGCAGAAGATTTTCGAGATCTTACAGAACTTGGTAGAGATACAGATGATAATTATGCTATTGTATATTTAAGGAGAAGTCCTTTTACTGAAACAATTAATAGAAAATATTAAAAGTTAGGTGAATTACTTTCTTATCTAGGGGGATTTATGTAGATTATGAAAGTTATATTTGGATTTGTTATTGCATTTTATAATAGAACATCAATGTTAATTGAATTGGCAAATAAGCTTTATGATTTTTAAGATAATAATCAGATGAAACAATATCACACTATTAAAACATTAAAATACACAGAATAAATTGCATCTCCTATAGAAAAATAAGAATGTAATCCCATAAATCCATTGAATACTTCATAAGAATTATATAAAGTTGAATGGAAATAGTATATAAAATAATTAGTTAAAAAATCTAAATCAATAACTTTTAATTTGAGAATATTTATAAATTAATTGACTTTTGGCTATCTATTAAAAAATAAAAATTCAGAATTTTTAGAAAAGGCTATGTAAGTAATTGAGTATATTTTAGGAATAAAATAAATAGTGAATTAGATTTACATAGTATCCTTTATCAATTATAGGAAATTAACAAACTTAAATAAATTTTATTAAGAAAATCTTAAATAATATTATTTAATTTTTCTCCAAAACCTGTTGTTACTTTAGGAAAAGAGTAGATTGTTCCATCTCGTTATTCTGTTGAGGATTTGGAGACTGGGTAATCATATATTAAGAGCAAAGAAGATACTCTTAATGAAGAATTATTTTTAAAAATTGAAGAAGTATGATGTTTTTAACAAGTTTAGGCATACAAGGAAATAGCTGAAGAAGTTGAATAAACAAACACAAATATTTGTTAAATGAATATCAATTTAAAGTTAACGTAACTTATAGGATCAGATATTAGAAGTATTTTAAAACCTATTTCTAATTAACGTAGAAATGGTATAAAATCTACTGAAATATAAAACAATAATAATAATTAAGAAGATTTTCATTAAAGCGATTGAATATTATACTGATGTATAACTCATAATTATTTTATTTTGAGTGTTAATATTTTTATATAAAATACGAATTATTAAATTGAGAGCAATCAAATTTAATTAGTATATTCTTATTGATATTGTTTTTATTTTAGAATTCAATCTGTATTAGTTTAGAATTTATGTTTTGTTTTGTTTTCATAAATAAATAAATAATTAATGATAAACTCCTTACAGAAAGGTTTAGAAAAAATAGATATATTTGGATAAACAATTACATTAAATATGAATAAGAATGCTAATTACACAACTTCATTTGGTGGATGCTCCTCTATACTTATTATCTGTTTACTTAGCATAATATTTTTTTCCAATATATCTGATTTTTTTAGCAGAGCAAATGTATTTTATGATTCTTAGATTACTTTTTCTAATGATCCACATTTTATGGAAATGAATGATTAGAATGCTATGTTTGCCTTATCAATAGACTAAGTCAATTTTACTACTAATCCTTTCTTTAATATATCAGTAGAATAAAGGTAAGAATTTATTGACTTAGAATATATACAAGATCATTGGATGGATCTCTAAATAAAACAACTATACAAATTCCTCTATAACCATGCACTCTAGATAGATTCAACAATGTTGTAAAAGAGTAGGGAATCAATATTGATTTTAATGATGAATTCAATTATTTATCAATGAATAAATGGTTATGCCCAGCGTAAACAAAATTTATTTTAATAGTCTAAATTATACCTTATAATTAGAAGGTACATATTCAAGTGAAATATTCAAATTCATCAAGATTGTTGTAACAGGATGTAAAAATAATACAAATTCATCTTATTGGAATCCACAATGTGCAGATGAATAACAAAAAACTAATTATTTGAAAAATGAAGGATAATTTAAATTATAAGTGTTTTAAATCAACTCTATGATTAATCCATAATAAGCACAAAACTATAAGACAATGTACTTAGATAGTGATATGTACTTTTCTTTTGTACCTTAAAAATTAGTCAGATTAGCCAATGTTTATTATAGATAGTATATAGTAAATAATGATGAAAGTTTATTGCCTTATTAGTATTCATATTAATTATATATTCATAGAGATATTAAAGCAGAGGAAATGATAATAAGAAAGGCAGAAGATTTCAGAGATCTAACAGAACTTGGAAGAGAGACAGATACTAATTTTGCAACTTTGTATTTAAGAAGAAGTCCATTTACAGAAATTATTAACAGAAACTACCAAAAGGTTGGAGATCTTTTATCATATCTTGGAGGATTTATGTAAATATTGAAGGTTATTTTTGGTTTCTTCATTGCCTTTTATAATAGAACATCTATGTTAATTGAATTATCAAATAAACTATATGATTTTAAAGAAGTGACAAATAGATCATTTCTAAGAAAAGATGCAATTTCTTAAAAGACTGATTAAAGAGGATCAATTCCTGATGAATTAAGTAATAAACTATAAAATTTACAGAATTCTGATTTAAATAAAGGAGATTGGAGATAATTTATAAATAAATTAATGGAAAGAACATCTCCAATAAGATTAAATGTAAAAATATTGATTAATCAAATGAGTTGTGGTTATTTTTTTAATAATAATAATTCTGAATTTTTTACAAAGGCTATGTAAATAATAATTTGTATAAATTAGGTTGAAAATTAATAGTGAATTAGATTTACACAATATTCTACATTAATTATAAGAAATAACAAAATTAAAAACTGTTCTATTATAAAAACCATAAATAATATTATTCAATTTCACTCCAAAACCAATTATTACATTGGGATAGGATCACACTGTTCCAACAAGATTGGAATTAGCTGATGATATGAATAAATAATCATATATTAAGAGTAATCTTGATTAACTCAATGAAGATCTTTTTACATCTCTTTAAGAAGTATTTAAATATATTTTTTCATTTTAGGCCTATAAAACAGTAAGTGAAGAAATGGAAGATAGTCCTAATGTAAATCCATGTTAAAAAACCATAAATTCCAAATTAACTAAATAAATTGATTAAGAATTAGGAAAGATTCTTAAAAACTAAAAAGCTAGTTTTTATAAAATACATGAAACAAATAATATAAATGAAATTTAAGAGGAAGATTCATGAATTTTAAATGGATTTTATATAATCTACTTTTTTGTTATAATTATTTAGTTTTAATTAGAGATTTCTTTGTAAAATTCATACAAATCTTTTGATATATAATATTTTTGTTAATTTTCTTAGAGTTCTCCTATAATATGTAATTTATTATTTGTAAATTTAATCATTTTATAATAACTATATTATCAATTAGAAGTTTTTGTTATTATTTTTATATATCAGTCCCATAAACTTTTAATTTATTATGTATTAGCTTTAATTATAGTGTCTCAATTATAACTATATATAATTATAAAAGGATTATTTATAATCTATTAGGATGCTTAAGCATTTCATACATTTATTGTTTCACTTAAAATTTATCATTTTTATTGTATTCATATTTTGATAATATAATTATGCTGAATTTTAATAGACATTCTTTTATATGAGTAATAGGGGGGTCCTAATTTGAATTGAATTTAATAAAGAATAAGACGTATTTCTAATTATAATACAATATTTTTAGAATAAAGAATATTCTAAAATTAATACTAATTCTTCCAAGTAATCTCAAATAATCTATCTTTTATTTTTTAATTAGATTTTAACTATTTAATAGACATTTTATACTTATAATAAATTTTTGATAAATGTCTTCAAAGTGTTTCTACTAAAAAAAAAAGTAGAATGAATTGAATTCTTGACTGATAAAAATCAAATTAGCGATCATTAAAGAAGAAAAAATGATAAATAAAAAAAACTAATCAATTACGAAAGAAACAACATCCTTAAGGTTTTGAATCATTATTGAAATAACATGGATTAGATCTATAGAGAACTGTATTCTGAGTTTTAATACCATCAATCATCAGAAATTCATAATCTGGAACTCTTCCAGTTTTCGAGCAAGGTAAAGATGTTATCATTTCTCCATATATTTTTAACTATATTAGAGACTAAGGATTACTCTTTTAAAGTCTTTCAACATATCACATGGTAATGTTGATTTGAGCATATTCAATGCAACAAATAATGGAACAAAACTTAAATCAACAAGAGATAATTCATTTCCATTAATAAACTTTTTATCTCTTAACTATTCTTCTATCCATTTAAAATGTTTGATTAACCATTCTTTTTATCTAACAAATTTCTATAATATATTAATAATGAGATTACTTCTTATTCAGTAGAGAAAATAAAAGAATATAGATTTCTAATAATCTCATTCGAATATTCAAATTTAGCTCTATCTAATGCTTTCTATAGAGGATCATCTGGCATCAATTTAGGATGTGTTATTTCATCAATATATTCCATAATTATAGCTGATTCTGATAAAACAACTTAAAATTAATTAATAAGAAATACCTTCTTCTCCTATAATTAAAACAGGTACATTCCCTAAAGGACTGATTCTAATGAACCATTCTGGTTTATTATGTGTTTCAATGAATTTAATTTCAAATTTCACATTTTTATGACGCATGACTGTTAGTACTTTCATACTGAATGGACATATTTTATGGGCAACTAAAGTATGTTTGAATCTTTTATCCATCAATAGATTTTTGTTGTGTAATTTATTCTAAAATTTTATTAATTAATTTTAGATAATTCTTAATTCTTTAAAATATGAGAAAGTTAATAAGATAAGTTAATTTTGATTTATTGAGTGATATTTTTACTTAATTTTCATTAATTTATGTATAATAAAAATATATAGAATTATCTAAATTAATTTATATGTAATTTTAAGAACAATTAATATTATAATTAGTATTGTTATTAAATCAATTAGATTCATTAATTTAAGATTAAAAAAATAATAGATTTGATAATCAATATATTAGAATAGTTGATTTAATAAGTTAATAATATTTGTATTGATTTGTATTAATTTGTATTCATTTATATTTATTTTGTATTCAAATTTAAGTTTGTGTAAACAATCTAAAATTAAATTATTATAATTTATTTGATGACAACAATAATTATTTACTTTAATTGTGATATTAGAAATAAAATGAATAAACTGACTTTTATGATAATATTTTTAAAAGGAATATTTTTGTATAATCAATATAAGAATTAATGTAATATGGGATAGATAAGAAAGATGACATGGAAATTTAACATTTATTTAGGAATCCACTTAAGTATTTTGGTGATAACTTAATTGAATATATAAATAAATTAATTTTTGTTATATGAATAGATTCAAAAGAGTGTTTAAAGATAACTTGGCAATGATTATTGTGACTCTATTGGTAATGTTTCAAAATATCTTTGGGAATGGTACAATACTAATAGCTACATTGATAGTATTAGTTTAGGGTTTAAGAATTATATTATGTTTCATCACTTAAATCAAAGAATATATCCAATATTTTGATTTGATGTAGTAATGGAGTTTGCTTTTAGCCATTTATTTTGGATCCAACTAAAGCTCTATGTCAGTCTTAGCATTATGTAATGTCAAAGAGTTCTTTAATACAAAAATAAATTTATAAACGATATAACTTAAGAAACTATTGATTGTTCATCATATAGTTTCTGACATTCTTCTATTTACATTATGTTCAATTAACAATTTGAAGGAAGTCCATCTATCAATTGTAGCAATTGTAATTCATTGGCTAATTTTAATTTATAATTCTAAACCAAAAAAAATTAAAAAGATCACAGATAGTTACACTTAAGGTGAAATACCAGATAAAATTATAATTGATAGTGCAGGTCATACAAATAATCATTCTAGAGTTAAATTTCATGATAAACCAAGTAATAATGATAGTCCTAGAGATAATAAATTAGAGATTTTAAGCATCTTTCCATAAGGAATAGGATTATTCAAAATTTGTGATAAGTAAATAGAATTAGAATATCATAATGAAAATATGTTAAAATTATCTTTAGCATAATAATCTGATGAGATCTTATAGAAATTGTTTAATTTAGAACAATAATAAATAACAGATATTTAATAAAAATAGTAATAAGAATAAAAAAACTCAATGAGTTCATTTTCTACTTTTTAATAAACACCAATACCTTGTAATTTAATTCATAATGCTTTTCGTAATTAAAAGAGATCTTAAACAAATTAATTATAATAATCTCAAAGAATGGAATTATTTAGATAGAATTCTGTTTTGAATTCTCTTGAATGTAAAGGTGTAATATTAAAAAAATGTGATACTTTGTATGAAGAATCAGTAAGAATTTATGAATATTCATTAGATTTTAGAATAAGAGATTAGATTGTTAGCATAATAAATGCGTAAATCTGAATTTTAAAGTCAAATGAAATGTTAAAATGAATTAATTTAAGAACATATTGTAGTTTATGGATATTAAAAACCATAGGATGGAAATAGGAAAAGAACAATTGAAGTTAAGTTATATAATGCATTGATCAATCAAATACCTTATATATTGATATTAACTAGGGATATAACTCATAGAGATTATATTTAAGCATTATAAGAGTATAGTAAGTAGAAATCGAAAACTTTATCTTTTGTGAGTCATGAATATAGAACACCTTTGAATTGTATAATAGAGATGTTAGAATTAGGAATATATGAAGAATAAAAACATTAATCATAAACAGTGATAATGGAAAAAGAATGTAAAAGAGTTATGAAAGTTAATTATCCTATTAAAATAAATAAATAAATAAAAATTGCTTTAGATAATGCAAAATATTTATTAAATTTAAGTGATGATCTTTTGGATTTAGCTTAAATAAAAGTTGGAAAATTTAAAATTAATAAAGCCAAATTTAATTTTAATCTATTACTTGAAAGTTGTGTAGATTTATTTTAGGTTACAGCTGAAAAAAAATAAATTAAATTATTTATAAATTATGAAAGTAAAGCTCCAAGATATATTTATTCTGATTCAAGCAGATTAAAATAAATTATGATTAATCTTTTAGGTAATGCATTCAAATTTACAGATGATGGATCAGTTACTATAAAAGTTTCATTAATTAATCAAAAATTGGATGTATCAGTTATTGACACTGGAATAGGTATAACAGAAGAAGATTAAGCAAAAATATTTTAGGCTTTTGGTAAAGGAAATAGTGAAGAACATAAAAAGATGAATAAATCTGGTGTTGGTTTAGGATTATTAATCAGTAATTAAATACTTTAAAATTTGAATTAAGATTTACAAAATGGTCTTAAATTTAAATCTTAATATAAGAAAGGTATTATGATAATATTAATTTTAGGTTCTATATTCTATTTTTAAATAGGATATTAAGATTTAAATGAAATTTAATCATTAAATAGTTTAGAAGAACGTAATTAAGATAGTGAAGAATCAATTATAATGTAATAATAATAAGAAGAAAGTATCCATAAAGTATATGTTCATAATCATATTTCGATTTTCAAACGATCAACTAAAGCTATAATGACTTTATAAATATTAATTGTAGATGATATTTGTATGAATATAGAAATGATGAGATTGAAACTTGATAGATTGTATATTTAATATAATATTCTAAGAGGAATTGATTCAGTAGACTCAGCATATAATGGATATTCTGCAATAGAAAAATGTGAAAAAAAATGGTAAATTAATCACGACTTCTATAAATTGATATTTATGGATTTGGAAATGCCTAATATAAATGGAATATAAACAACCAAAAAATTGTTAGAATTATCCTAAAAATTCGGAATAAATGTCACAATAATAGGATGTTCTGCATATGAAAGTAATGAATAAAAAAATGAATGTTTACAAGCAGGTATGAAAGATTACCTAACAAAACCAATTTAAATAAATGATCTCTAAAGAATATTGTAGTAGTATTTATGATATTATAATTCACTTTTGTTATATATATATATATATATTTATATAAATACAACAATAAATATATATATATATATAAATTTTCTTCTAATAATTGAGATTCAATTAATCTAAAAAGTATTCATATATATTGTCTATAGATTATTAAGTAGATAATTTTATTTTAGATTTTTACTCATAAAATTATGATAGTAATTATTTACTCATTTTATTGATTTGATTTGACATCTCTTTATTCTATTAAACTAATTTCTTTATTTATAAATCTATTTTTCAACTTTTTTCTTCTAAGCTATACAACACATTATTATAAAAATATTAATTTATTTTTGACAGTTTTTAATATTTTGCATTCTTAATTATCAAATTGAATCTGAATTCATATTAAATCAATTATTTAATTCTTAATTATAATTTGTAAATAAATTACAATTATAATAGAAGAATTCTCTTTAAAATCATTGAGAACTTTAATTACAATTAATATGAATCAATAATGAAATAAATTATTACTTGTAAAAAAGAATAAAATGGTCATAATTCTATTTTTATATTCAAAAATAAAATATAATTAATAATGATTAAACCAATTTATAGGGAATATCAAAATCATTAAGGTGATAATGAAGATCCAAATAATACTAAAATGGTTTAAATAACAGATGATAGTAGTTTAAATCGAATTAATGATACTCTAAAAGATTCTATTAATGAATACAATAAATATGGAGTACAAAATATATTCTCACCATCCAAAAACATAAAAGAATTAAAAGATGACTCTTCTTAAGATCCTAAAAATATATAATTGGTTATTTAAAATATCACTGAATCAGATAAACTTATTGAAATCAATACTACAGATCATGGGGATAAAGAAGAAATTTCTAAATTTTAAAAGGGTATGTTAAGCTTATAAACAATTAAATATTAGAAAAAAAGGATTTAATTTAGAAATCCTAAATATGAAGAAAAAGTAAAAACTAAAAAAGAATTTAATTGGAATTCAGATGCTATAAAATAATGGAAAATTAATGTAAATATTGTTCTTTTTGTTTTGAATTTACTTAGAGTAATAAAACATAAGAAATAAGATGGAAATAAAATTACTTAAAGTTAAGATGTAGAAAGAAATTAAAATATTAAATCTAACTTTAGGCTAAAACAATTTGGATTAACAATTCTTAAGTTTATTGTTGGCATCTCATTAGCATTATTTATTAGTATTTTAATTTTCCCTTTTATATTAATATCTGATTTATTTTTGAGGATATACACTTATATTAATTTATATGTGAGATATGCTCTATCTCATGAGAACTTATTTTATAAATTCATTTTACTGATTTAATTATATATGTATGTGATAGCAATTGTTATTGCTATAATAACTAATCTCTATTAATCAATTATTACAACTGTAGAATTAATATACAACATTGTTGGAACATTATAAAACAATATATCAGATCTTACTAGATTATTATATTAAACTATTCAAAATCCATTCTCAAAATAAAAATGAGTATAAATTTGTTTTATTTTTTTCACTTATAAATTAATATATGATTACTAATATATTAACTGAAAATATTTAAATTTTAAATGAGTACACAATATTTTATAATTTCAATTATTCAGTCTTTTTCTAATTATTATCTTAATTTTTAATCTTAATTTTCTCTATTCTTTTAAGCAATTGGTAATATATTATGTTTTACATGTTATAACCAATCAGAAATAGACTCTCCCTTATTAAAATTCTACAATATCCAAGGATGACTCAATAATTCAACTGCTGAAGCTCTCATTGATATTTTTTTCTATAAACAACGAGTCAGAAAATCTTTCAATTCTGGAGAAAATTAACTTCCTGAAAGTTCAGGTTATGCTTCATTTACTACTGCATCTAACATTTCAAAATAAGTCTTTGCACTTGAAAAAGGATACTTACCCATTGCCAATTCATATAATACTATACCAAAACTCCAAATATCACTTAAATGATTATATTTTTTAGCCCCTATCCTTTCTGGACTCATATAAGCTTAAGTTCCACAATTTGTTGTACAAAAGGCAGATTATTCAAGATCTCTTGATATACCAAAATCAGTTAGTTTTACATATCCTTATGAATTCAATAAAATATTATCTGGTTTAATGTCTCTATGAATTTAATTAGATATTAGATGCAAATAACTTAATCCATTCAAAATTTATTAACTTATTTTAGCTAGAATTGGTTCACTTATAATTGGTCCATTAATTAATGCTGCTCTATATATTCTTAGAATATCTCCCAAAGATCCAGCATCCATCAATTCTAATACTACTTTAACACTGCCTTCATCAAAATATGCTCCATATAAATTAACTAAAAACTAACAATAATAGCCTGAATTGTTTTCAGCATTCATTTTATTATGCAATAGTATTTTAATGTCATTCATTAACTAGTATCGTTTCTCTCGGTCATAAGCATTAATGGACTTGCATAGTTCTTTTAATTTACTTTGATGGCCACTCTAATACCAAGAGGTTTATAAATGGCTTCGCTAACAGTTCCGGCTGCTCCTCTTCCTAAATGTTTATTGACAATTTGAATATAATCGGCATTTATTGGTTGAAGTTATTACTGTCCTTGGACTTAAAGACCATCTTTTGAAACTCTGATGTTTTCTTTAAGGAATCTAAGACCATCTGGACCAATTTCTGAATAGACACTTCCAGCTTATACAGAGTCTTCATCTGTGTCTAGACAGAGATTCTTTTTTTGAAATGTCTTCTTCTTCATTAGAGTTAGTTTGAAATAAATAAATTAATTTAAAAATAAATTTAAATAATGGACCAAGATTTATTGAGACCCTAATATGAGAGTGAAAAGAGAAAGCATAAATTAAAGAGATTGATTTAAGCACCTAATTCATATTTCATGGATGTCAAATGCCCATAGTGTTCAACTAATAACACTGTATTTTCTCATGCTAGAGGAATTGTCACATGCATGTATATAATTATCAATAATTTATTAGCAAATGTTCAAGTCAATTAGGTAGATCAACAGGAGGAAAATTACAACTTGTTCTTGGAGCAAAATACAAAACAAAAAAATGATAGTATATCACAGTATAATAAATAACACATAGCCAAATTTCAATATTAAAGCTGCTTTGTTTTTTAGTTTTTATTTTTTAGCTTTATATTTGCATATTTTATATTAATTATTGTAAATTGGATGCAATTTCTTATATATTATTTATAATAATCCTATAGCTATTTTGACAAAATAATCAATGAAACTAATTATCAATATAAAATTAGATATATATCATTTATATTATATGAAGGTACATCTAAAATATGAGAATTTGGATTTAAACAAAAATATATATATATTTAATAATAAAAACATAGCTTAGTAAGATTGATACCAAATAATATTAGAATAAAGATCTATATGTTATATATATATATAGATAAATTGTCATGCTGTATAGAAATAGAGACAATTGAGGCAAGCAATAGCAAAAAGATTTTAAGTTTAGCACATGCTTATTTTCAGAACTTTACGATTAAAATCATATGATGATCCCAAATTCTCAAAATATTTTGGTGGAATCTATCTCACTACAGTTTTCTTATTAAAATTCAATTCATATTATGAATTACATTCACCTATTATAATATTAATCAACTATATTACCTTATCTATCAACAATATGGAAGGTACTATTAAAATTACCAGTTACAAAACTATTTGAATCAAGTGTTGATTGTATTGAAAACTTATCAAATATACATTCGTTTTCATATAGATCACATAATTTTGATTTTAATGGTTCAAACACTTAAACAGTAGCAACAGGTTTATTGGTCATTGCAATATCCCATACTTTAACAGTTAAGAAATCTCTTGAAAATATATATTTTCCATTTCGACTAAAACATGCATCTGATATAGATGTGACTATTTCAGTAAAGAAATTCTTTTTAGCTGGATCTTCTGGTTCTGTCATTGTAATAGCTGTATTATCACAAATTCCTGATTTTCTCATATCACATAATTTAATTATTCCTTTGCTAGTTGTATATAAAAATTAATTATCCAATGTAGGATGAAATGTTGATGATGTTATCACTTCACTTAATTCATCTAAATTCTCAGGTTTCAAATCAACAGCCACAAATGCTTTTGATGGTTATTCAATACTCCATAAATAAACTTTTAAATCATCTGATGTTAAAACAAATTCTTCATTGTTTGAAGCAGTCAATGAATTTATATGATAGTTATGTAGATTAGGAAATACTTTTCTCACACTTTCTAATCTTATTAAGTATTTACCTTGGAATCAATCCACTTTCAACAACTTATAATTTAGGCATTGCTAAATCCTTACCACTTGGTTTGATAACTTTAGTCACATTTTTTTCACTGACCTTCCATAACTTCACCGTTTTATCATTTGTTGATAAAACATACATATTTTTACCTTGTGCTCTTAACCATTAAATTTAATTAATCTTCTCCTCTATATCAGTACTTTTAAGAAAATCAAATTCTCTTGTATGTGATTACAATTCTGTTAAATATCTAAAAAATCATTTAAATAAATACTAATATTCTGCTTTGTCTCTCTTTTTGTTTTAAGGTACTTCAAATATTATCAATCGACCAGCTTTGTCTCCTAATCCTAAAAATCTTCCAGTCCTTTCAAATTGAACTGCAGAAATGATATCTTCATCACTAACATTGTCTGAAGATGCTTTGTCACCAAACACCTACATGAATTTCCAATCTTATTTCTTCATTCTTTTTTAATTAAAATATAAACATTATTTTATCATTATCCTAAACCTTTTAATTATATAATCAACTCATATCATTTATTAATCACTATTCTAACACACACAATAATTAAATAAAATTACTTATATAATTCGCTATAATCTATTTAGAAATCATAATTCTCAATTTTTATTTAAATAAATTAATAGAAATCTAAAACTAATCATTTATCATTTAATATTAGATAAGATATATATTTAATTCTATTTTATATTATAATCTTAAATTAGAGTATTCATTTAATACACACAATATATTAATCATTCTATTTAATAATTTCCGTTAATATAGTAATGAATCTTATGAAATATACAATGAACTAAAGTATCTTTGATATTTTTTATATCAATACAAAACTAAACTAATATGGTATAAATAAGGATTGAATAAATTAAGAATTATCAAAACTATCAATAATAGTAATTTAAAATAATTTATATCATCAAAATCTTATAAACAATTTAATGCTAATTTTTAACTTAATTATTAATTCTTTAAGTGATTTTATTAATTAAGATTTATTAATACAATATTTATTTATTGTTATTGATAATCTCAAATAAAATATTATTTCCTTAAATATAATAATTATTATTAGAATATTTTTGTATATATATTGTTATCTATTTATAAATTAAAATGAAAATGTTCTTTTTGGATTATATTTTTGATAATTCATTCCTCTCTTCAATTTCTTATTTTGAAAGAATTTACAGAATTTAAAGAATTAAAATTTTAAATATAAATTATCATATAATTAAAATTTAAAGAATTGATTGTTTATTATTGGAAAATTTGTTTTAAAATAATATTAAAAAAAATATATCGTAATGGAAAAAATAATTTAATGTAAACATAGATTGCTACTAGAATGAGACTTAAGAGTTTGTGATATCTTTGCTTAGTCCCCAAGCCTTGGAATGAATCACAAATCTACTTATTAATCGTCATTTGGTGGTTTTACTTCCATTGCAACAATCTTTCTTGTGTTTCTATTTTTTTCAACAAATTTTGTCGATTATTTGGATGGAAAAAATATTATTACTAAGTAAACTTAAGTTTATGATGATGATCTAACAAATCTGTAATTGGATGATTAAGATTTTATAATGGCATTAGGAATTGAATAGAGTAACTTTTTAAGCCAACCATACTTTACTTTAAGTCTATAATAAAGGTATCAAAATTGAGGATTATGTAGAGAATATGAAAGACTTCCAAATGGAACAGTTTTAAAAAACATTACCTAACTTCCTTTGGTTCCATGCACTTTAGAGCGTTTCTAATAAATTTTTGAAAGGTATGGAAAAAACTTTTCAGAGGACTTTGAGAGACTTTAACTCAAGAACTTGCTTTGTCCATAGTAATGTGTTAATCTATATTATGATAGAACATAAATAAGTATGAATATTGGTGGAACATATACATGTATATTAGAAATATTATTAAAGCCAATAATTTTAACTTTCTGAAAATCGAAGTTACTCCATGCAAATAAAGTAGTTCTACTGATAAAACTTGTGCATCAGATGATGAAATAAAATAATAATTAGAATTAAATGGAAATTTCAAAGTATAGGTATATGTAGTAAATAAAGTATAATGTATATGATTATATAATAGGTAATAAATCCTAATAAAATTGGATCAGATTACATATCTATTTTTCTAGATGATTAAAGTTACTTATCGTTTGTGCCTAAAAAAATAAATAAATATGCTAACATATACTTTAGATAATATTAATTTTAAAATAGTGTTGCTCTTTATCCATTTAAGTAAGAACATCATTGTGAATTTGAAGTGAGGATCAGAATCTGAATTTTATTTCGATAGATAATACAGAGACCAAAGAAATAACTGATTTAGGAAGAGATTCCGATACTATTTATGCTGCATTCTATTTTCGTAAAAGTCCTATCACTATTTTGGTTGAGAGAAAGAATTAAAATGTTACTGATTTATTATCCAAATTGGGAGGTTTACTCTAGATTTCCTTAATTGTTATGGGATTCATTATATCAGCGTATAATAAAATAACAAGTTAGCGTTTTCTTTAAATTAAGTAGTGTTTGTAGAATTATCGAATAAGATTTATGAGTTTAGTCCTGATATTGAAGAGTAGAATAAATAGCATTAATAAAATTTAAAATTAATTGATAATGCTTATGAAGAGAAATAGTTCAGACAAGAATACTATGTAAATAGAGAAGGTTAATAACAACAGATTCCTAATAGTGAAATTAAACATAAAAGTAAAATCCTACGACTTTTCGGAAAAAGCTAGCCTGATAAACATATTATGTTGATTGATCGTCCAACAACTGAAAATAATGAGTGTGTTAATTAAGGTTTAAATGAGAATGAAGATAAAAGTAATTAAATTACATAATTGGCAATAAAAGATCATAATATTTTAGCTTAAAGGCTTAATTGTGTAAGTGGATTAGATTACTTTAAAAAATAAATTAATCTTATATTAAATCGATCATAACCATTGAGATTTAATATGAAGATCTTTTTGAATTAATTGTGTCTAAGAAAGGCTTTCTCGAATTCTCTTTCTGTTCTATTTTATAATTAAGCAGTGTATTATACTATATTATTTAATATTAGTGATAAAATCAATGAATAATTAGATGTATTTAATATCTTGACAAAATTGAATGAGATTGATAAACTTAAAGAAATTCTTCTTACTAATTCTTAATAATTATTATTTGATTTTGCATCAAAACCAATCATTTCAATGATTGAAGAAAAAGAAATACCTATTTCAAGAACACTTCTAGAAAATAGAGCAAGAAACACGTAAATATCTTATTATTATAATATAGTAATGTTTCATTTTAAAGGAAAAGAACTAGAAAAAGTTAGGTAATATAATCTAATAATAAATCGTTTTTTCGGACTCAAAGTATTGATAGGGATAATAGAATTTACAATAGAATATATAGAGTATTTTAATAAATATATATATAGGCATATGATATGATATTATAATAGAGTGCAGATTAAAATCCTCAACATGAAGTTAATAGAAAATTGATTAAGAAACTTGGAGATGAAATGTAAGCTATTTTTAAATTGTCTAAATTACTTGATTTTGACGGTATTAGGAGATTGAGAGCTAATTCAAACATAGATCTAATTTGTAGGAATACTCAAAATATTCCTGAAGAGATAATGAGCTAATGATGATCTTTTATTTATATTATTAATGAAAACACTTAAATGGGGTATTATTATCTAAAATAGTAAGGATTAGAACGTGTTGACGTATTTGGTTAAATAGTATTTCTTCGTATGAATAAATAAGCCTATTTTAGAACAAAAATAGGAGGTACAATATCATTAGCAGTCTTATTTTTAATGATATATTTCTACTCTTAAAGTTTACAATCTTTTTTCCTTAAAGAATAATTAAGAGTTATCTCAGCCAATTAATATGAAGATGAAGTTTAATCAATATAATTAGATCAATCTGATTTCATGTTTGCTTTTAAAATAGAGTAAAATAATTTTACTACATCGCCTTTTTTTAATTTAACACTGGAATAAAAGTAAATTGAATAAAATGATATTCAAGAATATACTAAAGGCTACCAAATGGTTAATAAAACAAGATATCAAATATCATACCTTTAGTGTCTTGTACAAGTGACAGATTCTAATCCACTTTCTCTAGATATGGAATTGATTTCATAGAAAATTTCAATAGTTTTGGAATTAATGATTTTTTATGTCCAGAGTAAAATATATTATAATTATTTAAGGTATAATAACACAATATTTGTTGGAGGTACTTACACAAGTAAATATTAAAACCATTTATATAGGCAGTGATTTTCAATTTTTAACATTAACTATATCAAATTGTGAAAGTAATAATAAAATTTCATGTGCATCAAAAGAAACAGTTGATCAGTATTTTTAAAGTACTGGATCTTTTAAGTTGTAAATTTATACTATCAATCAAGTATAGATATCTATTACAATTATTAGATAATAAATCCTTATAAATAAAGATATAGATCAGCATTTTTGGATGATCAAATATATTTTACATTTGTACCAAATTAACTTAATAGAAAAGCAAATATATATTTTAGAAAATATGAATTTCTTAATGATGAAAGTTTATTACCATTTAGGTATTAATAATAATGATCAAAAGTGATATATAAGAAGATACAGTTTTTTTAATTGATTAATCAGATATAAAAGAGATGTCAGACATTGGTACTACTCTTGATGCATCTTATGCAACATTTAATTTTCGATTGAATCCATTTAAAACTAAATTCACTAGAAGTTATTAAAAAGTAGATGAGCTTTTATCAAATCTTGGAGGTATCTAATAAATATTCTTCTTTTTTATTGGATTACTAGTTGGTTTATATAATAGAATACAATGTATGATTATCAATTATAATAAGTTTTGGTTGAATTGGCAAATAAATTATTTGAATTCTAATTAGATTCAACTATTTAAAATAGATAATATTAAGAAAATCTTGAATTGATTGATGAATTCATGTAGCATCGAGAAAATCATCTTCATATAAATTCTAATGCAGAAATAGATGAATTAGAAAATTAATAAGTAGATGATAAACTTTCTCCTGATATTTCACAAAGATATAATTTACTTAATCTATTTTTAAATACTGGAGCTATAGTATCAAAAGCTACAAATCATTCAAAATCAAGTAAAGAAACAAGCAAATAACATTATATATTGGCTGAAAAATTAAAATTCATATCAGGACTTGATTATTTTTAACAATAAATAATAAAAATTATAGAACGGCAGAAACCAATTTATTTAGATTTTCAGATTTTCTGCAATTATTTTAGTTGTGGCAAACTCTTTAAAAATTAACCAAAAGTTATTCTAATGAATAAAGCATTGTAATTTAATTTATTAATTATTATTAAAGTGATAACATAATTGATTAATTAGATGTTCATCATATATTATTGAAATTAAATGAATTAGAAAAGCTCAAAGAAACTATTTTTAATTATAAATAATTGATGATGTTTAATTTCACTCCAAAACCTTTAATAAATCTTGATAGTATTACTAAAGAACCCTCAAGGTAACTCATTGAATAAATAGTTAAATCTCCTGAAACAATGGGTAAGATTGTTATTATATTAAAATAGATAAAACAGATTTTGAAACAATTGAAATGATTAATTATAAAAAAATGAGTAGAAATTAACCAAATCTTTTTGGAGATTACTTAATTTATTCTAAAATATTTAATGTAAAATTTATTGTATAAATAAAATAAGGCATATGATGATATTTTATAATCAAGTGATACTGTATATTCAAATAGAGCATTGATTCAAAAACTTGGACCTGAATTATAGATAGTTTTTAAGTTATCTAAATTGATAGATATACAACATAAAATTTATAATAAATAAAGAAATCCAACTAGGAGAGGTGCTGTATAATAAGAAGAGGAAGATCTTTGTGTAAAAATGTTTGATTAATAGAGCTAATAAAATTGATAAGTAATATTATAAACTTAATAATTTTGATCATAGTGTATCTAAAATTAGAAATTAATTATTGATTTGTAATTTTATCTGCTTTTATTTTCGAATACACAATTCCAGAATCACAAACACAATTAGTTACATTAGATTTAAAGATGTAAGCCTACAATTTCAGAAACACTATCTAATCTTGATCTGTAAGAATCATACAAGATTCAATCATTTCTTTTTCCAATCCTATTGAGTCAGATATATTTCCAATTATTACTTAATTATTCATGATATTTTAAATTTACTCTTTACTTTAAAATTAACCTTCTTATTTAAAGAGATTTTGCTTGTTAAAAATTATTTTGTTAAATTATAAATCATCTCAGATATATTTTTGGTAATGCTTAACAATTAACAATTAATTTCATAAAACTATAATGTTAAGATAAAGTAATTATGTATATTCTTTACTTTAGAACTTTAATTGTTTTGATTAGATACTATTAAATATTTGTTTAGAATTTAGAATTAATTATTAAATTTGAAATTATTATTATCTTTACTAAATTAAGAGTCATTTAAGAGCAGATCAACCAATTTATAGTAAAATATTAAGACATAATGACTGATATTAACATTTCATTTTAATAGATATAAATTAAATTAATTTAATTCATCATTCTTTTTAAAAAGCTACACCATATTATAAATGAATAAATTCGATGATTGTTTATTTATTATATTAATTCATTATCTTTTGAAATGATTTATCTAAGAAATCTATTTAGAATATTTCAATATTTTTATCTATCAAAATTCAGAGATTAATTCCTTGATATAATTCATGAATTGCAATTTAAGACTCTTTAAATTAATTTTACTATTATCCTTAGAGAATTAATTTGTATTTTTAATATAACATGTTTAATATTGGATTTGATTAGGATGTTGAATTAAGGGCTGTCTAAAATGAAGATTTTGAATAATAATATCTTGATCATTGTTTAAGAGAATCAAGAAAAGAGCCAAATACCTCCTACCCTCGTATTAGCAGAAGTCTTAGTTCAAAAAGTATTGAAGCTGAATGTCTTCATAAAGCACCAGATACACCATTTGATGAGATTATTACATCAGCTTAAAGTTCAGATCTTCTTGGTCGTAAGATTAATTAACAAAATGAAAGAAGAGGAAGTGTTCCAAGTACAGGAACAAGTTTGATGTGTAGTTTTTATATTCGTAGATTCATGGAAAAAATCTCTTAAAGTAGAAAGAGAATTTTGAGTATGAATGAAATCCATTTTAATTTAATAGAAGATAGAGCTGCTGATATGTATATATTATTTTAAGTAGGTAAAATTTATTTAATTACTAACATCAATGCAAAAAGTAAGGATCATCTTTGGGAAGAATGAAGGCCTTTTTAAGGAAAGATACTGGAATAAGGAATAAAAGTATCATTGAATAGATGAAATCAAGATTAAAAATAATGAAGAAAAACTTTTTAGATTTTATTACTACTGTAGTAAACAGGATTCCAATAGTATAACCAGAATCACGTTTTAAAATGATTTGGGATTTCTTTGCTTCTTTTTTTAGAATTATTTTAGTATTACTTATTCCTTTGGAAATAGCATTTGAACCTGGTATATTGTTTATTAATTATATTTTTTTGACTGCTTTAATAATTGTAATATTGCAAATTGACTTTTTGATAAGAATTAACACATTATAATATAGAAATGGAGCTGCTATTCAAAATAGATGGGATTTATTAATATATTAATTGAAATAGGAATTTTTGACTGATTTTTCAACTTCATTTGTGCTGATCATTTTTATGATCATACCATAAATCAATAATAAAATTAATTTATTTTTACTTGTTGTTTTAGCTCAATATAAATATATTTATGAAACTTTTGCAAAGAGTGATTAAATATCTTATTTAACAAGACCTTTAAGAGGAGTAATAGGTTTAGTAAAGTTTATATTAACATTATTGTTTATTCTACATCTTTTTAGTTGTATATGGTTTTGGTTTAGTTAAATAAGTATAGACGATTCTTGGATAAGATTTAATGGTTTAGATTTAAAACCATGGGAATTGTAATATTTAGAAGCATTATATTTTGCAGTAGTTACTATGTTAACTATTGGTTATGGAGATAATGTTCCCAAAAACTCTATCGAAAAGATTGTGACAATAATATTCATTTTGGGGGCATGTAATATTCAGAATAATATATTAGGTTTATGGTTCTCTTATAGTGTTAATTTTATTGGTTAAATTATCAACGATATCACTTAAAATTAAGTTGAAAGGAATAGAAAAATGAGAGTTATTAATAAATATATGGATTAAAGAAAGATACCATTTAATATGAAACATAAGTATTCATTCAATTCAGCTATTTAGAATTAAAGAGTATTTGACTTTCAGATGGAAAGAGGATGATGAAGTTGATTTAGAAATTGAATAAACACTTTTAGAATAATTGTCAGATGAACTTAAGGAGGAATTAGATAAAGAAGTGCATAAAATATTTATTATAAAATCAGCTTTTCTTTAAAATTTTGGATAAGATTTTAAAGATGCTCTATCAAAATCAATTAAAAGAAAAATTATTCCACCATAAAATACATTTTCAATTGATTTTGATGGTTAATAACATTTATGTTTTGTAGAATAAGGCATTTTACTTTATTAACATCCTGATAGAAAGTAAAGATCAAAAATGAATTCTTAAATAAAATAAGAATAATTTTTTTGTGTTAGAGAATTTATTATTCAAAGTCCCAATATTGAATTTTTTAAATCTAATGGTTATGTGAGTTTGTTAATTCTTTCTAAAAAGGATTTTATGGATACAATAAAAAACTATCCAGAAGATTTTTAAAAGTTTTGTGAAATAAAAGATTAAATGAATTTAAATCTATATCCTCCATAAATAGAAAATGGAGTATTTTGTCCAGCATGTCTATTATTTAATCATAATTTAAAAAGTTGTCCTCAAATTTAATACATACCAGATAGAGAAGTTATCTTAAAAAAATATTTATTACCACGAGAATAGAAACGAAAATATTAAAATAGAGAACATTCCAAAAGATTTTATAGTGATTAAATTATTAAAAGAGCTAGATTAGAAAAAGATTTAATTTAGTAATTTGCTCAAGTATTTTAAACTGAAAATATTTAATTAATTTAAGAATAATAAAAGATTCAATTAGTTTATGAATAAGAATCTATTAGTTCAAGTGCAGATGTTAGTCCTTGCTTTAACATGTAGAATGATGGCAGATTTTAAGCAGCGGTTTCAAAATCAAAAAGAATTATAAATGAACCATAGAGTTAAGGATCTATTACTTCAAAATTAGTTGATGTCAGATCTAATCTTCATTAAGCTTTATAAAATAGAAAATAATCTATATTTAATCTAAATTTCTCTTCAGGATTGGGTAGAAGTCCAAAGAGTATGCTTCTCTGTTAGACAGACTATATAAAAGAAGATGAAGAAAGTGAGGAGAGTAGTAATGGTAGTGAAGTTAGTTAAAAATAAGAAGAAAAAAAAGAAAAGAATGGATTAACAGTTGCAGATTTTAATGATAATATGATAGAAAATATTACTAATTTATATCATCAACTTTAAAGAGAATTAGAACTTAATGAGAATGATTTAACTATATAAAAGGCATACTTTTAGATTGAACCTCTTTATTGGTAATTTAATTAGTAAAGATTATATGATTTTGAAGTTATGGCATCTTATGATTGTTTCTTTAAAAATGATAATTTTAATGAAATCATTAAAAATAATCATAATCATAATTTGAATTGGCAATCATCATTTCTTGAAAAGTTACAAAAATATATGCTTTATCCATTTGTTTTTATTTAAAAATATCTAAATAAAAAAAGAAATCTAATTAATCCTGAAAAAATTAAACATGATCCTTCAAAAAGATTAAATAATAGATTGAAAACTTTAAAAAATAGTTTGAAATTAAAAAAGAAGTCAGTCATAGTCAAACCAATTTAGAAATTAGGGAAAGTAGTTCCAGAAATATGAATTAGAATTTAGAATATAAAAATTGATTTTAATATTTATATATACATTTCTACAAATTTTATTTTTCAATTTCATCAAATGTTATTTATTATTATTTTGTTATGCTACAATTTTGCTTCAAAATTAAATATTTATTATCTTGTATAGGATTGTTAATTTAATTGATTTAATTTTTATGAAAAATCTGAAACCTGAAGATAATTATAGTAACAGTTTAGATAGAGAATTAAGAGCAGAGTAAAATGAAGACTTTGAACAATAGTACTTGGAATATTGTCTTAAGGAATCAAGACCTAGTAGTGTTTTTCAAAATGGCATGTTCTCATTAAGTAGAACTGATAAAACTCCTGATATAACATATACACCTAAACCTGAATAAGATTTTCTCTAAAATGATGCAATTTCATTATCTGAGATGTAGACATAAATCAATAGATCATCAAAAGATACAGGTTCAAGTCTTATGACTTTTTTTTTTATACGGAGGTTCTTAGAAAAAGTTGGATAAAAAAGACGATAATTGGAGACCTTAAATTATTGTATTTTAAATTTAATTAGTGATAAAGCATCTGAAAAGTATCGTTTACAATATACATAGTTCAAATGTGATTGCTTATGCCAAGTAGTTTAAGCGTAAAGAACTTTCTTTTATATCAGTATAAAGAATATTGACTAAATAAATTATTAAAAAACGAGTATTTGAGGAATTGAAGGAAACTCTTCAATAAATAAAAACATAATTTTTTAAGTACTTATTGTTGATAATCTCCTGCATACCATTAATTCAACCAGAAAGTATGTTTAAGATGTATTGGGACTTTTTTGTTACATTTATTAGAGGAATATTAGTATTTTTAGTACCCCTAGAAATTTCATTTAATTCAAAAATTTTAGTATCTGAAGATAGGATATTTTCAACTCTAATGTTTATAATATTATAATTAGATTATATTGTTAATATAAATACAATTACATATAAAACAGGCAAAGCCATAGTAGATCGTTGGGAAATAATCAAATTATAAACAAATAGATCTATTTTAATTGATCAATGCATAACTTTTATTTTGATAATCAATAACTATTTACCTTCAGGAGATTATGATTTAATTTTGATTCTCCTTTTAAGTTAATTAAAATATGTCTATGAATCCTTTTTAAAAGTAGATTAAATCTCATATCTCACTAGACCTTAAAGAGGCAGAATAGGTCTGATAAAGTTTTTAGTATCTTTAATATACATAGCTCATTTATTCAGTTGCATATGGTTTTGGTTTAGTAGTATAGATGACGAGGATTCTTGGATTATCTCCAAAAGATTAGGAAATCTTAGATGGTCATCTTAATATTTGGAAGCATTTTATTTTGCAATAGTTACAATGTTAACAATTGGATATGGAGACAATGTTCCTTAAAATTAAATAGAGAAAATTGTTACTATAATTTTTATTTTGTGTGCTTGTTTATGGTTTTCTTATAGTGTTAATTTTATTGGGGGCATAATTGATGATATTACTTAAAATTAAGTAGAGAGAAATAAAAAGATGAGAGTGATAAACAAATATATGAGAGAACGTGAGATTCCTTTTGCTTTATAATATTAGTATATGAAATCATTAATTAAATTATAGAATCAAAGAATATTTGACATATAGATGGAAAGAAGATGATGAAGTAGATTTGGAAATGGAATAAACATTATTGGGCTAATTGTCAGATGAATTAAAAGAAGAATTAGATAAATAAGCATATAAAATATTTATATTGAAATGTGAATTTTTATAGAAATATTTCAGTGCTGAATTTCGTAATGCTCTTTTTAAATCAATCAAAAGAAAAATTATACCACCTTAAAATACATTTTCTATTGAATTTAATGGAGAATATAATTTATGTTATATTGAATAAGGAATACTATTATATTAACATTAAGATGGAAAACAAAGATCTAAGATTAATTCTCATATAAGTCATGGAAGATTTATATGTGTCAAAGAGTTTTTATTACATAGTTAAGATAGAGAATTATTTAAAGCTGCTGGATATGTTAGTTTATTAATGTTATCAAAATCAGATTTTTTGGAAACTTTGAAAGATTTTCCAGAAGATTTCTAAAAATACTGTTAATTAAGAGATTAATTAATTCTCAATTTAGATTAATAACTTATAAAAGAAGGTTAATTTTGTCCTGTCTGTAATAAAACTGATCATCAATTAAATCAATGTCCTTAAGTGTAATTGATTCCAAATAAAGAATTAGTACTTAAAAGACATGCTTATAATATAATATAAGAGAGAAGATATCATAAACGAAGAATTATTGAGAAACCAATAATGACAAGAGCAGAAATGTTATTTGTTTAAGAATGTGCTAGGATATTTGCTTTAGATAATCCTTAACTTATATAAAATTAATAAAAATGTCAACATATTATTGAGTAAGAACCTGAACCAAATATAATTTTACTAGGCAATGAAGATTAATATCCTTCTGTTAAAGTATTTCCTGTATCTGAAGAATTTCTTGTTACTTCCAGTCATCAGAGAGCAGTGAAATGCATTGATTTAGAAGTTTAATCTGATGTTAGAATAGAAAAATAAAGTAAATTTACTTAAAAGTATAATTAAAAAAGAATTTATAAAGTAGGATCTATTTATGATCATAAATTTTTAAGATAGAATACAAAGAGTCCATCATTATTATCTAATTTAAATGAACCATCAATTGAATCTTATCCAAATGAGGCAATTACCAATAATGAAGTTGATGAATATAGAAATCAAATTAAGGATTTTGAATAAATGCATGCAGAAAACATTAAAATAATTTATAATTAGATGTAAAAGTTTATTGATGATCCATAACTTGTTAAACAAATAAAGGAAATAACATATCTTTATATTCAATTATATAATGAATCTGAATAAAATTTAGATTAAATTTATAACTATGATTATTATTTTCCTTCGCATAATATCACTTAAATAATAGAGTAGATAAATAAAAATAAATAAAGTTGGCAACAATTAATTTTAAATAGATTTTAATTGTATATGTTTTATCCATTTTAATTTATACTTAAATTTTTGAAATATAAAAGAACTAAAGCATATGTTTCAATAATAAACAAATTTGAAACCATATAAAGAGTTAGACATAAAATGATGCTTTTAAGAGTAACAAAAAGTCAACTTAAAAGAAATAAAGTACTCCCAGAAGTATAAATAAAAAATAATAAATTGTAAAAAAAATAATGATATTTTATTTCTTATTTTATTAAAATGTTTGTTGATTATTTTTAATAATCAAATAAAATAAAATATATAAGTAAAAATACAATATAATTAAAGAAATAATAATTGTTTTATTTTTATATACTTAATAAATTTGATCATTTTAAAACTATCTTAAATTCCAATTTAACTAATAACTTTAACTTTTTTCTTCTCAATCAAATATATCTTATAACCAAATAACGTTATAATAAAAATTATTATAAAGATGTCTTTTCTTACATTTAAGGAATTTTTATAGATTTTTTATATGTGATTAAGAAATAAGATATTTCGATTTTTAGTTTCAGTATGATTAGTATTAAATAAGAATAGCAATTATTTTTATAAAAGATGAAATTTTGTGAAATAATAATTCTTTCTTTTTTTATGTATGGTGATTTAATAAAAATGATATTTTGATTTAAATGAGTATGTGATTATAAAAGAGATTGAGGTTAGAAACATATAATTAATCATTAAAAAATTTATTAAGCAAATTAAAAAATAATATAGAAAGAATGACTAGTAATGATATTAAATAAGCACTTAAAAAATATTAGCCATAATTAGATTAGGATTACTAATAAAAATTACAAATTGCTAAATACACAAATTTGTCTGATATTGAAAAAAGCAATTTTCTATTAAATTTAGGTATGTTTAGATTTAGCATATAGGTTTTGGATAATAAAATGTTTTCTTTTTATTTGATGGAAATATATAGCATAACTTTGATAATGATAAGATAATATATCATACAATAAATTGTTTGGATAAAAAAATAGATGAAAAGTATTTTATGACAATATTATATTAGTACTTACACTATTGTATATATAGTGGCAGATCATGATGGATCAAAATAAATGAAAAGATTTAGAAAGATGTTAAAGTAGCTTCCTAGCAAATATTTCATTTAATTATAAGGGTTTTATGTATATGCTGCAAATTTTGGAATAAGAACAAAACTTTTATTTTTAAAATCAAAGAGAGAGAGAGTATGGTACAAGAAGATTAAATTTATTGATGAGTATGCTTAAACTTATTTTAAGAGTAGAGGATCTATTAAAGATACCAAATTTTTAAGCTAGTTGGTTGAATACATTTCCTAAATAAATTTTGACTTTTGAAAAAAAAGATTCAACTCTATAAATTAAATAATCATAAAGTTCTTTTGGTTCACATTTGAATAACTAAAAGTTAAATCAATTTTAAATTCCAATAGTAATAGATTATTTACTCTCTTATTTTGCAATAAATACAGATAGATTTTTAATACCAGATATATTTAGATAATAGGGTTCAATTATTGATGAAGAATAATTATAATAAATGTTGATTAATGAGAATTATGAATATTTGAATACTATAGAAGATGTGAGAATTGTTTGTAGTCTTATAAAGAAGTTTTTTTTAGAATTAGCTGAACCATTAATACCTGATCAAATTTTTTAATAAATCTGTATTAAAATAGAATGTAAGTTATTATATTAAAATAATTAGAAATAACTCCTTAAACAGAAATTGAATTCTTATAAGAAATATTTGAATAATTACCTAATTTAAATTTAAAATTGTTGATTGCTATGGTCACCTTTCTATTTTCGGTTGGAAGTTATTCTGAATTTAATCGTATGAATATGAATAATTTGGCTATTATATTTGCACCTTGTTTTATGAGAGCTTAAATAGATTAGAGTTAATAAAATGAAAAAATTGGATATTAATTGAAATTCTTAAAGATTTTATTTGAAAATTTTCACAAAATACACCCACAGATTTCATTTAAATTATATTTGTAGCATACGTAAAATTTATCTTGTTCATCAAACATTAATAATAATTCAACCGGTACAGAAAGCAATATAAAGAAAAATCAAAAATTATCTTCATTAGAAGATGAAAAACTTGTTCAATTTTAATAAAAGTAGAAATGATTTTATAATAAATAATATAATACAAAAACTTGTTTAAATTCAATTTTATTAATTTTTTCTTAAAACTAAAATAAATTTAATTAAATATAAAAAAAAGTTTAGGTCATACCAGGACTCGAACCTGGGTCACTGGATTCAAAGTCCAAGGTGCTAACCACTACACCATACGACCTAAGCTGATTAATAAATATTAAGAATATTTATAACATGTATTCATATAAATTAATAATACATCTAGCCGCGCTTTAAATAAATTATTTAAATCAAAATGATCTATGTGAAGAGATTAATCGAAAAAGCAATCATACCTAAAAAGGGATCCCTCAAGGCTGCTGGTTATGATCTATTTAGTGCTGAGGATACAATTGTACCTGCAAAAGGAAAATAAGTAATCAAAACAGGCATCTCAATGGCATTATTAGAAGGTACTTATGGTAGAATAGGTAATGTAAATATGTTTATGATTAAAGCTCCTCGTTCTGGTTTGGCAGCCAAAAATTTTATAGATGTTGGTGCTGGTGTTATTGATGAAGATTATAGAGGAGAAATATGTGTGTTATTATTTAATTTTGGAGATAACGATTTTAAAGTAAATTATGGTGATAGAATTGCTTAAATGATTATTGAATATGTTGTACAAACTGAAATTTAAGAAACTGAGAATTTGAGTGAAACTCAAAGAGGAGAAGGAGGGTTTGGATCAACTGGTGTCAAATTAATTTAAAATACTAATAATTAATCTCAATAATTAAAGTAGAAATTATAAAATCTTCAATAATTAAATAATGATCAACCAGAACCTTGGTAAGAATTGACTATTCTGGATTTATACAGTTTATTTTCTAATGGACACATTAATAGTAAATAAAAATAATAATTGGGGGAAATTACAATGAAAGGAGATAAAAAAGTGTATGAATTATTTAAAAAGAATGAGGGAAAGAATGAATAAATAATAATTTAATAGTTACTTAATTTAATTGAAGAATGATACATATAAATATAGTTAAATTATATTCATATTTTAAAATTATCATATATAATGGTTCCAAATTCATTTTTTTATTGTTGATGATTCAATACCATAAAATTTAAGAGTTTTAATTTTGCTTCTTTTTCCTCTAATTATGTACATAATTAATTCTTCATTAATTATAGATTTGAAATATCCTACTTAAGTGTTTAATTCTATAGTTTTAAATCATTAATTTAAAAATCCTAAGAATTTTATTATATTTTGTACCCTAACTTTATATTCTAAATTACTGATAGGTTTTGTAATATAATTTTCTTTTTTAGATATGTTAATAATTGTAGTTGGTATAGAGAGAGATGAATTAATTTATTTTCAATTCTATATTGATTGATTAAATAGAGGATTTAATAATGTCTTGTACATTTAATTTAATCATCATCAGTCTAACATCCTGCATCTTATGTGAGATATTCTGGTTTTATTTAATCTTGAGATAAACTTTGTCTAAACATTAACTACTAATAGATTTTGAGAGGTTATTGAGATGTATATGTAATGGTTTCTAATTTTGAGAATATATTATTCCAAAGTGTACGTATATTACCATATTAATGAATTTATTGAAGTTCTTATTATAATAATTAAACTTGTTGTTTTAACATTTATATTTCGATAGACTCTTAAGGCATAATTTTTATATTCTATTCGTAATAAATATTTATAAAATTTGTCATTATTCATATACATCAGAAATGGATTATAAAATTGATATATATAAAGAATGATCATTTTAGTTAAGTGTTTTCATTCAATTTATATTTTATAACAATAATTTTTCAATATTATTTATTAAATGATATTAGGTACAGAAGTAAATGAGTTTGTTACAAATCGTTAATAGTCTAAAATACACTATCTATCTTAAGAGAATAAACTTCTATAAGAATATATTGCTGATTTAGAGAATGCATTAAAATTAAATAAATAGGCTATGTCATTAGCATTGGATAACAAGAAACCTCTGGTAATTATTTAAATTTAATTTCATTAAAGCAAACAAAAGATGGAAGTACTTCATTAAGTGAGTAATATTAAAATCCAGAATTGATCAAACATTTAAATGAGGAGAATAAGAAATTAATGGAAGCCTTAACAAAACAATAGAAAGTGAGTAGTTAACTACAAACTAAAATACTATTATAGGAATAGATAGCTGAAGAGCAAACAAATTATTATAAAGATTTGATTAGTGATTTAGAATATAAGTTAATTGAATTGAAACGTAATATTCATGATAAAGAATATGCAATATAAGAGTTAGAACGAATGAAGCCAATTTAAGAGAAGGAAGGCTAATTAGTTAAATTAATAGAAGTAGTGACACCTTCAGAATAGAATTTAAAATTACATGAGGAATTAGAAAATGTGAGAGGAGTATTACAGAAAATTACAAATGAAGCACAGAGTGTTTCAGAAAGTAATAATGCTTTAAGAGAAGTCAATTATCATTTGAAAAGAGAAATATTCAAAATGAGAATAGTACTGAGAAGTTAAGTGAATTATTAAAATATGAAGGGTATTAAATGTTCATATTCTAGATTTTGTGTATAATGAATATCTTGAGAAAACAGATAATAATCTTGAATTGAATAGAGAAGTATAAAACCATAGAGGTAAATTAGAACAAATGCATTAAGATTTATATGGTACAACCAGTTTAGGCTATGGGTTTTCTCCAGAGCCATAATAATTGAAATATTTGAGTAAAAATGAAAGGATGATTTATTAAGAGAAATTACATAAAATGGAAATGATGGTTAAAGGATTTAAAGAATTATTTGAAAAGGAAAAAAATAGCAATTTAAATGTTAGCAAATTGTATAATGAATTAGTTAAAAAATATGAATAAATTTAAAATATCAATGAATTATTAATACGTTCAAATTAATTAAAAGATTAAAAGAATGATTAATTAATGGCAGAATTACAATTTTACAAAAAATAAAATTAAAATTATATGGAATAACTCAAAACTAGAAAATAATTCAACTCTATATAATTAAATTAAGAATAAGATATAGCTGTTGGAATATTTAGTCCTAGGTTCAATTAAAATAATGAACGAGTTAATACTTAACCATCATATTTTGTAAGATAATCTTAATAATTATCAAATGCTGATGTTAAATTTGATGACACAGAACCAAAAGAAGATATTTCACTTTAGTTAAGTAATTCTAATTAAAAAATTCAAAATAATAAACTAAATTAATAAATTGTTCCTTAAATCAAAATGAAGAAACTTTAATTAAAATAATTAGAGATTAATACTAATGATAACTATGAATAAGCACCTTATTGTTAAACTGCAAGAGCTGAATCTAAACCAATTACAAAAAATCTAATGTAACCATTAAAAATTTAATATTATGATATGACTAGGGAAGAATGTGTTAATTTTATTATGTCAATGTCAAGTGAATTCTTTTAGCATTTCGACGTATGATATCATCTAATCTTTAGATAAGTAATATAAAGAAAAAATAGTTAATTAAATAAATGTAAGATCCATTGTCATAAATCAAAAAGATAAAAAGATCTTATAGTAATCCATTTTCTTATTTTTCAAATGAAACTCAAGTGGCCTTTTCGAAACCACCTTAATAATCTGTTGTAGCTATAGTAATTAATTTATTATAACAATATTTAGACTAAAAATGAAATTTAATAATTATTAGTAGAATTAACAAGTAAAAAGAAGTAGTAATCTGAGTAATTTGATTTATTTAGTGTTGATGTCTCTTAAATTGATGGTAATAAGAACAAGAAATAAATGCTTGATTAAGATATTAGTTTTATTTCAAATATCGATTAACAAGATTGAGCATCTTAATTTCTTTGTTTATGTGAATAAAAATCATTTTAATATAAATTATATATTTAATCAATATAATGATAGAGCAATTATTACAAATAAAAGAAATCAAAAAAAAACAATAATTCTAATTAAATAGATATATTAATATCATAATTATATTTATCTATTGATATTCTCAAATCTTTTATCATTATATTTAGAATCAACATAAATTATGAATTGATATATTTAATATTAATTAAAATATATTTAAGGTACATATTTTAAATCTCTCTTTTCATTCATAAATTCATTAGATGGTATAATAATTGATATGTATTTAGATTATTTAAAATATATACAATAAATTGTTAAATTAATGATAAGAAAAAGAGAATCAAATATATTACATTATAACTTCACTTCTACAGTATATAGTTATATATAATTGTATATATTATGATTTCCCAACAAAATTGAAATGCTTCTATTAATTATTAGAAGTATTTGAGAATTCATCTAACAATTTTAATATCTTTTATATATTTTTTATTATAATTTAAAATTGGGGGTTCTGGAGAGACTGATAAATATCCTAGAATTTTGAAATATTTCACAAAGGATAGCTTATTTACAATAAGTTTAACATTATAATAGGGTATATAGACATATAGATGTGTTAGATAAGCATTTGACTTTTTTACTACTAAATTTACTATATATTGGTAAAAAGGTTTAATGTTATTATTAAATCATTAAATTACTCTAAAACAAAACTTTAGTTTGAATATATGAAGATCTTCTAAAATTGTCAACTAATTATATACAATTTTGAAGAAATTTAATTAGATTTAGATATTAATTTTTCTGATGTATTATATTGGGATATCTTATATTTAGAATCATTTACTTAATTAGTATAAGTATATCATTTCAGAATATGAAAAATATTAAGTCAGTATCTTTTTGTTTTTATGTTCAAAAAGAAAGTATTGACAGAAAAAATTATAAAAAAAGGATCTTTAAGGCCCATTTTATAATGCACTTTTATAATGTACAATTATACGTGAAATTAAATCTTTTTAAATGAGTCTAAGTATTTTTAGTGCTAAGACAAGTTACTATAAGAATGGTATCTGGTGGTTTACTAAAATGGCTGCTAGAGTAGTAGGGGAAGAGAGATGGGATTCAATGAGAATGGCTAGAAGAATCTATGGCAATAAATTTTACTATGCAAGATAATAAGTCTTGTTTGATATCTTTTATGATTGGCCAGCCTTCGCCAATATGATTGGTATATATCCTAAAGTATAAAAATGTCTTATATAAATAGATTGATACTTCACATGGATTCCTTCATTGGTCAACTTACGAAGCTTATAGAGATTGGTAAGAACATACATTGAATTCAGATGTAAAATTTAACTCATATATATAGGGTGCCTTTGCTATGTGGATTTACTTAATGTGTGGAATTTACATCGGCCATTTTGTATATTCATATATGGTTCCTTATTATTGGACGTATCTTGTTTTGACTATAAAATAGTAATATGTTCCCTGCCAAAAATGAGGAATTTGTAAGATTGAGAATGAAGGATGCCATAGCTTCAACTGTTCAGGAAGAATTGTTTGGAAATCAATTTGCGGAATTTGGTTGGGCTCCTCATGATTTTCATTATAACAGACGAAGATGCATGGCAGGTTACAGTCATCCAGATGATCCTCGTACTATGCATATGGGCAGTTTTAATAGTAATACATTTTTGAATATTCTATAGGAAAACATAAGTATAAGGAACACTATATTAAGAGAGTAGGATAACAAAGTAGAATGGCTGATCTATGAAAAGACAAATAAGAAGACATTAATATAATTTTTTCTTAGTTTAGTTAATAATGTTAAACATCTTGTTTAAATAGGATTCTATTTTTTCTAATTTATAAGTAACAATATTTTTGATTCTGCTGAAGTTCTTTTAGAATTATAATTAAATAAAAGCAAGAAAATTATAAATTGCCACGTTATGGAAATTGCAAATTCCTAATACAAAGATATCACTCAATAATTTCTATCTAAAGTACATATTAAACTTGTTGCAATCAAAAGGGAATAGCCAAATTGTATTAAGGATCATATTTTAATTAGAATTTTTACTCACAGCCAAAATTGCCAAAGAGAAAATTGATGCAGCCAATCAAAGACTTTAGGAATTTCATACTAGTATATCTTTAAATTTTATTCTTTTAAGCATCTTAATCTACAGGACTTTTTAATGATTAAGATTATAAATTGAATTCTATACTCTCTTTAGTCAAAGACGATATTAGTTAAATACATATTCATCTTAATTAACTTAAAACTTAATTGAATAATGATTTAAATTAATCAATTTTTGATTTTGTTTAGCAAAAAGCAATGAAAACATCTGATTCATTTAAAAAAGTATATGATTTCAAGATTTAATATATAGTTGGTATAGAGCCACACTTAAAGAATTAAATAATAGGAAGAAAAAAGGAATAGATTAAATGGAGAAAGAGATAGAGTAATCAAGAGAGTAGGATTTAATTAGAAATATTAAAAATTGAATGAAAATGAGGAAGAGACTGATCATTAAACAATTTAAATGTTTGATTAAAAGTAGAATGAGGAAAAATTGGTTTCTATGCAAAAGATTGAGTCTATGTTAAATGATATTGCTGGAGTATTCTAAAGAGTAGGAACTATGGTGAGATTATAAGAAACTATGATTGAAAGAATTGATAAATATACAGATGAGGCATAAGTTAATGTTAGTAAGGGACGTAAAGAATTATAGGAATCACATAAAAGAATAAGTTCTAATAGAGGTTTAATCTTAAAAGTTTTTTTAATTTTGTTTATTTTTGCTTTTATCTACATAGTATTTATTTTGTGAACTAAATACAATTAAATTGAGTATACTAAAATTTAATTATATTATTAAATCAAACTATTTTAATTGATAAGATTTCTATATTTATTTAAAAAATAAGAAATAAAGATAAATAATTGATAAGTTTTAAATATAGATATTTATATTAAAAGAAGTATGAGTTATATGTAATTTTATAATAGGTATGCTTATAATATTTATTTATATAATTTTTATACTCTTTTTTGTTTTTAATTTAAAATAAAGATTTAAATTATTTATCATTATGGCAGAGGTCGAACAATTATCAGAAGAACTCACTACTTTAAAGAGAGTCGTTTAAACATCATTACATAGAGGTTAATTATCAAAGGGAGTGCATGAAGTATGCAAAGCCATTGAAAGCAAATAAGTTTGAATTATCATACTATGCATTATAGGCTAAGTTTGTAGTTTTGGCTGATGATTGCTCTGAAGAATCCTATAAAAAATTAGTAGTTGCTTTGGCTAAATAATTCTAAATTCCTGTTTGGAAAGTAGAAAAAGGTGCTTTATTAGGTGAATGGATTGGAATTTCTAAGTTTTTAACAAAAACAAAGAAAATCAAATCAAGAAAATGTTCATCTGTTGCAGTTAAAGATTTTGCAATTGAAGTAAGTGAAGCTGAAAAACAATTTGTAGAAGATAAAATCAAAGGATTATGAAAATATTTATCTGTACAACATATAAAAAGTATAATAATGGATAATTACAATTAAAAATACATCTTTATATATATTGATAACTTAATAAATAACTTAATTAATATAATAAAACATACTCTATATTATTTATTTTTATTAATGAATAATATTTTCAGAATAAAACACCTTTCTCTTAGATATTAAGTGGTCTAGCTGAATTTGGATTTGTATATCTTCTAATGAAATCTTACAAAATCAATTCAGAATCTTTAAAATCTGTTGCAGCATGATCATTAGCTTATCTATGAACTCTACATAAGGTTTCTTTATAATCTTCATACCACCAGACGAATCTCTTAATATCTATAAATTTAATGTAATATATTCATATACCTTCATGTTCTAATAAGAATTCATTTTCCTTTACTAATTCCTAAGCTCTTAATTATACATATTCATCAAACAAATTCACTTTTGTTAATTCAGATTTATATTCAAAGTATATTTTTCCAAAAATCACACATTAAACCACTGGAAATAAGTATCTAAATGTTCTAAATCTTATGTTTTATGTAATAACATTGTAATTATAGGCATAAAGGAACTATTATAATATAAATTAGATGTTTATACTAAATTAATTCCAAAAGCTACAGCCTAATAGCCAAACTTATTATATTCAATCACTGGATAGGTCATATCATCTTCCCATTCAGCTAAAGGAGAAATAACACTATAAATGTACGATCTTAAGAACTCAAGCAAAATGCATTGAATGGGATTTTAGGCTAAGTCCAACCAGCAGTTTCTATCAACTCAACCATCTTCTTAATTGATCTATATCTCTTCAAACGAGCTTCTCTGTAATAATATTTATCATTTCAAACCTAAAGGGAGGAAGATTTTAGTTTCTTAATCCAAGTAAACTGATGATTGTGAAATAATTATCCATTTAATTAATTATTGAAAATTAAGATAAAATTAATGTATTAATGCAATTATTATCAAAATATATTCCAATAAATCAATTTACAACCTTATAAGAAAAATATACATAAATTAATTTAATTGCTAAATGAATATTATTTATATATTTATATTAGCTATTCTTGGCTATCATTATTTTCATTACTTTCACCTCTATAATTATGAAATAATCTTAATAGGTAAGATTTTATACATTAATACTAAAATAACAAATTAGAAATTCTTACCTTAATTAATACATAGTTTTACCATATGTTTTTCAGCTGATTTATTATTCAGATCAATTATATTAGAATATCAAGATAAAGATTTACCAAAATTAATAAACTCAATTATAGCTCATTTCTTTATTACATTCCTCTAATGGAAATATGATTTTTGTTTTTAATATGACATTTTTTATAATCTAAGTTAAGCAAAAATACTTACTTGGGCATTTAAAAACAAATATCTTTATACAGAAGAAAGGAATGAAATACAATTATTCATTTAATTGTTGTTGGCTTCATGTTATTAAAATTTACTTCTTGGATCTCATAAAAATGTCATTACTACATTTGTTTCATTATTATATAATTACTTTTATCAACCATATTTCTTCGAGTTTTAACCAAGTAATTATGGTCTTACAGCATACAGAAATAAGCATTATTTATCCTAATTTGTTTTTTATAGTATGAAATTATTTTGAAATTTATGTTTATACATTAGATTTATATATATAATTTATAAAAGATTCCCATCTAATTAGTTTTGAAATTTTAATTACTTAAAGCTATAATTTTTCATAATTTCTAGAAATTTAAAATGAATTATAAATATTTGATTTTTCAGTTTCTGAAGATAATTAATAATAGAAAGCTCTTAAGAATGTTGATTGGTAAATTTAATAAATGATATAAAAAATAAGCGAAATCTTCAAATAAGATTCTGAATTCATACGATTTCTAAAGAAAAGTAGTCTTTCTAAAGACAATTAGGTTTACGAATAAGAAGAAATAGATTTTTTATTATAATACATGACTAAAGAGAAGAATCTTAGAGAGTTTTTTGATTTTTACTCGAACTTCGACATGTAAACTTATAATATTAAAATGAAAATGCTCATTATCACTCATTAGTTTATTCATTCAAATGAAGAATTCTCTAAATAATTTACTTCTTTAAGATTAACAAATTTTTGTTTACTCAAACACAGCCATAGAAATTATGAAACATGGTTACTTTTAAATATTTAAATTCCATTTTTGTCCTATTTATAAAAATTAGCCATCAGCTTCAAGGAAATAAAAAGTTACAAAACCAGCATTTTTAGAAAATCAAATTATTAGAAGTATAAATAACTAATAACATTAGTCTAATGATAGATAGTTTTAAGATGGTAAATATTGTCAATATGGCTCTTTCTCTTGTGCCTAATTTGAAAATTGCCCTTAAAAACTATCCATACGATAGATTATTATAAAAGTTAACCTTTAATATTTATTAAGAAATTCAAGGATATTAAAAAAATCTAATAAATTCAATTATTACATTATTGAATGAGAACTCAAAAATTTAAAGTGTCGATTTATATGAGCTCTTAAGAGAAGTAAAAAATTAATGTAAATAATAGTTAAAAGTAATTGAATAGAAAATGATATTATATCATTAATTTCGAAATTAATATGACCAAAAAGAAGTTCTTTAATCTCCCTTGCAGATATAAATATATTTTGAGAATTAAAGTAAATCTTCAATTTTTTAAAATAATTGTAAAGCCTAAACTAAAAGAGAATATCGTTAATCATCATCTAGAACAACTAGATAATCAACAGGTGAAGAAGTAACAACACCTAGGAGTTAAAGGTTTTTAAATTATCTTGATCTATAATATTCATCTTGTGCATAACTATTATTAAAAGATAAGGATAAGATTATACAAGAAGAATCAGAAACATAGATAGATTAAACTTTATAAGTATGAATATGCTTATTTTATTTTTATAAATCTAAAATTGAATTTAATAATATATAAAATATAATCAATCTATCAACTTTAGCTAATTTAAATAGATTGCATACTATCTCCAGGATATGGAACAATTGAATTCATCTTTGATTTAGTTAATTTAATATTTTTAGAAGATGATATCAATTTTTTTGAAGATAAATTATTTCTTAATTAAATTAGCCAAATTTTTTTTTGAGCATTTTTGAATTTGGTAGCTGCATTTATAGCAGCAGATTAATATTAAATTCTTTTAAGTTTTAAGAATTTATTTATAAATAAATAAGGATAAAATAAATATTTTGAAAATTTGCTTAGGATTTCTTTTTGCCAAGCATGTTAATTTTTATTAGCCATTTCTATTGTGTTAATGGAATTTGATTCTGGAAAATAATAATCATAATTAAATAAGGATTCAAAACCCTCAAGAGTAATAGAATTATACTTCCAATAAATATATTAGAGTGAATTTAAAGCCTCATTAATAGTAGTAGATTTATCATCTGATAATCTTTATAACTTAGTATAAAGAGATCTAATATTCTCTTTCATATAAAAATTAAAGTTGTTAGTATTTTTGATATAATCACTTTCATGAATAATAAATGTAGTTTCATTAACTTCTTCAGCAATTTCATTCATTGAGAATAATATTGAAGGGGATTTAGTATTTTTTCTTTAAAGTTATTTTTAAAATAAAGATCCCTTTCTATTCATTCTTTAACTTTAAGTTAATAATACATTTGTTTTCTAATTTTCATTTTTCTCTTTTTACTTTTCCTCTTCTTATTCTACTTTTGGAAATGTTTTATTTTATATAGGTTTATGGGTACTTTATAACATTTCATTAATCTAAAAGATATTGACAGAAGGAATAGGATCATAAATATTATGTGTTTCTGAGTTTCCTTAATAAGATTCTATTTCTTATTCTTATACTATTTACAATTTTAATTATTCATTAATTAAACCTTGATTTTCTGTTTAAAAGTAGAGTGCACATTCTTAAACATATGTTAATTCTGCTCTAGTTTAAATTGGTTTATCAGAAGTTTTACGTGAATAAACTTCTCTTTATGATTCTTGACTCATTTAATGTTTTTTAATTATAACTTCTTTATTTAGAATCAATTATATTTAACAACAATTCCTTAAAGAATGATCAAAATTATTACAAGCAGGACAGAAACTACTGAATTATATTTAACAGCCTTCATTTTCTTATGAATATGAATCTTTTAATTAGCAGTATTTTTATAAATCATCTGGAAAATCTTTTAATGTTTCTAAGAAATCTTATTTTGATAATACAAGCAAACTGACATAACTTTGAGCTTTGAAAATTTCATATTCTGGAGTTTGCATAAGAAATTCTTTTACACAAAAGAATTATCCTTAATGAACAGTAGCATTCATTTTAGATCTTTGTTTTCTATCTTTATGTTAATATAGTAAAACCCCTTATTCTACAAAACAAAGATGTTATTATCCATTGATTTCACTTTAAAAAGTATGTTATGGTTATATAATCTTACGTTTAATTGATTTAAATAAAGCATTTCTAAATTCTAAGGAAAATTGTTTTTACAATAATTCTGATTTTTGGATAAAGACTTTATATGCTTGTTTCTCTAGTTCTTCCTTTAATTCATCAGATAATTATTCTAATAAGATCTACTCCATTTACAAATCAACTTCATCATCTTCTTTCCATCTATACTATAGATATTCTTTAACTCTAATTTGATTATTATTGGCAAAAATACTGATGTTAAAGACTAAATGGGATCTGTCTTTATGTCATATATTTATTGATGACTCTCATCTTTTAACTCCTCTCTACTTAATTCTGTGTGATGTCATTCATAATTGTACCAATAAAATTTACACTGTAAGAGAACCATAAACCTTATAATTTAATTTGAATAATTTACAAGCACCCAATATAAATATTATTGTAACTATTTTCTCTATTGAATTTTTAGGAACATTGTCTCCATAACCTATTGTCAACATAGTTACTATTGCAAAGTAAATTGATTCTAGATATTATAATTACCAAGTCTATCCATCTAATTCTTTTGTTACAATCCATGAATTAGATTTATCAATACTACTGAACCAAAACCATATACAACTAAATATATGCATTATATAAAATAAACTAGTTATAAATTTGATTAATCCTATTATTCCTCTTTAAGGTCTAGTGAAATAAGAGATCTAATCTGTTTTTGATAGAGCTTCAAAAATATGTTTATATTGTGTTAACAAAATGAGTAAAAACAAATCATAACCATCTTAAGCATTTGAATTGAATATAAATACTACTATTATTATTATTAATGAAAAATCTGTAAACCAAGATTTACTTACTTAACGAATTATAATTTCCCAACGATCTGTTATAGCCTTTCCATTTTCATAACATAGAGTATTAATTCTGATAAATAAATCTAATTGTAATATAAATAGTATAGTTAATGTTAATCCTACATAATTCTAAAATAGAATCTAAGTATGGAATGAAATTTCTAAAGGAACTAGAATAACTAATATCACTCTAAATAATGAAGCAAAAATATCCCAATAAAGTTTGAAATCATTTTCTGGTTATACTAGTGGTATTTTATTAGCAATATTTGTTATTTGTCTTATAATTTTTTATTTACTCTCTTATAAATTTCTTTTAACATTTTCCCATTTCCTTTCTTTAATTTCTATTTTTGTTTACACAATTCTATTTAACTAATTGATTGTAAGTCCTTTTTATATTTTTGTTTATTTATAAGCTAACAAACTAGCTCTACAGAATTATTAGAATATCATTACTTATCTGAAGCTTTATCATCAATAAGATTTAAATGAGTGATGTTTAAATTCTACAATCTTTTTCTTTGGAAGGTGAGTTTTTCTAAAAAACGTCTTATAAAAAAAAATTGCATTATACTAGAACCTGTGCTAATTGGTTTTTCTTAATTTACATATTTAAGAGTAATTGTATGATTTTATTAAACTTCAGATGTTACAATATTATTGAGATTTGTTTGTGATGATACTTTTGGTGTTCTGAAATCATAGCCATCGTTACTTTTTTCACTTTTTGTTTGACTATGAATATGATGATTATTATTGATTGATAATTATCTATGAGTATCTCTTAAACAATGATCTAAATATTCTTGTTCAAAATCATAATTTTGTACAGCTCTGAGTTCTAAGTCTAAATCAATATTGTATTTATGAAGTTGATCAATTTTTTACATTAAATAATAAATCTTCAATTCAAAGAAACTACAAGAAAATCTGATAATTGAAATATACTATTATTGTGGACAACTTTGTAAAATCAAATTGTTTAGTTAATTAGCAACTATTGAATTTGATTTTATATGTACTATAACAACTGAAAAATGTTATTTTAATTTAGAACAACAAATTTTATATCTTAATTAAATCATTACTTCATTTTCCATCAATTTTGATTAAAGAAAATATTAATAAAATATATCATTTATTGTTCTAAATTGTTTTAAATTTCATATTTATTAGAAATGGGAATAATAAAATTTTATATTTTTAATCAATCTTTAATATTATTATATGTCTCTATTACTTAGTTAAATTTTATTTGATACATAATAATAATTGTAATTATTATATTTTTTGTTTAATGTCATAATTGTTAGATTCAGTCTTAAGACAATAAAAATAAAGGAAGTAAGTAACTTTAATATTAAGAGTCAAACTGTAAAAGGGATTTTAAAATTTCGTTAAGGCTTTACAATGCCACACTGTGATAATAATAGTGAAGACGCTTCTTTTGAACCAAATGTTTCTTCCAATAGAAAAATTGAATTATAATAGCCAGAAAAATAATCATTTAAAGGTGACTGTTTAAGTCCTGATCCTGATTAAGATGAAGAAAGTTAAAGTATGCTACAAGTAGCTACAAAATAAAAAGTTAATTTATGGGTTCATGGTGGATTAAGAATAATGTTTTACATAACTAAATTTAGTAAGTAAATGAAAACTTATTCAACAGAAGTAAAGTTCAAATCTTTGACCAACAATATTCTCAATTTAATTTCAGACTCTGCTAGTGATGCTGATATTTTATTACATAAATTAAACAAAGTTGAATAAGTAATGTAATCTTTTAAATGGTTTATAAATTAAATACCAGTGCTAGATCCTGATTCTGTAATAAAAGTGCTCTGGGATATTTTTGTTTTAACTCAAATAATCATTAATATTTTCTATATTCCCATGAAATTAGGGTTTGACTTTGAGAGGGAAGATTTATTGACTGGAATATTTTTGGAAACATTACCTTCTTGGACATTTGTAATGGATATAATTTTGACATTCTTTACAGCATATTATAGTTAAGGATAGATTCATAGGGATAAGTAATAAATACTTAAACATTATGCGAAATCAACATTATTATGGGATTTGATGATTGTAATACCATTTATTTTATCATCATATTCAGTACCTTACACAGAATATATATTATTGTTAAGAGTAACAAAAGTTAAATCTATGATTGAAGCTATAGAGGAAGTTACAAATCCATCAAATAATATATAAACAATTTTAGAATTATTCAAATCTATTTTCTTAGTTTTATTTGTATCGCATTTTTGTGCTTGTTTATGGAATTTGATTGGTGAAAATGAATTAAATTAAGGATAAAATTCTTGGTTAATTGCCAAAAACATTACTGAAGCAGAATGGTCTACTAAATATATTCATGCTTTTTATTTTAGTACAATAACAACTTTGACAATTGGATATGGTGATATTGTACCTTAAACAGATGTTGAAAGAATTTATGTAATAATAATGGCAATGGTTATTTGTGGATTATTTGGATATACTATATCTAGTATAGGTAATATATTAAAATAACTTACTGAAAAAGAATAACAATTTAAATAATAAATGATGCATATCAATAATTTTTTAAAAAAGAAGAAAATTAATAAATAGTTAATGTTATAAGTTAGAAAGTATTTTGAATATTTTTTGAAAATGGAATAAGAATATAATGAATTTGGTGAAAAAATGATGAATAATTTAGATAAGAAATTAAAAGAATAAGTGGCAATAGATATGTATTGTGAAATGTTAAAAAAATCAAGACTTATCAAATAAACTTTATCTTTAAAAAGTGTATAAAAATTATGTTCTTTTGTACATGAAATAAAAGTACCACCTGAAGAGATTATTGCTTATTAAAATGAATAAGCTAATAAATTAATATTCCTTTAAAGTGGAGAGTTAAGTTTGATTTGTATTTTTAAATTATTAATTTAATAGGTGATTAAAAATTAAGAGAAACAACTTTGACAAAAATAAATAAAGGAAAATTTGTAGGAGAAAAGGAGTTTATTACATAAGCAAGATATGAATATACAATTAGATCAGTTAAATTTTGTCAAATTGCATTTGTAAAGTAATAAATTATAATAATATATTTTAGTTATGATGATTTTTTAAGAATAATTAGAGAAGATTCATTAGAGGAAGAAAATTATTGTATGTTAAGAGATTAGATGTTATTTACAGAAGAAAAATAAAACTATGGTGAAGTTTGTTATATATGTAAATGGACACATTAATTTAAAAAGTATATAGATATAAATTAAATTTAGATGCCCTTTAGTTTTTGTTCATTTTAATTAAGATAGAATAAGAAAAAAGTTTATGATTACAGAGGATATGAATAGATCATAATATAAAAGGATTTAAAATAATAAATATTTTGAAAAAAATATAATAAGAGAACATGCATTAGCTTTGATTGTGAATGATAATATGATTGCAATAGATGATTTAACTGATCAATATTTAGATATGTTAGGATTTAATATGGATGATAATGAAAGTGAAAGACTATTAAAATCTATAAAGAGTTTAAAATCTAGTAAATCTGTTATTAGAGGTTTAACAGGTTTGGAATAATTTAATAGTGACTCTTCAGATAGTGCTAATGATTCTGAAGTATAATTAAATACATCTAAAACTCCAAAATCATCTAGATTTAATCATTTACTTAGTATGGAATAAAAGAAAGTTAAATTTTAAGATATAAATGAACCTGAACCTAAAATCTTAAGAGCATAAAATTCATTTAAAAGAAAAGCAGATAATAGACATAGAACTTTTTAGAGATTAACCAAGATATCAAATAATAGATTCACTAATGTTTCTATAATTTCTTAAGAATAACATTTTCAAAATCAATCTGTTTCTGTTTAAAATTCTAGTGTTCACAAAATACGAAAGAATAATTCTAATTCATATTCAAATATGGATTTAGAATTATAATCTAAAACTTAATCAAAATTGGAAATCACTGGTTGTAATGTGATTAATTAATTAGATGAGGTATTCTCTCATAAATAAGGTGATAACCAATATCAAAGAGTTGATTTTGAATTAGATAGATATTTTATAACTACTTATTACTTTACTAATTCCAATCTAGATAAGATTCTATAAAAATTAAAAAGACCAAAAAAATCTATAAGATCAAATCATATATAAAGTATTATTAGAAAGTCTAAAATTAAACCAAGTCTATATAGTCCTGTATCAGAATGATGATTATAACTTTATTATTCACTTATTTCTCAAACATAAAAAACAATAAAATTCAACTTAACCTAAATTCTTAAAAATAAAATATTAATTATAATTATGATAACTTATTTAAATTAATTCTAATTATTATTCTTTTTTCTTTAATACAAATAAATGTAAGTCTATCCTTAAAAAATAAAGGAGGATCAATTCTAATAATAAAATTGGAGTAGCCAAAGATAATTAACAGATATGGGATCTTAATTGGGTATATTGTAATCAAATAGTACTTTATTAAAACCTAATGAATTCTCTAAAAGGATAATTAGAGCTAAAACTGTAAAAAGTTTGTAAGATAATTATGCTTTATTTTTAGTATTTAAATGACAACTTTAACTATGTCTTCACTTTAATAATAAAGATTGAATAAAAATTAAGAATTAAGAAAGATAATTAAAAAAGTTGGGATGGCTCAAAAATTTATAAATTAACTTCGAAATTATGCATATCAATTAAAGAACTAAAGATCTAAATATTAATATCGTAAGAGAGGTTTACTTCCATTTTTCCCTGATGATATAATATATATAATTTGGGGATTGGGAATAAATTTATGTACTGATATAGCTGCCATATTATATCCAATAGAGATTGCCTTTGAATATGAAGTATATTTTTACAGCTATAATAGAGGGAGTTGGCCATCAATTGACCTTTATATTATAGATAATCTTTTGGATTGATTTGTTGATGAATTTTATTATTTGCCATATTAATAAACAATTAGATTTATTACATAATTTGAAGGATATAGCTAATTATTATTTAACTACTTGGTTTATGATTGATTTATTATCAGTTTTACCTGATTTTGGTTTAGAAGGTTTGAAACCAATAAAATTATTAAGGTTGTTAAGATTCTTTTTCTATGAAAGAAGGGTTGAATACAATTAATCTATAGAATTACTAAGAAAATAATAATCTTTAAGAGATGAGTTAATAGTAAGAGATGAATACAATATAGATTTAAGAATAAAGAAATTAATGAAAATCTTTTTAGAAATGATTATATTGAATCATTTATTTGCTTGTCTATGGATATGGATATGTAAATTTAATGTAAATAAAAATTGGATGGAACGTTCAGATATAAAATATGCTAATGATTACACTAAATTGATATATGCATTCTTTTGGGCTTATTAAACAATTACAGTTATTGGATATGGTGATCTTGAAGCTCATAATTTTGATGAATATTTACTTAGTGTAATTTGGATGTTAATTGGTGTTGGTTATTATTCTTTTACTATTGGTAATATTACTTTTATATTAATTTAATCAAATCCTAATTAAGAATTTGACGATTAATTATTAAATCTAGAAGATGTTACTATAAATATGCCTGAAAGTATTTAAAATGATTGGATTAGATTTACAAAATATAATATTTAAAGAAATCCTTTTTGGGCAGAAGATTCAAAAAGAATTATTTCAGAATTACCTCATTAATTAGTATTGTATACTGTAGCTGCAGTTCATAAAGATATTTTAAGGATTATTCCTTTTATGTCAAATGATATTAATTTCTCAGGATCTATTCTACCTCATAGCACTTTAGTTTGCTATTAAAAATATGAAACTATTTATCATATTGGTTAAAGTGCAAATGATTTCTTCTTTCTTATTAAAGGAGACATTAGATTATGTGATAACTATGGTGAAACATTAGTTAGAGTTATGGAAGGTACTTGTTTTGGAGAAATCGAATGTATTGAAAATAGTTTAAGACGTTGGAGTGCTCATGCTATTGAAGAAAGTGTTGTTTTAATGTGTTCATCTAATTATTTTTCTTAATTCCTTGAAAAAGAGTCACCTTAGTTTTTTGAGTTATAATAGATGTATAAAAGAAGGAAGATACTTATAATAGAATAAGCTAGAATTAAAAGATGTAATCAAATCTTGATATATAATAATAGAAAGGCAATCAAAATTAAAGAGAGGATCTGCTATTAATGATGTTCATCAATCGAATAACAAAAGAGAATCTTCTTAACATCTATAAGAATTACGATTTAAAATTGATTTACGAGAGTATTCAAGTGTCTAATAAGATTTAATGCTTTAAATTGTAGGATAAAAATAAGCTAGAAATAAAATTATTAGAGAGAAGTTTATAAATGTATATAAGCATATTAATAAAGGCCATTAATAAAATTAGATATTATGTTTAAAGATCATCAAAAATAAAGAGAATTTCAATACATGATCCAGATTATAAAATTGTTCGTAATTTGATAAATAATAGGATAAAAGATTGTGCTTGGGAAAAATTAATATAAAAAAAAGTTGGTTAAAAATTATTGAAGAATTTTGAAAAGGTTCGTGAGGATGAAAACTTGATCAAGGCTTTTTTATAAAAGAGTAAACAAGAATCAAATGATAGGCTTGCTAGAAAAAAATTAATTCATATTATAAGAAATATTCTAAAATTTCAAAAGAAGGAACATTAAGGTATTAATAAGATTGATATATTTTACAACAAATTTCATTAACTAATTTATGAAAATGCTAAGAATGAAAAATAAGAGGAGAGAAAGAAATAAAAATAGAAACTTGAAAGTATTAAAAAATGTGGAGCATTAGAAGATTAGATGAAAAATTTAAGTTCAAATTTAAAAAAATTAGTTAATTTATAAACTTCTTTATCAATGTCTATATTTGAAATCAACTAATAAGAATATGATATTGATTGTCTTATAGCAGACATAAAAAAAGCATTATTGTAAGCTAAGATTGGAGATTGAATTAAATTTACTAGGTTTTGACTCAATTATAAATAGTTAATATTTTTATAAATTAAACTATTAGAATTACTATATAACAAAATTAACAAACTAATGTTTTCAAATATAGAAGTCATTTATACTTTTTACTTAACACCAAATTTCTTGATATTTTTCTTTTATGTCAACATCTTAATCTGCATAAGTTTCTTTCAATATAATTGATTTATCATGATTTTAATAAAATATATTGACATTTTTCTTTGGAATAACCAAATGAATCCATTAATCATCTTAGTATTTGACTTATATTTTACTAAATTATACTATAAAATTACTCCTAAGTTTGGTTATCATATTTATAAATGGTCGGACAATAAAATGAATCAACTTATGGTTTATGATAATTTAATGGGGCTAATGCCTGACCATTATTTTATTTAGCTTTTTCTTTATTATAATTAATCATTTCATTGACAAAACTTTCTTTAGTATTTAAAATAGTACGATAGGTTGTATCGTAAAATTTATAATTATATTCTGATTAATATTCCATCAAATCTGTCATTCCTTTAATTCTGCCATTTTTAACTTATTCAAAAATTTCATATTATTGATCAGTATTATTTAATTGTCTAATGAGTGGTTTATCTTATTAGACTTATGGAGTTGCTTTCAAATTATGAGTAGTAGTATCAAAATTAATACTAAGAAAAGCAAAAATAGTTAATATAACCATAAATGAAAATCCTAATTTACCCAAACTTCTATTTTTTGAAACAGAAATAGGAGCTTCTTCTTCAAGAACAAATTATTTAGATCCACAATTCTAACAAATTAGACTAGATTATTAGGATAATAAATGTTAATTATGTTTTTAGACTTCTTCTAATTGTTATTATAAATAGGTAACTTATTCAGTTAATTCTTGGAGACAATTAGATTATTTATTGAAATCCTCTTCTAATTTTTAAAGGTAAGCTTTTTTCCTATCTCTAGAATTTTATGCAGATATTCTATTTCGAATCATTTACAAAGTTTTTTTATCTGTAGTTTCTGTAGAAAGTTTTTTATCATCCTAATTTGTTTTATAAAGAATTTAACTTTTTCTTGCTTTCTTTATTTTTTTTTCCACACCTTTGATACATAAAGTATTATACCTTCTTATGAATGAGAGGATGAAGAACCTGTAGATCCAGAAAAGAGAGCAGGAACAATATTTGATGATTCTGTAGAACTTTCTTATTCCACTTATTATTGATAAAGTTTCTAGAATAAATTCGATTGGTCATTCTCTTCTTAATATTTCTATTATAACTCTACTATTAGTTATGAAAGTGGCTTCTCTTTGATTTATTTTAACATATTACAATATTATATTATTTATTATTAAGCATGCAATACCAATAGACCCTTTTTACGCGGTTGTTTATATATTCTCTAATATAAGGAAATTTAAATTTTAATAAATATGAATAGATTAAATAAGTTTGCTTTCAGCAAAAAACTAAATAAAATAATTCAAAATGAAGCTGAACGTGAGAGAATAAGAAAATAGGTTGGAGAATCAGGAACATTTGAAGAGAATGGCAAAGCCTATTATTATAGAGATGGCAAAATAAATAAACTAGATTATATTAAGAGAGAGGAATTGAAATTACAAGCCAAACTAGATCCATACATAAAAGATAAAGAGACAAAATAATAATTACCTTTTTTATTGATGAGTGGATGTAATAGCATTTTCTTATAATTGATTTTAGTTTTGGCAATCTTATTGGGAACAATATTTTTGAGATCACTTAAGAAACCTGAAAAGAAAACTGAAATTGTTGATGATTCAAATTATGAAGCAAATTATTAATAGGCTGTAAAAGAGTAGGAAGAATATGATGAATAAATCAAATAAGAGAAGCTTAAGAAATTCAGGGAATAAGAAAATAATGATATGGAAAATGACAAGAAAAAAAGAGATTTTAAATGAGTATATAATTTTATAAATGATTGGAACTGATATAATATTTTCAGCTTTAAGTTCATAACCAGAGAATCTACAAATTGAATTACAAGCAGAGCAACAAAATGAATATGAAAAGGAATATTTGGAAGCAGATTTAGTTTAAAGAATACGAACAAGAAATCCAAGTACAAATAATTTCACAATAAAATCAACAACAAATATAGACACTCGTAGAAATTGTGAAGTAATATTTTATAAATTAAATAAGCCATTAATTGATTAAGATGAAGATAACAAAAAAAATACATTCAAAAAAACAGGCACTAATTTTATGAAATATTTTTATCTAAAACGATTCATTTAACACATTAGAAACAATAGAACTAAGTTGTCTAATGTTAATGAAAATCACATCAAATTAATTAATGATAATTCAAGTGATAGGTATCATCATTTTTATTTAGTTAAGTGATGATGTAAATTCTTAAGTTAAACAATCATCCATATTTTCAAATACGAAATGTAACCAAACTATTTCGTGATAATACTCTATCATCATATGAACATCCATTCATTATTTGGATCAGAGAAAAATATTAATAAAGTAGAAAGGCTATTTATGAAATTTTATCCAAAATACCATAAATACATCCTGAATCACTTAAGAAAATTGTTTGGGATTATTGGACTATTCTTTTTAGGTTACTTTTATTAATATTAATTCCATTAGAAATTGCTTACAACCCATAAATTTTATTTGATAAATTGATAGGACTTACTCTGACTATTGTAATTATATTAATTATTGATAATTTATTAAGATTGAATACTATATGTTATTTGAGTGGATAGGCAGTATATGATAGATGGCAAATTATTTAAAACAATTTAAATCTATAAACTATTTCAGACTTTGCTTTAATATTTTTATTAATCTATTTTATTAATAATCAAGGAAATTAATTTTAATATTTAATGCTTTTAATATCACTTACACAACATTATTAAATTAATTAAACTTTATAAAAAAGTGAAGAATCTCAATATTTTACTAAAAAATAAAAAGCATTTATTAATTTGTTTAAATTGCTAATCTACTTGATTTATGTACTCCATTTATTTTCTTGTATATGGTTTTTCAATAGTTCATTAAATTATGGGAATTCTTGGATTATTTTAAAAGAATTAGATCATCAATAATGGTAACTTTAATATTTAGAAGCATTCTATTTTGCTATTGTAACTATGCTAACTATAGGATATGGTGATAATGTACCAAAAACTTGGAATGAAAAAATTGTTGCAATATTCTTTATCTTAAGTGCTTGCTTATGGTTTTCATATAGTATTAATGCTATAGGTACTATTATTAAAGAAATAAACTAACATTTTATGGAAAGAAGCAGAAAAATTAGAGTTATTAATAGATATATGCATTAAAGAAATATCCCTTTTTCTTTGTAATATAGAATTAGGGAATATTTGACTTTTAGATGGAAAGAAGAAGCAGAAATTGATTTATAATAAGAAGAGACCTTATTAAATGAATTATCAGAAGAATTGAAATAAGATTTAAAAAAATAAGCCAATAATGTATTCTTCAAACATTGTGATTTTCTATTTAAGAATTTCAGTTTGGAATTATAAAATTCTTTATCTCCTTTTATTAAAAGAAAAATAATATAACCTTAAAATACATTCTCTATTTATACTCTAAGTGATTTTTATTAACCTCATTTGTGTTTTGTAGAATAGGGTTAATTACAATATCAAAATGTTCTTAATGTTTCATTAAAGAGTGTCTAAAATCAAGGTTAATTTTTGGAAGTATCAGAATTCATTGAAGAAAATGATAATGCCTAAACTTTTAAAGCTATAGGATATGTAAGTTTACTTGTTTTAAGCAAAGTAATATTATTATTATACATTTTATAGTCTGATTTTATGTCCATTATAAGATAATACCCAAAAGATTATTAAAAGTATTGTAATTTAAAAGATTAATTTATTCTTTAAATTAATCGTAAACACTTAAGACTTGGATAATATTGTGCAGCTTGCAATATTAATACTCATAGTTTGAAAGAGTGTCCTAATTTATCTATAAGTATTGATAGAGAATTAATAATCAAAAGACATTAATATTCATAAGATTAACAAAGAAAATACGATAAGAGATCAAAAAAAAGAGGAAAGACATCTTTTTCAACTAGATGTGATAGAGAAATTATAGAATAATTTTCAATTTACTTTTAAAATGAATAACCAAAATTAGTTTAAAATTAGTTATCTAAATAATTAATATAAGAATAGGAATTTGATGAAGCTAAATCTGATATTAATGAATAATCTCCAATAAATAGAACATTTCATTTTAAAAGACAAGAATCTATTTAATTACCTAGATATTCTTTGTAAAGTGGAGAAGCAATATCAATATAGAAGTAAATAACTATTAATGACTCTATTGCTTCAAGTGATAATTATTCAAACTAAAATTTGAAATTATCAACCAGATAATAATGCATGCTTACTGCCAATAAATTTATGACAGCAAAATTATCAAAATATAAAAAAATGTGCTCATAATAAAATCCAAAAATTACTTTGATTGATACTGATGAATCATTGAAGATTGATATTTAGGATTGTATTTAATAAAATATTGAATTATTGTACAATAAAATCTTTAATGAAGAAGCTACAATACCGATTGATAGATCAGTTTAGGATTTATAAATTTTATACTTTTCACTTAAAGCATAATAAGGCATTGAGTAATTTGAGGTTGTCAAAAACTTTAGTTCTTATATGGTTCATCATAATATAGAGAATATAATATTATTGACAGAGCAAAAATTTCATTCTTTATTTTTGAAACCTATTAATCAACTAATTAGATTTATGTATTATCCATATGAATTTATAATGAAGTTTTAAAAGATAAAGACATAGAGATTAAAATTATTGAATTTTTACAAGAAAAGATCTTTTAAGATTTTGAAATAGAAACAATCTAAAATAAATGATTTAGTAAGGAAATGGGAGACACCTAGAAAATCTTATCGTTTTAGTGTGATAATACCGAATGATGAATGATTAAATGATATTATTATTAAAAGAAAGAGTATTAAATAATATTAATTATATATATATATATAAATGTATTAAGGTAGAATGGATGATAATCAATGGATTAATGATGATCATATGGATTAGGTATTAATATATTTGTTAAATGAAAGCCTGAAGATGTAGGATTTGACAAGGAAGAGATAACAAAAGTGGATTTATTTGTTAATAAACCATTTGATATTCCCAATTTTCCAAAGAATGAATAAATAAAATAGGCAGGAATATCTTCACATATGTTTGTGATAATAACAAGATAAAATAACATATATCGATGGAGACCAGAGAAAGATGATCATTGTGTGTAAATGGAATTACCAGAAGTACAATAAAGTGGTTTGACAGGTAAATTATTGGGAGGGAAAAGGAATGAAAGAAAAGACATTATATTAGAGAGATTATTTTTATATGGACCACATGCTTTGATAGTTTCAGACAATGGGGAAAGTTTTTATATAAATGTTAGATCAGATAGGATACGATCAATGGAATAATTAAAAGGAAAATAGATTAAATGTATTGGTTGGGATGATCAATGTGATGAGACTGACACTCATGAAATATTGTTAGCAACAAAAGATTCTAAAATCTATATATATAGAATTGATTGTAGATAAGGAGATGTAAGAGAAGAAGAAGCAAAATTAATGGTCACAATTCCAAATGAAAGATAAATCAATTAAATAGAACAATTTACAGTGATGTATGATAATAATAAATACGCTTGTGTTGTTGTTTCAACTAACTTTAGTTTATTCTTCTTTTATGGATTGAATAGTCTTAGCATTTTATTTACTAAATATAAAGATCCTTAAAGTGTAGCTAGAGCAGAATCATAACCATCTCGTTATCATACTAGTTTATTAGCTGTATCTTAAAGGAAAAATTCATTTTTATTTACAAATGGGAAATCATTAAATTTATTCACTCTTCCTGAGAAGGATTTGAATGAATCAATATTGCAATAAGCTAAATTATTGAAAACTGTTAATAATTATTCAGAAATGCCAGTCTAAATAGGATTAACAGAATTTCATTATTTTATTTTAAGTGCTGATTCTTTGACTATTTTCAGTAAAATAACTTAATAAGAAGTATAAAAATATGAACTTAGAGGTATGGGTAGAATTATGGGTATGTAATATGAAAGAGATGGTAAAGTTTTTTGGATATATTCTGAAAGGACATTTTGTAAAATAGAAACTGAAGATGAAGATAAGGAAGCATGGAAATTATTAATGGATTAAAAAATGTATATAGAAGCTTATGAAATATCAAATAAGTATAATTCAGAATATACTAAATATATTGCTGGATTATGTGGAGATCAATTATTTTAATAAAAAAAATATAATGAAGCTGCATCTTATTATTAAAAATCATCAAAAAATTTTGAAGAGATTTTTTTGAAATTTTTGAATTGCGATGATATGAAAGCTAGAATTGGATTAGAATAGTATTTAAAACATTTAATTAATAATTTGAAAGGAGAAATTGAAAGAACATTAGTTTTGGGATGGCTTGCAGAATTATTGATATATAGATTAAATGAATAAGAGAAGTTAATACATGAAACTAGAAATTATGAAAATGAAGCTTAAAGAGATAAAGATATAAAAGAAAAGAAATAATAATTAAATTAATTAAATGAAGATTTAGATAATTTTTTGAAAACTTATAAATTAGAATTAGATTAAAATCTAGTTTATTAAATTATGGTAAGTCATGGTAGATTATAAAATTGTGTTGAATATGCTAAATTAAATAATAATTATGAGATGATCATTTAACATTATATAAATGAAGAGAATTATAAAGAAGCTATTAAAAATTTGAATAATGTTAAAGAAAAGAGTTCAATGGAAATCATTTAAAAATATTCATTTATTCTTATGAGACATGAACCAGAATAAACATTAGATATTTTATAAAAGAATATTAAGAAATTTGATTAAACTAAAATTATTGGTGGTCTAATGAATATTCCTGTAGAAAAAAGAGAATTTGGAATAAGATTCTTAGAACATTCAATAACTAAATTAGATTGTGCTGATAAAAGTATACATAATATCTTAATATTCTTTTTAACTTAACCATTATAAAAAGAAAAACTTAATTATTATTTATAGGAATAAGAAGCAATATTAAAAAAGACAGAAAAGGTTAATTTTGATTTAGATTTTGCATTAAGACTATTTAAATAAGCAAGTTGTATTGATGCTCAAATCACTATTTATGGAATGATGTCTCTTTATACTGAATCAGTTACTTTAGCTTTAGATTATGGAATGATTGAAAAAGCTAAAGAATATGCTTAAAAACCAGAAGATGATGATGAGAAAAAGAAGAAACTATGGATGATGATTGCTGAAAGATTATTATCTTAAAATTAAGATATTGATAAGGTTATTGAACTTACAAAAAATAGTTAGTAAATTAAAATTGAAGATCTTTTACCTCATTTTAATGAAAATATAAAGATTGAACAATTCAAAGATGAAATTTGTAATTCTCTTAAGAAATATAATGAAGAAATTGAAAAATTAAAAGATGAAATGAAAAAGTTATCAGCAAATTCAGATTAATTAAAAAATGAATTAAAAATGACAAAAAATAAATTTTTAATTATTGATACATAATAAAAATGTGATCATTGTGCTAAATAATTATTCAATGATACATTTTATATTTTCCCATGTAATCATGGATTTCATAAAGTAAAATTAACCAATATAAATAGGATTGCATAGTTACAAAAATTAAATCATTACCTTAACATTAAGCTAATATTCCATAGATAGAAACATATGATATGACTATGTAATCTATATTAGTCAAATCAAATCCCAGTCAAAATGCTAGTAAAAAATAATAAGGTAATTAATCATTTTATGTTTTGATCAGATGGTTAGTCCTTCTTTTAAATAATGAATATTTTTGGAGGAGCTAAATAGGAATAGAGACCATAATCCACATTAACTCCAGATGAAGAGAAACTATTGAGAGAAACAAAAGAAAAGTTTGATAAAATTGTTGCTAGTGAATGTATATTTTGTGGACCTAAAGTTGTTGATTCTATTCAATTTGGATTTGAATTGGATGCAAGAGAAAAAGATACATGGAGTATATGAATAATATTATATAATAAAAAATATTAATATAAATGTTTTTTTGTTTTAATACTCAAAAATATATTAATATACTCATGATTCTATAAATTCCTAAATCTCTTTTCATAAGTAATAATATTAAAATTACTACTGATTTGTTTCAAGAATAAATTGTTTAACAATTTTATCCTTCAATACCTTTTTCTTTGAATTTACCTTCTACCATTTATTTCACCATCTCTGTGGCTGCATGATATGATATTTTTGATTTCACATTTATTAATTAAAACTACTTATCATAATATATAAAAGTATAGTAATTATTTATTGATAAACAAATTTAGTATAATTTATAATTTTGAAATGATTTAAGTAATAATTTAATGATTATTATTATTAATCAAATTGATTTTAAATATCAAAATTGAAATTCAGAATATCAAATCAGATGAAATCTTAATAGATGTTTCAGAATAGTGATTTAAATAATGAGGACAATTTATAATTAAATTTTGAAGATAATTTTTTTTTGTTTAATTAAATAAGTGTCAATAGCACCTTATATCTCCATAATCATTAATTTCAATATTTCAACTATAGAAATAGATCCTTTATGTTGTAATTAAAATATCAAGCAGAAATTACTCCAACTGAATTTACAATATTTGAATCAATTTTATAACATATTCTTCATTTAAAATATCCAAAATCTTAAATTTGGATTATTTTTTTCTGATAATATTGATCACAAGCTACTTATTTTGATTATAATGTATATTAAGTTAATTGAAATCTGCAATGAATTTTATACATAAATTTATTAAGAAGGCGCAAAACTATAACCAATTCTAACCAGAAGGTTGCTTCTATAATTAATAAGTATATAATTTCCATAAAGCTATACAAATATTTTTTGGATCTATTTTGTTTAAGTCCTGGTAGAATAAGGGGAACAATTTTTACAGTTACTATATTTAGTATCGTTTCTTTAATTTAATATTTATAACATGTATAGTGTTAATTGATTAATTTAATTGACTTATTTACTAATATTACTTATTATAATGTATTGATTTTTGATTTATAAACAATATTTTATATATTATTGTTTTCATTTAAGTATTTTGAATTCCAATTTAATTCGGTATAAAATTGCTTTATTCAAACATTATGAATGTGAATTTAAATAGTTTAATAATTTGTTCTTCATTTTAAATATTAAATTTAATGATATTTATATTACTATTTATCAAATGTCTAAATTAATACTTTACTTATCTCTTTGTAAATTTATTTATATTCTAAATATAGTATTTATATAAGTATTTTGTCATTTGATTTTTAGAATTATATAAGTTCTATTAGATAATGAATAATTAACTGATTTATTTTTGCGAATAAAAATGCTATATTTATTTATTATGGCATTCTTTTGAATATTGTTTTATTGACTAAGTTAGATTATTTTTCAATTAAATTAATGAATACCGAATAAATTGTGACATCCTTCTTCTTAATACATACCTTACTGTCTGTTGTTGTTTATTGTTTAGAACTTGATATTTTTAAACTGATAATTGAAGGATTGTTAATGGCTCTGATACTACTATTTTTTATATTTAGGACGAAGAAGAAACTAGTTTTCATTATTTAAACTCTTTTGTCCTTCAATATATTCATAATCGGACTCATTGAAATCAATTCCTCATACATTTTTATACATTTTGTTGGTTGGTTCATTGTAACTCGAAAATTCTTGAAAATTAATAAAACTATACGCTTACTTCATTCATTATTAATTATAATCAGCTCTATATATCAAATTTGGAGAGATTGGAGTAGTAATACTTATTAAGCAATTATACATATGTAAGGAATATTAAGCTTTTCTGCTTGTTATTGTTATTATGAATATCAAATTCATATAAAATAGAACAACACAGAAACGTTTTAAAGCTCTCAAAAAGTCATAAGTGAAGATTTCCATAGATTTTTAACTACTCGAAGATCAATGAATACATTATGTTCTGATTTTGTTGTGTTAGATATCATTCCTCATGGTGTAGTTTTATTAACTTGTAAATATGAATTCCAACATATAAATGAAAAGGCAATAGATTAAATATATGGTTTGACTGGGATTAAACCAAATGAAGATAATGTTGTAGATCTAATAAATTCAGTTTTAAAAGGGTAATCAATTTTATTCATATATAAAGTTTATTAAGTAAAAAGAATTCACCTAAAAATAAGTCTGAAAAATAGGTTTCATAATTGATCAGTCCATAAAATATAATAAATGTTGATTCTTATGATGATATCAAACCAACTCCATTAGAACATATTATTAATAATTAAAAAGGATCATCAATAATGACTGTAATATATAATAATTAATTTATTAGAGTAAATTGATTACAACCTATTAATCATAAGGAAAGATGAGAAGTGTTAAATTCTAAATTTAAAAATAAGAACTACCAAATATAATAATCATTTTAATATTAGATGTTACATCTAAAATTGAAAGATAAAATTAAGAAAAAAAATATAAATTCTAACATTAATTGTTGAATTCATTTTCTCATGAATTGAGAACTCCTCTTAATTGTTCATAATAATTATTGGAAAGTTTAATAGTAAAATAATAAAATGAAGAATAATTAAAAAGTTTATATTAGATTTTTCATTAAAATGATCTACTGTTATGTTAAATCAATGATATATTAGATTATGCTTCTATGGAAACAGATAATTTTCACTCTTTTTATTCTGTATTTACACTTGATCAATTATTTAATTAATGTCATGAAATGTATGAATAAGGATGTAAATTGAAAAATATTAATTTAAATATTAAAAACACTGTTTATCCTCCTATTCGTAATGATTGTATGAGAATTAAATAAGTGTTAGTTAATCTAATTAACAATTCAATTAAATTTTGTTCATATAATGGAATAATTACTATTTAAGCAAAAGAAAAAATTAAAAATGATAAAAAATTAACAAAAATTAAAGTTAAAGATAATGGAATTGGATTTACTTCATCATAATTAGCATTAATAAATCATGTACTTGAATAAAATAATGATTATTTTGATGCTACTACTTCTATGTGTATTGGATTAGGTTTAAAAGTAGCTAATAAATAAGTGAAATCATTTATTAAAGGATATAATAGATTAAAAATTATATCAATATAAAATCAAAAAACTAGTGTTTCATTTTATATTGAAGATTAAATTGATGAATAAGATCTAGATTGTTAATCAAGAGCATCTAAAACTCTCTTCGGTAATTTGTCAACCATGACAAATTCAGAATATAAATTTATATCTGCTTTAAAATGTAAATGTTCTAAAATTTTGGTTGTTGATGACATTCCTTTTAATCATTAAGCATTATAAATTATGTTAAGTGCTTTTAATTAAACATGTGATCATGCCTTTGATGGTTTAGAAGCATTTTAATGTGTTCATAAAAGACTTTAAACAAATAAATGTCATCCATATTATTAATTAATTTTAATGGATATTGAAATGCCAAAAATGAATGGATTTGATTCTGCCATCAAAATTACTGAATTATTAGATAAAAATAAACATTAAACTAAAATTGTTATGTGTACAGCATATGATAATTTAGAAAGTAGATAAATTGCTAAATAATGTATGATAGATGATTATTTACCAAAACCTATTTAGAGGAGCAATTTGCTTAATATTCTAAATATATTTATTAAATGATATTGTATCTATTAATTTCTAATTTTTATAATAAAAAATGCCTTTCATCATCATATCTAATTCCTAAATTAATTAAATTAATAATGATTAAACATAAATTAATAATATTTTAGATTATATGCAATTCTACAGCAGCGATAGTGATCAGTGCATTTTTCAAAGAATACATATCCTTATCAATATATAGTTCCATTTTATTATTTACAATACTATTTTGTATATTGAAATAACCAAAACTCTAATAAATCATATAATTTATACTAATACTTCTAATCTAAGAAAACTCTAAATATAATAAAATGGAATTTTAACATTTTCAATTTTAACTAATTTGGATTTATTTGGCATATCAATTGATATAAAATAATTCAACTTTTGAATTACCTATTTTATTGGAATTACTATTTTCATCCATAATTAACATAATTATTTCTTTTGAAGCCTATAATTCTAAATTTTATTACTCCATCACTACTGCTTTGATCTATACACTTAGCATCATTACCTATTATTATTATAAAAATAAAGAATCATTTATTAAATCATTAGACTTAGAATTAGTTACTCCTAAAATTAATGAATTTCAAAGAATATTTACAAACAAAACATAAACTCCAAGAAATAATGAAATATAAATTTTTGACCACTTACCAATTGGTTTGGTTGTATTAACATAAGATCATGATTTTCAATATATGAATAAAAGAGCAAGAACCTTATTAGAAAGAGCTTCAAATACATAAATAACAGAAGACAATGTTGTAATCATAATAAAAGAACTACTAAAAAAGTATTAATTCAAAATATATTAAAGATGTATAAATGAAAAAATAGCAAGTGTTGGTAATCTATCTAGACCTAGTTAAACTAGAATACATTAATTATTATCTAAATTCAATCAAAAATAGAGAGTGAGTATGCCACATTTAGATGATAATTTTATTAAATAAATTGATCCTATCAATAGTATATTGCATTAATATAATGATTTTGTTCCATATTCATAATAATTCATGGATGTAATATAATATATATTTAAAGAGCAAATATAGAATTTAATATACTTATAAAGGCAAAAAAAGATGCTTCCGATTTCATTTTATGAAACATCACTATTAAATTATAATCAATTTATTAGATGAAACATCTAAAATTGGAAAATTAGACTAAAAAAGCAAACATATTTTTTAGAATTAATTATTAAATTCATTTTCTCATGAATTAAAAACTCCATTAAATTGTATATAATAATTACTGGAAGTTATTATGTTGAAAGTAAATTCAGAATTATAAGAAAATATTGTAAAACCTATAAAATGGTAAACAGATTTATTATTATGTTAAATTAATGATATACTTGATTATGCATCATTTGAAATTAATGATTTTAATTGGGATTTTTCATTATTTTATTTAGAAGACTTATTATAAGAATGCATATCAATATATTTTTAGGGCTGCAAATAAAAAAATATAGAACTAAAAATAGAATCAAATTCTGAAGATAAACATATGATAAATAATGATTATAAAAGATTAAAATAAGTGATTGTCAATCTTTTAAATAACTCTATTAAATTTACATAATAGTATGGAGAAATTGTTTTAAAAATTTAAGAATTAAAAAATAATATGTATTAAATTTAAGTAATTGATTCTGGATTAGGTCTATCATAAGAATAACTTTGTTAATTATAAATTAATATTGAATAAGATAATTTAGAAAATGAATATCATTAATTTCATGTTGGATTAGGATTAAAAGTAGCTAATAGATTGATTATAGGATTATCATCTTTAAAAAAAGGCTTAAAAATAAATTCAACTCTTAATAAAGGAACAATAATTTCATTTACAATTGAGGATTTCATAGAAGATAATAAAAGTTAAGCATCAGAAACATAAGTTAAAGATGTTTAACTGAGTAGATAATTGAGTCAACTTACAACTAGAGAATTTAAATTTATCAAATAAATAATTTGTAAATGTAATAAAATATTAATTGTTGATGATATTCCATTCAATCATCATGCTTTAAAAATGATTCTTAACGAATTAAATTGTCAAGCAGACAGTGTTTATGATGGATAATAAGCTATAGATCTTGTTTAATAAAGAATTAAAAATAATAAATGTCATCCGTTTTATTCATTGATTCTGATGGATATTGAAATGCCTAAATTAAATGGATTTGAAGCATCTCTTAAAATTAAGTAGATCCTTGGAGATTAGAGTGATTAGACTACTATAGTAATGTGTTCAGCTTATGATAATTAAGACTGTATAAAGATGTGTTAGAGATGTTTAATGAGTGATGTATTACCAAAACCAATTACAAAGATGAGTTTACAATACATCTTAGAAAAATATTTAAGATGATATTATTTGAAATATACTAATAAAAATTAGACTGAAAGATTCATATTTGTGTATTTATTAAAAATTAATATACAGTTTAATTCAATTATGGATAATTCATTCTTGATATCAATAGCTTTACTGATAAGTGGGATTCTAATATTGATAGAATTAATCGTTTTTAACTCAGACATTAATAGACTATAGTTGACAATTACTATAGGCTAAATAATTGCAAGCTGTGTCTTCTTAATCAAGCCTTATTAAAGAAGCAAAATAGTTTTTCTCATTTCTTTTATCAATGTGTAACAAATTTTATAGTAGACAAATTTCGCCTTCTTATTTATTGTGTTAACTTAGATTTTAAGTTGTGAATTAGAGATAGAAATTGAATTAAATACAGCTTTTAGAGTTTTACTTATAATCTCTCAAATATTAAGAGTAATATTTTTTTGGGATAATGATATATTTGAAGGTGCTTAAGTAATTATTTCAATACTATTTTCCTGTATTTTGTGGATGAAATCATACTTATTGTCAAAAATAAAGAAAAATGGCAACATCCAAACAACTCGTGACCATAATAATAATTTATTGTTCAATTCTCAGACTAACTTAATAGTATCATTAAAATAATTAGATAGTGAATTAGGAATCTTAGATAATCTTCCTATTGGAATAATGATACTAGATTTGTAATAAAATATCAAGTATTTAAATTCATTTGCAAAGTAATATTTTAAAAACTTTGATTGTGAAAAAAATGATGAAATTAGTCTATAATTAAAACACTAACTAATTAAGTAAATTTTTATAATAAAATTAGAATGTTACTTGATCATATTGGAGGACCAGAAGATTTAAATAATCTTCATGATAATTAAAAATCAAACAGACCTTTTTTATCTAGTATTAAAATAGATGATCCTATTTAAACTATTTTAAATTAAAAGGAAGAATAATTTAATCTTGTTTATAAATACAAAGAGTTAAGCAAAAATGGAATATCGAAATTAAAAGTAGTTAAAATATCATTGTTACAGTAATTCTTAAAATAAGAAGAAATTACTATATTACTTATTTAGAATGTGTCAAGCAAAGAAAGAAAAAAGGAATTAACATAATTTATTAAATTTTAAAATAGTATTTTAAATTCATTTTCCCATGAATTAAGAACACCATTAAATAGTTCATTATAATTATTAGAAGCATTATCTACGAGATTGAATGATTAAATGAATCAAGAATATGTTTAACCTGCATTAAATTCGAATAGATTATTACTATTTTAAATCAATGATATACTAGACTATGCAGCCATGTAATCAAATCATTTCATACATCATTATTCTTAATTCAATATTAAGGAAATTGCAGATTATATAAAATAATTATACACTTAAGCTTGTTAAAACAAAGGGATAATTTTAACTTGTAAAATTAATTTAACAAATTATATTGTGACTAATGATAAACAAAGAATTATCTAAGTTTTAATAAATTTATTAAATAATTCAATAAAATTCTCTCCTTCAAATACTCATATTAGAGTTTAATTTAAAAACAAATTTAAATACTCCTAAAAATATATTAAAATAAAAGTCAAAGATTAAGGATTTGGTATTTCAGAGTAAAAATTAAGTTTTATTTTTCGAGAATTGCATTCAGTATCATCTGAAGAAAGTGGATATTGGATGACTCAAAATTAATTGTCTTCAGGCATAGGATTAAAAATGTCCAATCGTTTAATTTAAGGATTGGCATTTACAGAACCTAGAAAAAATGCATTTTCAATAAAATCAGCACTTTAATAATATACATATATATCTTTTTACATTTCAGATATGATCATAATAAAAGAAGAAAATTAATCATTTTCAAATGCTTTAAGTGATGATGCACATTGTATTTAAATGCATTAGAGTTAAGATTTTAAATTAATTGAAAATATAAATATAAAATCTTGTAATTGTTCTTCAATTTTAATTGTTGATGATGTTCCATTTAATGTATAAGCTTTGAAGACTATTTTATATTAACATAAACTATCAATTGATTCTGCTTATAATGGTATTGAAGCAATAGATTTAGTTATTAAAAAGTATCAATAAAATAAATGTCATCCTTCCTATTAATTGATAGTAATGGATATAGAGATGCCTCTATTAAATGGCTTATAAGCAACATAAAAAGTATAAATAATATTTATAATAAGATAATATCATTTTTCAATTCTATAAATGTATAACCTCCAGCAATAGTAGCTTGTTCTGCTTATGATTCAAATAAAGAAGAATTTTCCATCTTTTCAGATACATTACCTAAACCTATTGATCAGTAGAAACTAAAAACTATTTTAAAAAAGTATTTATCAAATTTTTTTTGATTTAATATGAATTTACTTAGCACTTTGTTTTTATTTAAATTGCTCAAAAAAAAATAAAATATATATAGATAATAAAGCAATATTTTTTTGTAATTTAAATTTTAAATTAATTTGTATTCATCAAATTAAGCAATTTAAAATACAAAGACTTATAAATTATTTCTATTTTGAATAATAATATAATTTAACAATGTTATAATTATGTTTTATAATTTATTTAATTAAAAATGGCATAACTTCCATAGTTAATTCCTTGTGAAGATATTTATGATTTAGATACATTTCAATTAGAAGAAATGTAAACAATGATAAAATCGTTTACTACTGATGAACCTTAATGGAATAAAAAGGCTAAAAAAATATTGGATCTAATTGAGGTAGAACTCAAAGAAAGATAATCTATAGAAAACTTTGCTTTTAATATTCAGATTGAAGATTTCATTCAATAACCTATTTATTAAAATAATACTCTTTAAGCAATATTAAATGATATCAAAAATAGACCAGCTAATTATTTGGATTTGCAAATTTCAAAACCTCCTTTAGCAAAACATGATTAAACAACAGAAGATAAATTTTAGAAACAATAAACAAATTAATAACAATACTAATAATTAAATCAATTAGCTGAATAAAACATCTAAAAATATTCATAATAATCTTAAAATTAATCTGATACATTATCAACAAATTCTATCACAAGAAGTAGTCACCCTTAAAGCAAAGTTTAAACTAAAAAGCCAAATTAACTATAAGATTTTATGAAAGATGTATTAAAGAAAACAGATGTTTCTAATTAATAGTTTATAATTGGAGCAGCAATAAATCACAGATACATTCCACCTCCTCCTAAACCTCAATTAAATACTGTTGATAAAATCAAATAGGAAAAACTTATGAGAAAGAAAAAGAAAAAATAAGTAAGGACAGAGAGTTTAGGAAAAGTTGTTGAGCATCTTCCAGCTATTGGTAAATAAATATCTGCAATTAAAACATAACCTAAATTAGAATAATCAAATGTTCATTCTTCAAGCAGTGCTTCTAAATAAAATTTTGAATTGAAATAAAAATCATTAGATTGTAATATTAATAATCAAGAGAACAAAGAAGAATTAAGTGATAAATGTATTATTAATTCTTAAATACAATCAAACAATTTAATTACTATTACTTAAATTGATAAAAATCAACTTAAAGATTAGATCTAAGAAAAAGTAAATCAAGAAGATATAATTGAATAAAATATGAATAAAAATATCACTTATAATGAAGAAAATTGTTAAAAAAATAATGATACTAATTTATAATAGTAAATTAAAAATTCTGTTACAGATAAACAATAGGAATTCAGAGATCAAATAAAGAATATGGATCAAAATGAGATTGGAAATAATAATATTAATTCATAATAGTTATTAGATTAAGTTTATGGAAATGAATATATAGATTTAGAATAATAAAATGAATTTTTACTGCCAAATTAATAAAATCAATTTAACAGTAATTTATAGATTGAATTTGATAGAAAAAAAGAAGATTATTTATAGGATTAGAAAAGAATTGAATCTGAAGAGAAAGAATATATTAATTAGAAAGATCAATTATTATAAAACCATTATAACTATATCATAAATGATGAATTGATTGGATATTCAAAGAATAATTATTTAGTATAAAATTAATAATAGTTATAAATAAAATTAAAAGAAGAGGAAGTATATGAAGACAATATCAATGATGAAGCTGAGAATTTAGAATTTATAGATTAATAATCAAAAAAATAATAGGAAAACAAACATAAAGTTCTTGAAAATGAAAATGAAGATCAATTAAAAAATAATAAGGATCAATAATTAAAATAATTATCTAAAAATTAATTTATTACAAAACAAAGTACTAGTTAATAATCTTCAAGAAGATAAGATAATAAAAGCAAACCTACTAGTTAATCATCAATAAATCACAAAGGAAACTTAAAAAAATAATTAACCATGGATACAAAAAGATAAAATGAAGAAGGTATAATTATTAATTATTATTAAGCAATAGATGATTACAATGAAGTAGAAAGTGATCATGATTAAGTAAATTTTAACAAATTAAAACCACATAAAGATTTAGGTTTTAAGTAAAATGGAAAAGTTGATTAATTTAAACAGAAAGGAGTAATTGAAACAAAATAGAAGGTTGTTCTTACTGATAAAGAGAAAATGGATGAAATAAATAACATTTGCAAAGAAATGGGATTAGATGAATTCAAAGGGAAATAATAGTAATCAGCTATTCCTACTTAAATAAGTAAAGCAATAACTCCAAGTACTAATAATAGACCAAAAAATCCATAATCAAAATATATTTAAAAAATGTTATAATGCATTGATGATTCAAAATTAGAAGATTATTCAGATATTGTTCCAACATTTTAGCATTTATTTAGTGGATTTTTCAATTATTAACCTCATTATAATCATTTAGATGTAATGAGAGAAATATATAGTATTTTCTCATAACACATTGAGAAAGTTGATAATGTTGAATCTCTCTTAAGTAAGTACAAATCAAATCCTTTGGCAATCAATCCAAATGAACTTGTTTATATTAATGATCCTCATAGATTAATACAATATTCTACAAGAACAGGTGTTGATATTCAATAATACATTTAACGTCAGATGGTTTTTAATAAACGACTTTAAAATGATATAACTAATTTAGGAAAGTAAGAAAGATATTTTAGAGTAGTAAAAACAAAAGAAGAGGTATATGGTAATAATTATAATAATAATAGATATAATAACAAGATCATTTATGAGAAAGTAAGGATGGACAGAATTACCTCATGGAATTGGACTTCGAACATCTTGGAATGTATTGTGGACTTGGTCAAAACCATAAATCGATTTAAATAAATTACTTTTATTTTAAAAGGTCAACCATTTTCCTTTTAATAAGAATTTAGGGAGGAAAGATTTATTAAAGAAAAATATTGAGAGATGCTAAAAATTAGGGACTAAGGCTTAATAAATTTTTGATATTATTCCATCAACCTTTTTGTTACCCAAAGAATATGTATAATTTATGGAAAAGTTTTACAAAGACTCTGAATCAGAAGGATAATAAAATATTTGGATTATGAAACCTACAGGGAAATCTAGAGGTAGAGGCATAACAGTTTTAAATGATATATCAGATGTTATGTATGCTGAACCTGTAGTATTATAGAAATATCTTAAGAATCCACTTTTATTGAAGGGACATAAATTTGATATGAGAATATATGTACTAGTTACATCTTTTAATCCTTTAGAAGTGTTTCTATACAAAGAAGGCTTTGCTCGTTTAACTACATAGCCTTTTACTCTTGATATCAATGATCTCAAAAATTAATTAGTTCATTTAACTAATTTTGCAGTACAAAAGACTCATGTGTAAATCTAAGATTTGGAGTCATAATTAGGAGGTTGTAAAATATCTTTAAGATAATTGAGAGAGAAATTAATTGATAAAAATATAGATTGGAATAAAATCTGGGAGTAAGTGTAAGATATAGTATTAAAGTCTTTGGTTGCTTGTTAATCTGAAATACCAAATAATCCTAACAGCTTTGAATTATTTGGTTATGATATTATAATTGATACAAACTAAAAATGTTGGCTTTTAGAAGTTAATGCTTCCCCATCTTTGGCTAGGGATTATATTTTGGATGAATTAATAAAACAATAATTGATTGATGATATATTTGATTTGATTGATAGTCCAAATTATGATCGATAAAGATTATGTGAAGTTTTGGAAAGAAGAATTTAGGAAGAACAAGGATGTAAATCAGTCATAAACACTATGAATAATTCAAAATTACAATTATAAAGAGATCTCAATTATATTTTGAATGGTACACATATGCGTAGATATGGGGAAATGCCTAAATAAATGGGAGGATTTATGAGATTGGCTCCTTCTGAAAAATATGATAAGTTAAAATCTTTAGTTTAAAGTTATAAAACAATAAATGGTAGAGGAACTATAGATTGAGTTTATTAATTTATTTTAAAATATACTTTTTATCTACACAATTAATCATTTTTTATTGAACAATTAGTATATAAAATAAATGAGTATTTTATTATATTTAAATTTCAATATAAATTGATTAAAGAAAATAAACATGAACAATTTAAATTGATAAATTAATTAAATTTTAATAGAAGGTTAGTTAATATTATTTATATTATTATACTTATTTGGAGATTGTGAATACTTTCTAAATATAGAAAACCTAAACACAATTTAAATTATAAATTGAAAGAATAATCTTAATAATTTAATTAAAGTAGTTTAAATTAAAGGATATAATAGATTTAGAACTCATAAATAATATTTTTAAGCATATTCTTTTTCATATTTATATTTAATTATAAAGAAACTTGGGAATAATTCTTAATATAAAATGACTAAAAGTATATCAATTGATACGAATTCCATTTTTCCATTCTCCATAAGATGCTTAACCGTTTGGTAATCTTAGTAATGCCTTTCCATGTTGTTTGTCATTTTACCACTCTCCTTCATATATTCTACCATCTGGAAACTTCAATATCCCTTAACCATGTTTTTGATCATTCACAAAGTCTCCCTCATATATTTTTCCATCTGGCCATACATATTTTCCTTTTCCATTTCTATTTTAAGAATATGATTTACTTTTTATTATTTCTCCAATATCCTTAATAATATTTGCTGTCTGGCCAAGTGTATTTCCCATATCCATCAATATTGTTACTTCTAAATTCCCCTTCATAAATAGCTCCATCAATCCATACAAATTTACCTAATCCATCCTTTTTCCCATGTTTATAGAACCCTTCGAAATAACTAATTTTTATACTTATTATCATACCTTCCATCTGGCCATTTTTCAATACCTTTGCCATGCTATAAATCATGTTCCCATTAACCAGTATAGGTTGCCCCATCTTCATGAATATAAGTACCTAAACCATGTGCTTCATCATTTTCCCATTGCCCTTCATAAACTTCACCATTTGAATGTATCAATCTACCTCTTCCATGTGCATTACCTTAATTGAAATAACCTTCATATTTTGATCCATCCTTGAATATATATTTTCTGAATAATATACCTCACATATTAGAATGCCTTTGCCATGTCTTAAATCATTTATCCACTCTCCAAAATACATAGCTCCATTTTCCAATTTGCTTGGTGCTTTAAGAACTTTCTAATGAACTAGTTAATCATTTATATCGTCAATTCCAAATTCAAATGGAGGTAGCTGCCTCTAACCCACATTGATCACACTTGTGGAATACCTACCTAAAAAACAGAGGCTACGTTCTTAACTATTCATTAACACTATCATTGTATTTTTGTAATTGCATTTTCCATACTCTTTAACGAGCTTACCAGCCACGGATCCAGGACTACATTTTAATGATTTTTTGTTCCTAACTCTTTAACAGTTCTAAACTTTGCCATCTTGGTTTTTAATTGCCTCTGACCTCAATCTAATTTATTAGGTCGTGTTTCCAACAGGTACAATTATTCCCCATAATAAAAAAATATTTAAAATGTATTGGCATTTGACTGAAGCTCCATATGAACCAAAGAATTTATCATGTCAAAAATCTTAATTCATGTAAACTAGTGAACATAGTTAATAATGTTTCATTGCATAATAGTATTGCCAACATGATTTTTTATATTTCAATTACAGCATCTTGAGTTATTGTTGGTTGAATGGATCTATTATGGTAAATAAATATTTGAAAATAGACAACTTTAATAGTGTCTGGTTTTGTGGGTTATTAGGTTTATAATGGAATAAGTGAAGTGATAAAAGAATATTTAATTCCTTCATTGGAAGCTGTGAAAGTACGTTTTGAAATTTCAGAGATTATGGCTGGAGTCACTCTTTTAGCATTTGGTAATGGAGCAGGAGATGTCCTAACAGCATTAGTAGCTTCATCATATCCTGGAGGTATAGATTACAATATAGGCGCCACAATGGGAGCAGGATTTGTAAATTAAGAACAAAAATTATATTGTTTAGTTCTTGTGTAGTATAGGAGTATATTTGATTACAAAGACATCTAAATCTTAAATTAAGATGGAGCCTGTGCATTTTTGGAGGAATGTTGGATTTCAAATAATTTCAATATTTGTTATCATGGTATTTGGAGTAATAGGTCAGATTTCTTACTTTTCCAGTATTTCACTTACAGTTTTGTATTTGATTTTGGTTTCTTTGGTTTATTATTAAGAAAGAGATAAAATATTAAAAAGTAGAAAAGATAGTTTAGGAGAGAGAGTTTAGACTGTTAATGAAGCAAAATACGATTTAGAAATTGCATAGAAATTTGATGATATGAAATTATTATATTTTTGGGATAAAAAATCAGAAATGGAATTAGCAGCCAAACCAGTAAAGTGGGCAACTCCTTTGATTAGATTAAATTATGTTTCTGGAGATGCAAGAGTTAAAATGCTTGCTAAGAAATTTAGATCAGCAGTTAAACTTACTATGGCTAATATTGAAACTTAAAAATAAAAATGGGATAGATTGTCAATGCATGAAAAAGTTAGGGCTATAATTATTTATCCATTATAAATGATATTGAAATTCACATTACCAAAACCTTAAGAAGATCAATTCGATAAAAATTAAGCCATTAGTAATTCAGAATTATTTATTTTAGTATTCCCAATACCTGGATCAGTTTTCTTTGTTTCTGTAGTTTTTAGTTTCCCTCCTTGGTGGGTTTATTTTTTAGCTTTAATGTGTGGATTTGGAATATCAATTTTTATTAACACAACTACTCCTTCTTAAAGAACTCCCCCTAACTATTTTTTTTATATCCAATTATATTGTATTTTAGGTTCCTTAGTATGGATATTCTTTTTATCTGGATTATTAATAGATTTCCTTTAATTTTGGGCTATAATTACAGAATTAAATAAGACATTTTTAGGATTTAGTTTAATAGCAATGGGAAATGTGTTACCTGATTGCATTACTTTGGTTTAGTTAGCAGAAGAAGGTTATGGTAATAAATAACCATATTTATAGCAATCATGGCATTGAATGGAATTTATTGTAATTGATTTAACTAATACTATAGTTGGATAAATGTTCACTAATTTGATTGGTTTCAGTGTTGCATTTCTTAAACAAAACTTTGTAAATTCAGGTCCCATCAAGTTCAATTTATTCAGTATTATAGACATAGAATAAAACGCTTTTAAATTAATGGTTATATTAGCTGCTTTCCTTAATCTCTTATTTACATTAATAATGGTTGTACGTAATCATTATATAATAACAAAATTCATTGCTAAGTTACTAACTATATTTTATAGCATTTTTTTTATTTTATCTTCTTCTTCTGCGTTTTATCATGCATGGGTAAAGAAATGATAATATAATATTATTTATATATGAATAAATTCATTATTATTATTATTATTATTATTATTATTATTATTATTATTATTATTATTATTATTATTATTATTATTATTATTACTATTATTATTATTATTATTATTATTGTAGAAATTTTTAATATTAATCTTTAAAATGTTGAGGAAACTTATCTTAATTTTATTCATAATGCCATTTTTAAAGCTTATGTAAAATTGGCAATTATTTTAGTCTTCTTTCTTATTTTTCATATAATTATTTATATCCCTCACATTCCTTCAATAATCTATCAATAGCTTAGGTTAAATTTTCATTCTCCTCAAAAATTTAATCCTAAATATAAAGAAAATTAATACTGAATTATGCTCTCCATGTGAAATAGATTCTTCAAAATTGTATTGACTTGTTATACATAATTCCTTTATAAATTCTTATTACTTATCATCATAATCTGTTATCTACCAAAGTGAATCACCTTCTTTTTCATTTTGATACCATTATTTATTATAAAGTAAAAAAGGCTTACCTTATCTAAAAACAGCAGTTATGAATTCATTTTTCTCTTAGAGAATTTCTTTTCCAACACCATGAAAATGATCAAAAAAGAATTCTCCTTAATATATTTTTTATTCAGAATTTTCATACAAAATTCCATTTCCATGTTTAAGAGAATTCTTATAGAAACCTACATAATTGTCCTTATTTGGAAAGTAATGATTAGCAAATCCTTCTAATTAATCATCACGCCAATTTCCTTAAACTATAGCTCCATCAAAATAATAACATCTTCCAAGTCCATTAAAACAACCATTGTTTACAGATCCTAAATACTCAAAGTCTGATCTAAAATAAAAGATTTTGATTATACGTTCTATAAATTCCTTTAACAAATTCACCATCTTTCCATATACCTAGATAGAAATCACCCCATTAAGAAGTGAAATAACCAAACCCTTCACAAGTTCCCTTTTTCCATTAACCATGATAATAAGTATTATCATGATATATTGCTAATCCATATCCATCAAGTAAATTATTTTAAAATTTACCGAAAGCATATTTAATTCCAGATTAAACTTATTCAAAGACATAAATTCCTAAACCTTCAGCTTTTTCATTGTCTTTTTTACCATAATAATAGGCTCCTGATCCTTAATCATGTTCTTCAAAGTGTAAGCAATCAATCTCATTGAAATTAAATTATTCATCTTCAATATTCATGTCAGTATAGATTCGAAGGTTTTTGATACTTTCTAATTCATTATTTTGTAATTATTGGAGGTCATCCTTATTAAACTACGGTTTTGGGATATCAAATTTGTAATCAAGAGGATTGTTTGAACTAACTGCTTGTCCCATAGATTATTATAAAAAAAAATAAAATTTATTTTGCATTTGTCATTTTTAATGAGTTATCAAGATTGAATGATATGTATAATATTGAAAATAGATGTAATAGATAAAATATGTATAATAATATCAAGTTATTTTATAATTATAATATTAAATAATTGTATAATATGTATGTTTTCCTATTAATGCTTGCCATGATATTGGCAAATGAAACAAGTAATAAAATTTAACTATTTTTATTAGTGAAGTAAATTAGCTTAAATGAAGTAATTGATGATGCAATTGATGCCTATGATTATAAAGTATATAGATTATAATTGTACAATCCAGAAAAAATATAAAATCGTACTTTGATAGTATAATTGCTACCATAGATTGGAAATCCTAAGATAGCAGTAGATTGTGATATGTATTTATGAATAATGAATAATAGAGAACCAAAGTTATTAGATTATTATGAATGGTAAACAGAATATTGGTTCATGTAATAACTCACAATATCTTATTAAGAAAGATAAGCAGTTAATTGTACAGATAATTAATTCTATATTGGTGTTTCTAGTGAAGTTGTATCTGGCTATTAATTGGTTATATATATTTTGGATGGTATCTAATAATTAGAATACAATATTCCACTAAGGTAAAATTATATTTAAATAATAGTGGTGAATTAGTAGAGAAAGAGATTCTCCAATTTAAATTGAAACCAATCTAATCAATTGATTAAATTACTTTATAAATTAATGCAAATTAAGCAGAAAAGTTCTTAAAATAATGCATTAATGAGGATTGTTAGATCACTATAAATGATTATGATGGTAATAATACTGATACAGCTTTTCATTTAACTCAATCATCTATTTCATTTGTACATCAAAATTGTTAAGATTGTTATTATTTAATTGGATTAAAAAGTGATTCTAAATCATAATTTCGTATACTCGCTAAACATTAAGAATAACATATAATTTTAAGAGAGGGACAATAAGAACAATTTCTTGTTGAAGAAGGATTCTATATTTATTATTTGTATAACATTCCAAATGATACTAATATAAAAAGTGTGAAATTTCAAATAACTTAATATAATGGAACATGTATGTTATATGGTAGTTCATCAGAGTAATATCCTAATATTACTAATTTTGAAATGATAAGTTCTTCATAATTGAAAGTAAGTAATGCTAAAACTTTTTATTTAAGTGTTTTTGGTTATTCTCAATGTTAATATGGTATTTACACTTAAGTAGAGAGATATTAAACCATCAATTAAACTTATTTTATCCAATTATAAAGTGGAATACCATAAAAATATTTATCAGGTGATTAATACAGTTTCTTTTATATATAATTACCTTAAAAATAAAACTTTACTATTTCATTATAAAATATTGAAGGCAACTTTATTATGTATGTTAAGTCTAATCTAAAAAATAAAGAAATACCAGATAGCAATAGTTATTAATGGAAGGATACAAAATAAATAGAAATTAATATTGATGATCCTAATTATGCAACATAATATTATATTGGAGTACAGAATTTAAATGATCATGGAGAATTTATTATCCAATATAGTATGCATGGAGATATTGAATTTTATCAAGTAGGATAATAGATTATAGGAACTGTAGCTCAGAAAAAGTTTAGATATTATAAAATACCAATGGAATCTAGAAATCTCACAATTACTAAAGATATTTACTCAGGCAATGATGTAACTGATTTAGACATGTTCATTTCATTTGATCAAAAAAATACACATCCAAATATCAAGCATTTCGATATTTATCTAATTGGTAAGAATTTAACAATTCCTGATTCGGATTTATAATGTCAATAAAATACTACAAAAATAAATGAAAAGAATTTCTGTTATATATACATATCTGTATCATCATCATCAGGAACTATTTTCTACACCATCTCAACCAAATATAATAATAGTAGAATCTAATTGCATGAAGGCTATCCATAAACTGTCACTTTTGACTAAGAGACTCTATTCTATTATATCCTCAACAACAAGGAAGTTTCATTGTAATGGTATTCCTATGGAGGAAGCCAAGCAAATGTTGAAGCATATTATGGTAATAAAGATAATTCTGATTTGAGATATGAAACATTCAAATCAAATTCTTATTTCGCTTAATTTTAAAGTTTTACTATCCCAGAAACTGAGAAATATTAAATATTGTATGTACGGGTTTAACCAATAGAGCCTCACTATCAGAATGACACCTATACCATTGGTGTCTATGAAGGAGTCAAATTACTGACTCTTTCAGATCCCATAATTGACAATGTTCAGAAGGGCTAAACCAAATATTATAAGCTTAGTTTAACATAGGATGTTAAGTCAATAGAAGTTAGTATTCATATCAAAGGTGGTGGGGATCTTGCTACTCTTAGAATCTCTAAAGGGAAAGACAAAAGACCCAGTCTATATGAATTCGATCTAGATTGGACAGAAATTGTTGGATCTACTTACATTCTTTAAGAAGAAAATGATCGTTATTTGGCAAAGGATGATTATATTATTGGAGTGATTGGGCAAATTGACTGTGAATTTTAAATTAGTTACAATATTGATGATGCCAAATATTTTAATGTTTTTCTTGGGTATCCATTTGATGTCTTATTCCTCGAGAATATACCTCATTATTACATTTTTAGAGATAATCCAAGTGATTAGGAATATAGAATCATAGTGTTTGCAATGCAAGGTAAATTATAAATAAAAGCCAAAAGATTAGATTCTTTTGATGATGAAACTATCATTAACAATAATGATATTTTATTTATTGATTAAATTGTTGATAAATAAAATTCATTTAAAGTGAAGACTTGTGAAAAAGTTAGTTGCATTTATTTAATTGAAATAATAGCAGTTTCAGGTGTTAGTAAAGGTTTGATTGAATTCAGTAGTCCATAATATTAAACTACTCTATATGATGATCTTCAATGGAGAGAAATCTTGACTGAATCAGAGTTTTCATAATATCACTTTTATTCAAATGATAATGTTGAAATCAATATTTAAATGATAAGTGGTGATATCAAATTGTATTTAAAGGAAGGTCAAGAACTTAAACATAATGATGAAGCAGATTAAACATAGAGAATTTAAAATGATACTTAAGTTCTTTTTAAAAAAAAGGATTCATCTGTATCATTGATTACAATCAAAGCTGAATCTTTATCATCAATATCTATCTTTAAGATTAGTGCAGCCAGATACTATAAACAAACTTATAATATTTATTTGGGTCAAATGATGACTTATTATGTACGAGCTGGTGAGACTATTTATCTCTAATATTAATCGATCACTCAAATAACTAATAATCAATCTAAATATATAACATTACAAATCTAAAATATTCATCAATCTATAGACAATTTATATTTCGATATATCTCATAATACTATCAAACCTATTAATTATTTTAATAAATATCCTAAAGCTATTTCATATCATTTATATGATTAATTTGGTTTGTATGAAATTTCCATTAAAGCTTTACATAATAGTACATATATTAGAGTAATCATTACTAATGGTGAATTAAATGCTTTAATTGATAGTATATCACAATATTAATTAACTAAAATTGGATAACCAAATTATTATGAAGTCTTTTTACAATAAAAATCTAAACTATTCTTGGAAGTATTTACTTGCTCTGGATCTGTATTAGTATAAGGAACTAATAATTAAACTAATCTTGCAAAATCAATATTTGAAATTCAAGTAATGAATTCTTCATAAGAACATATTCAATCAATCTTATAACTTGAAGCAGGAACATATTATTTTCTTGTGAAATTGATATCAAGTCATGAACAAGATGATAATAAGAAAAAGATTTCATCATATTTTATAAAATAATAAACCTTTGATTAAGGAGAAATAATTCCATAAACATCTTTTGAAATTAGTGATAAAGTTATAGATTGGTATAAAGTGGATGATAAGTTGATCATCCATATCCCAAATCTTATATAAATAAAATAAGATATTTAAATAATCCATGTATATTTTGTTGTAAGGATGCAATAAGCAATTGGTGAGAAGAGTCTTGCATGCATGTTTGAATCTAATTATGTTAATAACAAGACCAATATTTATGGTAAATATACATAGATTGTTGAATAAAGCACTGAGAGTAACATTACAACTGTTACTTTTACTACAAAAGATTAATAAACTAAGTATTTGAGTGTAGTTGGTAAAGTGTAATTGCAAATAGAGAATGAAATTGAAGAACTCACTTATCCGTTGCCAATAATAGAAATGAATTATACAAACAACTTGCAAGAATCCACTCAATAATGGATTTTGCTAGGTGTATTTCTGACAATCTTGCTTATAGCAGGGTTTTTCATTTACTTTAATATAAAAAAATAAGTGCATCATTAAAACCATAACACACTCAATATTGAAATGAATTATTAAACATTTAATAATTGATGAAATAAACCCACTTTAAGAATCTTTCCCTCTTGGTCCTCATTCTGTATGGCCTTAATTATGTTGTTGACTTGCTCACTACATAATTTCAAAATGTAATTCTATCTTCTATTTCTAGATTTACTATCTAAAACTTCTAGTATTGTTGATAATCATTAAGAAACTCTTAGAATTACCAATCTCTAGATATGTATCATAAATAACAGGATATGTTATGAATCTTTACATTCCAAAAATATTAAGGTAACATTAATATTAATATGCTAGAATACCTATTTATTCTATATTCTGTGAAATTTATAAAGTAAGAAGATAAGACATGATTCATCCATTGAATTATTACGAAACATTCAATAAATTCTTTACTAGATAAATTAAACCAAGAAAAATAGAATGTGGAATGATCAGTCCTGCTGATTCAAAGATTTTATCAATTAGCAAAGTCACAAAGAATGAATGTTTATTAGTAAAAAGAGTTACATATCAAATTGGATAATTTTTAACAGGCATCAAAGGATATGAAATGGAATTCAAAAAAAAATGTGAATACTCAAATCTATGGTCTTGTATATTTTATCTTGCTCCTGGAGATTACCATCGTTATCATTGTCCTGTTGATTTTATAGCAAGAAGTAGGTTGCATATTCCAGGTAAATTAGCACCTGTTAAAGAAAGCAGTCTTAAATAAGTATTATCTTTTATATATAATTAGGGATTATATGAAGGAAATGAAAGAGTGGTTCTTGAAGGAGAGTGGGAATAAGGACTTATGTACATTATATTTATAGGTGCAACTAATGTTGGTTCAATGAAAGTTAATTTTGATTCAGATTTGATTACTAATACTAATACATATCATAAAAGTGGATATCGAAATTATTCAAATCTTTCAGTTAACTCACCTTATTAATCATGTGAAAAAGGAGTGCACATTAAAAAGGGATAAGAGATAGGAAAATTTGAAATGGGTATAATTTAAATAAATTAATTTATAGGATCTACTGTTGTAATCATTTTTGAAAGTACATCTATTGAATGGAATGCTAAGGCTCAATAAAAGGTTTATTTTGGACAATAAGTAGCTACATATTGATATAAGTAATATGTATAAGTACATTAAATAATATAAATCAAAATTAGAATGAATTTTAAACATTTTTTATCATCTTTCTCTTTATTTATAGATTATAATCTAATTTAAAAAGATGAGGAGAATATTTATATAGGAGTTTATTATTGAAATCCAATTTGAACCATTCTTTTAACATTTTATTATCAAACAAAAAAAAAGAAAACAATTCTCAATAGAATTACAAGAAGAACTTTATTTAAATTAATAAAGCATTGAATAGGTATGCTTTAATGATTTTTCCTAATTATTCCATTAAAAAGCATGTTTTAATAAAATTTTTAAAATATTATTGACCGAGTATATTGATTGAACTTGGTTTGTATTTTCATGTTAAATAATTTTTTTATGAATAACAATGAGTATCTCCCAGTCAACATTAATGCTCAATCACTTGCCTTTCCATTGTATATGCCTCAGTTTATGAATTCCCAATAAATCTTTTTTCCTTTCATGTACTACCAGTTCCCATACTTTTAATCTTTACCAGCATAGCAAACTCTACCTCAACCTCCTTAGTCAAATGAAAAAGCACAAGCATAAAGTTGTTCTTAGTTTGTGACAGTTAGTGGTACACGAATTAAGTTGAATCTAAAATTGATTAAAGAGCTACCTTAAGCAACTCCAACCACCATTCATGATGAAAATGAATCAGAATTAAATAACAAATAGATTGACAAACATTTTAAAATAATTAAATAGAGTAAGCATATTAAAAGACATATATCAACTCGTAATGTGCAAGTAAATACAGATTAGAATAATTAACCTTATAAGTTCTTTTTTAGGAAAAATGATGGGTTTATTCATATAGGAAATGGTCATTAGACTGAGATGGTGTAGAGAAAATTCAATTTCAATATGATGAGAATGAAATTACAATAGTTTTAAGTTTGGGATCATGAGAATATGTCATTATGTAAGAATTCCTTTATATTTAGATGATGAAATCAAACAGCTAATGAATTTGACAGATGATAAAACACTGTAAATATTATAGTCATACAAAAACATTAAGTTACTTCACAAAAAACTGATGAGCAGAGATCCAATTGCATATGAGGAAGTCTAAAATCTACTAATAAAAAAATATAATTAATGAAATAAATAGATAATCATATTTTTTTTCTTTTTTTAATAAGATCAACTTTTGCTTTTTATATTAGATTCATAAAAAATAAAATAAAAAGCAAAGGAATGATAATTTACTCATTAAATATCTATTCAATAGTTTAGCTTAATATTTAATATTAAAGTAGTTAATTACTTTACAGATTAAAATTATTAACTCTGATCTTAATATGACAAATGTTTTCTAAAGATAGAATAATAAAATAAAAACATTAGTACTAGTTAATTACTTGTTTACTCTTAAATTATGTAAATTAAATTTATTTTTATAATATATCTTTATCATAAAATTATAAATTATTTAAAGTAACATTTAATTTTTATTTTGTCAACTGATAATATATAATATAAAAATGAAAGAACTAATATCACTTTAATTATTTTAATCCTTATTAAATTGGTATCATAAATAATTAAAATAATAGAATATGATTGATTTCTATATAATTTAATAGGCTTATATGTTATTTAATTATTCATATACTAAATTGAAATTATTAAGTTTCTGTTTAGTAATTAATACTAAAAGCAAATGAGTTTTCATTGATGTAATATATTGAATATAAAAGTTAAAATATAAATTGTTTTAGGAAAAGCATATTCATTGAAGTTTATTTATAAGTATTCTTAATTTTTAGTCATTAGAGAATCAATTCTATTTTTTTCTTTTAATTTTAATATTATATGTCTGTTGTGTTGATTGTATTACTTTTCCCTTTTATTCACAATCAATTTTAAAGTAAAAGGAGAATGATAATCTTCTTTGTAAATTATAAAAAATATATAAGAACCTTAGAGTTTTAAAAGTTCTTGATAAAAAGTTTTGTTGAAGTTAGAATTCAGAAGAGTTAGAAAAATAGAGGAATAAAATGTAAGTATTTATTGAGGGTAAAGATTATTGGGATACATAAATTAATTAAATAATCAATCATCTTCGCATTTTACAAATTAACTTACCTACTTGCTAAATAATCCTCTTTTATTGGTTTAGTGAGATTTCTAAGTGTGTTATGACTTATGAGATTTAGCATCTGGTGCAATAACATTTTCTTCAATTAATGGATTACCAACAGGACTTTCTTCTTCACCCTTATTTTTTTCATCATCTTCTTATCGTACTCTAGTTGGAAACTTGACCATTTTTTTATCTTCATTTTATTTCTTAAATGCTCCTTTAGCTGGTTATTTGTGAGGATCGTACTTGTATTTATTCTCTAGTTCATGATCCTGCTCTTCGGCCACTTGTTAAGCACAACAAGATGATCCCATTTTAATTAAATAATATAAATCAAATAATACTCTCCAAATATTATTATATTAATATCATTGAATTGTTGCAATTATCTCTATGCATCACTTATCCTGTATTTAATACAAATAAATATTCTAAGTAACCTCCTCTTTTCTATAATCCAATTAGTTAATCATCTTTCATTAATTTAATCAACTAATTTTAGTAAAAGAAATCATCCAATTCATATTGTATAGATATTAACCATTTCATTGTTCCAGAAGGAGGAATAAGCATATCATATTAAGATTAATAAACCAAAATATTTTTCTTACTTAGCAAATGCTGTATACTAAATATTCATTAATTGTTTACATTTTGTTATCAAATGGTTCAAAAAAGTTATATTTAAATTAATCAAACACATTTTATGAACGAGCCAAAAATTCTGTCTCAAAAGGAATGTAATATAATGATTCTGGATCATTTAGTATCTATTCCAACTTATCTTCATCCTCTGAATATAACTTCTATTCTAATACATTATAAAGAGAGACATTCCCAGTCATATAGTATAGTTACTTAAGGAATTTAGCATTCTCATGTTAATAATTACCATTATAGATATCATCACTCAACTTTATTATGGCTTTCTCAAAATATATTAACTCTTAATAATCAATTACACCCATATGAAAAGCAAAATTTGGAATCTCAGTCACTATATTAAGAGTATCTAAGAATGGATCTAACAGTCCAACACACTTTATAGTTTTGCTTCTATTTGCTATTGCCAATGCAAATCTAGCTCCAAAATCTGTGGAAAATAGAATCACATTATCATAAGTCAACTTACATAATTTATTAAAATTCTGCATTGCTATCTCATAATCTATTGCAACATCTTCATAACTTAAATTTCTTGTTGTATTTGTTCTGCCATAACCAGTTCCTGCTGGCAAATCCAAAAAAAGTAAATTACTAAAGTTATTCCATTACCCAAAATGAGGTCCTATTTCCAAAAAATTTGATATTTGACTTGATAATCCTGGCCCTCCATTTATATATACAATATTATGTTGACCTCTTCCTTAGTAATAAATAAAACTTATTGCACCATTAGGAACATGCAAATAACCATATTTAGTTTATGCATTATGATTTGTACAATGTTATCGAGGTAGTGTAGATTCTTCAGGTTAAGTTTTCAAACTTTCAAGTTCTTGTAATATTAATCGAGCATAACATTAAAATATTAAAATCAAGCAGAACATAATTATATTAATCAAACAAATGGATTGTTTCTCAACTAATCGTACTTACTAGGCTATTGAGTATTATAGAGGTTCCTTATATCTTATGCATCTTTTACAAATGGATTATTTTAGTACTTTTAGTTTGTTGTATTAAATTGATGATATTATTAGTTACTATTATTAATATTATTATTATGACTTCCTTAATTTATAGGGAATGATATATTATCAAATCCTTAATAAATTTATTAATTATTGTTTGACAAATTATTATTAATTTGATTGTCAAATCCAAAATTTTATTAGTTTTGATTCATATAATGATATTATTATTATTAAAATTTTGTTGATTATTATTAATTAGCTAATTATTATTATAATTAAGGCTATTATGGTAGTGTATGAGTCTAATAATTAATTTAATTACTTATTTATTACTACTATTATTATTACTATTATTAAGTGAAATTCATATTTTGATAATTAACTTAACCATTTTATCTTCCAGGTAAAGGAGGTTTACTACTTGCTTAATTATATTATTATTATTATGGTTATTATTATTATTATGGTTATTATTATTATTATTATTATTATTATTATTATTATTATTATTATTATTATTATGGTTATTATTATTATGGTTATTATTATTATGGTTATTATTATTATGGTTATTATTATTATATCCATCCCAATTATTAATTATTAGAACCGAAAACATTATTTCCAAAGTTTAATAATTAATGATTTTGCTATGATTTATTACCTTATAAATTATTTTATTATTATTATGATTATATTTAAGCCTGTTTCTATGCTTATGACCATGATTATTAAGTTTCTACATTTAATTATGGATTATGAGTATTAAATTATTAATGAATTTATTATTATTAAGTTGATTAGTGTGTTGGATTATATGACATAAATTATTAATTATCTGCCAATGTTGAATAGGTTAGTAAATCAAACTCATTTAAGTTATTGTTCTTTGGTTTAAAACTCGGAGATTGATCTTCATTCTATTATTATTTTTTAGGTTATATTTCTAATTAATTAGTTTAATATGTATGATTATTAGGGAAACCAGAAAAAGTAGAAAAATGATTAAATGAATTCCAATCAAATTGATTCCCTTTATCTGGTGAAATAAGATTAGCTTCTTTTTATGTTTATTTAGAATCTATACTAAATTACCTATTATTCCTTTGAATTCCTTATTGTTACGTAGAATGAAATTGTTTCATATCATCTTTTACCTATTAACCTTGAGTTCCATTTTCACTAAAAAATGTGTTAGTTTTTACAACTCTGAAAGGTACCCCACTCATTAGACATTAGGTATATCGTGTTTTTGGATCAGCCTAACCCTACTTTACCCAAGTTCTCTTGACATACTTTTCTTAAACAAATAGTTTAATTTCTTCTGGAGTGGCAGAAGGTTGGATCTTATTACTTTTTTATAATCTACTTTCCCAATACCTATTATTATTGACAATTAACTTACTCATTCTAGTCGTTTCCCAATGCATCCATCATATCAACGTTTTCTTAAGTCCAACAATCTAATTTTGTTGATCTGACTCTAGTTATATTTTATCCTAATGCTCTATGTTATCCTAAATGAATAAATTTTATTGTAATACCTGAGCAATTATAGCACACAAAAACACCAAAATCTAGAGATGCCCAAGTAGGCGATTTTGAAGAGCAATCTGCGCATGTCAAATTGCATTATTTTTTAAGTATTTTCAAGAAAGCTGCTTCTTATTATTTTGTTGACAGTACTCCTTAGTGACTCATAAATTAATTATAAAATTATTTTTATTAAATAATATTCTTGTATTTTATGGTTGTCAACTATATAAATTAATTATAAGTATTGATTTGAAAATCTATCTTTGTAAACTCATTCCAAAATATTAAAAGTTTCGATTGTTGTTAATTGTCTAAATAATTTTTAGTTATTTTGATTTGAAAAAAAATAATTATTAGAAAATCAACTTCAGTTGTAAATCTCTCTCTAAATTTATATTGCATAACTTTTGATGTAATATCATTTGATAAATAAAATCTTTAATATTGTATTTTTTTGTATAATTATTAGATCATTTATCATTTTTAACCTAGATGAACTCAAAATAATCTATATCTTGAGTTTATCCAATCTGTTTTCATTCTTCCTTATGGTTGTTGAAACAAAGAGAAGAATGTGTTATTTTTTTTAGATTAATTATTCAGATTTCTTATTGTTTCTTTTGGGAGCAATCTATTCAAATAGGATTCATCATATTATATTTGACTTTAAGATATAGCCTTGCCCTTGAAGGTTGCTATAGAAGAAGAGATGTTTCCAAAGATTTACCTTTGGGATAACACATATTTCATATTGTTTATGTCAGCTGGTACGAAGTGTGACCTAGTATATTTATGTTGTTTTTATGGTTATTTGACAAGATTTCGTCTCAAAAGTTTCAATTGATTGAGAATGCGAGAGGTTTGTGGACGCTCTGAATTCGATTTGAATTCATCCATGGAAAAATAAATTTTATATGCAAAATGAATTATGTAATAAAAAGTAATTAAAAAGATGAATGGAGATTCAAATTTAGTTAAATAAGAATTAATAATTGAATTTTGTTAATTTGTCTAATCAAAGAATTTATTTGCTTAAATAAAAATAACGAAATATATTAATGAATATTTAATTCCGCCAAATAAATGCGCGTAACATTATTAATATATTTTAAATCTAATTTTCATATGACTACTTTTGACGGAGAAAAAATATACTATACAAATCAGAAATTTACAACAGATGAGTATTTAATAATGTTCAAATATTTAATAGAGAATTTAATCATGAATAAACAATTACAGATGCAGGAAAAAGGATTTTAAAGTTTCTAAAGGAATTTCATTTTCAAGAGAAATTCATATATAGGGATCAACTAAAAGAAAATGTTGCTAATAATGAGTATATATTGAGAGTTGAAATAAATGATATTGAAAATTCTGATAAAGAATTATACTCTTTTATTTTGGATCGTCCATAAGATATACAAGAGACTTTTGAAGATAAAATAAAAGAAGTATTCAATAAATATTAAAATTAAGTTATATAGTTAAGAAAAGATGATAAATAAGAGTGATTGTCCAGATTTTTAATTGCAATTAATTTCATAATAAAATCCAGACTTGCTTCGTAATTTAACAGCATAATAAATTGGAAAATTAGTCACAATTAAATGCATTATTTCAGCATCTAAATCAATAAAAGTTAAGGCAAAGAAATTATTAATAAGATGTAGAGAATGTCAAGATGAATAAAATATAAATCTTGGATATGGACCAAAGCCAGTCAATTTACCAAGATATTGTTTAGGAAAAGCTTAATAAAAGGGTGCTTAAACAGATGCATAATGTCCAACAGATCCTTATGTAATTATCCCAGAAGAATGTCAATTTATTGATTAGTAAACTTTAAGAATCCAAGAACTTTCTGAAGCAATTCCAACAGGAGAAGTTCCAAGAAATTTTATGGTATATTGTGATCGTTATTTGGTCAATAAATTGATACCTGGACAAAGAGTAATAATCACTGGAGTTTATTAAGTACCTCCAAAAGGATCAGCTACTATTAAAAGTAATGCCATGGATACTGAATTGCTTCTACCCTATATTCATGTATTTGGTTTATAAACAAATAAAGTGAATATTAAATAAGGATTATCTGAGGCTTAAAGATAAGAATTTAAATCGTTAAGTAGAAATGCAGATGTCTATAAAATAATTACTAATTCAATAGCACCAGCCATTTACGGTCATGAAGATATTAAATTAGCTATTGCTTGTTTACTATTTGGAGGAACATCAAAAACTCTTCCAGATAGTATGAAATTGAGAGGAGATATTAATGTATTATTAATTGGTGATCCCAGTACAGCAAAATCATAATTATTGAAATTCGTTGAAAGAGCAGCAGATATTAGTGTGTACACAAGTGGTAAGGGAAGTAGTGCAGCTGGTCTTACTGCAACTATTACATATTAACACAATACATCTTAATTTACTTTGGAAGCAGGTGCTTTGGTATTAGCAAGTGGTGGAGTATGTTGCATTGATGAATTTGATAAGATGAGATCAGAAGATAGAGTTGCTATGCATGAAGCAATGGAATAATAGACTATATCTATTGCTAAAGCTGGTATTACTACTAGATTAAATGCCAAATGTTCAATTTTAGCTGCTGCTAATCCTATTTTTGGTAGATATCAAGAGAATAAATCTATCTAAGAATAAATTGAATTACAAACAACTATCTTATCTCGTTTTGATAATATCTTCATTATTCGAGATGTTAGATCAATTGAAAATGATTAAAGGTTAGCCAATCATATTATTTCTCTTCATACAGGATAATTTGCTGATCAAGAAGGAATGTAAATTGAATAAGATGGTAATAATACTTTGGATCTTATGAAATTAAAACAATACATCAAATATGCAAAGTCTACTGTTAAACCTTTACTTACAGAATAAGCAGCTTAAATGATTCAGAATCTATATGTTGATGATAGATAAAAAAGTTAATAACCTCATCATTCAAAAAGCGGAGGCAAATCACATATACCAATTACTGTTAGATAATTAGAGGCAATTATTAGAATTAGTGAATCATTGGCTAAAATGCAATTGCAAGAGCATGTCAAAGAAGAACATGTAAAAGAAGCCCATAGATTATTCTAAACTTCTACTATGATGGCAGTCTCATTAGGATCTAAGTATATTCTTATTTTATCATTTTAGAGAATTTGGTCTTGATTTATCAAATGACTTAAAATAATTAGTTGGTAAAATTGAAGAATCTATCTTAAGAAGAATAAGTATTGGATCTAAGATACCAGCAAATAGATTGATTCAAGAATTATCTGATAGATTTAATAATTAAAGGGCTGTAGAATTTGCAATACATAATTTAATTTAGACTGAATAACTCTAATAAGTAGAAATGAAGAGAATGTTAATAAGGAAAAAATGATTTCTATAGTTTTTATGTTATTTTATGCTTTTTGTAATTGATAAGTTTTTATAAGTAAGAATATAAAAGATAAAATTTTACAAATAATATATCTACTAACTACTTAAACATTAATAGTATCAATATAAAAATGATGAGAATTATTCAGAAAGTAAAATAAAATTAATAAATAAATAAAATATTAATTATTATCAAATTATTTTAAGATAATTTTGATGTTACTGTTATATAAAATAAATGAAAAATGTTTGATAATTTTGGTATATAGAAAGTATATGGATATAATTATTTAATAATAATAATATAATCAAGCAGATGGTGGAATGAATTTATCAATCAATTATGTTTTGCTATTTTATAGATTTACAATAAGATGGGTCAATTTATGTTTAATCAGAATAAATATAAAATTTTAGAGTATTATTTTATGATCTTGATATTTTCTCTTAAATTATAAATATCTTATTATAAGGACTTAATTATTTTAAAATATATGAATTAACAATTGTAATTAAATCATCCTTCTGTTCTAATTCATTATCTTAATTTATAAAACATCTTTCAAAATTATTTATTTCATCATCTGTTTTAAACGTAAAATTAAAAATAATCAAAAGTTGAGAATTTTCTTAAGAAGAGCATAAATAATCAAATTTTGATGAAGATGATTATTTTTATTAGCTATTTGATAAAGGGTTTAAATTATATTCTTTCGATATTCTTAATAATATAGTACTATTTGATTATGAATAAGTTAGAATTTTATTGAAGATATTAATTAATATTTATGTTAATTATTTAGTGTTTACCTTCATCTAAACATTATCTTTATCCATTTAAAATAATAATTCAAATTATATTTTGGATTATTAACATTAATAAATAAAATATGGCTTTAAAGCCAAAATAAAAGTGGATAATAAACAACGATCTATTAATTAGTGAATTTTATTTTAAGAGAAAAACATTAGTTAATTCTTTGATTCATTAAGAATGTATTAGATACTTCCTTAGATTTTATTTAAAGCTTAAGTTTCATATTAATAAATTTCTAAATCAAAAATTGATTTATATATCGATTGTAATTTTGAACCAACTAGAATAGAAAAATTTGTTGATTAATTATTTATCATCTAAATTTTCTTTTCATACTTTTCAATTTAAATATCATTATTGTTTTCTTTTATAATGATTAAAAATAGAGTTTTCAATCCATTTATTATTTATACTTGAATTTCTTTTTATTTTTTATTTTAATCTATTATTTAAAATGAATTGAATTCTTCTCCAAAATTTTTTTAAGCTCTGTATTTTTCAAAGAGCAAATCTTCTAAAGTTATTTATTTATTAGCAAATTTTTATACTTTTAAACTGCCAAACATTTAATGAGTAGCTAAATTAATAATTAAATGATTTCTTAAGAATTCTTTAACTTTATCTTAATTATTTTCAATTTTATAAAATGATTCAAACTTTTAATTTACAAAATCAAGCTCAAAAAATGTCTTATTTTTATTAAAGCTAACAATAAGAATTTTTTAGCTCGTATATTCATACATTAAATTACTATTATATAAATTTATATCTATTACATTTATTACTTTATAATCATTCCTTATGAAAAATTTAATCTTGAATTATATTCAAATATGTAAGCAGAAAACATTTGTAGACTAGTAGCTCCAATTCCAAGCAAGATATAATTGATATTGATTAATGAATATATTCTAAACACTCCTAGTAGTATCCAAATAGAGGATAATAAAATTACAATTTTTATTTTCACGCTTAAATAATTCAGCATACAAGAAGAAAATATTCCACCTATAAAACCATAAACATAATGAGGCCTAAATTATCTTAATATTATACTATAATAGGTTATTGAGTGCCCCAATTATAAAAAATGTGTATTAAATAACATATAATAAAGGAAGAATGTACTTAAAATATGGAGAAATTTTTCTGCTAAATATTAACTTAATAAAATATAATGCAGTTTGCACAGAAAGTGATATGATTAAAAAAGTTCCCCATTCTTCTATTATTGATCTAAACAATGATACAAGAGTATTTAAAATTGTAATTGACATTAGCAATCTAAAATAAGTAAGTTTCTCTTCTAAAATATATTCTTAGTATTTATCTTCCAAAGTTGTATTATGGAATTAGAGTGTTGATAAGGAAAACTATAAAACTTTCATTATTTGTTATTAATATTATTTCTTTCCAAATAAGATTGTAAATTTATGAATTAAGAATAAGAAAGATACAAAGAAATTTAATTATAAAATTTTATAAATGTATTCTCAGATTTTGAGTTTATATATTCACAAATATTGATCTAATCTTAAATTATAATTAAGGTTTTAATAATAGAAATTATAATTATATTAAAAATAAAAAAAAAAAATTTAAATTTGAAAATTTGATTACGTTTAAAGATAATTTCAACTTTATGACTAGTTTAAGAATATTATTATTACTAAACAAAAGTATACTTATCATAAATTTTAAAGAAGAGAGTTGGAATAATAAATTTTGCCCTCTTAATATGTTAATTAAACAATAACTTATGAATATAAATACACATTTTATTATCATGATATTTAAAATCTGTTACTAATGTTAGATTTTTATGTTTTTTACTATTCTATTTTTTAGTGTCTTTTTAAAATCTTTGTCCCATGCTAATTTTATAGTGTATTATTTAATCTAATATCTAAATCCTTCTATTAATCACGATTTTGTTCTTCTAGTTTAGGAAGTTATATGAAATCTGATGTATTAATTTTTTCTATTTTTTATTGTTGTGCTTCTTCAATTTATTATTTTTGCTATTAACTTTATTCCTTCATTGATTGAAATATTTAAGATCCTAAGCCATCATGAAAAACATTTAACAATTTAAAAGGTGATTCACAATAAAATTAGGATTTTATTAATTCAATATTTTCATTTTATTATAAATGTTCAATAATACTTTTATTTTTATTTTAGAATTTCTTAATATTAACTGAAACTTAAATAATTTTTAATGGTTCAACTTATAAATTAGATTGTACTTCCTCAATCTATATTTATGCTGTATTCTATTATTCTTCCTAAATAATATCTACAGTTGGAATTTTCTCATCAAATTCCAATAGAACTTTTAAGAATTACCAGAGATTTTCTTTAACAATATCATGGATATTTTTATCACCTCCTAATTAACTTTTTAATTCTTAAATTGTAGTAGGTTTTGATTCAACTATTTTAAATAAAAATGGATTTGGTAAAAAATATCTTGGATTTTGATCATATTTAATTCCTAATTCTTCTCTTAACTCTAATAATTTCACCATTAAATCAAAACTTTTTGCATCCATTCTCCTATCTTACTTGTTAAGAATTGTTTGCAAAGATTAATCTTAATCTTACAAAGGTTTCTTATAAATTTTAAGAGCTGTCTCTTTACTTCGTTTTAATACAGTTTCAATATAATAATTTGGAATATTATTTATATTCTCGTTAGGTTTATTTAATTTTTTAAGATCTTATCTCATTCTGTCATATATGTAAAGTAGATAATGAGTATCTATTTAAGCATATTTAATCATTTCATCAGATAATGGTCTTTAAGTCCAATCAGCTGTTTAATAAGTTTTATCAGTTGATTTCTTACAATATTCTGATAACAAAAACTAAAATGAATTTTACATAAGTTATAATTCTTTAGATGCATGAAAAGTATCAAATAAATTTACAATATATAAACCAAAATCTCTTTATAACCACTAAACATCATTGTCTGCTCCATGAAAAACCTTTATAATTTTAGGATTTGTAAAAACAACACTCAACATATCACCTATTTATTTCCATAAAGGAAAAGGATCTATTATATAATCTTATGTTCTTGTGCTTAATTAAATTAAACAAGTGATTCCCAAATATGAAATTTAATGATTATGCTCTAAATCTACAGCTATCTCACTAAAACCATTCTAATCTACTTCTTATTGTATTTTAAGGATAAGTTCACCTAAATGATCTGGATTATTAATCATGATTGGTGGTTCTAAATCTCTATATCTATTAATTTTTTATGGCACATCAATAACAAAATCTAATGGTGTTAATCTCATTATTTCTTCATAATAAGGATGTGCAAATTCATCTATTGAATATTTCTCAAAAAATTAATATGGAGTATTTTAAGCTTCTATTATTTTTTAATCTAATTCTGTTTGAGCATAATGCTTATATTTTAAAACAGGAATAAAAGGTAATTTATTAAGCTAAATTACATCAGCAAAACCATAAATATCTTTTGGTTTAAGTTAGTTTGTTTTTTAAATTTGGGGTTGTTTTGGAGCTAAACTTAATTTATTCATTTTGTCATATTAAATGGCTGCATTTTCTAAAAATTAATCTAATGTTTCTTCTATTTACTACATACTTATGAGAGAATACTTTAAATGGTATAGTTGTTGAATTTGTTTAAACATCTCCAACCAAAGATCGTAGTCCATTAATGACTGAGATAAAGACCTAATTGGTTTCAGAAATTATTTTTTTGTTTCCAGGTTGTTTTTCTAAGAATTTGAGTTCTTCTTTCTTAGGTAATTGATTGATTAATGCAACCACTTATTTTGCATGAGTTTACATATTATAATTAAATTGTGATTATAATAATTTTACAACAATAACTATAATTTATTATAATATGAAGGAACAAATAATTTAGTTTATTTTATTATCTAAATTAAATTAAATTAAAAAAAATCTCATTATAGTTCATTAGATGTTAAATATTCTTTAATCAAACATTTTAATAATATTTTATACAAAAATTCTCCCTAAACTTAGTGATACTTACTACTTTAAATCAATATTCAATATTTTTCTTTTGTATTTCCATAAAAATTCAAGGTTGACATTTCAATTATTCAAAACAATTTAAATATAATGTATTTAAAGTTAAGATTGAATCCTTACTACTTTAATTATTTTCTTAAAAATTAAAAAGCTTTTAATTCAATTCTTATGTTGTATATTCAAAAAATTCAATTAATTCTTTTCTTCTTTCTTAACTTTATATGCATTTGTAGATATTTTAAATCACTCTATTTTAAAATGAAGAGATAAAAATAAATATATTATAAATTATATTTATTAGCTATTTAATAAATGCAAAGAAAATCAACAACCAATTAAACTTTTTGTTAGGTTTACAGGATTGTAGTTTCTGCCTCTAAGTTCCTATTCTCTCAAAAAGACAGTTCTTTGAGAATTTACTTTATTTTAAGAATTTTCACCAAATATTCTACTTTTTGTATCTACATTTTATTCTATCATTTTTCTTTTCTTCCATTAATCATGTAACTCAAAGTTTTATGATGGGAAACTACTTTTTGTTAATAAAGGATCTTATTATATAGAACTAAATGGTTTATGAGCAATATTCTAAAATTCAATAGCAGGATTACTAGCATTAAATTTCTCAAGTGCTATGTAATTGAGTTTGATATTTACATTTATATCTCTGCAAATTGTTTCTCACACTTTTTTATTCTTTTCCTCTTAATTTTGCATTTTCTTCTTTATATAGTTTAGTATTATCATTTAATGGATTATCTAAAGCATACAATCCACTTTTAAAACATTACTTAGCCTTTTTGAATGCTCGATTTACATCTTGATATTCTGATCTCCATTATTGAAATTTTAATCTATTTTCTTTAGCAATTACCATTTCTTAAAATTATTCTTTGGGTTTTTTCAATTTTGTTCCTGTAATATAATTTAATTTAGATTCATCAAATGTTTTATCAGGAACAGAAAGGAGTTTTTTTTCTAAAAATTCTGTTCCATTTTTTATGGTTGGATGATCACTAATTAAATGATTAATTGTATGTTAATGAAGATTAATAACATGATCATCTGTATTTCTAGTTTATTAGCTTCTGAAAAAAAAACTTTAATTTTTCATGCTATTTTAGTATGGTTCAGTATTTTTGAGAGGATTTCCATCAATAGAAGCAAATTAGCTTTTTTGAAGAAATGTTCCTAAATGTTTGGCATCCCATGTATTACCAAACATTTTTAATGAACCATCTAAAACATATGGAGCAGAACTTAGGAATGATGGTTGATATACCTTAATTAAGATTTTGTTTAATCATTTGGAACAGTTTTATGTATAAATGTTGAGAGTCTCATTTAAGTTTACTAACAAGATTCTCCTTCTCTTCTCATAAAATCACGAAAATTATCTTTTCCTCTATCAGGAACTTTTTCCTTTTGTCTAAATAACATAGAGATATAATATATATATAAATATTTATTAATATTTTAATATTTTTCAATAAATTTATGCAGCCTCGTCATGATCATTAGCATCTTCTTATTGTTAATTATCTTATTGTCCTTCATCTTGTTATTCATTTTATTATAAGGATTATTCAACCTATTCATTTTAATTATTTGATTCTTCTTATTCTTATTACTATAATATAACTTCTTATTATTATTATTATTATTCTTATTCTTATTATTAATATTCTTACTCTTATTATTATTATTAATATTCTTATTATTAATACTCTTATTATTATTAATATTCCTCTTAATATTATTATTATTAATCTTAATTATTTTCAAATTATTATTCTTATTAATAATTCTATTGGTTTTATTCAGAATCTTCTTAATTATTCTCTTGCACTTAAGTTTGATTTTAAATAAATTATTCTTATTATTCTTGAGTATTTTCTTATGATGTAATATATTATGATTCTGCCTTTCTAAATCCTTCTGTGTTTTATTATTCTCGAATTTGTTAAGTGGATTATTCTATAGTTTTTCTGACTCTTTATTTATCAAAAACACTTTTTTTATCAGATACAGATGTAAAGACTTATTCTGTGACTATTTCAGCTTATCCAGGAACCTTTTCTTTAACTTCTTCCTTTTTCAAACTAGGTCTGAATTAAGGTTCATTATTAGATTGATTTTTTTTATTCATTTAGGCAATTCTATCTTTTACAGATTGTACCATCATAGTTTCTTAGACAACTTCTACAAAACAATATAAAATGAATAATACCTGCAACTGCAGTGACTTTGTTTTATTACTGAGTCTATTAAACAGATTTTGTTAGTTATGATTTTGGTTGATAAGCTATTTGACCTTCTGTGTTAAGTTTATGATATTTTTTCTCTATTTTACAATTGCCACATTATTGAAATTGTCCAACAAGAGCTAATACGAAGTTACTACAGGCTTTAGCTCTTAATTGATCTTCTTCTTCTTATTTTTATTGAGCTATCTATTAAAGTTTCTCTTATTAGAATTTTGCTATTGATTATATATGAATAACAATATACCTGCATCATTATTATTAGATTTTTTGACATATTCAATGTTGTTATTTTCAAAGTCTAGACGATGAAATTTTTTTTCTCTTCCACAATTTCTACACTCTTAAAAACCCCCTGTCAAGGACAATGTAAAATTAGAACATACATCCATTTTTATGAAATATATATGTAATAATGATTGAGATTATTATTTTAGATAAAAAGAATAGTTCTTAATTTAGATAATGACATTAATGATAGAATATAATTTTATTGAAGTTCCTAATTGTTTATAAGAAGAGTAATTGACATTCTTAGAGAGTTGATTTAAATTGATATTTGATTAAGAGAATTAGATAATTTATATAATATAAAAACGGATTTTATGAAGATAGCAGTTCTGATAGCGATATTATCACTTGCGTTCTGTTATAGAACACCACAATATGAGTCAGCATAATAGGTCATAGTTCAATATGCGGGAGGTCACATATTGGAAGCTCAAGCAGGAGTTCCAAGATAAGTGGTTGTGGATGTAAAATTCAAGAAAGCTTTCGAAGTTCCCCCTTAAGTGTTTATTTCAGCATAATTACTTGATTGGAGTGTTGGCTTACCTCATGGGTTTATGGAAAGAGTTAGCGATATCACAACCACAGGTAATTATGTTATATTATTATTACAAAGGATTCAAATTAAGTGGAGTTGCAGTTGGACCTTCTCCTCTTTATTCCTTATTTGTTGATTGGTATGCAATTTATGATCCCAGAATTTAAGTAGTGACATTTGAATCTACAGATGTTAAAGAATTAAAAACTGGATAAGGTGAAAGAAAAGTATCATATACAATTGAACACAGTCTCAAAGATGCAACAAATGCTATTGTAAGTTTAATTGGTTGTAAACACTTATTAACAAATCCAATAGTGGAAGTCAAAGTAATTAGTCTTTTGCATTTTAGGTTGAATAAGTAACACCAAAATCTGTCACTGTTTCAGTAAGAACATATTGGCAAGCATAATTGGAATTTATAAGATTCAATGTTCTTTTGGGTACTGATCAATCTTTATGGGTTTCACCTGCATATGTTTTCTATAATGATCCTGCTTCAAGTCATCCATTTGTCAAAAGAGCACCAAGTGCAGCTGAAGTTCCATAAACTATTGAATTACCAAAAGTATGGTAAAGTGGCCCAAGAGTACCTATTGTTACTCTCAGAGGTTATGATGTTGAAAGAGCTAGAAATATGAGATTGCAATATAATAAAGTAGTACTTGAATCAAAGTTGACATACAATCTCGTAACATGTACTTATTTATTACTATTATTTCTTTAGGGTGGGATACTTAAATTTATGGAGTTTTCCATTAAACAGCTATTTTTGTTGCTGATACAACTTACAAAATATTTGATCCAGATTGTGCAGAGTTATTCTCTGAATGTAATTTCAAGGGAGACTCAGTAACTGTTTGTGATAGAATTCCAGATTTACCAGGATATGGATGGTCTAAACCAATCAGATCCTTAACAGTTCCAGTATCTAGAAGATTATATCTTTTTAATAAAGAAAAGTATGAAGGTCAAAGAACTTCTTTCATTGCAAACTAATAATGTATGGAATCTATAACCTTTTCATTTGCATAACTCTAATCATTTGAAGAAGAAGATCATCCTGTTCTTGCAAGTTAATGAATTTAATATAAAAACAATCAATGAATAACATTTATTAATTAATTATTTAATTAATTAATGTTTGTTCCTCATAAGCCTTGGTATTTTGAAAAATATATTGATTTCTTTGATCACGATGGTACACTTTTAGGATTTGAAATTGAAGATCAAATCTACTTTTATGATTAGCATGGAGGATGGGCTGATTAATAAGGTTGCTATTACAATTCTAATTGTTAACCTGATGGTTGGTTATTACCTGATGGAAAAGAGGAAATATTACATTATAATTAAAATAAAGAGTTTATAAGATCATATAGAATTTAAGATTTAGATTGGTTGAATCAATAAGAACAACACAGAAAAAGAAGGCAATCAGCTATTAAATAGATTTAGATTTTAGAGGAATTGGGTTGGGATTTAACTAAAATTACAATTTGATATAATTATAAAATATTTTCACCTTATTCATATGACTCAATCTAATTTCTTTAATAAATTATAATACAAGCTTAAATCCAATTAAACTCTTGTTTGAATATCTCAAAATTATTTTTTGTAATCATATTGTTAATTCAGTAAAAACATATAAAAATTTAACTATTGGTAGAGAAGACTATTTAATATTCAACATATCACTTTTTAAGAATAAAATTTATTTTTATAAGAATAATAAAATTAAATAATAGAATGTTTAAACGAACTAAGACTAATTTAAGACTATATTCTCTTCAACTTTCAAATCATGCTGTGTAATAAACGAAAATGAACTTTCTAAAAATTTTGTTTAATGTAAAAATTTCATTAATTTAATAATTTAAATATTAAAAAATAATAAAAATGAAAGAACTATAACCATGATAAAGATAGACACGATTTTAATCTAAAGTATAATAATGTGGTTTATGTTATCATTCAATAGAATATACAGGGACACCTGGATAGTTGTTATCACTCATTTTGTTTAGTTTGCATTTTTAAATTGTCTAATTTAATAGAATCCATTAAATCAAGATTAAAAATACTTGTCCTCTTTGTAAATAAACATTTATTTAGATTGAATATAAATGGAATAGAGTATTTATTATATTTAATTAGTATATTATAAAAGCCATAAAATATCGAATTAAAAATTTAAAGAAACTAAGTAAATCATCAATATTATTACTAGAATTTTTGTGAAAGATAAAAATCAATCTCAAGAAGAGGGACATTCTAATATTTTACTTGAATTCTTAATTCAATTATTTTTAGCTGATAGTATTTATAAACTACATGCCCTTGTTAATAATTGAAAATGCATAGATCTTTTAAAATTTTCTATATTATATAATAAATTTTATATTAATACAACATCATATAGGATAATCATCATCTGCTTCAGGATCAATAACTTTAGCACTCTCACCCTTTATTATGTGACTTATAACACTTTAATTATTGGCAATCTTTTCTTCATATTGCTTCTTGAATTCAGGATAATGGTACAACAGAATTTCCTCATAAATCATATCTAAAATGATATAATTGATTACCTTTGAGTTATTCATTAGTAAACTCATACATTTCAAATTCAAACTCCATATTAGATACTGGAGATCTAGTAGGCTATTAAGTTTAGATTAAATAGAATACTTCATCATTTGGATTATGCAATTCCTTTAAATATGGATGTTTTAAGGCCTCAGCAGCTGTGATTCTTTTCTTATAATCAATTTCTAAGAATTTTTCAAGAAGATCATATCCTTCTGGTGGTAATCCTTTAACAACTTTATCCCAAGGTACTCTTTCTAATGATCCTAATTCTGAAACTAATTCAATAAGTTTAGATGAAACAAAAGTATCTTAAATTTGCATTATCTTTGTTTTAGAAGGGGTTCCAAGAGTTTCAAAAATCATTTTAATTTGTTGTTTAGCTTAAAATAAGTTATTATCAATTACAATTTTATCCTCTCCATAATGTTTTACCTCTTACTATTTCTGCAAATATACATCCAACACTCCATATATCTACTGCTTAAGTATAAGTTTTAAGTCCTAACAATAATTCTGGAGCTCTGTAATATCTTGTTTCAACATAATCTGTCATGATATTTGGATTTTGTTATTGTGTTTTTGTTGTCTATAATAATGCTCTTGACAATCCAAAATCACAGACTTTGAGCATGCAATCTTATTTATTTAATAACAGATTTGTTGGTTTCTAAATTAAATTATATTATATTACAAGATCTCGATGCAAAATATTGGCTGAATGCATATATTTTAAGGCCCTTAGAATTTAATACAAAAACAATTTAAAGTGATCTTAATTCAATTTTGCATGTTCTTTATCAATTACCCGTTTTAAGTCAGTATCTAATAATTCTGTTACACAATAACTATTAATACATTTAAGTGTAGTATATACATATCATAAAAGTGTTTTCTTGATTTAGGTAACTGTAGAGTGATTAAATTAACTATCTAAAGTCTTTTTATTTAATATATACATTTTCATGTCTTAAATTTCTTAAGATCTTTAACTCTCTTAATGTTCTTTTAGCATAAAATCTATGTTCAAATGTTCTTTCAATTTTTTTTATTGCCACCATTTTTTATTCTGTATTTGTTGCTTTTGTATCTTCACAACCAATCACAACACCATATGCACCACTTCCAACTGAAATTATGAGTAAAATATTACGCTATTAAGTTGGCTTGTATCTCTTTTCTATAATAAATTCAGATTCATCCACTTTAAATACATTAGCAGAGTATGCCTTTTAAGCATATTAATCATAATTATAGCTAGTGTCCATTTATAAATTAATTTATATATATAATCTTAAATAAAAACTCTAACCAAAAACAGTATATGAAATCATTTTACTTGATTTTTTTACATTCATTTTAACAGATATTTTTAAAATTTTTCAATTGACAACATTTCTTACAATTTTCAATTTTATTCTATGATTTAAGTATAAATAATTGTGCAATCTCTGAAATATATGGAATTTTAAAAAGAATGAGTTTTTTAACTTCTTATCAAATATAATATGATTAATAAAAAAATTTATTTCTTATAAATGTTAAATAATCTAATAATTATATCAATATTAAAACATTGATATTTTAATTGAAATTTAGTGATTTTTAGAAATAGCAGTTACTCAAAGCTATTAAATTGAATTTTATGTTTATAAAAATTAAATTGAATATAAATACTAAAAATAAGCTTGAATAATTAAATTAATAATAAAAAGTATTAAGTTAGATATTAAAATTAATTATATTTCAAGCGAATCAAATTTATTCACTTAGATTTCACAAATTATAATGAATGAATCCACAATTTAAAATAATAATTAATTGATTTTTAAATTAATTAAAATTTTAATAAACCATCAATTATATCTTTAATTACAATTTTATTTATAATATTTAATATCCTAAAGACTATAGATATTGATAATAATATTTTAGTTATGATTACACTACTTTTATTAGATAAAATAATTTAGCAGTCATAGTTAACTTAATACTTTCTCTATTTATTAAACTATAGGAGGATATTGTGAATATAGAAAGTTGGGAAAACAAATTTTCAATGTTTTAATGGCAAGTTTAAGTTTGTTTTTAAGATTTGAATTTCATAAATGAATTATTTATATAAACAGAGTTAATTTAAAAAATTTCTAATAAAAGTAATATACTAATTGTATTTAGTATTTAGAGGACCTACAGACAAATCAATTCGACTAATAAAATATAAGAATATTATTCAAAAATAGTATCCATTATCAATTAATTAAGAAAAATAATTCAAATGAAAAACTGAAATTGAATGAAAAATACAAATTTATTATCATCTAATTTTATATATATTAAGAAAATTAAATAGAATAGAAGGATGATTGAATTACAATTATCAATTAATATATATTAAAATAAATAAGTCCTTATAATAAGTTGTTCATAATTTAAGAGAAAATATCTAGATATATTCTAAAATTTTATATTTATTCTTATTAAACATAAATCTATAAAACATAATTAATTGAATCAAGATAAGTTATGTGATAATTTAAAGATTTAGAATCAAATTTAAATAATATTATTAAGATTATTATTTAAAATTGATTCATTTTAGTCTATTAAATTAAATTACATAAACTATCTCTCTAAAACAAAAGATTGTGTTCAAGATGTAAAATTAGAATAAGTTGAGGAATGTTCTAATGATGTCAATAAATTATTTTAATTAAATAAATTCACAATGCCTATTACGAGTAAATTGTACATAATATATATAGATGATATCTATCAGGAGTTACTTGACTTTGAAGAAAGATACCACAAAGGATCAGAAAAATATGATGTTATATAAAAATTGATTGATTTGTATGCTTTGTTAATCGAACATTATGACAGCATTTAAGTAAGAAATTAGTGAGTGTAGGATCCAGTTGGATATTATTTTAATGAGAAATTATAATCTTTGTTTGCTTGTCAAAGAGCCCTGAAGAGCATTCGTAAAACTAATCAAGACTTGCCCCCATCTATGCCTAGTCATACATAAAGTTTAATTATATAAGAGACTAACAATATTTAGAACAGTTAAGAAAGTGCAAAAGCTAAGGTACTAAAATAATCCAATTATAAGTAAACTATTGGTGTTGAACACAAAAAGAGAGAACGTTAAACAAAGGCAAAAATTGCAATGGAAATATAAGATAAGATTGAATGCAGCTAAAATGATTTGTAGCATTTAATAAGTGGATATTAAAAAGCATCTGATTAGACATAAAAAGTGATTGAAGAAGATCTTAAACGATAAGATGAATTGTTTATGTAGAGAAGACTTAAAAGAGAAAGTATAATTCCATATTGATAAAAGAAACTAATTTAATGAGAAAATCGAGTAGAATGTGTTCAACTAAATGTAGTACTGAAAGATTAGATTTATTTGAAAGTTGTATTGAATTTTCAAGTGGAGGAGTGGATTAGATTTAAGAAATTAATAATGCTCGATTGATGTTGCTACTTAAAGAATAATCTGGCAAAATTAGTTCAGAAAAGACAAATCCTATTGCACCAGAATAAGTGGAAGAAGTATAGCCATTTGAAGAGATACAAATAGAAGAAATGGATGAAACTGAAAATATTATACCACCTAGAAGATAGATAAGAGAATCATCTTCAGAAGATGTTACAGATTCTCCACCTCAACCAAGAAGAAAAGTTTAATAATTTGGTATGATTGATAATAATGGTGATATGTTATTAATAGAAGATGAATAGAATCAAATAAGTGATTTAAATATTTAATTAAATTGAACTAGATGGCTTGAATTAATATATTTGCATTATAATAATTATCAATAATATTTATATAATAATAATAATGATATTGAAGATTATTTATAGCCATAATATATTAATCTTATGGTAAATCAATCATTATTATCATATATAAATTACTTTAGAAGTTAATAATAATAATATTAAAATCATTCAAATAATTTAGTATAGAAACATTCTGATTAGAAAATACAATTAATTTTTATACATTTTAAATTTTGCATAGAATTAATTACTTCTATCTTGATAACTCTTTTTAATATACTTTATATATTTACAGATAAAATTGTATTCTTTAGTTTATTTTGATATCTTCTAGAGTGACTTAGAAATTTGATTAAATCGTTAACCGTCTAATCTAATTACATTATAATCTTTTTTATTATTAATTAATTAAACTCAATTTTGTATGTCAACAGAGGAACCTGAAGCGTAGGGGTGTGAATTATTGGGAGGATTTGGAATATTAGTATAATCAATTTTGGGATTCCTTTGCTTTTTAGTCCTTGTCTGTAATAAATTCATTTTTATATTTTTAGTCAAGAGGCACATTGAAAAACCTAAAAGAGTTTGGAAAATATTTTTAATGGTAATTTCAGAATACATAACATAGGATACTGCTAAATAGTTTGTTAGTGCTGTTGTGCAGCATTTCTTAAATATTGGATTGGCTTTATTGTTGAGTTCTGCAGATAGTGGAGATTAATGTTAATGGTATATAATATTGTTAAGGTAGGTATTTTATTACTTATATGTTGGATTGTACTATAGGTATGTTAATTAATTGTTTATTGATCACTCTTTTTGAAAAACTATTTCAAAAGTTAGGTTAGACGGTATACATCTTAGTAATTTTTATAGCAATTTTAAACAGGCAATTATTACACTATATCCTATCCATAAATAACAACTTACTCTATAAGTTCTAATGATTTAACTCAAGCCTAAAAAGCTAAACCTAAAGTTGAAGTTGCATATGGAGTGTATGTATTTTAATTAACATTGTGGATTTTAATTGTTGTTGTAGTAAGTTATCACTCATTAAAACAAGAGCAAAGTTATCCTTTATTTTTTCTAATTAATCTTGGGAGAATATTTATTGACAGCAGTATCATGGATGTTCTAACCTATAAATTAATATCCAGAACTCGAGCTTGTAATTGTACTAGTCATCATACCTTTAATATTTAATGCTCTTTGCGTATCAAAACAGGTTATTATAGTTTTGGGTGCAAGATTCATTTCTCAAGAAAAGTAAATTTAAGAAGAAGGAAAAAAATGCAGTTTTGGATGCTCTCTATGAAAAAACTGACTAGCCTGTTGAAGTGGAAATCATAGATGGAGATGAGAGTTGCAGACCTTCAATAACAGGAATTGAATTATAGCCCTAGTAGACAAATAATGATTTAGTAATTACAGAGACTAAATATGATGTTGAAGTAAACGAATAATAAACTGATTCATCAAATGAGGTTTGATGATGAGAGTAACTTTTTCTATATTTTTTTAAATACGCTGTTATAGATTCAAAAGTTTTAGTTTCTTTAATATTATTAGATATCTCGAATATTAGTACTAATTAATATTTGAAATATATTTTCAAATTATATCTTTATTTTTGACTTCATTTAATCTCAAATAAAATTAATTAAATATATCAAATGATACTATTGCTCATTCTCAAATAATAATTAACTCATTACATTATTTCAACAACAAATTTTATTTTTTAATTTTTATTTTTTAATAAAACTAATAAATTTTTAGTAAATACTAGTTTTATAAAATAATTTTTTTTATTCTTTAAAATAATGTAACAAAATTTCAATGAAATTAAAAGAATTTTCATAATTCCACAAATATTATTAATCAAATAAAAACTATATATGTATAAAGGTAAATTTTATATTAAATTTAGATATATAAAAATATTACTTAACTAATTAAAAATAAAAAAACCTTGAAATTTTATGAAGTTTATTAAAAGCTATTTAAATAAAAAAATATATCAACTTTTGTTTTTGACATCATTCCAAGCTTAATTAAGTTCATAAAATACTCTTTCAGCAATATATCTTTAAACAGGAGGACTTTAATTATGTTTATCAGGATGAACAATCAATAATGCTTAACGATACTTTAACTAATAAATTAGATATATTAAATACCTTCATTTTACCATCAGTCATTAAATCACCTATTGAACATTACCAATCTGTTCCTTCCCATAAAACATCATTCAATGTAGAAAGAAGCAATCTTAAATTATTTCTTACATTATTTTTATAAGCCCAATTTAATATTTTTGGTTCTACTTCATCTTTTGCTTGTTATCTCAAAACATTATAATCTTCTTCCTCCTACCAAATCTTTTATAGACCCTCAGCTGCTTATTCTACTCTCAAATCAACAATTTATTTATCTGTAAGCCCTTCATATTATTATTATTATTATTATTATTATTATTATTATTATTATTATTATTATTATTATTATTATTATTATTATTATTATTATTATATTGATTGTTTTGGAACATCAAATTAAAATAGATCCTCTCTTTGAGATTACTCCTTTTAAACAATAGGTTATTTATCTATATTTGTCTAGAATTCAAATAAATCTTCACCCTATTTTGCTTATGGTTACTGTGATTGAGGATTAAATCCTAAAAACTGTAAGGAATCTTTATTATTTTACTATTGTTTTGGTTAATTTAAATTTAAATTAGTATTATTTATATCTAAATCTGTATGGCTGATTGGTTATGATTAAGTATGATGAGGATTTGGTTTGTAATCAAATTTTTCAAATGCTTCTAAAAGATCGCCACCTTGACTAGTCCCATTTGATAAATTACTAAATTACTTATTGCTATATCTCTCACCACCTTATTGTTAAATTTATTTTTAATTTTATTACTATTGTAATTTAGGTGATGAATTAGATTGTTATTTTTAAGTTTAATACGACTATTAAATAGGATTTTGTTAGATCTTTAAATCTCCAACTTTTTAATCTTAAAACAAACTTTCAACCATTTTTTTAGCTATTCTACTATATGAAAGATGTTAAAGAGTTAATATTTTAACGAAAACAGTATCATTAACAACTGGTACTTTAGCATTAGGATTAGAAATATCAAACCAAGCATATCTATTAGTTAAATTAATTGATTACGTTTTTGGTTCAATATCTTAAACAAATATCTTAAATCTAATATGATGTGTTGTAATCTTAAAAGGAAATTGCTGTAATATATTTTTTACTATCAGCTACAATAAAGTTAGATAATTATTGTACTTCCTCTCCTTAAAAAAAGAACATAAATTGTGTCTTTGGTTCATTTTGATAATAATATACAATAGGAATCTATTTCATTAATTTATATATTTATAATAAAATTATTATTCATAAATTTTCTATCTACTTTTATACTTATTTTAGATACATAACAAGTATTTATTCATTTAGATAAAATCTTTTATTATTTTTAAGAATTAAATATTTTGAAAGATCTTTTCAATATTTAAAGAAGAACAATCTTCTTATTCAATTAGTAAAATAGTATAAAAATAATAAAATTTAACATCTATTTTAATGTTATATGAATTAAATTGAATAAATCAACCACTGGTGTATTTGGTGACTGCTTTTGTTCCTTCTGAGATGGCATGTCTAGCCAATTCTCCTGGAAGAAGCAATTTCACTGCTGTTTAGATTTCCCTTGAACTAAGTGTTCTTCTCTTATTGAATCTAACCAATTTACTGGCTTCAAGAGCAATTCTATCAAAGATATCATTGATAAATGAATTCATAATGTTCATAGCTTTTCTTGAAACACCAATTTCTGGGTGAACTTATCTTAAAACCTTGTAAATATAAAGAGCGAATGTCTCTTATCTTCTTCTTGACTTTTTTTTATCATCTGATCCTTTCTTTGTCTTGACTGTTTTGACTGTCTTTTTAGCTGCATCAGCCTTTGGTGATTTTGATGGTGCCATTTTAATTAATTTGAAAATAATATTTATAAGCCAATACTTAATGTACTTTTCTTGCAATTTGATTGGTTAATTAGGAATATTTGAAATATAGACACTAAAATAATAAACAAGTATCTAATTCAGTACTATATCTATTAATTAACTAAAAGAATGAATTTGTGTAAGAGTACAATAATAAAATCAAAAAAATATTAGTTGATGATGATGTAAAGATTAATTAGATAATCAAATAATAGAATATCAAAGTATTTATTATATAATCACTTTCAATCTTAATATAAGTTTATAGAAACTAAATTTATTATTCAAATCAATATAACAAAGTGAATATACTTTAATTTTATCAATTATTTTAAGTCTTTTTTTTACAAATTATATAAAAAATAAACTCAAAAAATTAGTTCAACATATTATTGTTACTATGAATTTCTATCCATGTTAATAGGAAAACAAGAAATTTATACCAAGAATATAGAATTATGAATCTAAATAATTACTAATATAAAATGGCAATATTATTTATTCATAATGCTCTTGAAGATTCCAAAGCTTTCTTAATTAATTTATTCATTGCAAAAACATCTAGACCTCCAAATTAAGCAATATATTTCCCTTTCTCAAATAAATATACATATGGTAATGTAGTTGGAGCAAATTATTTGACTATTTGATGACATCCTTCTTTTTCATGATCCACAACAAAGATATTGATTGCACCTGTTTATTAGTTTAGTCTTTTTCTTTATTAATCCAATTCTTTTTTCATTTATGTTACTAAGTTTAGACTTGGTTAACACCTAAAAATTATGTTAATATAAAACCATTCTGCTGTAAATATTAAGATGGCCACTCTTTCTTCTATAAGAATAGATGATTTGAATTCATCTATATTTTGAAGTGGAATAATTTTTGAGTCCATTTAATAAATTAATTATTTACATACAATTTCATAATACACTTTTTTTACCAGCTGTGTTAATAAAGGTTCTTAATTACCATTCTACTATGGCTTCCTTTTATCCTATTGTACCTAAGGCTATTTTATATGGTTTTAATTCAAATCTTGGACCTTATTCATTTAAATCAACTTGATTAAATGATTTCTAATAAGTGTGATGTCTAAATGAAATCACTCCATTTTCATTATGAAATGTAAGGACTCTTTTACTATCTATTTTTGGGACTGGAAATAGATGTTTCAATATGGTAATTACTCTTTCTCCTAATTTAGTTGAGAAATTGTCAAAAATCAAATGAGGATATTGTTCAGACAAAGGATCTATGATAAGAATGTTAAATAACCTGCTCGTACATCTAAATCATGACGTAAGACAGCATTTTTAACTCCAAAATAAATAGTTGGACCTAAGGGCATATGGGATATGATTAATCCATCAGGTTCTCCTCTATGTTCATGAACAATTATAAGATCTGAATAATTTTTTTGTTAACAATGAGTTACGAGATCCTTAACCACTAGAGCACCTCTATTGACTCTTGTACAATTAGGGAATATTAATCCCATCTCTTTCATTAAAGTAACCAATCTCTAAGATGGAGATCTACTTGTAGTCAATGCAATCTGAGGTTCTCTATAAAAACTCATAGCATATTCATCATCTAAATGAGTTCTTGGCACTAACAAATAATTTTGTTTATCAACCTATAGTATTATCATCTTATGCATTAATTTCTTTTCTTAGATTTTCTTCATCTCTATAAAGGTCAGTTGGAACATTTTTCCTTTCAATCTCAGCATTCAATAATCTCATTTTGTTATCATACTTCTGTTTTGCTCTTTTTTCATCCTCTATCCTCATGAGATACTCCTTTCTAAGTCTTACGTTCTTTCTGAGCATTAATTAAAATTATGAATAATGATAATTAGAATGCTTAAGTGATTCTAAAAGCAAATCTCGCAAAGACCAGAATTACTAAGATTCTATAAAAAAAACCAGATTTTCAACTAAAGCTTAAGCTAAATGCTCTAGAATCAATTATTTCAAATTTACCTACAGAAGAGGAATCTCCTCCATAATAATCAATATAAACTTTATAATCTTCTTCAATTCTTAAAAAAGCTAAAGAAGTTATAACCTCTAGAAGACAAAAGATTAATTTTGATTCTGTATACTTAGATCTTAAGAAGGAGACCATTGAAGAAGATTCATATAATTAATTGATTTTCAACAATCTTGATAAATATGTTATTCATTAAGATCCTATCTTGTAAAAAGCGCCTACAATGATTAAACATAAATCTGAACAATAAATTATTCATGGATATTAGATGTTACCAAAAATAGCTGTTAGTAATCAGATAAAACGAAAATAGGAAACAATGAAACTACTTAATTAAAAACTTAAAATAGATTAATAGTTGGTAAAATAATAAACCTTAAGGGAGCTTTAATAAATGAAATTGCCTGATATATTAAAAAGTGTTACTATTAATGATTTAAAATAAAAAGAAAATATCTAAAAGTTTATATTATAAGGAGAATTTTATTAATAATGGAAAAAATCATTTAAATTAAATAAACCTCCTTCATTAATTCAATCTTTTATGAGCATGAATTAATATTTATTAGATTCAGCTGATTACATAGATAAAGTGAATAAGATTGAAAGAAAATAAATAACAGATCAAATGGAATCTTTAAATGATTTTGTTGGAAATCAATTTGAAAAATTAAAGATCAAAACTGATCCATGTTGATTAAAAATAATTTATATATTTCCTCTACTTTTTATTTGTTAAAAAATTTATATATTAAATAAATTGCATTTAAATTAATTATTAAAAATATAAATAGAATTCAAATCACAATTCAGAATCATAATTTTCTTAAGAATATCTTTAATCATTATTTTCTTATTAATGGAGTTTACTAATAATAGGATTGCAGATTCTATTTAATAAGATAAAATCTTACTTTTATAATTCTTTTAGCTCTTATTCATAATCTTCTTTTTCAACGTTTTAATTATTCTAAATCCAATCCTAACTCTCTTTTAAAGCTTATCTTATAGTCTCTTTGTCATCATCTGATAATTAATTTGCTAGTTTTTCAGGGTCCTATATTTATTAGATGAAATTTACTTCAATTTAATTTATCATTGAATAAATATAATTCTCTAAAGAATTTCTTGAATCTATAATTTCTTTTGCAATCTTATCTTAAATTTCAAATGTTTTTGCATCCTATAACATTTTTTCAATTTCTTCTTTTGATAATCTATCAGAATTGTTTTGTATGAATATAGTTTTAGCTTTTCCTGAACTCTTCTCTGAAGCTGAAACTTGGAGTATACCATCTGCATTAATTTCAAAAGTGACTTCTATTTAAGGAGTTCCTCTTGGGCCAGGTGGAATACCAGTTAAATCAAAGGTCCCTAATTTATGATTATCTTTAACAAGTGGCCTTTCTCCTTCATATACTGAAATCGTTACTGTTTATTATTGATCTTAATAAGTTGTAAATATTTAAGATTTCTTATTAGGAATAGACGAACCTTTTGGAATAATCTTAGTTAAAACTCCTCCAACAGTCTCAATACCTAAACTTAAAGGTGTAGCATCAATCACAATAAAATCATCAATTTCATTAGAGTCTCCACAAATAATTGCTCCTTAGATTGCAGCACCATAACAGACAGCTTCATCTGGATTAATACCAGTATTAAGTTCTTTTCCATTAAAGAATTCTTTGACAATTTATCTAATTTTTGGAATTCTAGTAGAACCACCAACTAAAATGATTTCATCTATATTTGTCTTTTTTAATTTTGAATCTTCCATAGCTAATTACATTGGTCCAATAGTTTTTTTGAATAAATCATTATTTAATTCTTCAAATTTAGATCTTGTAAGATTTTCTTAAAAATCTAATCCATCAACTAAATCTTCAATTTCAAGTTTAGTTTCATGTGTAGCTGAGAGTGATCTTTTAGCTTTCTCAACCTCTCTCTTCAACTTTTGAATAACTCTTTTATCTCCACTAAGATCTTTATTATGTTTCTTCTTGATTACTTTCAAGAAATGATCTATCACTCTTTAATCAAAGTCTTCTCCTCCCAAGTGAGTATCTCCAGAAGTAGCTATAACTTCAAAAACACCATTATCGATAGTGAGAATTGATACATCAAAAGTTCCACCTCCTAAATCAAATACAAGAATGTTTTTCTCACCATCTTTCTTATCAAGACCATAAGCTATGGCTGCTGCAGTAGGTTCATTTAAAACTCTTAATACATTTAAACCTGCTATTGTTCCAGCATCTTTAGTAGCTTATCTTTGGGCATCATTGAAGTATGCTGGAACAGTTACTATAGCATTCTCTACTTTCTTTCCTAAGTAGGTTTCTGATATTTCTTTCATTTTCATTAAGACCATAGCTGAAATTTCTTCTGGAGCAAAAATCTTAGATGAGACTCCTTTAATATTGGAAACCATGATGTAAGGTTTACTGTCTTTTTCAACTATATCATAGGGCATAAACTTTTTATCATATTGAACAGTTGAATCTGTGTATCTAAATTTAAATTGAAAATTTACTTTCTTCCTATCAATCTTTTAACATCATAAAGTGTTCTTGAAGGATTAAATGTAGCCTAGTTCTTGGCAGCTTCTCCTATTAATCGTTCTTCATCAGTAAATGCTACAACTGAAGGAGTTATTCTATTTCCTTAGTCATTTGGAATGATTTCAACAGTTCCTTTTTTAAATATACCCACACAAGAATATGTGGTTCCTAAATCAATGCCTATAACTGGGCAACTTATCTTATTAGTTGTTTACTATGCCCATATTCCTATTATAAGTAAAAGTGTAAAAATAGTTTTCATTATTTATGACGTGTGAATAAAATTAATTTCTAATTTCCAAAGATTTAAATTTTTATATTATATTTTCGGTATTATGTGTTCGCATCTGGTTTAATTAGAAATTCTAATAATTTATAAATGGATTTTAAATTGATTTTAGCAAACTGTATAATTTTATATAAGATTATGATTTAAAAGTATTATGAAATTTAAAAATATCAATTTAATATATCCTAATCAATATATATATATATATTAATTCTTTTTGAACATCTAAATCTATTAAGATTATATATAAATGTTTAAAGTTATAATTAACTCATATTTGATGTTATTGTTATTTATATAGAATAAACATATGAAATCCAAATATTATTAAAAATTCAAGAATATGTTATTAAATAAGAATCTTATTTTATTAATTAACATTAATTATAGCATGTTGTTCATTCTTATACTTATTTCCTAAGCATTTGCAGACTAATTAATATTATCATAAATTTTATGGAGACATGGTGCTCGTACTCCTCTTCATTGTAATTGGAAATGCGAAGAATTTGAGTAATAGGGTATGTTGAATGGATATTTGACACCTACTGGAATGAGACAACATTATGTTTTAGGATAATGGTTAAGAAGGAGATATGTTGAAGACTTAAAACTTTTAAGTTAGAATTACAATGAGGCAGAAATCTATATAGAGAGCACAGATGTAAATAGAACAATAATGAGTGCATTGAGCAATCTTTAAGGCATGTATCCATTAGGAACAGGTCCAAAAGTAAATCCAAATTTGAATCATTCCTATTTGCTTCCTCCTAATGATATAATTTTTGAAGATTTAGGAAATGAAGCTATTCCAGGATTATTGCAAGTAGTTCCAGTTCATGTGAGAGAGAAGAAAGCAGATATATATCTTAGAGGATATGATGCTGTGGCATGTCCAAGAAATGAAGAAATAATAAACAATAATGTCAATTCTAAATTATACCATGAAATCAATCTTAAATCTTAACCATTAATATTAGATTTTGCAGAATAACTTTAAATTGATGCATCTCTATTAGTATATATAAATTATCATTTAGAATATAACAAATTTATATGAATATCAGGACACATTCGATTCTTGCGAATTTAATGGGTATTAAATGCCAAAGATAAAAGAAAGTACTAAATAATAGATGAAATTACTTCAGTACTTATATTTTGCACTTGAACATAATATAGATTTTGAGTAATTGATTGATTTATATATTATTTTAGTTAAGCTCGTCTTTTGGCAACACCCTTTTTTACAAAAGTATTAGAGAATATGGATAGTGTTATAAACAATAATACAAAACACAAGTTTAGAATCTTTTCTGCTCATGATACTACTGTTGAATTGATTTTAAATGCACTTAATTTAACAACAGTTGAATGTCTAAAATAAGTTTATTTTAAATAGGAAGTATAGAATAAAAATTGTATCTATACATTTCCAGGTTATGCTAGCAATATTATATTTGAATTATATAGAAAGTAGGGATTAGATGATTAGTATTATATTTAAGTATTGTATAATGGTACTTTGATGCCAATTTGTAATAATAAATACAAATGTGATTATTAAGAATTCAATGACATAATTAAATTCTAAAATGTATAAAATTATGAAGAAGAATGCTGGATAGTAATATTTTTATTTGAATTCTTTAGACACCCAAAAGTGAAAAATAAATAGCCACTTGGTTGGTTGTGACAATTAGTGTAGCTTTAACTTTGCTATTTGTATTTTCTATATGCATTATTTATTTATCAATAAGATAGAAAAGATTGGATTAATATGTAAAAGGAGTTTAATAATTTGAAGCTTGAAATTATTAATAAAAATAATTTATACTAATTAATTAAATTTCTTAGTGAAAAATTCACAAATGAGGTGCAAAATATTCATAATAATAAAATTATGAGTTCTAATTTGAAATCAGAAACATAGATCAAAATACTATCACCTCAAAACAATTTTATCTCTAGTCTATAGAATTTTAAATAGGATTCTCATAGAAATACTGAATATGATAATGTTCAAATTGCTTATAGTATGAGTAATTCTATAAATAATCTTACTCCAATGAAATTGTAATAAAGAACCAGAAAGATATCTGGTAATTAACTTTCAGTTTCTAGAACAGACAATATAATAATCTAATGTTAAATTTGTGAAAATTTAGATGATATGAATTTAATATAACCTTGTTAATGCGAAGTATTATAAATATAATAATTAGAACTTTTATCATTAAACTTGTTTTAAGAAGAAACTATTAACAACAACTGGACCATTTACAAATGAAATTATTACATGTTCTATTTGTGGAATTGCTTATAAAATTAGAAAAATAGAAACTTATAATTAATAGAATTTTGTATCCTTTTTAATCTTACTTTTATTAGAGTAAAATAACATAAATTGTCTCATTCTTAATTAGACTAATAATCACATTGGGAGGATTGAGTGGTCTCTCATATTGGTTTTATAAAGAAGTTTAGTAACCAGAAGAGATGTCTTCATTAGTAGCAATTATTGTTTTGTTAATACTATTGTTACTTCTTTATTTAGTTTATTTGATATTAGAATTAGTAAGAGGAAATGTAGGAGTGGATTGGGAAATTCTTGATTAGAAATAAGATATTGATCATATCATTAATCCTGATGAATTAAATTTGATTGAGAATAGATAAAAAGAATCAAGCAATAGTCAACGTCCTTAAGTAATATAACATATTGCAAATGTTTAATATCCTTAAATTTCTACATCTGAAATAATCTAATGATTAATAATTAATATTATGAATAATAATATTGAATAAAAGTCTTAATTTTAAATTCTCTAGTTTTTTGAATATTAAAATTCAATCCAAAATGAGATCGAAAAATCTAAAAAGATCTTGTAAACTATATTAGATTAGAAAAGGAAATTGTATAATGATAAAATACTATAACAAAAAGAAGTTTAAATGTAATAATAATAATAAATTGATTAATATAAGAAAGTGATTGAGGAATAATAATAAAAATTAAAATCAAAAGGCAATAAAGAGAATATTTAAACATAACTTGGTTAATTGATTTCATATCAATAAGAGTAAAACTAAAAGATTGAAACACTTATTGAATAATCTTGCAATGAAAATTCAAATTATATAAAGTTATAAGAGAAACTCATTAGTATTAATTGTTTATTGAATCATTAGAATGTTAAAATGATATTAATTATTTAAAGGAGGAAAAAGAAATGAAAGAGAAATTAATAATTTAATTATAGTAAATAACAGGTGTGTATTTAGAATATGATTATCATTAAAAGATTCTTGATATTCAATTGGAATATAATTAGAATATTCATATTCAAATAAAATTAGAAGATAAATTAAGAAGTAAATAATTTTAAATACTATAAATTTAGTTCATACAATAACTCCTAAAAATGAACATTTTTACTAATTAATTAAGGAATTCAATTAAGATAATTAATTGGATAAACTTATATAAAAGATTTAATCATTTAATTGATAGCTTATATGTGTGTATATATATATATAAGTAATCAAAATAAATCTAAGCCTTCTCCTTTTTTCCTCCAATAATTCCCTTTATATTTATAAATCATTTCATTTGTGCATGGTTCTTTCATCAATTCAAAAAATTATGGTATATGTTTTTAACCAGCAATTTACATATCCTTTCTACGCTATCTTTATTTCTATTCTAATCTATGCTTTTCATCAGCTGCTAAATCAATAAATCCATATTCCAAAGCTAATTAATCAGGTCTTAATCTACAATCAGTGCAAGGGAGTGATTTTATTAAATCTATATTAAGTAGATTCAAATTTAAAGCAAATTTAGTAAAAAAGAAATAATTTTTATAATCTTGAGGTAAATCATATCTCTTCCATACTACAACTTCTTATCCTGTTTAAATATTACGAGCTATCAATGAATCATTCCATTATCCCTTTAATTTATACTTTTCTTTACCATTACTATCATAAACAGTACCAACCATTTTTTAATTTTCAGATAGAGTTAATACTCCTTTATCATTAGTAGTATAATTATGAAATATCATATCACCAATATGTTCAATATACATATTTCCAAAAATTATATTATGAACTTTTGTAATACATTTATTATAGGAAATATGATCATTAAATTATTTTAGTTTAATGTATACATTTCCTAAAGGTTATACTTCCATGGATCTAGGAGACATCTTAGTCTTTAGATCTGTTTACATCTACATTTCAAAATCATTAGATTCTGCATAACCAGCAGATATAGGAGGATGATGAGAAACTTATTCACTTACAAATCTAAATTATTTATTTTAGATTTCAAATGTCTCACCTAAAATAGGATTAAATGGTTTCTTATGTCTATCTATATTACTTGAATAAGCACTAACTCCAAATCCCATAACATAACACATTCTAAGCCATTAATCTTATTCTTAATTAGCTTCAATTAATGTTTGATAGTATTCTAAATTCTCAGCTAATCTTTATAACATAGATAAAGGTTCATTAAAATATACAGGAACAGCAAACTTTGAAAGATCTTTACCTATCAAATCTTTAATTAAACTCCAAACTTTTAGTTTTTCATTTGGGTCTTAAGTTCTAGGCAAAGCAATTCTAAGTTATTAATTTGTGAATTAAATTTTTTAGAAAACAGGATTGTTAATAAGGTTTTTCTAATTTCAATAAAAATATTTACATATTTAATTGGTTATTCATATTTAAGAGTTTCTAAGATGTCTTGTATTGATAAAGAACTACTACAACTAATTGCTGAATTTTATCTATTGAATTCATCAATCCTACTAGAAATATTTCTAAATGATTAAAATAAAGTTTAATTATCACCTAAATAAATTATTTAAAAATACCTGATTATTATGTTTCTAATTTCTCTTTTTCCACTTCCAATAATTAAGTACATATAGTCACATTCATTTTAATCTTTTATCCTAATTCACTTAATTTTTCAGCCAATTCTACATACTTCGGTTATCTTTCTAATTTAGGTACAAGTATATTTAAAGTTTCATCAACTAATTGTAGAAAAGAATAAATATACATGCTGCTTATGTAACCCAAATATCTGTTAGAATATCATTCACTTCTTTTATATAATCTCTAGGAATAGTTTCCTAACAACTTTCTTATGCTCTTTTTAAAGCATTCACCCATTCTATTTTTTCAGGTACACTTGAAGCTCTCAATTATATTTCATTTGTCCCTGTGTTTATTATGATTCTTAAGGGATCTTCTGGAACTAATATGATCGCAGCCACCTTTAAATGGATTTATCCTTTAGATTATCCTCCTTGATGTTCACAATAATGAAGAATATGATCATTCAAAATAAAGTATCTATCTTGCCATCGTGTAACTATGTTAATCCACTTCTTAAGATATCCTTCCATAATAATATTATTATAAATCAAATCTTTTTGTTGTATATTTATATATTGAACTTAGAATAAATAAATACAATATATATTTAGAACCATTACTAAATATATTGATAAAACAATATTATTATTTTTATTCTTTCTTCATAAAGAGACTGATTATTCATTTATTTAAATAATAAAGTGAATTAGACAAATATAAAAGAATTTAATTCATCAATTAGTTTTATGAAGAATAGATCATCTTAAAATCATAAACAAAATCATAAATAAATTAACCAGGAATTTAAGATAAATATTAATGTATCCTAGTGAAATATCATTTTGAAGTTTAATATTACCATAAATTCAGATTATTTGATATATTAGATTGAATTTTTTCATTTATATGTAATATAATTATAAAATCCAAAAGAACTTATTATTGAATTGATATGAGTTTTGCATTGTGAGTGACTTTATATTATAATGAGAATTCAAAATATTCTTAATCACTTTAATAATCAGACCATTTGAAAAATATTGTTTCAAGAATAATTGATCAAATTACTCTGCAATTCTCATAAAATGGTACAAGAATAAATATGGAGTTTATTAACAACTATGTTTTATTCATTTTAAACACTTAAGAGAGTAAAAAAAAATAAATAGAGATTTTAAATAAATTCAAATTAGATTAGGATTAGTGACTTTAAATGTCCTTATATATTGTATTATCAATAATAAATGATAAAGTTAGAGTTTTAAATTAAAAAGATGTATATTAGGATGTAAATATTTAGGAGGATTAAAAAGATTAAGTATTGATTAATTTTAGTAATTCAGAGATAGAAGAATACCTTACAAAATTAAACAAAATACTCTTTTTATAAAAGGACTAATCCTTAGAAATAATTTTGACAACTAATTCTCAATAATTTTATTAATATTTATGGAAACAATGTGTTTAATATTGTAATAATTTTTCATATATTTAAAAAATATATCTAATCTCTGAGATTTATATGAAATATAATGTTAACAATAATATTATTAAATAAATATATCATTTTAAAAAATGAATCCGATTTTGAAATCAAATGGCAGATCCTTTTTTAAAAAGGCTAACTTCTATTATTTCAGAATATCAAATCTCTCATATGAAGAAACATTTAGACTATTATTCATACTTTTAGCATGTAATTCTATTCGATAAATACTAGCTATTCTTTCCTTTTTTGTTTTTGATGCCTTACATTTTAGATAGTACTTAATAATGACTGATGTTCCTGTTATATCATATTCAAGTTTCAGCATTATGTTATTTGGATTAATCATTGTTCATGTAAGAAGAATATTAAATTTTTAGTACTCTAAGTGGTCTGTAAATTACTTATGCCATGATTTTGTTTATAGGACTATTTCCACATAATATTAAGGAGAATTTAGAGATGTAAGAGTTAAAAAAATTTTAAAATGGTTATTTGATGGAGTATACTATTCAACAACATCTGTATATATTGTATTTGAATATTTTTAGATACTTTGTTGGTATTTCTTCCATGAAGAACCTTGGTATCCAAATGGACTAGGAGGTACCAATTACACAGGTATTTGGTAAGATTTCCCTAATATGATCAATGTAACTCTCCATATAATTATTTTAGAATAAATGGGTGATTCCCTTTTATATGATTTAAACAGCAAATCATTTATATGCATTGATACACTTAGCAATAAAGAGAAAGGAAGTAGAAACCAAGTATTGGGAATATATGTTGCATCACACCCTTGCAACCTGTTTGCTCATCTTCTCAGCCCTTTATAATCAATGTTAGAATATAATATTTATCATTTAGTTCGATTTGGAATTGTTGTATTGGGAATTCATGATATTGCTGATATCATTTTATCTCTCTCAAGAGCTTAGCATGACTTAAAATCAATCAAATCTCTTATGTATATCCAATACGTGTTACTATTGTTTACATGGATTTATACCAGGGTGATTATATTCCCTTAAATTATTTTGGAAGCAATATTAAACTACTAAGATTAGTAAATAAATTTTCATATTATTTTCTAGTCCTGAAGCAGCTTGGGGAAATAAATATCTCATTATATAGATGTGTATTTTACTTGGTATGCACATATATTGGACCTACTTTATGATGCAGATTGGAATTAATGTGTTTAAAAAGGGCAAAAAATATGAAGAAATAAATACATATGACAATAAAGAAATTCTGAAATAAGGAAGAAATTGATAACCATTGAAAATCAAACTATATAAAAAATTAATTGTTTAATTATATATATAATTATAAAATAATAAAAATATTAAAGTAATTAAAAATTCTTTAATAACATCCCAAATTATTTCTATTAATGCAATATTTATATAGAGGTTGAGAATTTAAATTGAAAAGAGTTATTAAATCAATATGTACTAAATTGAGTTTCTTCTGCAATTATTGTATCTTGATTAAATTTAACTTTTTTCTTTATATTATTATTATCATATTCTGTACAAGAATTGCTTTTGGGAGTTTAATCAAAAAATGTTTAAAATTTTCTAGATATATCAATATAAATTTATACTCTTAATATATGGTTTGTAAATCATCTACCATTTATTGATTCATATTAAAACAATTTTCTATATGCAACCAATAGCGAAACTTTTTTTCAAATGTTTGCATACCTAATTTACAAATTTAACTAACGAAATCCTCCCCTACTATTTGTTATGAAAAATATTATTCAAAAAATATAGTACCATATATGCTAATATAAATTAAAAATTTATACTTATGTTAATTTTTATAAGACCAAGTTGATAAATCAGGTTAAATCTCTTTTTTTTATTAAAAATATTCCAAATATATTTCTCTGGTCTTACATTAATAAGGAAAAGTCTTATGTTTATTATCAAATGATAACAACAAAGACGGATAGCATAAAACACCTCTCCTTTCTTATGCCATTGAAGATTATGGATTTTAGAGTGTTTACTTATTCCAATTGATTAATTAACCCCAAATAAATTATGGTGTATATTATTTAGACAATGCCAATTTAGATTTATTTTTTGGTTAAGGAATATATTCAAATTCATTCTCTTCAAAAGGTTTTCCATCAAATCCTTAATATTAAGTTGATGAAAAGTATGTATGGGTAAATGACATAAAATATAATATAGTAGCAAATGCTTTATTATTAAATGAACAAGAATCTATATTTAAAATGATCTCACTCAATAATAGTAATAACATTCTTGTCAATTCTAGTGCATAGATATTATTTTAATCAATAATCTATTTCATCTATTTTATAATTTCTAATCCTATTATGCATTAGTGTAATTATGAATGTCTCTTTAAGAATATCACTATTTCATTTATTATTGAAGACTCCAATTGAATCTTCTGAGTATTGAATTCATAATTCTTCCAGAATTAATTGAAAATGTTTGTTACTAGAAAAATAGGCGGTTACATCGTCTTTAAATGTAATAATGCAAACTTGACTTTATCAACACACGATTATATATTTATATAATTCTATTGATTATTGAGTTTCTACCAATTTGCTAACCAATCAGGAATATCATTCTAGGTGTTTTGGCTGTTCATTAGGGTTGATTATAATAAAATCACATTTCTTTATATATAATTTGGGTAAATGCTATTTTGATGGGTATTTTCTATTTCCAACTGTTATCCTCTCTTACAATGTATTGATCCACATAAACATTAATCTATAGATGTTTGTGGAAAAGGTAAAGTCAATTCTTCTAAGTAATTTATTTTCTTAGATGTGATAACTGCCAATAAATTCTGCTAATTAAAAATCACTGTGACTAATTTGCAGTTTGGATCACATGAATATGAAATGTGCTAAGCCATATTCCCATATCTAGTTGGGTCAATAAACTTAAAATATTTTTTAAACATTACCAATAGATCATCGTTCACAAAAAATTCTGCATAAGGACTTTAAGAGCATGTCTTTCTATTTCCGTCTTACATTCTCTTGTGAAATATAGTTTATTTTTCAAACCATCTTTAAGGTGTATAAACTTCCCCAAAGTAAAAACATATAAATTCATTTCCTGCAAAACCTTCATTCTGACAACAAACAATTCCCTTTCCCTTCAAAGTGAAAGGATTCAACTGATCAATCGTTTTCAATTGCAAATCGTACAGATTAGACAAGGCCTGAGATAATACATAATTTAGAATTTCTTACATGTTACAAATTTCCCTTGGTTAAGTTAATTGTGGATAGAAGCTGAGGCAAAATAACTTCATAATCTGGTAACAGCTAAAATAGAGCTCTTGCTACTTCTTGATTGATCCCATATGTATCAATCAAAATAACATCGACATTCTATTTTTTGACCTAGTATGATAAATCTTGTTAAATTGTGTTCACATATTAGTATGGATGATAGTTCCAGAAATCTATAGATAGTATATTATCTTGCCCTCTAGATTTATATAATAAGATTGTACTATATTATTGATGTAAGCAGTTAATGAATCTCTTCTACTCTATCCTATTAGTTCAGAATTAATTCTTGTACTTTGGTTATTGTTTATATATACCTTCTATATAATGGCTCATCCTCTTTAATTACTTTTTCTCTGTAGAACATAAGCTTTTTAATGTCTACAGACAGTGTGTACTTATTTAATTAAACTTGTTTTAGTATTATGCATCGAAACTGGAAATGATTAAATTGACTTAATTCAATACGATATAATCGTCTAAAAATATTCAAAATAGAAAGTTTTTGCTTACGTGTCTAAGTCTCTAGTTGATGCTCTAATTCCACAATTAAATCTTCATAATTCCATAAGGGTTTAAGTACCATTTTTTAACATATAATTTTTATTGTTTAAACAACCTACTGATATTATAGAATGTCTGTACATCATCTTCAATCTCTTGATTTTCATAAGTAAGGCAATCTACGATGTACTCTTGCATAAAAAGCATATATTCTTATCGTTCCTAAAATAACTCAATAAAATACTTGGTTTTACCGAGTTTTCAATGATTATAATTGAGCTAAAGGATGCTCTGAAGCATCAATACCTTATAAATCCATTTCTTTGTTCTCTTATAATGTTTACTGAGAATAAATCATTTCAAAATTAATAAATGTGTAATTAAAATAAAGCATAAATTTTAGAATCCTATTAATTAATTAAATTGGAGAAGTTCCGTGCCTAATTAATTACGCAATCTTTCCAAATTCAAGACTTCTAATAAAATGAAACAACTGTCATTTTTCGTCACTTTATCGATTATGAGAATAAAAAAGAGTATTAAAAATTTTTAATCAGAATTAAATTAAAAATGCATTTTCTAGAAATTAATTAAAATTAATATAAATAATATTAAAGTTGTGGTAATTTAAAAAAAATATAATTTTCAATATAAACTATAGATTTCAATTCATGGAGCATTTTGAATTTATTTAATGATAATTTTTTTATAATCTTATTTTTATCCATTCATTTTTGAATTGATTAAAATGTAATTCATAATATTTTTTAAATACTTCTATAAATTCAATCCATAATAAATGCATAAATACAATATAATTTCCAATTCATCCAATATTTATTACTATTAATTTATATTTAAATGATTTTTTTATGATTTTATGAATAATTTAATCCTAATAACTCACAATCATATCAAATACTTATTCATTAAATTTTATTAGTCATTCTTAATATAATATTATATATGATTCATTTTTTAATTTATCTACAAACTATATATAAAATAACTTTACTTTCATTTTTAATATTATAATTGATTTATATTATGGTATGTTTAGTCCTTATTTATTAAATAAGGAATAGTAAATGTTTGATGTTTAATAATAAAAACAACTCATGTCAAAACGGCCTCCAGTCCCTAAGTTTGAAGAAAGAAGTCAAACTCCACCAAAACAACATTCTATATTTGATTAAATTACCCATTTGATAGTCAAATATAATCTTAATGCACAAATTGAAAAATAATGTGTAGCAATAATGAGAATAATTCAATTACCTAATACTAATTTTCATGCTTAAGTTATAGTTTGCTGTGCAATGCAATAATTGAATCTGGAATAATAAATGTTCTCTCAAAAAATATAATAATTTGCTTAACACATCAATTATCGACTAAACAACATGTTAACCTAATTGTGTGAAAAGCTTCATATGGACAAAAAATAAAAAATGCTATGTCAATTAATGCACAAAATCATATATAAATATGTAAACAAACTTTCTAAACCTATGCAACATGCATTAGCAATCAAAATTGCATGTGACATAATCTATTATAACGAAGGAGGAATCAATTTAAACTAATTGGCTCAAACTTCTCAAGTAAAAATTGATCAATTACAATCTTGTCTCAACAGAATTAAGCCATTTGCACATACTATAATTTAGAATTATATCAACTACTGTAAACAATAGAAAGAATCATAATGAATTTTTACTTATATATTATCTCTTATTATACTACATTTTTATATGTTTTAAATTCAAGCTTATAATATATTTAAGATAATCTGAGTGAAGAATAATAACTAAATTTGTATATTGATAAAATATGGATTTCTATTAATTTTAGAAAAAATCTTTATAAAAATTCATTTGAAGCTGATTGAACATGATTATCTTAATGCAATTACTAATTATATACAAAATACATAATAATAATCATTTGATAGATACTAAACAATAGCTTTAAAATTATAATCAATCATAACATTAATAAAATTTATTTTAGAACATCTTTATATTATTTATTTAGAACAAATATCAACATAATTTATTTAAAAATTTTTGGCGCAATTTACTACTTCTGATTCTATATTATATACTATTTTGTTGTTGTTACAATTTAATATCATTATAAGTATAATATGGTGAAAATAAATTGTAAAATAAGATCATAAATTTTGATACGAAATATCAATAATATTTTTTCTATATTAATTTAAGAATTTTATTATTATTAGATTCTTAAATTGATAATCATATATTACTAAAAACAAGAAGGTGCTATATTTAGACACAAAATATTTTACATCAATACTGTAAACTTTTTTTTTACCTGAAATATTAGGATAGATTATGTAAGTGATATTAGAAATAATGTTGAGATTTATGTTCATATATTTAAAAATAAAGATTTCAGCAAAAAGAAATACCTAATTATTTTTAAAGAATTTTATTTATAATTTATGAAATTAAACCTATTTATTAGTGATCAATAATATAAATATAATAATATGAACAATAACAAGTCAATGAAAATTAAAAAATCAACTGAAAAAGGGTTTGATCTTGAAACCTGTTTCTTAAAAAGTGAGACAGATCAATAAAATGGATACATTAAGGATGCTGATTATTATTTTGATTCTTATTCTCATTTTAGTATTCATGAAGAAATGCTTAAAGATAGGATTAGAACAAAAGCTTATTAAAATGCTATTCTTAAGAACAAAGTAAATATATTTTCTAACAAGTCTAGCAACTATTCTAAAATAAAATAGTTTTGGATGTAGGAGCTGGAACAGGAATTCTTTCAATTTTTGCAGCTTAAGCTGGTGCTAAACATGTTTATGCAGTTGAGAATGCTAATATAGCAATTCATGCAAAAAAGATTATAAGTGATAATGGACTTAGTGAACAAATTACTATTGTAAAAGGAAAGATAGAAGAGATTGAATTACCTGTTGAAAAAGTGGATATTATCATTTCTGAATGGATGGGGTATATATTAAATAAACTAAAATTTAGTTACTTTCTTCTTTATGAATCTATGTTAGACTGTGTTCTTTATGCAAGAGATAAATATTTAGCACCTGATGGTCATATGTTTCCAGATAAAGCCATTATGTATTTGTCAACAATTGAAGATGATGAATACAGAAAGTCAAAAATAGATTTTTGGTAATAATCATGTATTAATTATTTAATAGGGATAGTGTATATGGTGTAAATATGAGTTGTATTAAATAATGGGCATTAAGAGAACCATTAGTTGATTGTTGTAATCCTGAATAAATTAATTCAAATTCATGTCCTATTTTTGAAATTGATATAAAAACTGTTAAAGTTGATGATTTAGATTTTACTCATCAATATATGTTGAAAATTTAAAAAGATGATTATGTTCATGCTTTAGTTGGATGGTAAATAATTTGTAAATATATTAAAAGGTTTGATGTTTAATTTTCAAGTTGTCATGTACCTGTAAGATTAACTACTTCTCCTTATGCAGAAAGTACTCATTGGAAATAAACTGTATTTTATATTGAAGAGCCAATGGCTGTTAAAAATAATGATATTATCTCAGGTAGTATTGCTGTGAAAAAGAATGCTTAAAATCCAAGACATTTAGATATTAAGATTTCTTATCATTTAGAAAATGTATATGGAAAAAATGAGCAAATTATGTTGTATAGACTTAGTTGATTATTATCGTATTTTTATACATTATTGTTAATTTCATAAATTTATATTAATTATTAATAAGGAAAATACTGAAAGTCAGAAATGAATTTACAAAATAATAATAATTTATATATATAAAATATATAAACTAAATTTATTATATAAATTGGAATATCTCATTCTAATTAATATAATTTTATCATAAGAAATAAATAAATTTGATAACTTAATTAAGGGTTATAATATATAAAATTTAGAATTATATTAATCATCTTGATTATGATTATATAAAAGAATAAAGAGGTTAGTAAATTTATATAAATTACATCATAATTTAAAAATAATGATATTTATTTAAATTTATTTAACAAATAATTATTAGTATTTATCGATTTAAAGATAATAAATTAATAATTTATAATCTTTCATTATTTTGATATCAAATTATGATGACTCTACAATAAAGTAATTATTTATTCTTAGTAATTAGCTATGAAGAAATTTGATTTTTTTGGATAATTCATAACTCTTAATATGAATAAATAAAATTGTTATACTACTTCATTGGGAGGAGTATCATCAATTATGATAATTATATTTCTTGGAATATTTTTTTATAGTAACATAGTTGATTTTGTTACTAAGTAAAAAGCTAATGCAAAATTGTAAACTCTATTCAATATTGATCCTGATATGGTTATTTTGAATAATACTAATTTTATGACAGCATTTTCTATCGATTAAGTGAATTTTACAAGTCGACCCTTATTTAATATTACTTTAGAATAGAAGTAGTATTGATTAATATTTTAGGTATTATCATAGATAAGTAAATGGAACAATGACAAAAACAAGTAGTTTTTTAGATCTTTAACCTTGCACAGTAGATCAATTTACTACTAAAGTTAAGAATGGTAATTCAAAAGCAATTGAACAATAATTTTAGTCTTTGGGAATGAATAATTGGCTTTGTCCAAAGTAAATATTATAGTAATTTCTTAGAGATGATTTTAATTTCAAATTATAAGGTGCTTATGGAAGTGAGAATTTCTATTTTGTTAAAATAACAGTTAAAGAGTGTGTAAATAATACAAAGACTTAGATTGATAAATGGAATCCAATCTGTGCAAGTTAAGAATAATTTGAAATAGCTTTTGCTAAAGATGGCTTTTTCAAACTCTAAGTTTATTAAATAAATACAGTTGTTAATCCAGGATCTCCATCTAATTATCTTGATATTTATTTAGATAGCGATTTATATTTTAACTTTGTACCTAATACTTTTAATAATATGGCAAATATTTATTACAGATAATATGATATTAATAATGACAATAGCATTATACCATTTAAAGAAATAGAATAACAAAAGATCATTTTAAGAACATCAGAAGACTTTCGAGATTTATCAATAACATCTACATTAAATAATTAAAATTATGCAGAAATCTATCTACGAAGAAGTTAAATGAATGCATAAATTGATAGAAGTTATTAATAAATAGGTGAATTATTATCATATCTTGGTGGATTTATGTAAATAACCAAACTTATTTTTGGATTATTCATTGCTTTTTATAATAGAACTTCATGTATAAAATATATATAAATCTTAGTATTGATTGAATTATCAAATAAATTATATGATTTTAAAGAAGGATAAGATAGATTATCAAGTAATCCATCATTTAGTTCAAGAACACCAAGATTCATTTAAGATGCATTTAAATTGAAAGGATTGTTGGATACTAAGAATTCAGAGGGTGATGGTATGATTTCTTATAAATTGATAGTAAAGAAAAGATCAAATACAATGATTAGATAGAATGTACTAAAGAAATTAATTAAAAAGTCAGAACCAATTAGATTTAGTGTTAAATTATTTTTAAATTAAATTACATGTGGAATATGTTTTAATGAAAGAAACTCAAAATTTTTAAAAAAAGCAATGTAAATTTATAATTTTAATAAAAATAGTGATAAAATGAATGAAGATTTGGATTTACATAGTATTCTATTTAAGATAAATGAGATTAATAAATTAAAGGAAGTTTTATTTAATTAGTCTTAAATAATTCTATTCAATTTTACACCAAAACCTATAATTGCATTGAATGATGATTAGATGATACCAACAAGAATGAATTTTGAAGATGATGAATAACCAATATAACCTAATCAAATCAAATAATAACTTAGTTATTATGATAAAAATTTACATAACATAGTTTATTAAGTATATATATAATATTATTAATTATTAGGCTTATACAGATATGTTAGAAGAGATTGAAGATGAAGATGTTCCAAAATGTTAATTGGAAGTGGATTTAAAACTAATTCATTTATTGGGACATGACATTACTAAAATCTTTAGTGAATAATTATAATTAGATTAACCATAAAATTATATGGATTATAAAATAGAAAGTGGGAAAAATAGTTTAAGAACATTACATAAAATAGTTACTAAATAAGCAATTGATAAAGTAGTAGAAACAGAAAGAAATGATGGTAAACTTATTTAATGATTTTATATTATGGTTAAATTTATAATATCATTTGATATTTAATAATTTTAATAAGAATAAAATACAATATAAAAAATAATCATGTCAGAAAAACAAATACCTTTAAAACATTTTGGATAGCATAAAGTTAAATCATAAGGTTAAAAGACAAGGTTTTTAAATGATAAAGATGATCCTTCACATTCACCTTAAATGAAAAATGCATAAAGATTTTTGTAATCTTAGATTTTATTAAATAAGTCGAAAATCAAAAAACTACTTAAGAGATGATTATGCTTCCATAACCATCAATTTAATATGTTCAATCTGTATATATAATATTTTATAAATTCATTTAGTATGTACCTAAACCTACTCCCATTCCAGAAGCCATTAAATAAATAGACAAGAAGATAAAAGCATACAAAAAATTAATGGAAAGAGAAAGATAAGAGAAATTATTAAGAGCACAATAAGAATAAGATAGAATAATTGAAAATGAAGATGAATAGAAAAGAGCCTTAGATTTTATGACTAATCCATAGATTTAAGTTATTGAAGTTTAAGATGAAGAAAAATAATAGGAGGAAATTGAGACTATAATATAAGATCCAAAATAATAAGAATCAATAATTAATAGAGATGATAATAAATTATCATATTCAGAGGCAGTAAAAAAGAGAGAGAAGATTTATGAACATACTTTATAAAGAATGTATGATAAAAGATAGAATCCACTATTATTTGCAGTAATTTATATATGTATTAAATAAAGAAATTAAAAAAGAAAACTCCTATTATAAATATTACTACTAAGAATAAAATTACAAAAGGTAATGGTAAGATGGATCCTGAAGAACATCGATTAAGAGTGTATAACAGGGAAAATGTACCTGTCATGCCAGAATTAATTATTCCATCATTTACTATTAAAAAAGACTAAATGGCTAAAAATATCTTAGCGTATTTGGTATTTAAGTTCACTAATTTAAATTATTATAGAAAGAATATACTCCTCTATTTAGAGGGTATAAAAATTATGAATATCCAAAATGTGTTTAAAATATACTTCTGGAAGAAATAGAATCACTTCCAAATCAATGAATTTTTTATTTTTCTTTTAATAATAATTTTGTTATTTTTATAAAATTATTTTTTTTTCTTTGAAATGTAAAACACCACTAAACCTAAATCATGGGAATTAAGAAAAAAAGATGCTTCAAAATATAAGTTTTATGATAAACAAGATGAAATATTAATAAAAAAGCCAGGTGAAGTAGATGGTGAAGCCTTTGTATTAAGAAATTGTGTCCGTTGTAAGATCTTCATAATGGACTTCTCTGCATAAATTCTAATTGATGATTGTTTTGATTGTCAAATGTTTTTTGCTGCTGTTGAATCTAGTATGTTTATAAGAGGATGTAAAAGATGTAAAGTAATTACTGCTTGCGGATAATTTCGATCTAAGAAATGTGAAGATATTCAAACTTTACTCTTTACTCAAAGTTAACCAATTATAGAATTATCAGTTAGAATGGGATTTGGTTGTTTTCGTGGTTATTATCCTTAATTAAGATAACATTTATAAAAAGCAAAACTCAATATCTGGAATAATACATGGAGTGATTTACATGACTTTGATCCTGAAAAATAAGCTGAAATCACACATTTTTATATGGTTTTGGAAGATACTCGTTATGAAGATATGCTTAAGCCTTTAAATGAAGTACTTTCATTACCTAATTTTACATGGGCAGATGAATGTAAAACTGAAAACTAAGTTATTCCTTTTACAAGTGAATAAAGAAAGAAACCATTTCATGAAGAAGTACTCTTGATTTTTTATCCTGAAGAATCTTCACGTCTGGATGTAGATGTCTTGAGTTCTAGTTTCCAACCATTACTTAAAGAAATACCATAAGAGATCTTTGCTGAAGAAGACAATTAAGTTAATGATTAAATGGAAATAGAAGCACCTGAATAATTGTATTGTTATTTAGTAAAATCTAAATACTAATCTTTATTTGCTGATAATTGGCTTCTATTTAAAACAGCAGTGGAAACTCATTTACCAGCAGATAAAGCAGCTAAACTTTTAGATTAAGTTGTAGTTAATGGAAGATTGTAATCAATATTTTCATTGCATATTCGTACTGACAATCAAGACATTAAATTATTATCTTATTTATATTCACTTTTGGATATGAAATTAAAATGTAATCTAAATAAAGTATGTGTAATTGTTCAAAATTCAAAGGCCATTGAAGAATTAACAATATTATTATTTGCAAACTAAAAAGATGAAAGAGCAGGATAACAATGAATAAACTAAATAATTGTAATTGATAGTATAATTAATAATGATTACTTAAAGTTTAATATTTAATAAAAAATGAGTAAAATTCCTATCTAATAGATGAAATAAATTCTTGATTAAAGAATAGATTACAATTCTCCAATTACTTAAATGGCAATGAAGAAATTGGGATTAACTCAAAGATCTTTACAAAGAATGAATTATTTTGAATACATGACATCTAATACTAGTTAACAAGATTATTTTTTATATTTACATGCTATTGCTATGAATATTCAAAAACTTCAATAAGAAATTGCTAAAATGAATTAAAAAGATAAATCAATTGATTGCACTGATACACGAAATGTTGAAGAAATAATTGCTCTACTAGATGAAAGAATGAAACCAAAAAATCATACTAGTAGTTAACCTTGTGTAAATTCTAATAGAGATAGAACAATTGAAAGAGATGATTCATTAGTATGTGAAATGAATGCTAAATAAAAAATTATCAGATTAAAAAATTAAAGAATTAAATCTATAACAGAAAGAAATACTCTATAATATAATTAATAAGCTAGTCAGAATTCTATTTGTAATTCTTCAAGTCCTGAAAAATACATTTTAAAAAGTATATTATAAATTAATAAAATTAGAATTGGTTATTTCAAATAATCAAAGTATAGCAGACTTATTTTAGAAATAATAGGCTTCAATTGATGTAAGTACAATGGAATAATTAAATGAATCAATGAGAAGACATTTACCTGATAAAAATATTGTAATAATGACAGGGATTTAACATAGATTAAACGATCATCAAAATCAAAAGAAATCTATGGATGAGTTTATGTAAAAAATAACAAAGCTTAGAAGTCTTTCTCAATAATCCATAGATTCTGGTAGGAAATTACCAAACTTAAATATCAAATTAACAAAATAAAAGTAACCAAACGTGATTTCAACAAAATTAGAAATGATGTTAAGAAAAGAAAAAATGATTAGAGAAGAACCATTAAAAATACATTAAGTAAAGCTAGGTAATATCATGGGTGTGATATCTAAAATACGAAATCAATAAACAAGATTGAAAATGTTTCATTAACTAAATAATGATCTTTCATGATATTTTTATTTAATTACTATCATAGATCAAATAGTTTAATTAAAGTTACATATATATGCATACTATTATATATAATCACATGCTAAAACTAGTCTTTTTACGCTATGGTTATTCAATTTCTGGTTTATAATCTGGATTCTTCTTTAAAATAACAAAGTTTTCTAAGATCATATCCTAAACTGGCATATATTCATCATTGCCTAATTCAGCTCTATTAAATAATATAATTAATATTACCTTTCTCCAGCACTAACAATAACTGGACTTGTATGAGTTTGAAATCCTGTGATTCTTTTTGGTTTACCAGCTTATCCAACTGCATCTACAGCTTATCCTACACGTACCTAAACAGGTAGATTTTCAAGATTATCATTTAACTATATATTAAAAGATAATAATTACTGTAAAGAACATTCTTGGATACATAGCAATACCTAAATAATAGAGTAATGTATGATTCTTTTCCAAAATCAAATTCTTAATGTCCAAACATCCATGTAAAAATGAAATAATTCCAGCAATAGCTACCTTATTCATTAAAAACTTATCAGAATAATAAGGTTAAAGTGTTAATAATCCTTTACCCATATGTAATAATCCTTATGCAATTCTCACAAGGAATAAACCATTTGAATCATTCATAAAATAAACTGCCAACCCTCTTAATTTATCAGCAATTCTAGAATTATTTGTACCTGCTCCCAATAAACCCATTGATAATGTTGCTCTATAAGATAATTCTTAATCTCTGTCATGAGCCAACTTAAGAAGTAAGTCCATAGGTTAAATCTTAGGATTCGATATCTAAATAATTAATATAAAATAATATATACATTAATTAAAGCTACAGCCAAAGGAATTGCTCTCTTGACTTCCACATCTGAAAATTACAATATATGTTAGAAAATTCTATAGACCATTTCACTACCAACATCTTCACTGCTAGCTATCAAGGCAATTCCTAAAATAGCAACTTATTGAAGTTCATAATTCTTGTCTATCTTAGTTCCCTTATCATCAGATGTCACTTCTGAACAATAACCAAGTAGCTCCTAAACTTTCAATACATTTCCTGTTGATGCATATGCAAGTGAAGTTAAGGTGACTTTTGCATATTTACTAATCTTGTGAGGAATTACAGCAAGTGATTCAATTACTATATCTGCTGCTTCAGCCTAACCAAGATAGAGTAATCCTAATCCAACTGCAAAATATCTTGAAATAGATATATCCAATTATGATTCTGGTCTTTCCAACATTGTTTAAACAATAGCATTTGCAACTTCATCATTACATTTACCAACAAATATTAAACCTAAAGATAATGCAGCCATAGCAGCTAATTCAACACTATCTGCTGTCTCAATAAGTACACTTATCAATTACTCTTATAATTCTACTCTTGCTGAACCTGCATAAGCTAATCCTAATCCCATAACAGCTCCAATCTTAACCTAAACCTCAGGACTTTCCAATTATGCTAATAACATGGCTTAAGCTGGTTAATTTTCATCTACAATTCCACTGCAAAATAACCCAAATCCTATACAACCACCTGCTCTTGTATAGATATCACTTAAATCAAAATATTCAGATATTTATTCTGTTCCATTATCAATATTCCATAAATTGATTAATCCAATACTAGCAACAGCTGCAATTGCTGTATGATCATTTTTCACATTATTCAACCATGGATTTTCTTTATTGCCCATCAATGCATCTTTCTTGAATCCTGCATTAACAAATCCATTGCAATATGTAGCTGCTAAATTTTTTTGGATTTATTCAAAATTAGCTTCTTTATTCTTCTCTTCTAAATGAGCCTTATAAACTTGATCTGGAGTCTTAGGCTCTAATACTTCTAAATCTTTAGCCAAATTTATGTAGAATTAACTCAAGTATTGATTTGCTGCAATCTTTTTCAAAGTCTCATCATTAATAATTCCTTCATCAATTTAATATCTATGTCTAGCTAATTAAAATGCTAATTGTTTTTTTATTATTGCATCTTAACATGCTTCAAATACTTATTCAACCTTTCCTGGTTTATCTATACGTAATGCAATTCTCAAAGCATTAGTGTATTCGTTAACTTTCATACAAATATTAAAGGCAGTAACAAGTAATGTATCTAATTCATCTTAATCTGAACAAAATGGAACTATACTCAATAAGTAAACCAAAATTCTTTATATATTTACTTGATTCACAAACTAATTATAAGATATAAAGTCAATACTTATTCTATTTTTTACAATTAATCAACTTCACTTAATAAATCAATTGCATCATGTTCTGAATTATGATCCATAAAATATGGAATTATTTCATCTACTAAAAACAGTAAATCATCAGCTCCCTCTTACTTTTGTAACCTTATTTAGAATTCTGATCCAATATTAGCAGCTAAATGACTTAGATACTCATGTCCCCAAAATTTGAATTCCTCTAATGTTCCCTCCTATAGATAAAGCAATGAATCTCTATCACCTCCATAAGTCATTGCCAACACAGATAAAAAATCTGCCAATTATTTCTATATTTTAGATACTACACTTATACTTTAAATCTTGATGTCTCCAATCCATTGTAAAACTCAACCAATTTACCATAAGATTCCTTTAAGAATTTGAATGGCTTTGGTACTGAAGTCATTGAAGTTGTTGCTGAACGTACCTCTGTCTTTAATTTCTCTAAACTTTCTGGATTATTTTAAATGATCTCATCTACATATTATTCCAATCTATTCTTCAACTCAAGATCCTATTCTGACTAAAATTATGTTTTATTTTCATCATTACCAATTGTACTACCTATTTTCCTGGCTTTTTTTAGGCTTATTTATCTAATGACACTTTCTTCTCTTCCATGTTTTGAATTCTAAAAAAAATTTAATTTATTTAGCTAACACCAGTATGTTTGAGATTTTATATAATATATGTATTATGTTCAATAATAGAATGTATTCTTCATCTTTGAACTGATCTCTTCTTCCTCTTTCAAGTGAGTCCTAATATTAATTAATATTTTGGAAGTACTTAAACACTTGCAATTTCTTGTTTAACAAATTATAGATTTTAAGTTTCTTTCGTATAAATGATTCCAAATTTCCCACATATGTATCAACATCATAATCTACAATGCCTACTCCTTAAATAGATTGAATCAATTCACTTTCCTATTACAACAATTTTGCATCTTCCTATTAATATATAAAAAAATATTTATACTTTTATAGCAGCCATATGAATATTTAGTATTTCATCTTATTCTTCTAAAATTGTATTAACTTTCTCATGAAAATCAAAAAATTCATTTCCATTTCCATTAGCATTATTTTATTCATTTTTCATCATAGTTTCTTTCATACATCTAACATCTTCTTTAACTTATCCATTTTTTTTGTTAACTAATTCTTCAGCAGCTACCTCATCATCTGAATCTTCTTGTACTGAATTTATTCTTTTAGATTATTTAGGTGGAACAGGTTGAGATTTTGGTTTTTCTTTATCTGGTCCTTGAGATTAGTTTTTCTTTAAATTAGCAGCATTTTGATTATTCTAATTTCGAGTATCATTAATCTTAGGTAATTATAAAGGAGTATTTTATTTATCTTATTATGATTATTTATTATTATTATTGTTGTTGTTGTTGTTGTAATTATTGTTATTATTATTATTATTGTTATTATTATTATTGTTATTATTATTATTGTTATTATTATTTTCTTAAGATTTATTATCATATGCATATTATTATTGCTGTCTGTAAAGTAATTCTTCATTTGATACTTCACGTTCTTCCAATTATACTTTAGCTTAATTTGATTTATCTTTTAATCGATCAGCATATCTAAGTGTATTCAATGAATGATCGGCAGATGAGCTTCCTGGACTAATACATGCAATCATAATAATTCTAGATTTATTTGATTTAGCTGTGAATGAATCTCTCAAAACTAAAGTTAATTTAGAAGCTCTAAATGGTACATGACCTTAACTTGAATCCATAGCTCTTATACACTCCTTCAATGCTAAAAGACTTTTATTGATTTCAGCTCCTTCCAATCTTCTTTATCGATTGTTCGATTGAGTATCTTAAGCTCTTTCTGATCCTGCTAAATCAACTAAGATGAGTTTTCCCATATCAGCATAGCCTTATCTTATCATAATTTGACAAATAGAGTGAGATCTTGATGATGTATCATTTGCAACAGTTGCATGAGTAGTTCTAACAGAGTTTGCAAGTTCCATAAGTTAAAATAATTCATTTTCAGATTCACAAGGTCTTTCAATCAGTCCTTAAACTTGAATATTATTATTTTTATCTTCTAATATTTATAAAGGTGCCTTATTATTCAATAAATCATAACATTTTCCTCCATATATTTCAAAGAATGATACAACAATCTTGAATTATGGAGAAGCATTAATTAATTTGTATAGATCTATTACTAATAATTCTTGAATGCTCTTCATTGTATATGTTTTACCAGAACCTGTTTATCCATAAGCAAAACATGTGACTACTCCTTAATTGACTAACAATTCCATTAATGGTGCCAAACTTACATCATATATATCCTTTCCTTATTCTACTTCACTGAATGTATTATCAAATTAAAAATCATGATTTTCAACATATTTTGTAATACCATCTACTTTTAATTTTGATTCATGTACTCGAATCATAGGATTAGCACAACTGATTGCATCTATTTCTCCAGCTACTTCTTCTTTCTTAAAAATTGGTCTCTTTCTAACACATACACATAATTTTATATTTTATGTTGTTTAATGCTCTTATATCAATCCACCTTTAAGTCTGCTTTTATCAATCATCAATTCAAATTCTATATCAACATTTTTACCTAATATTTAATTATACTCTTCTCTTTCAGCCTTTTCCCTCTTCATTTCTTACATATTTTTTCTACGTTCCTCCCTTTATTATTCCATTTTTTTTATATTATCAACCACAGAGCCTTTTGGAGGTTGTGGTGGTTAGAAAACAGGTGCTTGTTATTGTTATGGTGCTGATTCGCATTTGCTTACTTCAATCCCTTTGAAAAGATTAACAATATCAATACCATTTGCCTTCTTTAATCTTTCTAATTTTTCTTGCTTTGTTCCATATACACCTAACCCTTTAGCTTTAAGTTATGCGACAACTTCTTCATCACTTAATTTATTCAAAGCCTATTCTTTTTTATTTAATTATCCTTCACGTTAAGCCTTTAAACGATCTAAGATGCAATATAATCCTACCTCTTTCTTTTTGTGCCTATACTGATAACTATTATTATTTTGGCTACTGCATTGCTTTGAAAATTTGAATTATTTATAATAAATATAAAAACAGTTTATCAATATACTAATATATTTTAAGAAATTATTAAAATAGCCTTTGTTATTCAAATACATACTATGTTTAAAATTCATGTTAATAGACACTAATATAAATATGGAAAAATATATAACAAGTCTAATAAAGTCTACTCTCATTCTATTTTATATAATCAATTTAATATAAATAACCATATTAATATTAAATCAGATTCAATTATAGTTTATATCCCTAAATTATTTTAAAGAATACACCTTTTATTTTCAATAAAGGATTCTATGTTAAGCTAATGACTTAAATCGATTTTTTTAATATTTTTTGACTATTTGGATTTGATAGTGTTTAACTTTAAAAAATTTTAAATTTTGTTAAAAATTAACTATTGATGTAAAATTTTGATAAAAATATATAGATTTTTTTTATTATCAAAATTTATTTGCTTCTTAGGTTCTAATAAATAATTTCATCATATATTTTATTACAATTTTGCAATTAAAGCAATTAAACTTTCGATTTTATTATTTATAATTTCTTATGTTAAATAAGTATACCTTATAATTCAAAGACAACATATTAGAATAAAAATATTAGGAGTTTTAATTGTAGTAAAAGAGGAAGCCATTACTATAAAAAGTGATTTTTACTACTTTTCTTATAATTATAGCTAAATCAATTTCTTCCATATTAAACTTTAGTTTAAAAGAGGTATATTTTACGATTGGTTACTTTGTTGGTAATGTAATCCTCATTATAATTCTAAAATGTTAACCCTAATTGATTAGATGGGCTTTGATGATCATCAACTATATACTTTTATTTATTTATTCTGATCCTGATTAGGGGTAAACTCAATATCATTATTAACTTTCTTCAGCTTTGATTGTTTCAGTTTAATTCATAGTAATGAGGACTGGAGATTTTATTGATGCTTTAGTGTAAGTAGTATCATTTTATTCATTTTATTTAATATGTTTTCTACTATACTAACCAAATTTTTCTGTTTCAGTAGCACTTGCAACATGTTTACTTACGTTTTTACTTATAATCACATTTTATGAGAATGTTTCAGCTGAAAGATCTAAGTTTTAGCTTACAATAATTGATGATAAATGGGATGAAATTCTTTAAAATATGATTGTTGAACCCTGCATTATATTCAATTTTAATTAATTTTAAAGCTCTTTTGTTTTTAAGAAGTCAATTGATTTTATATATACAATAGAGACAACTGATGAATTAAAATAATTTCTAAGAAATTCAAAGGTGAATTTAGATTAGAAAATAAATTTAGAAGATTTTCTATTTAAAAAGGTATAATAAATTAAAAAAGATAATATTTAATTATGGAATCAAAAACTAACTATTTATTATCAAAAGAAAGTTCATGATGTCTTTTACTCTATACTTTAAGAAACATCTCCAATAGTATTAATAAAGGTTTAGTAATTTAAATTCATTAATTAAGAAAAAGATTCTGATTTAGAAAATAAGTATTAATACAAATACAAAATCTTGATCAAAAGTATTTTATTATAATTAAAATTAATTGGTTAATTTTAATTTCCTAATCTAAATACTATATTTAAGATATTAATATATCATTACTTACTTGAGAAAATTAATAGCAAATCAATTAAATTGATAAAAATAGATAAAATGTTTAATTAATTGAAATTAATTTATCCATAGAAACAAATATCTGTTGAAAACTTATAATTAGGAACTCCATTATTTGGGTAAAGAGATTCACTTTGTTTAATTTTGATGGAAGTTTTTGAAACAATGCTATCAAAGTAAATTCATGTAAGAATAATTAATTATGAATGCTCTACGAAATTTTTCATATATGGAATTCTCAATTAAAGAGCAAAAGATAAATTATTATCGAGACTTAATTTTTATTAAAGAAACTTATAAATTATTGAGATTACTGATCTATGTATTATAATCAATTTAATAATTTAGGTGTTAAATTAGTTGTTATATAAGATGTTTAATCTTTAGACTGGATTATATAGAAATGAAATTATATGTCTTTATATATATTATTTTTTAATTCATTGTAAAAATGTTTTAAATTAATATTAATAATAATAAGTTATTTATTTTTTAAATTCAAATGGCAGATTATAATGAAAGTTCAAATCTTTAATTTGAAGACGATTTTTGTAAAATTTTCAATACGGTAAGTAAATAATAACTAAATGATGTAAATTTGAATTAATTAGGGACTTTAAATACGAGGAATGTAAAATATTTACAAATTTCATTAAAATCATTGAATTTGAATTCGAAATAATTTTAAGATAAATCAATTAAATTGAATGTAAAATTACCAATGATAAGAAATAATACTATTGAATATCAAATACATTAGACATATGATATAGGAAAAAATGGAAAATCATTAATGTTTAATGCATAATTTAGATCTAATTTCTAATTGACAGAAAATAGTTTAGGATAAATAAATTAAGCTGTTATCTATTTTCAAGTATTTTCATTAGATGTAGAGATTGGAAAAGCTGAATTTTTACTTTCAACAATGATTCTAGATGGACTTAGATGTTTTACTTATTAAATTCCAATCTAATAATTAGCATAAGTATAAAACAAAAACAATAAGAAGGGAAAGGTTGATAAATTAATAGAAACAGGATAATTAGAATTCGAAATCTAATTGTAAGATATTGATGCTAGAAGTCAATAAATTGAATAATCTCCTAAAAAGGAAATTGATATTGAAGAATAAGTCTAGAAGATTTATGAAAAAGTTACTGAATAAAATTAAAAGGAAAAAGATAAAAAAAGATAATTTAAATAATAATAGGAAGAAGAAATGAATCAATAATTGATTTCTTAACTTTAATCATTCTAATTATATTTAAATATAGGAAAATTGATACATTTAAATTAAGTACTATGCTAAGAGAAAATTGAAGATGAGTAAATCAATTTATATTTAAAATTTAAATCATATGGAACTTAAGAAATTAATTAAACTCCAACAAATTGGAATACATCTAAATGGTTTATTAATTATAATGTTAGATGTCCTATTACAATTACATCATTAAATAAGATGGAGAATTTCCCATGGATTCTTGAATTATGGGCTAAACATACTTAAACAAATTAAGATATTTTAGTTGGAATAGCAAGATTATCATTAACAGCTATAAGTGCTCTTATACTTAATTCAAATCCATTAGTTGTTATTTAAACTCTCAGAAGCAATTTATCACCATAAATACTATTTGATGAAGACATTCCATTTGAAGATTTAAGAACTAAATAAACAATGGCAATAATTAAATTAAAATTAGCTTTCGGAACAAATCCTTAAATTAATAAACTACTTAATTCTGAAATAACTTATGTTGATGAATCTATTGATGAAGAACCAGAAGAAGCTCCTATTGACAATATTAATGAACCTGAAAAATAACCTGAACCTCCATAAATAGAATAGCCATTAGTTTATGAAAAGATTCCATTATAAGAATGTCTAATCACAACTTTAAATAAAATTAGTTAAACTATTCGTATTTTACCTAAAGAATAATTTATCTTAATTGATGAATTTATAGATATTGTTTTATAACTTTGTGGATTAAATTTTAATAAGAGAATGATTACTTCACTTTCTCAATATTTATAATTTGATTAATCAACTTTGGATTGGCATATATTTTTATAAAGTTGGTAAGCATTTACTAATTATAAGAAATAATTAAAATTAAATTATACAAAAATTTATGCCAATTTTTATTAATAGGCTTTGAAAATATTTCCAAGTATTAATGCTTTTGAACGAGACTTACCACATGGAGCATTTGGATTAGTACATAGATAATAACTTAAAGAATATTTATTAAGTTGTAAAGGTGGTAACATACCTTCAGGACCTTCTTTCTCAGCTATTACTATCAATTCTGTATTTGAAACATTGGAAGTTAATAGTGATGATTAAATATAAATCTCAGATTTAGTAGATTATTTAAGATAATTTGAAGTACAAGGAGAAATATCAAAAATCTATGCTCCAATCTTTTAATTAGCTTAGATTATTGAAAAGAATATGCAAATTTGGATACGTAACAATAAATAACAAATGGATGATTATATAAATAATAGGGAATTCTAATAGGAATTAAGAGCTTAAAATATTATGGAAATATTTTAGGAATTAGGATTGAATTGCACATTACTTGATGCAGTAGCTATTATGAATTAGATTGGTGATTATAACAATGTTGAAAATTAGGATGGATAAAAAGTCTGTACAGAAATTGCTTTTTGGAAATATATTGATTGGTTATATTAAAATGAAATTGAAGTGAAAGAACCTTCTAGTCCTATAGCTGTTCCATAACCAAAAGTTAATGGAATAAAAAAACCATAACCTATAGATTTTTAATTTTTAGAAACTCAATTCATTATAGATTTTATTTAATTGACATATATAGATGGAGAAAAATATCAATTGTAAATTTAATTGGAAAATACAGGATTAAGTGTTACTACACCTAAGACATCAATATTAAAATCTACTTTTTATGAGAATGGTCAAATTCCTCTAAATATGAGAGCTATTTGTACTTTAAGTGATAAATTCTCTCATGATTTTAGAAAGACTCTACATGATAGAATGGAATTTTCAGGATTAAGTATTGTGTTATTTAAAGATAATCATGTATTTAGAGGAAGTCTAGCAAGTGAAGAAATACTTACTATAGAAAATGAAAAGGAGACATTTTTTGTTTAATTATTTGATGAAGTTAAAGGAATGGATGCAACTCTAATTGAATTTAAAATGAGCATTAAGTAATAAGTAAAAGATGAAAAACCAAAAGAGGGATTTCAATTATTTAATGCAGAAGGTCAAATTCAATAGGAAGCTCAAATTACTTAAGAAGAGATCTTAAATATTCTTAAACCAGAAATAATGCATACTTTCAGGATCAATATAAAATAAATAAATTGGTATAAGAATTTAAAGTTTAATTCCTTAAAAGTAAAATTATCTTTGGCTACAGATAAGAAGATATTAAAAGAAGCTATTCCATGTTTTACAAGTGATGATTTTAATGATGATTTTGATATTGTTGTAGAATATCAAGTGAAGTGTGATTAAGTATTAGCAACTTAATTATCTAAATGTCACTTATAAATTTAATTACTTTTGAATTGCAATTCATAAAATAAATCACTTATTGGTTATTTACCCATAAAACCATTATTTGAAGAAAGCAAAGTAACAGGAGAAATTCCATTAGATGATAGTGTGACAGGTGCATTTATTTGTACATTGAATTTAGATACAGTTTATACAACTGATTAAATAGTAGAGTAGATTGTTAAAGTGGAAGAGAAACTCAAATTTTAAAAGAAGATTATCATTCGTATTATGGAATTGATTTTACTTGATTACAAAAATGAATTAGGAGAGATCTATTTTATGTTAGTTGATCCTTTAAATATGTCTGAATCTTATGAAGTAAGGCCCAATACTCCTTCAATTTTAAACACTCAAGATTGTATATTCATTTTATCTGATAGTGAATTATAAAGTGATGTAGTAGAATTATAAGTTAGATCAGTAATGTTGGGAGAAGATAAGATAATAGGTAATGTATCAATTTAATTAAAACAATTAAATAATGAGGGTATATTTGGGGAAAGCAATTATTTAAGAGTAGACACAAAAGTTTCATCATTAGAAATTGCTGCTAGAGTAGGTGTTAAAGTAATTTATATTTGTGCTAAAGAAACAAGTAATGATAATTATTTGAATGCTTTTAAATATCCAGCAATAAAGGAATTAGAGAATTAATAGAATATTGAATAATACTTAAGAAATAAATTATAGTTTTCATTTTCTGAAATTAACTTTTTGATGTCTTTAATAAAAAATGATATATTTTCAACTTCTATATTGAAACCTTTAGAATTATAGGCTGAACAATCAATAATTATTGATTTATTGAAGGAATTTACATTTTATGATTCAGATTAATTAAGATATGTTAATCCCAATATTTTAGTAACAATATTTGGTTACTTTAATTTACCAGATCATAGAGATTAATTTATTTAATAAATACACAAGAGAATGCCAAATGATTTTTAATGTCCTTCTAATCAATTTGATTATTTGACATTTTTAGCTCATTTACAAAAGTGTATTCCTAATGTTACTCCTTTATTTAAGATAGATATGTAAGGACCTATTTAACATGAAGTTTAATAAGTAATTAAGAAAAGTCCCATAAAATAAAATGAAGAAACAATTCCAAAATTAAATTATAAATAAATGCATTTTCATTTTGAATGTGGAAGAAATTTAAATGCTTTAACAAAAAGAATTCCAAATTCAATATTAAAATTTCCATAATTAGATCAGGAATCAAAAGTTTTTCATTGTTAAGCAAATCCATAATATGATGCATTAATAAGTGTAGATGTTTAAAAATTAAAAAATTTATAAGTATAAATATTTGATAAAAAATATTCAGTGGATGAAAAAGAGTTTTATAAATATAATTTAATTGGTTAAGCTACTATTTATTTTGATTAAATCAATCAATAATTTCCATAAGTAATTTAATTACAATTAGAAAATTAAGAACATAGTTTTAATTAAACAAATACTATTCCTTATCTTAATATTAAAATTTGGACTGATAATGAAGAAATAGTACCTTAAATAGTTAAAAAATCACCAACTAAACCAGTTGTTTAAACATCTAAAGAAACTGTACGTAGATTAGTATTTGATATAGAAAATAATGAGAATGATTCTGGTAAGGATAATGCAACAATAAAGAATTTAGAGAAAGAATTAGAAGAATATTTGAAATCTCTCAAAAAAAAGAGAGAAGAATAACCAGATACAACTACACAAAAAAATGAGGATTAAAAATCAAAAGAATAGCCTAAATAATAACAATAAGATAGTGATGGAAATAGCAATTAAGGTAAAAAATAATAGCCTAAAAAAATTGAAAAGATGAAACCTTAAGCATATTCTTCTTCAGGTTCTTCTTCTCATTAGAATCCACCTAAAAGTTCTTCTTCAGGAAACAGATTAGAGAAAATAGATGAAAAATTACCAATTAATGGAGCTGAATTAAAAAGGATAGAGAAAATACTTAGATTAAATAATCTACCTATTGATAAATATGATTCACTATAAGATGATTCAGATTATGAATGATTTTTTTAATTGTTTAAAATAATATTTTGATTATTAATCTAAAATAATTTTGTGTTTAATAAATAAAAATAATGTAATAGCGGGAAGAATAATTTACACTATATAAATTACTTAATGTAGAACCAAAAGCAACTCAAAATGAAATAGTATATTAATTAGTTCTATTTAATAGAAAAAATCTTATAGATAATTAGCATTGCAATTACATCCAGATAAAAATCAAGAAGATGCAGATGCTAAAGAAAAGTTTTAAAAAATATCTGAAGCTTATTAGATTCTTTCAAATGAAGAGAAAAGAAAAATGTATGATGAAACTGGAATGATTGAGGGAATGGATGAATTTAAAAATGCTTATGAATTTTATAGAAATCTATATCCAAAAATCAGTAAAGAAGATATTGATAAATATGAAATAAAATATAGATTCAGTAAAGAAGAAGAAAAAGATTTGATTGAATTTTATAATAAGTAAATGAATTAGCAATTATATTATTAGAAATTGTGGGAATGTAAAATGTTTATTAGAGAATATAATATTAAGTAGAAATGAAGACATTCCTCGTTTTTTAGAATTTTATGATAAAATGATATAATAAAAGAAGATAACAGATTATAAAATATATTAGACTAGCAGAAATAAGATCAAAACATTAAAAGAAGATAAAAAAGCATAATAAATTGATATGGATTAATTGACTAAATAGATAAGATAAAGACCAAAGAATACATTTGATTAATTTATTTAATAAATGGAATAGAAATATCACAAACCAAAGAAAGTTAAGACTTAATAAAAATGATTAATATATTTAATTAATGATATTTGCCTTAATATTGGCGCTAGGAATTTTAAATACAATTAGTGGCTCAAAAATCAGCAATAAAAACATCTTATTACCCTTAGCTGACATTGATGTTGAATATGAAATAACTGCAGAAGGTGGATGCTTCGATTGGAGTGCTTCAAATAGTGCTATTGCAGTCACAGGATTAGATTAATAAGGATGCTCGAAGTCAATAGGAAAAGTTAGAGTTGTGACTAAAATGCCAAGTCAAACATTTATATATGTAAAATCGAAGTCATAAGATGCATCTCAATTTATAGTGGAAGTAGTAGTACAAGAAATAAGCAAATTGAGCATAATTACTAAATAAAAATAATTGGATTTGGATACTTAAGAAGAATTACATGTTTAAGCATATGATGATAAGGGAAATACATTTACAACATTGGAAGGACTAAAATTTGAATGGAGAGTCGGTTCATTGGAAATGGTTAAATTTTCTGAATCAGGACTAAAAGTATCAGAGAAAAGAGCAAGATTAGAATTTAATAGTGATATCATTGTAGTAAAAGGAAAGAAAGAAGGGAAAGAAACAGTATTTACTAGAGTGATAGAAAAGAAATATTATGAAAAAATAATAGAAACTAATGTAGATTTAGTTGTGATTTAAAAATTTTAATTTTCTCCAGATTATCCAGTATATTATTTACCAACATATTCTGTGATATAATTTCATTTATTAAGAGCAGATGGAAAAACAAATATTAAATTACCTAGTGGAACTCATTTATGGAGTACTACATCTAAAATATCAACAATTGAATAGAATGGTCTTTTGACAACATAGAATATTGAGAAGAATTTGAATCTTAAGGTTATTAATTCTGATTACAATTAAATCTAAGCAATCTATCATGTAGTGAATCCTAAATCTATTGATATTGATATATGGGAAGATAATAAAGATAAGAGAGAAGGAAAAGTAACTCATTTGATTGTAGGAAAATTATATAGATTTTAAGCTTATCTTAAAGATGAATTAAATTAAAGAATATATTCAACAGATTTATTCTAATATGATTCTAAAGATATAACATTGAATGAGTAGACTGTCATATCATATATAGAAAGATAAAATGTAAAATTAACATTCAAAAGAGGAACATTAGAATCCTTTGTTACTATACATTTTGTTTAACCTATACAAATATCAACAATATTTAAAACTTATATTCATCTTCCAATTAATGAATAATATAATTTAATTGTTAATGGAGGATCAGGAAATTACAAATATTAATCAAGATATCAATCACCATCTATTTTTGAAATTAAAAGTCCTCATAATCTTGTTGCTTTAGAATTAGGAGAGAATATCTTAATAATTTATGATGAATTTAATGTTTATAACAGTCTTGAAGTAACTGTTTATGTGACTGATGTAAGTTAAATTATTCCATTTGAGAGAAGAAAAGAATTAATAGTGAATGAATCTGATGATACATTTTATTAAGCTATTGGAGATCCTAAAGTAGGAAATTATACTTAATGCAGAGCAGTTAAATTTAGTATTGATAATTTTGATATTTTCACTACATAATAAATAATAGGTGATCTCTCTAACTATTTAGTATGTAATGGTTTGAAAATGTAATCATCAACTCCAGGTTAATATAATCTTTAAATTAATACACAAAAGATATCTGTAACATAATAAGTAAGAGTCTATGATTATTTGCATTTTGAAAAACCATTTTATTATATTACTCCTCATTCTACTATCACAACTAAAGTATTGGGTGGACCAACAACTTGGGATTAAACACCATATAATGAGAAGTTGTCAGAAGGTATTATCAAAATTGATATGGAAAAATATCATTTCAATTGTTTTTAGAGTTAAGCTGAATTCAAAATTACAAGAGTTAATAAATAATCAGATTTATTACCTAATCCAAAACTTGTTAGTAATACTCTACCTATTAAATGTTTATTACCTGAAGCATTTAAAATTTATAATGAAAAGAATTAGGAAGTTAATTGGTTATTCAAAGAAGAAACTGTATAAATTAATGTAATTGCTGTCTATAAAACTTTCTTATTCTACAATTCTAGCAGTTTACATTTAGATTATTCAACTCGTGGATTAAAATATTAAAATAGATATTTGTCATATGATATTTAATCAGGAATCTCTGATTGTAAATTCATTGTGGCTTCTAATTCTTATAATAATCATAAAGATACATTTTTAACCATTAAGAGTGAATTAGATTTAATTATTCATCATACTCTAAAACTGATACCAAGTGGAGAATAATATGTTCTTATTGATTAAAGTGTATTATTTAGAATAGAATCTTCAACCAATAATATATAATGTTAATATGATAATAATATTATTGGATGTGAAAAGGATTAAGTTACTATTACACCTAAAAAATTAGGTTAATTCTAATTAGTAGTATATGACTTATCCTTAAATTATAGTGTTTAAGCTACACTCAATGTTATTGATCCATCTCAATTAAATTTGGAATTAAATTAATAAATAACTGTTGTTGGAAATTCAATCAATGCAACTTCAACATTTAATTATTATAAGAAATAAGTACATGTGACAACTTGGTCACCTCTACGTTTAATAGACACTTATGGATTCAGTAATATCAATTAAGTCAATAATTAATTTTTGATTACTCCAAATAGAGAAGGTTTATTCAAATTACAAACATAATATGATTCTATCAATTCTAATTAAGTTGATTTGAAGGTTATACCCAAATTATCAGCTGAAACTGTATACATGCCAACTGAATGTGAAACTCATGTATTATTCCCCTCTTATTCTTAATTCACTTACTCAGCCATTTCAAATGAGGATATAGAATCATCTGTTAGTTAAAACATTGTTACTATAAAATCTAAAAAAAGAAATGGAAATTATATTGTTACTGTATTCTTAAGATAATCTAATATTTTAATAGATTCAGTTGATATACCAGTAGTAGTGGATAAACCAAATAAAGCAATTTTATTCTATGGTAGAAAAATTGAATTAGGTTCATCAGTTAGAATAGTGGCTGACTTCTTAATATAAAATCATTAAATGAATCTTTGTTTATGTCCAACACATAAAATACATTGGTATTTAGATGAAAAGTTGGTTTAGACAGCTCCAAATTCATTGGGACTTTCAGTTTCAACAGTTGTTGTTGGAAAAATTAATATCAAAATCAAAGCTTATGATTTAGAAGCCTAAACTTTACTTGAAGTTGAGAGATTAAATTCTTATACTAGAAACTTATTTATTAATACCAAAGCATTATATCATATTCCACTTCTTATTCCTACCAATAGTAGATTAGCTTTGGGATAAGAAATAAAAAGTGTTGAATAATTAAATATGAATCTCCCAAATATTATTGAGAGTGATAGTATAACATTGTAACCACAATTATTATTAGCAACTACACCAATGTTAATATAAGTAGAAGAAATTTATCAAATGTATCCAATGTCAGAATTTGTAAATTTGAAAGTAGATGAAAAGATAGAAATTCCAATTGCCTATTTGAATTAAGAAGGATATCAATTTGAAGATATTGAAGATAATAAACTTGAGGTTTTAGGTTATACAAGACACATTGTGTAAATTAAAGTTAATAATAATGGAATTGAAATATAGGGTTTAGATTAAGGATTTGCATTAATTAAATTAAGTTGTGGAAATAATAAAATTGATTATATTCTTATTAAAGTAGGTGCCACTTTATTATAAATGAAAGCTTATCTTGGATCTACAATAACATATTAAATTGATAATTCTGAAAAACCAATATGGAATTCAAATTGTGGTAGCTTTAAAGGAAATTAATTAACAATAGAAAAAGAATTAAATGAATGTTTTGTTGAAGTTAATGATTAAGGTAATAAATTCAAAGCTGGACTTGAAGTAATCAGACCATCTCATATAATTATTGAATCAAATAAAGTAAATAATTATTTAAACATTAAATTGAATGTCAATCCTAAAATACCTTAATCTAATAAAATCAACCCTAATTTTGATATAAAAATTGAAGTCGATTAACCATAATGGTTTGAACTTGTCAAAACTGATAATCTATTTGAATATAATATTAAACCTATTATTGCATAAGATAATACTCCTATGCCAAAGAAAGTAAAGATTAATGCATTTATTTCTAATCAATTTGTTTAATTAGATGGCAGTAAAGAAATAACATATGAAAGAGAATTCTATATTCCAAACAATGAAGTAGTAATTTAAAATAGTTTACCTATCCAAATTGTTAGAATTCCTTATTATAGAAATATTGAAAAAACTCATCAAGATAACCATTTATTAGGATTAATAACCACACAATTTTCTCAAGGTCGAGTTGAAATTTAATTTGATTTTAGTCAATGTCATGAACCAACAGAAGGGGATGTTTATTTTGAAAATGGTTAAAAAATAAGAGTTAAATTTGTTAAAGAATCTAGTTATGAATTCATAATATTTTTAGCAGCATTAGGTATTAATTATAATTTTATAATATAGTCTTCTTTATTCTAGTAATAATGAATTATTTAAGATGAAAAAAGACATGTGAAATTTTATATCAATATATATATATATATTCTATATTTATAAATAAATAAAGTACATAGATATAATTAAAATGGGATGATAATCAAGAAACTTTTTAAAGTAATAAATATTAATTTATAACTTATTTTTCATATTTTCCAATTATTTTCTTTTCCCCATTTTTTAATTATTTTTAGAATATATTCTACTTAAGGATTATCACCTGTATTTGTTAAGACATTAATCACTTCAACCAAATGATCTAATGTTTCTTTTGATGCAATGACCATTTGAAAAACTCCTACAACTGATCCTCTTAATGCATCCTCATATTCATGTTCACCATTATCTGAATCTAATCTTTATAGAATATCAAAAGCTTTAGCAGCATAATAAAAATGACCCATTTTATAACAATCATTGGCAATTAAAACTAAAATTTAAAAGGATTCACTAGAAGTCTCCATATTAATATATAATTCCCATGCTTCTCTAAATAATTAAAAATTATAAATTACTTTGCTTTACCATTCATTATATATGTTCTAGTCATCCATTTAATGTAGATATCATCAGACTAAATTAGTATAAAGAAATTACTCTATATTTTTCTGATTAAATTTATGTTAAAGCATCTTCAGCTTCTTTATAATCTCCTGTACCAGCACAAGCAATACCATAATTCCAATTGAAATCATCATCATTTTAGAAAAATTGTTTAATTGATTTTAAGTAAACTAAAACATCTTCATATTGTTTCAAAATAAAGAAACAAGATGCCATAGATTATCTTCCAGGTATAGTATCACATTCACTAGCTGAAGACCCTACTAATTAAAAGAGTTATTGAGCAGTTTTCAAAGCTTCCTTTTAATCAGGACTTGATTATCCTTTCATAGCATAAACTACAGCCTTTAAGATATATTCTTTTGGGTTTGTTGGTTATAAATCTTATACTAAATTAAAAGCCTCTGCAATATCTTCATTTTTCAAATAATAAACAATCAAGTTTAGTTTAGCCTCTGGGAATATTTCAACCAAAGGAGGTAAGACTTTTAAGGCATTTTCTCCAGCTCTAAAAACTACTAAATTATGTTTTAATAAATCATTATCTGCACAAACATTGATTCCTTCATATTATTATTGTAATGGTTTGAATACTTCTTCTGCTAATTTACCACTGTATAATTAAAATTGATTGCAAGCCTTAAGATTTATAGCTGTTACACTTTATGGAAATTAATTTAAATAGGAAGATAGTATTTCAATAGAAACATCAAAATACTCTAATTTATAATAACACAATGCTATATAAACATTGATTGCTGAATATTCTCGATTTTCAAGCAATAATTTTTTGTAAGCATCAGTTGCCTATCAATTTAAAAATATCAGTTACTTCTTCATAATGTCCTCTTAAATAATGAATTGCTGCCAAACATAATTAATCATGAACAGTTTCTTGTATCTTATGATGATAGGTCATAAGATTCTTTTCATCATTTTTTTTATGAGCAATATGAAATTATCTATGATTTAGAATATATTCAATTACAATCTCACAGATAAGGCTGTCTCTGGACCTTTTGAACATTCTCTTTTGGCATCTTCGTATTGACATAGTGCATAAAAACAACAAGCTTTATAGATATGAATCTCTTTGTTGTAATCAGGCTTAGTCATCATCTAATCATAAACTTATATGGCCCTTCTATTTTCAAATGTTTAAAGTATTTTACTTATATTCTCCATTATGAAAACATGCATAGGCTAACCACAATTTGGGCTCAGCTCTTGAATCATTAAAACTAACCTTTAAATTTTTCAATATTACTTTTATTCATTTTCTAAGAGTGAAATTGCTCCTACCCAATCTCTATTTTTCACATATTCTTCTAAGGTAGGCATTCTTTCTTGTACAACTCTAGTAGCCATTCCACCAGAAACTGGTGCTGCTGCTTTTGTTTATTTGGCTTTACTCATTGAGGAACCTGGACGAAGCATTTTGTGATTTTATCAAAAAAATTAAATTTCAAATTATTATTCCTCAAATCAAATGGTTCATAATTAGTAGTATTTTTTTTATTAATATTTAATTAAATATACTTATGATTGCAATAAAAATAAAGAAAGAACAATAAATCTAATAGAATGCTGTAAATAATCAAGACATAAGTATTATTATTTAATTTATCATAAGCTTAAACTGGTGCTTGGAAAAGAGCTTTAAGTGATTAATAAGAATTTAATGATGCTTTTCCTCCTGATTTAAAAAACCTTAGAATCTATTTTCCAGACAACAAAAATATACTTTATTTCGAAGTTGAAGTGAGACCAGATCATAGCTTTTGGGCTGGTGGGTTGATTGTATTTACTGTATCAATCTCTCTAGATTATCCTATGACCCCTCCTAAAGTCTTATGCAAGAAGGTATATTTTTAAATGAAGTTTTTATAGAAAATATTCCATCCAAATATAGATTTGGAAGGCAAAGTTTGTTTGAACATTCTGAGAGAAGATTGGAGACCTGTTAGTAGTTTGAAAGATGTAATTTTCGGATTATAGATGTTGTTTACATAATTAACAAATCCAACTGATCCATTAAATAAAGAAGCAGCTGAATTGATGCTTAAAGATTAAGCATAATTTGCATAAGTTGTGAAATCTACAATGAAGGGAGGATCATATAATGGAGTATTATTTGAGAAAATCGCATGATTTTAAATAAATAAATAAATAAGCACATAGATTATCTATTCTTTCAATAGTTTGATAATTGATTTTCATTTTTAAACAAATATTCAGTATCCTACTTAGTTTTTAAAAACAATAAGGCATTATCAAAAGCCTTATTGTTTTTAAATAGCTTATTTATTTTCTTTAAAGGATCATGAAGTGGATCAAATGGATCAGACATAGAATATTATACTCCTGGATCCTTCTTTTCCTTTAAATTTATCGATATCTTATAATCTTAATTAAATCCTTATCCATTTTATGAATAATAATAAAAAAATTCTTGTAATAGAGATTATAAAGAAATTAAAGAAATTCTTTGTTAAAATTGTAATTGTAATTTCTCATAGGTTTATCCCTCATAAACCTAAAAATATGATAATAAATTATTACAAAAAATGTTTTGATTGTAATAATATTTTCATTCTCTTAAAGTGTTCTTTTTATAATTAACTCTGAATCTATATTGTTATGATTGTATTCCTAATCCTATAAATTAGGCAGACCATAATTTGTTTGTAAGAAATGTAACCAAAGTATTATAATTGAATATGATGAAAAAAGAAAATTTGATATAATCTTTACCCCTTTTGCCCATATTTTTAACAAAACACCACCCCTTTATATTAAAAGAAATTTACTTTCTTAACTTTTTCATCTAATTATGAATAAGCTTTCAGTAATCGTGTATTTATTGCTCCCAATAAATTATTATAACACAAATCTATATAAATGAGATTTTATTGATCTAATAATTTTATAACAGGAACTCTAGAATTGAGAATACTTTTTTCAACTTTAAATCTAGTTTACTTTTCCAATTATTAAGTCCAATATTATAAAGCCTTCACTTCAGGAATATAAGAATTTGTAGTTATTGTGAAATCAATATCAGATTGTTTAGTTTCAAATCCATTGAGAATTGAGCCAAATACAATTATTTTTATATTTCTTTATGCAAGTTCATAATTATGCAGAAATATTTTAAATGCTTAAATTGAATCATTAATCAATTCTTCTAATTATTAATCTCTTAAACTCTTTTGAAAAATTTATTCTAAACAGCTTTCTATTTCAATTGGTTATTAAATATTAAACATTAAAATATTAAATTAGAACGGAATAATTAATTTTAATTATTGGATTCAAAGTCGATTTTTATTGTTATGCATTGTACCTATATAAACATAAATTACACTAATTGAGCTATTTTGTTATAAATATAAAATCCCGTTTTTATTGAAAATATTTAAAAAAAGATAATCATACGCATGTTCTAAATCCAAATTTTTTTGGTTTAGAAAATTAAAAAGATTGAATCTCATTAATTATTTTAAATGGGCTGTTCTCATCCTTCAAAGAAAAATAAAAACAAGCTTTAATCTATCTAATTGACTTAAAACTTATCAGCAATTCAATAAGATGAATCCGATGAATTAGCTATTTTAAATCAACTTTACAGAGAAAAATATTAAATATAAAAGAATCCAATTGTGAAAAGAAGAGTACATTCTGCTACTTCAAGCATACAGAGATTCGATTATCCTGCAGAACTATATGTTCCTCGTTAAACCTGATGATGTACAATTATTTCTTATGAAATATATTGCCTTATAGTGGCTAAATAAATTAGAATTAATAATATTACTGATGTTTTGATTTCTTTTCATACAACAATATTGGAATAAGCATCTTTAAAAATCTTTTGAAATCCTTCAAATAAATTCGTTTTCTACAGAGTATATTCAAAATTCATTATAAACATCTTATTCATAATTGTTATTAATTATTTTGTTATATTTAGATGATTCTTAGAATTTATATCAATATTATAAATGGATGTTTGATTTGAAATTAATAGGCATTCATATTGTAATTCTTTCCAGAAATGTTTATATTTCAAACTCAATAATGCTAAGAAATAACAAATTTATCAATTTATAATGTATAAAAATAGATAAGGATAAGAAATATGTTACGATTTGATAAGACAGAAAAAGTTAGAGATTAAATATAATTTGAGCTTATATATATATAGATTATCATTAAATCAAAGTGGAAGTACAAGGTGTAGTAGATTACGACATTTTATTTTTCCTTTCTGTTCTTCTCATGATAATAGGATTCTTCGAAATTTAATATTTATTATTGTTTTTCTCGAAATTCATAGCCTCATTCTGAGCGGATTACGATTAATTAAGATTTACCAATATCTATTATTTAGACTTAGCTTATGAACAACCCATTTATTTTAATATTAAAGTGATATTATGATTTGGAATTTTTAAATAATATGAACAATGTTCCAGTGAAATAATAAAGTCAAGTTAATTAATATTATATGTAATTAATGTTAGATATGATTCATATTATGTATGATAATAAATATATTAAATTTAGTTTGATTATTAAATTTTATAAATATTGTTAATAATGTTAAAATATTCATATAAATATATATATATATATATCAATAAATTGTACATTATTATTAATCCAATGCAGGATCTCTATTAGAATTTTTGGTTTATCTATGATCATTGTCACCTACAACCATAGTTTCATCTTAAAATTTAATTCCATCTTACTCTACTATTTTTGGCTATTCTAAATTTGATTAAGATGGTTTTATTGTAGGAATTGGATAATTAGGTGCAGTATATAGATTGGTACTACTTGGTATTGGACTAAAAGGTTATTATGGATAATATGGAGAATAGCCAGAATTTTAAGGAATTGATGATTACGGTATTGTTTAAGGATGAGAAGGTAAGTAATTTAATTGATTATTATTTAATGTCTAAGGCACATAACTTTAGTATTTTGGTTGTGTGTAATTCATTGTTGTAATTGGAGTGTCAAAAGAACTACGATCAGGAATCTAAGGTTTATCATAGATAATTTAAGAATTTGGATAGGAATGTTCTGATGGTCTATTAGGAATTGGACCAAAATCATATTTTTTTTCGATTTAATTATGAATTGGAGGATAAGAGTCTATCTTCTAATAGGGTAATGGATCAAGTTCAAAACCTTTATTATATTAATTAAATGGAGAAACTGAATCATAAGGTGGATCAATCTTGTTATATTTATTAATAGGATCTGGTTAATAATCTTAGTGTGTAAAGTTATGGTGTTCAGAAATTAAAGGGAAATGATCTTTGTTGTTTAAAATTGGATCTTCAAAATGATTATTATAGGTTGAATAGATGTCTTGATTAATATTAAGATCATTTTTTTTAATTGTTTATTAGGTTCCTTAAAGTGTAGGCATCAAGGGTTTATGTTATTGAATAGGTGTGGAGATGTGCATATTAACATCATGAATGACTTTTTCAGGTTCTACAGATGGTAATTATTGAGTTACTCCATATTTGTTCCAATTAAATTAGTCAATTATGTCATCATATTTTGTGCGTCTAAGAGTATAAATGAATAATAATTTACAAAAGATAATCTGGATTTGAGTAATCACTTTAATATTATTAAGGGTTATTCTAAGTATTAAGAAAATTCTAATTATTTGGAATATTATGAGAATAGTTATTTTAATTGTTATTAATAATAGGATGATGAGGATCGACTTATGTTGAAGTTTAAATTTAAAATTCCTTTTTGTGATATTCTGGTAAATAAGGTTATGGTTAAGTAGAGGCATATACAATCATAGGATATAGTGGTCCAACTAATTCTGCACCATTTGATAATTTTTGTGGATTGCCATATAAAGTAGGTTATGGTTAATTAAGAATTAATTGTATGGGTTATTGTGGAATTTGATTAGATTAATTTGGTTAATTACGAATCACTTAATTTGGAGATGGTGGAAATAGTAAAGAAGATTATGATGGTTATTATTAAAATATAGAAAATTGATTTTATGGATTCTATTATAAGCTATGATTTAATTAAGTATCATTTTCGAATAAATGAACATATTCTGGTGATAAAAATTAGATTTTTTCTTTTTCATACTTAACTTTGTCTGTGATTGTTATTTTATCTTCTAAATTCAATTTTTTTATTTCATTTAATTTTAATACATTATCACCAATTTATTTCAATATCAAATTAACTTCTAAAAAATAGATATGCTCTAAAGACATAGGGAAATTAGTAACAAAATGTTTAATTGCAGATTCAATTTTTTCAGGTTTTATAGTTTAATTAGTTTAACTTAAATCAACAATTAAAATCCAACTTTCTACTTTACCAGGCACAAACATATAATCTTCCATAATAATAAGTTTATTAGTGATTGCTTTTATAAATAAATCATCAAGAGGGAGATTTAAAGATATATGTAGTATAGGTCTTAACATTTCATCTCTCCCAATAATTTAAACTAATTTAGAATATTATGGGATATCTTCCAAATTCATAGTTTCTGGATTGTTTAACCAATTTAAATGATCCACAAAATAATTAACTGTGTCTTCTTTAACAAATTTATGAGCATACAAGAATCGCAATAATACAGAATCATTTTGAACTCTCAAATATTATAAAATAACCATACTCTTTTAAATATTCAACTGGAATTGAATCTAGATAGTTCTTGAATTCTTTTAATTATTGATTCTCATAAGTATCATATTAAACATTCTTAAAGATTCTACGAAGACTACCTTTCTTGATATAATTGGCTTTGAAAATAACAATAATAATTACAATCAATAGTTAAGGTAGCAATTTCATTAGGTGAAGCAAAAAGATTTTGATATCTATCCTAAAACATATTAATATTATATTAATTATAATATATCAACTAGCATGTTTAATTTTAACTGAATTCGCTTCTCCATATATGATATAATTGTCAATAATACAAATCCCTTCAGGAACAAAATCGACTTCTTCAGTTTTTGTAATATAATCAATTTGTCTATATTCTTATATACGAATGATATAATTGTCTCTATTTTTGCAAGATAAGAATAAATAATTGGGATTAGAAAATACCATAATACTCTTAATATAATGAGGAGCAATTCTGATTCTGTACATTTCACTATAATTAGATGTACTAATAATTCTAACATCTCCAGAACCAGTACCTGCTGCAAAAGCTTTGTCTGTAATGTTTTATAACTATACTTAAGTTAAAGTCATACACAATAAATCCAATCTTCGCATTGAATAGCATAGATAATTCTATCTGATTTAATATCATAAATTTATATGGTCTCATCAAATGATCCAGATACAAGTTGATTACTATTAATTAAAATAACATCTCTAACTGCCTTTTTATGATTATTGATAGTTTTTGCCTTAATGCTTTCTAAAAATCCACTAGATGATGTATCCCAAATCTTAACAGTATGATCTCCAGAACAACTAACTAAATATTCAGGTTTTATCAATTATTTTATCATCAAAATAGGATCAGTATGTCCTTATAATTAACCTTAAAAAGATATTGTCTATTCAAAAGTAACAATTGCAATATTCTATTCTTCAAAATTAACAATACTATATTAATAAACAATCATATTTACCATGCAGCAATAGCTAATTTCCCTTAATATATAAATCCACATATACTATTACATTTGCCTTCAAATTAATATTCACCAATCTTATTTTCACCAATCCCTTAATATATAACTATCTATCCATCTACAGATGAAACTATTAGATGATTTTAAAAAAAGATTATATCACTCACATAATTATCTTGATCATCTCCAAAATCTTTGAGCACTCGAATTATAGGACAACTATCTAATTTATTTTCAAAAGATTAATCTGTTTTGAAATTCAAATTAGCTGATGGTTATCTTTATAAAGATTAATTCATTCCCAAATGAGTAGAACCATAATTAGCCATTACATTAGTTGGATTTACTTATGATGATTCCATATTTTAGCTTGGTTTCTTTTCAAATGTTGCAACTATAATTTATAATATATAATACTATCTTCAACTTATGATACATTTTATAAAAACCTTTTCGAGACATTTTCTAATTATATAACTAATTTATTCAAGAATTAAACTGTATTTATAGATGCATCGAAAGCAACTAATTAATTTTTAATTTCAGGATGTTGAATCAAATAAGCAATTATTGCCACACCTCTTTAATCTAAACTTACCATACTTCTATTGGCAAATACCACTAATAAATATAAATATTTACTTGTTTTAATTTATTGACATAAACTGGTAATTCTTATTTAATCTAAGGATCAATTCCATCTAATTGAGATTCACTCATAATTCTTTTACAATTTTATCCCAACAATTCAATTTCCTTTATAGCTTATCTCATAATGTCTTCAAAAATTGCTTTTACTTTTGTTTTAGCATCCTATATCTCTTATTTCTATATATATATAATTAATTTAATAACTTTCTTTTAATATTTCATAGCTGCCTCAATTATTGGTGCTTAATCCTAACCAAAAGATTTCAATTTAATTCTTTATCCAGCATTGCATTTATGAGTAATTAAACATTAACCACATAATCTAATATCTTTATTGGGACATCTATCACAACAAATAACTTAGATTTTTTGATTATGATCACTACAATTTAATGAAATCAATTAACCATTTGTTCTATTAGCATCTACAGTTGCTAAATAAGCTGAAAATTCATATGAATATGTTTTTGGATCAATATTTAAAATGGAATCATTATTTATTGAATTAGTATTTTATGGTAATAACAAAAGTTCCTTGAAAAATAAATCTTATAACTTCCTTAATTTCTATTCTATTTAACTCTAATAAATTGAAATCTTTTTTGAGGCTGAATCTAAATTTCCTACTATTTATTTGATTAATTATTGATTATTATATGTATTTAGTAGTATTTGACATCCTTATTTTTATATATAACCAAAATCATTTTTTTCAAATGCCTCTACAATTTAACTAGCAGCTTCTCCAAATACTTCTGCATCAGGTATTCCTTATAGTAGATACTAATTCAAATAGATATCATAATATCCTTAATATGATTTAAAGCTCTCAAAAAAATTATTTTTAAAATTTGCTAATGTTTAAGTTAATCCACCAGTTGCATTAGGTGAATTTTAATCTCTATCAAACTTATCTACCATTTCCTAAATCCCATAACTATCAAACTTTATTGCTTTACAATATATAATAACTATGTACCATCATCTATTGTAATACGATCATTGCACATATGGTCAACCAAACATTCTTCGCATAATCTTCTATCTCCTTCATCTCTTGTGCATATTTTACCAAGACATATTGCAATATGAGGTTTATTATGATTACATAACACATCTACTGTATTAGAGGACTAGCAATTTCCCATTTAAATTAATTAAACAAATTACAACTATTTCAGACACTAAAAAAAAAAAAAAAATTCTTTTCTTTATTTTATTGATACTAAAATTCAATTTTCAGAAATTACCAATTAATAATTCACTACATCATTTTTATTAAAATTCAAGAAGTGATATTTTTCAGAATTTCATTCTTATTATTAAATGTATTTAATTATATGATATTTTTTAAACCATAATATGAATAACACATTATATAATTATTGGTTATTATTTCCTATTTAATCACTTATATAAACATAACTAAATTAAAATCTGCTTCTCTTTCTAATAATAAATTAATGCTCTAAATTTAAATAGGAGATATTATAGACAATCAATATGAAATTATTAAGAGACTGTCATAAGGTTCATTTGGAATAGTTTTTTATGGGAAAAGCATAAAAACAAATAAAGGTGTAGCAATTAAGGTAGAGAAAAACGAAATGGCAAGTTTTGGTACTTTAGTGCGTGAAGTAACACATCATATAACTCAAGATCGAAATGTTGAGTAAATTAAAGGGAGTTCCTTCAATACCTGAATTACTATGGCACGGAGAGTATAAGAAATGTAACATTATGATAATAAAAATGCTGGGCAACGATCTTATTTATTATCAGAAATAATATATTCAATTTTCATCATAGTGTATAAATAGCATAGCTTACTAATTATTGTGGATTTTGGAATAGATGCATAAAAAGTATAATTAACTGGTTTATATTAGGAATATAATTCATAGAGACATCAAACCAGAAAATATTTTGAGTAAAAATGGATCAGATAAGATTTATTTAATTGATTTTGGAATTTCAAAAGAAACAGATTCAAATTTAATACATAAAAAGAAATAATTTTCATTTATAGGCACAAGTAGATATGCCAGTATTGCAGCTCATCAAGGTATAGAATAAACAGCCAAAGATGATCTAGAATCACTTGGTTATGTATTGATCTATTTAACTACATAACGTTTACCTTGGATGAACATAGAAAAAACAGATGTTCAAAGATTAGAGAAAATTGGCAAGTTAAAAGAAAATGTTATAGTGGATGATTTATGTTGTGGATGTCCCAATTCAATTTTTAAGTACAATCATAAATTTAATTTAGATATATGAAATATGTTAAGGAACTTAAGCCAAATTCTAAACCTAAATATGCATTGTTGAGAGGATTATTCCTGTCTAAGTTACAAAATACAGTTGAATTAGGATTGGATTGGACTAATTAAGTAATTAAATTAGAAAATAAAAAAAATCATAAAAAATAAAGGAATTCATGTAATGTTAATTTTTAAAGTTGTGTAACAATAAGAAAGTAAATAATGATTATGATATGTTAGACCATATGTTGGTGGAACCTAAACTAATTTAAATGTTAAAACTGTTGCAGTTTAAGATGAATAAATGATATCATCAGATAATGGAACTAGTTAAATGTAATTTAGTATTGTGGAGACATAAGGAAGTAAAAATAGTGTTAAAGTTGGATTTTCAACATCTGATAATCTTGATTGTTTAGCTATTCAATAAAATAATAATATGGCGCGTGTTTCTACATTTGAAGGCATTGCTGAAGCAAATCCTCTCTTGCCTTAAAATTTAGAGTAATAATTAATGGAAAAAGAAAACTAAGATTTAGAAATTAAATATAATCTACTTCACTTTACATCAGTATATTTTAATTTTAAGAATCCTATTCAACAACATACCATCAAATAAAATTATTAAGTTAATGTGATCAAATCTATTAATTGATTTATACCTTTTGTATTTTCCTTTTGTTTTATTAAATATTCTAGACAAATTTTTCATGTAATAAATATAATTTTCACTGAATAGTTATTTATTAATTAATAATAAAATATAGATATGGGATGTATTAATAGCAGTTCTCATTAAAAAAGGAAGAAAGATTTAGATATAAATAATGTTCCTATAATGTTAAATAATCAAAAATCATAAAATATTGAAAGAATTCAAGATAATTGGTTAGAAATGAAAAATAACTCTATCCTAGCAAGAAGACATCAACAAAGCAAATTATCATTAAAAGTTACAACTAATTCAAAATCTCCATTGTCTTGTATAAGTCGTAATTGAAAAATCTATTGATTACATCAGTCTTTATGTTTTATTAACAACATATCATTTTTTAAATTAGGAATTAGTGTTATGTAAAACAATATTGTGAATATACATATAAAGGAATATTGAAAATGATTATTCAAAATTTGAATCTATTCTTTATAAAAATCTATAAAGGATTAAATAATATAAATAATTGTATATATGAATTTTAATTGATTTGAGAATTTCTCAATTAAATTAAATTATGAATAAGAATGCTAAATTTATATGGTATATATATAATGGAAATCAAAGAGCTAAAAATAAACACTAAGTTTTCTTTAAAGAATAATCAAATTTAAAATAAGCTGCAGTGGCATTAATATTTTGGACACCAAATACAATAAGTTCAAAATTGCCAACTTTAGGATAAGCTCATATGAAGAGTATTTGCAGTTAAAATCATTTATTGGAATTATTAAGATAGGAAAGTTTTGAATGTAAATTAATGGTTTGTTAACGATAATTCAATTTAAGAGATATTCATTCAAATGAGATTTGTTTTCCTGGAGGAAAATTGGATAATGAAGAAAGTGATTTTGAGGCTGTAATAAGAGAAGTGATGGAAGAAGTAGATGTAGATTTAAGAAAACATTAAACATTTTATTTAGGTCGTCTTCCAAATAATATTGAGATTAAGGATGCTCCAAAAGGTTTAAGGGTTTGTACTCATGTATTTATTGTTTCAGGTGAGTAACCCTAAATTACATTAAATTAATAGGAATTATAAGATTGTAAGTGGATACCAATCTCTTACTTTTATGATTTGAGTGATAAAATTAGATTAGGAAAATGTACATAATCATTTACATTTTTTATGGTGAAGTCTTTTTTTTAAAGATCCCCAAAAATAATTGATGAAATAGTGAAAAATTTTGATCATGGTTTATTTGGTTAAGTAGATGTGGGAATGAAAAATCATTTATTTGGATTTAGTTTAATGATATTTGCTTAAATGTGTAATTTAGTTTTGACTGAATAAAAAGAAGGTAGAGAATATTTTGGAGATATTAGATTGATAACTTCAATTGTCAATTTAATGCATTTGAATTTTACAGAAAATACATTCATAGGTATATTAATTAAATTTATATATTGTAGGTAAATTATGTGATTGGTATTTCTCTAAGATGTATAAGACTTATAGAATTTAGAATAGAATAGAGGTGAGAAAATATTTAGGGAAATTATGATATAAAATATTTATATTGGTTTGATTTAATAAAAGATTTAAATTAAATGTTCAATCGAATTACTAGGTTGGCTGCATTATAACATAAAGTTGTAAAATGCTTTGATCTTCATGAATATCAAAGTAAAGATTTGATGAGAAGATTCAATGTACTAGTTTAGAAAGGAGAAATTGCCTTGAATGCTGAAGATGCAGCTAAAGTTGCTAAAACACTTGATCCTAGTGGTGGATTAATTCTTAAGTCTTAAGTTCATGCAGGAGGAAGAGGCAAAGGTATAATCAATATATATATTTAAAGGAACTTTATCAAGTGGATTGAAAGGAGGAGTTAAGATTTGCAAAACTCCAGAAGAAGTAGCTAATTATACTAAATAAATGATTGGATATAAATTAGTAACTCATTAGACACCAAAAGAAGTAAATATAATTATTTATTTAATTAGGGTTTATAAGTTAATGCAGTACTTGTTCATGAAGGTGTGGATATTGTACGTCAATTATATTTAGCCTTTATTTTAGATAGAAATTCATAGAAACCAGCTATTGTTGCTTCAATCAATGGTGGAATGGAAATTGAAGAAGTTGCTAAAACAGATCCTAATAGTATTATTGTATTACCAATTGATGTAAATACTGGATTAACAGATGATATTGCTAATAAAGTTGTTGACAATCTATAATTATAAACAGTTAGATAATAAGCAATTGAATAATTAAGGAATTTATATAAGATGTTCATTACTCTTGATGCTACATAAGTTGAAATTAATCCATGGGCAACAGATCCAAAAAATAAATTATTTTGTATTGATGCTAAGATTAATGTTGATGATAATGCTAAATTTAGATAAAAGGAATTGGTTGAATTAAGAAAAACATCTGTTGCATCTGAATAAGTAGATCCACATGAAGAATTAGCATTAGCTGCTGGATTGAATTATGTTGCATTAGATGGAAATATTGGTTGTATGGTTAATGGAGCTGGATTAGCTATGGCTACAATGGATATAATTAAATTATATGGAGGAGATCCTGCAAATTTCTTAGATGTTGGAGGTGGTGCAAATGTTGAATAAGTTAAAACTGCATTTGAAATCTTAAATTCTCATCCTAAAGTTGAAACTATCCTTATTAATATCTTTGGTGGTATCATGAAATGCAATATCATTGCTGAAGGTATCATTAAAGCAGCTTAATTGGTTGATCTTAAAACACCATTGGTTGTTAGATTAACTGGAACAAATTCTCAATAAGGTAATTATTATTCTATATATTTTTAGGAGCTAAAATGTTGGATGAATTTGCTAAATCATAAACCAAAGTACAAATTACAACAGCCACAGATTTGGATGATGCTGCTTAAAAATCTGTAAAAATTGCAAAAGTATCTAGAAAGCAATGATATATTCATCAATTATTATTATAATTCTTTAAATAATTAAATTATTCTATTTTTATCAATAAATATTCATAGTAGATAAATTACATTATATTTTTATAGTGATTTCAAAATAGAATCTAAAAAAACTCAAAATTCTTTATCCTAAAGGTATTCTANGGAGTTAAGATTTGCAAAACTCCAGAAGAAGTAGCTAATTATACTAAATAAATGATTGGATATAAATTAGTAACTCATTAGACACCAAAAGAAGTAAATATAATTATTTATTTAATTAGGGTTTATAAGTTAATGCAGTACTTGTTCATGAAGGTGTGGATATTGTACGTCAATTATATTTAGCCTTTATTTTAGATAGAAATTCATAGAAACCAGCTATTGTTGCTTCAATCAATGGTGGAATGGAAATTGAAGAAGTTGCTAAAACAGATCCAAATAGTATTATTGTATTACCAATTGATGTAAATACTGGATTAACAGATGATATTGCTAATAAAGTTGTTGACAATCTATAATTATAAACAGTTAGATAATAAGCAATTGAATAATTAAGGAATTTATATAAGATGTTCATTACTCTTGATGCTACATAAGTTGAAATTAATCCATGGGCAACAGATCCAAAAAATAAATTATTTTGTATTGATGCTAAGATTAATGTTGATGATAATGCTAAATTTAGATAAAAGGAATTGGTTGAATTAAGAAAAACATCTGTTGCATCTGAATAAGTAGATCCACATGAAGAATTAGCATTAGCTGCTGGATTGAATTATGTTGCATTAGATGGAAATATTGGTTGTATGGTTAATGGAGCTGGATTAGCTATGGCTACAATGGATATAATTAAATTATATGGAGGAGATCCTGCAAATTTCTTAGATGTTGGAGGTGGTGCAAATGTTGAATAAGTTAAAACTGCATTTGAAATCTTAAATTCTCATCCTAAAGTTGAAACTATCCTTATTAATATCTTTGGTGGTATCATGAAATGCAATATCATTGCTGAAGGTATCATTAAAGCAGCTTAATTGGTTGATCTTAAAACACCATTGGTTGTTAGATTAACTGGAACAAATTCTCAATAAGGTAATTATTATTCTATATATTTTTAGGAGCTAAAATGTTGGATGAATTTGCTAAATCATAAACCAAAGTACAAATTACAACAGCCACAGATTTGGATGATGCTGCTTAAAAATCTGTAAAAATTGCAAAAGTATCTAGAAAGCAATGATATATTCATCAATTATTATTATAATTCTTTAAATAATTAAATTATTCTATTTTTATCAATAAATATTCATAGTAGATAAATTACATTATATTTTTATAGTGATTTCAAAATAGAATCTAAAAAAACTCAAAATTCTTTATCCTAAAGGTATTCTAGTATTAAAGATAATATTAATTAATAAAATAGAATACAATTAACCAATTCAAAATTAAATTATAGATTTTATTTAAAGAACACATTAATAGAAATGAATACTACACATACATCAAAATTAATTATCTGATAATCTGCTTATATCCATTGTTTGATTAACATCATAAAGGAATTAATTGTAATGCTATTTCTCATGAGATGGTACTATCACCATCATTTGTTATTGCTACTAGTTTTCATTTTATTTTTTGTTTTCTTATCTAATAAATCGATATCCTCTTTGATGTAAACNATTGTATTACCAATTGATGTAAATACTGGATTAACAGATGATATTGCTAATAAAGTTGTTGACAATCTATAATTATAAACAGTTAGATAATAAGCAATTGAATAATTAAGGAATTTATATAAGATGTTCATTACTCTTGATGCTACATAAGTTGAAATTAATCCATGGGCAACAGATCCAAAAAATAAATTATTTTGTATTGATGCTAAGATTAATGTTGATGATAATGCTAAATTTAGATAAAAGGAATTGGTTGAATTAAGAAAAACATCTGTTGCATCTGAATAAGTAGATCCACATGAAGAATTAGCATTAGCTGCTGGATTGAATTATGTTGCATTAGATGGAAATATTGGTTGTATGGTTAATGGAGCTGGATTAGCTATGGCTACAATGGATATAATTAAATTATATGGAGGAGATCCTGCAAATTTCTTAGATGTTGGAGGTGGTGCAAATGTTGAATAAGTTAAAACTGCATTTGAAATCTTAAATTCTCATCCTAAAGTTGAAACTATCCTTATTAATATCTTTGGTGGTATCATGAAATGCAATATCATTGCTGAAGGTATCATTAAAGCAGCTTAATTGGTTGATCTTAAAACACCATTGGTTGTTAGATTAACTGGAACAAATTCTCAATAAGGTAATTATTATTATATATATTTTTAGGAGCTAAGATGTTGGATGAATTTGCTAAATCATAAACTAAAGTACAAATTACAACAGCTACAGATTTGGATGATGCTGCTCAAAAATCTGTTAAAATTGCAAAAGTATCCAGAAAGCAATGATATATTCATTAATTATTATCCTTTAAACAATTAATAATTATAATGATTATTAGCAAAAACCTTATTAATAAATATTCGTATTTCAAATAATTAGATAAATTATACTAGATTTAAGATATCAAAAGTGATTTCACATTTGAAATAAGAAAACTTCATATTATATTTATGACCTTATCCCATCATCAAGGACATCCACATGATATCATTTCAAGAATTTAAGAAGTTTAATAATTCCCTTATTAATTATTATTATTACTTCATTTAGATATTAAAGATGATTTTGGCTATCTTTTGGATCTTCAAATGACATTGATACCACATAAATGCAAATTGCTTATTTTATGGACTCAAAATGAAGTTATAGATTTTTTTAAAAAAACAGCTGAATTGAAATGATTTTATACAAAATTATCAACATTAATTATTTGATAATCTACTAACATCTAATGTTTAATTGACATCTTAAAGGAATTAATTGTACTACTATTTCTCAATTGATGGAATCATTACAATCATTTATTGTTCTTATTATATTTCATTTTTATTCAAGTTCTCTTATCTAATAAATCTAAATCCACATTAATGTAAACATGCTAATATAATAAAGATCAAAATGCAAAAAGAAATCAAACTAACTTTTTAATATTATATTCATAATTACCAAAAACTGTAAGTACAATTAATAACATTGTCTCATTCAAATATTCATATTATTTCTGTTTGGATTTCTTAGATGCAAAAGCAGTAAATATTATCATCTACATTAAGCATATAAAAATTGTCATTAATTTAATTAATTCGTGGAATGTATATAAATAATATAATTCTTATTACTTAGATCAAAACATATTAATAAATTATTTTATTCATTAATAGAGAATTCTCTATTTATTTATAGAGAATATTTAATTTAAAATAACTATCTTTTTGATATTAAAATAGAATTAAATTTAACAATTTTATTTTTTCATTCATATTTACTTTTATATTAAAATTTATTTAAATAACTTACATTTTTGTAATTTGCTAACTATTAACTATTGATTAATATTATTAGAAATAAGCTTTATTAGTACTTATATAAAAATTATCAAAATTCTAATTTTTTTAATTATAAACACAATTTTAAAGAAAGATTATAAGTTTTTTATAAAAATATTTAAATTTTTATAAAAATTATATATATTATAATAATTAATTACAATTGTGTATTTTGAATCCTATAATACGAAATATCATATTTGCTAATATATCCCATATGATTTGGGATTTATATAATAATTAATAATTAAGGTATTTTGCAATGAGTAAAATTGTAAGACAACGTGTTAGCATGCACGACGAATCAACTAGTATCTCTTTATAATCCAAAAATGTAAATAAAAAGAGTAATTATATATCAATAATCTTTAGAAAATGCCCATCGTAAGCGCTAACCTATAAAATAATTGATTTGTATTGTATCAGTGCCAAAATCAATTGGAGAATACGTCTATATTAAAGCGGATGTGGAACTAAAGTTAGCTCTCTCTTTTATACCTGACCACTGTTTAGGTAGTCTAAAAGAGACACCTTGTACCTACAACCATCGTGTTACTCGCACTGATTAACTTGATGATGTTTATTTTTATACTCTCGAACTTCTCGACCAAGACAACTATTCCATCGAATAAATTGTTAATCTTCTTTCTCATAAAGATGATCCATGTGCTTAATTGGCAATCTAACTTGTAAATTAAAGATTTAACATACTAAATGAATACACATAACATTATTATATTTCAAATGAAGAATTGTTAGAAGTTGAACAAATAGCTAAAGATTACCCATATTAATGTATAATTTAAAAAGTGAATAAGGAAAATAGTTCACTATCATAAAGAATAGTTAATGATCAATTTTATACACTTATGGGAGTGACTCCTGATATGATGTTTAATCATCTTCATGAAACTAAAACTCTCCCATCAATATTTGATATTGGTGGTTCTTTAAAGATGTGGTGTGATCTCACTATTGGATCTATCTCTAGTGTTTAATATTTTGATTAATATATAAATACATATGAAGGAGCACAATTCAAATGTAGAATAGAGTAAAGATAGATGTTCAAAAGAACACAAGTCAATCCAAACTAAATTGTCTTTATAGAATTCTGGATATTTATTATAGATGAACCATTGAAATCCTATCTATTGAATCCTTAAAGGCTCTATATAAACTAAATAGACTACTTTAATAAGAAGAATACAGAAGAGGAATACCACCTTTTTTAGAAATCATTAAAATATAAAGAAACTCCCCATTATAAAAATTCCTAGCCTTGTGGTTATAAATAACTCCCTTGGATCTGAATTTTTATATATATATTATCTAATACCATAATTTAATTATTATAAAAATTATAAATACTAATTACATTGCAAATATAGTGCTTTTAACTTAAATTATTTTTTATTTAAAAAGGTTGCAGATTTATAATGATCCTAGGTTTTAAGTAAATAAAGCAAACTTGACATTTTATATTACTTTAATTATAATTAAATTTAGAAAATTGTATATTATTATTAATGTTGTTACAAAATTAATTATGCTAAAATCTGATAAAATAATAGTCATAAATAAATTAGAAACTACAACCATAATTGCTTTATAAATTATTGAATTTAATATAAGGTATTCATTTTTCCATATAAATCATTGGATATTTTTATTTAAAATTATGAGATTCTATCTAAAGTATTTTATGAAATAATTTATACTTCTTAAATTAAATTTGAAATATTCAATTGGATATTTATGTTATATTATTTTGAGTTAATAGTATCACATAATTATTTGATTGTTTAAAAATTGAATACTTTGATTTTTTTTATAAAATAATAAAATTGAATTAATATCGTTATTTTAATTCATACATCAAAACCCATTAATAATTATTATATCATTTTAAATAGTGATGAAATAAGATTGCATATTTAAAAATATTTCTGTTCAGATAACACTTAACTTTAAGGAATTGAAGCCTAAAGAAGTTAAGCTTTCTCTGGCCTATAAAGAATCAAGTGAGTAGATATTTAAAATTTTGAAGAAGGTCCTTAACTTGAATAAAGAAAATGAAAATTGGAAATCAACATTTAATACTCACTTTGATTTTCACAAATTTCAAAGTTATAGAGTAGATATCAGTTTTGATGATAAAGCATCTATTGGATCACTAGATGTAACATTATTTCAATATATTTAGTTTTAATTAGGTGAATTATTATAGAAAGAAAACTTAGTCAAAGAAAATACTTATTATTCAATTTAATTATAATCATAATTGATTTAGTAAGGAAACTAAGTATTCCAACATTGGTCAGGTATCAAACTTTTAAACACAGATGGATTTTTCCGCAAATCAGATCCATTCTTGTAATTTTATTAATGGGATGGAGAATAATGGAATCAAATTCATCAGACAGAATATATAGAAAATAACTTAAATCCAACATGGATTCCATTTTAATTAGATATGGGTTTGATGAATTTTTAGGATGAATTCAAGAATTTTAAAATAGAATGTTGGGATCATTCTAAAAAGAATCCTCCGAAACATAAATATATAGGAAGTTTAGAAATTTCAATTTTTGATATATTATCATCTTAGTCAAAGATATTTGAATTATACAACCCAAATCATGTAATCAATATTGTTAAAATAATAGACATCTTGTGGTTCATTAAAATTACTTTCATTTTAAATAAATCCAAATAGAAATTTTTTGAATTAACTTAAAAAAACACAAATATAAACTAATATTTTTTTTGAATTCACAAAGAACTCAATGAAGTTTCACTAAATATCTCACTAATAATTAAATATATTTTAATAATTCATGATCATGATTGGATAATAACTATTTTAATATAATTAATCAAATTCAGGAAAGCTTTTTGGTTTTGGTGGAAATTATCAGTAAATCAATAAAGATTAGTAATAATATTTATATAATTAAGTTTTGAAATTTCCAAAGATTCAAATGGGATCCAAGGAATTTGTTCTGATTATACTAAATGTTTAAAGGATATTGCCTTTGGTAATAAGGTTTAAGTTACTCCTGCTTTATTTGAAATAGTTAAATAATCTGAATTATTCAAACCTAATTTTACTATTGGATTCTTATTAATTTTAGAGGAGATTGGAGATGAGGATAAATTTAAGCTATTTTTAAATCATTGTAAATATCTTTAAATTAATTTAGAACTCATTTTACCAATAATTATGATATTTATTACTATAAAAGAGAATGTTAATTAAATATCTTCAATTATTAATAGCTAAAACAATATGAATAAAGTTAGACTTTGTTCAATAAAGGAGAATGATAAAAAAAGTATTTAAATATTAAGAGAGGAAATATTTACAATAATAGAATAGGAAATTAGAGAGTTTTACAATATAAATCTTTGATGAATATATGATATTTGATGTCATTAAATTTAATTAATTGAGATTAATTTATTATGATTAAATTTTGTTTTTCAACGCTAATCTTAATTATCTATATCTATTTAGATTATAATTATGGAAATTAATCATTTGAAATAAGTAATCACTTCACTATATTTCTATAAGAATAATATGAATTTGGAAACCTTAAAGGATTTATTGGTATTTATTATTGCAAATAAAAGAATTAATATTTTATGTATTTTCTACTTTAGGAGATAGGAATATAATGTATTATATTTTAATCTTCTTATGGTTAAAATAGGCAAATAAATTGTAAACTTTATCGTTAATTATAATGTATTCTATTTCGTCATTCTTTGGTGATTTTATGAAAATGATACTAAAGTAACCAAGACCTTTTTATATTGATAATCAAATTTAATTAGATTTTTGTCAATATGGTTTTGGAGGTCCTAGTGGACATGCATGTAGAGCTTTAGTATTTTATGTAATTTTATTTAAAATGTTGTAAACACAATATAGTGACCAATAATAAGACTTTCATTAAGTTCAATCAGAAGAATTATATTTAATGATTTAGTCTGAGTAACAATAAACTAATGAAATTAGTTTGAAGAATCAAATAATAAGAAGCATAATTTTAATATTATTTATTTTATTTACAGGAATTGCAAGAGTTTATTTTGGAGTTCATTTTTTGAATTAAGTTATTTTAGGATGGATTATGGGATTATACTTATTATTTATTTTCTATAATTGTGGAATGTAAAATAAAATAAAATAACTATTGATTTAAGCAATATAGAAAGAACGTGTTAAGATTTATTAAATAATTTTGATAATATATTTGATTATAATTATTACAGCATCATTTATAATATATTAAGGCTGTATTAATTCATAGATTTTAAATTAACTTAAATAAAATTGGAAAGATATGGCTGATTTTTAATAAAAGTGTAACGGAAATGATAGGATTTATAATACTTCTTTTGAAAAACATGATATAATTGGAATATCTATAATTACTTTTCCATATTTTATATTTATAAGTTTACTTTATAAAAAAGGAATTTATGAACCTCAACTTTATAGTTATAAATTCTTTACTAAAAAAGGAATAATAAGAACAATAATATTAATAATAGGGTTGATATTACCATATTATTTTAGAAAATAAACAAAATAATATTTACTTTAATTAGATAGTAATATTGTAGTTTAGTTTTTTTTTATTGGTTTACTTTACTTTTTTGAATTGACCCTTCTTCTTATATACTTGATTCCTTTAATTAATAAATTACTAAAAGTAGATAATCCTGGAGATTTATTAAATTATTAACCAAAAATAGAAGAATAATATGAAGTTGAATTATGAATTTAAAATTCTTAAATTAATGTAAATATTTGATCTTTATAAATCATTATTGATCTTAATTAGCTTTAGTAGCTATTTCAATAACAGAATCCCATTCAAAAGCTGTTAGAATACTTACTATTGATTTTTGATTTCCTCTCAGCAATGTTAACCAATCTATGATAACTTATCCTCTTGCCTATCCATCAGAGACAATAGATATATTTTTTTATAAAGAATAAACTATCAAACTTGGTACTAATGCTACCATTACAGCCAATTCTATAATAGATATTGTAAATGAATATACCATCACAAAGTATGTAGTTTCCATCGTGACTTACAGCTTTGAAAATACTTTCAACAAATTGAGATTTCTTTGTATTAGCTCCATTCTCAAAAATGACTTTTCCATTCTATTTATCTAAAGTGTAAGCTAAAACAACATCAAATGGCAATAACATCTTTTATTTAAACTTTGCCATTGCTACTGCTGCTGTAGCTTCTACATCTGTTTATACATTGAATTCAGCTACTGAATTAGCTGCATTTCCTACTCCCATATAAGTTCCACCCATAGCAAATAAACATCCAAGTTTATCAACAATATCTGGATACATTTATAATGTTAAATAAATATTAGTCATTGGTCCAATACAAATAATACATAAATCCTCTCCATATTTGTAAATAGAATCTTTAATGAAATCACAAGCATGTTATTTTTCATGAAAATATTCTAATGGTTTATCTTATAAACCTAATTCAGTTAATAATCTTAATTATTATCCACCTAATCCATCTTCTAAAAAATAATTATCTCTATAAAATCTTCTTAATGTATCTGTTCTGCATCCTTTGTATATTTTTGGAGGATTCTCACCAAAATGTCCAATTCTTGCTGTAATATACACCTTGATTGATTAAATAGAGTAAATACATTTTTTATTACATTTTCAAGTGCTGCATTACCTGCCACTGCTGTTATTCCTATCAATTCTGCATCAGTTCGTATATATTTAAGAATATAAGAGGCAATTAGAATTGCATGAGCATCATCTGAACCAGCATCTGTATCTATAATATATTTTGAGTATTTTTTAAATTGAATATGACTGTCATCAAATAGCAATTTAGGAAAAGGATGTGAAAATTTTTATTGTTCTGCCATTATTTTATTATTAATATATCATTGTTTTATAATTGTACACACAATTATTGGTTTAATATATATTATATATATAATATATATATTATTTCTATTTTAATCATCAAAAATATCTTATCAAAAGTCTAAATACAAATTTAAGCAAATTTATAAATATCTGATAATGATTCATTTCATATTTAAATAACAAAAATAGTTATTTCAAAGATTCGTTCAATAATAATCTATTCCTGCTTATATTAAAGTAATTTAATTATAGAACTATTATGAATATTAATATTTATAAAAATGAGTATAGAAAAAGATTGTTTAATAATTTTTGATGAAAAAGAAGAAATACCTTTTCAAATAGAAATAGAAGATTAAAAAAATAAATAATACCTTACATACCCACTATCACTTGATAAATTTGATATAATACGATTCATTTCTAAAACACAAAAATATTAGCTTATCAAAAAAATAGAATATATGAAAAAATATATTGAGATAGTTGAACAACCATTGTAGTTTACATAAAAAATAAACCAAAATCTAGAAAATTATTTACCTGATGTAATGTTTGGCCCTAAATCACTCTAACCTAATGCAGGATAATATGGATTTCTAAAAGAATATTAGACTTAAGTATTATAGTAAAGTTAAGCATAAATTAGCTTTGAATAAAACACAACTAATATTCCTGGATCAAATGTAGCAATATTAATTTATAAAGGAGAAACTTATAAAAGTTTAACTAATTAATTATAGAAGTATAGCAATGAATAAACAAAAGTAAAACCTATAATATTAATAAATGGTAAATCTGCATTTAAAAAATTAATGAGATCTAATGAAGCATTATTCTTAGATTTTTATTAAACTAAATACGTTCCATTTTAATAGAAATTTATGACTTCTAATCATCATTCCATCTATTTCTAAATTGAAAATGAAATAGGATATTTTTTTGTTTTTGGCAGATAATTAGAGTAATTAGATTTAATTAAATGGATTTATTAAGGGATACTAAAATTAATTTAACCAAAGTTTGTTGTGATTGCATCTAGTAATGATGTTTTTCTTGAAAATATTAATATCTTATAACTCTTTACAATTTTAGAGAATGATAAATATTTTGGAATTTCATGTTTGAAAAAAATTAAATATAATGGGAGATTTTGGAATAGTTAATAAGGAGATTTTGCAGATATTGCACTTAAATTAGATTCCATGTTTAAAATTAAATAGTTTCATAATCCTCTCTCTTGTATATATGAATGGTCTAGAATTGAACCTATAATAAATGATTATATACGTAAACTTGAGAGTGAATATTTTACTAATTCTTGGGCATTAGGATATAATTCAATATTACCTAGAATTATGATTGAATATTCAGGTAAAGAATTAAAAATTATAACAAATTACATTATCGAATAGTAATTTTCTGAAAATTAATTTGAAATTGTATTTAATTAATTTTGTGAATACCAATAAAATATCAACAATTAATTAAGGAAATGCAGATTTCATTTATTTAAGAATGTTTTCCAATGGATTATTTCTAAAATCTAAGTTTTATATAATTACTTTGGGATTTCAATTTGTAATTTATTTTTAAATAAAATTAGGTTTTTTCTTTTCCTTTTAATGTCCATATTAACTCATCTATAACTTATTTGAGGAATCAATTGGATATACTGCTTTGGCTGTTATACTACCAATTTTCTATACCATTAATGTTTTATTATTCCTATTACTAACATAACTATATCATTTTAATGACAAAATCATTGAAAAGGGTTATGATTAAGAAATTGTCATGATGGCTTAAAAAAATTAAAAACAGGAATTTTTATTTCAAACTTCAGTAAGTTCTTTAAATATTGATGTATTATTCACCAAAGAATATGATAAGTAAAATGAAATTAATTTTGAAGTTTAAGAGGATGAATATGTTAAGAATACTTCTTATTCTATGGATAATGAATTGCTATAAAAAGATGAACTTTATTTTTTGTATAAATTTCCTCAATTAAAATACATAAGTGTTTATATTAATTATTTAATTGATACTTAAAATTATTTAGATTTTGGAGTAACAGCATTTATTTTTGCAAATTTAATAATCATACATGGTAAGATATTACTAACTGAATAATCAAATTATGAAATAATTTTATTAATTTTTGTACTTTTTGTATTGATTTTTCAATTAACTACAAAAAAATTAGGAATAGGTTGGATTTTTGTCAAATTTTCCATGATAACTTATTTTTGGTAATTTCTTTAAGTATCTAAATAAGTAACATCAGCTCCATAGAGAAGTATTGAAAAGAGAAAATTAGGTACATAATTAATGTTGAATTTTATTCTCTTTTATACTTTTATTGCAATTGAATCTTACTATAATTATTCTGGTTATATTTTGATAGGAGTCTTTGGATATTTGGCATTAGTGTATATAATTATAGGTGTTTTTGCATTTATTTAATATATTTGCTACAATTCATCCATTCCAAAAGAAAAAAAAATTTGGGAAGGGTAGAATTTTGTTGAAAATTACACCTTAAATCATAAATTACACTAAGATGCTAATCATATCCTAGTTGAAAATACTAGAAAGCTTGTTGCAGATACAACTTAAGGCAAAAAAGCCCAGTAATTAATGCTGTAAACTTAACTTATGAATGACTAAGGTTATATAAATTTAACTAATACAATAAGGATATAAATTAAAGAGGAATTAGAAAAACATTATAATGTAACTTAATTTGATTTGAATTAAATAAAGAAATTAGCAGAAACAGCGATTATTTAATAAATTTAAGCTCAATATAAAGATTAAAAAAATTAAAATTTAATTAAGAAAGCAGAGGATACTACTCAAACTTAGTAAGGGATATAATAAAATTAGAATGAAAAATAGTAATAGTAGAATTCAAAACTAAATTAGGATTTATTAAATTCATGTAAATAAAGTGATATTAAAAAGATTGATTCAAATATATAAAAATTAAGTGAAATCAAATAGGAGGATATGTTGGAAAGTAATCGCAATAAATTTAATTAATTTGGATAGTCAAAAAAATGATTATCTATTAGAAATTTTATATTCTAAATTCTAATAAAATATAGATACAATATATAAAAATTTATTTTTTAATCCTTTATTATGAATGTAAATAAAATTCTATCATTTTTTTGATGATTTGGTTCCTGATTTGACTGATTTAGCATTTGGATTTGATTTTTATGATTATGCATCTTTAGGTACTTATTATTATTATTATTATTATTATTATTATTATTATTATTATTATTATTATTATTATTATTATTATTGAAACTCATTTTGTTTTTTTATGCTTTGAACAGTTGGTAATTCTTATTATGCTTTAGAGTTTATAACAGATTCAGGCATTTTCCATATAAATATGGCTCCTTCTGCTCCAACTGATATAATAGTTTTTTAATCAGGACTTATAGTAATCTAATTTAAAATTAAAAAATACTCTTGTTATAGTACCCGAATGTCCTTAACCTTTAAAATAACAGATTCCTTCATCATATCCCCATAATTTAACTTCCTTATCTTCTCCTCCTGATACAAAATGCTCTCCTTCCTTAGTAATTGCTAAAGCATTAACTTCACCCTCTTCAGATCCATCCAACATTCTGATAGCTTATCCATCAAAGGTTTCCCAATAAGTAATCTTTTATAAAATGATAAGATACTTTTCTATCACTTCCTGTAGTTAATAATTAACTCTCTTCAGGATGATACAAAACCATTTTGAATAAGGTACTTTCAAATAAACACATAACTCTGGTAAATGATTTAAGATCCCAAATAATACAAGATCCATCTGCACTAGCACTAACTGCTTACTCATTATTTCTTCTAACTTAAATAGACCATACTCTTCCTCTATGTTCTTTCATTGAAGATTTCATAACTTAAGTTTATTTTCCTATTTCCCATACTCTGACTTCTCCTTCTGATCCACCTGAAATAATTCTTTAACAATCAGATGTACAAGTCAAAGACGTACAACCATGAATATGTGCATCATTAATTACATATAGCAATCTACCTGATTATGGTAAAAAGGCTCTAATCTTTCCATCACTCCAACCACTTACAATACTTTTACCATCATTCATAAAAGCAACAGCCCAACATTCAAGATTTGGAACTTAAATTCTAAGTAATTCTTATCTATTCTTAGCATTCCAAACTCTTATATCATTTAATGAACTAGTAGCAAATACATCTGAATAATTATGAGGGAAGGCTACATCATTAATTCTTTCATAATGACATGTATTTCTTAATTCTGGTATTAATTTTTCTGTATCCAACCAATAAATATTGCTTTGACTAGTTCCTGCAAAAAAGTGAGTCTAATCATTTGTAAATGAAATAGATGTCACACCTCCTAATAATTCACTACTAGCCACTATTTACATTGTTTAAAATGACACTTTTGCAATCATACCATCTCCTGCTCCAACTATTATATCACCATTTTGTAATAGACCTAAACAATTAACTCCTTATGAAAATAATTTCTTGACTGGTGCCAATCTTTTATAAATGGCCATATCCATTTAAACTTCAAATACATCTCCTGTTTTTGTTCCACAATAACAAAATTTATCATTTTTATCTATTGCAACACAATTAAAGGTTCTTTTAACATTTCCAAAATTCACATCAACAGATTAAATCTTTATATAATCTTCTATTATACCTTTTTATTTTATTTATCTATTGTTAAAATCTATACTCCAGTATTTAAAACTGCTATCATTTTTTCATCTGATTAGTTGTAAAATTAGACTTAATTTACAGGATCACGATTAGGTGTTCCATACAATGCCTTTCCTGCTTTAATATCCCAAACAATCAACATATTTTTATCATCAATTCCACCCAATGATGCCAAGTATAATTCATTATAAGAGAAGCTTAGTGATTAAATCAACACCTTATGTAATTTTAATCTATGAATCATGCTTCTGTCTTTGAAATCCCATATTATAATATCAGCTTAGAATCCCATATAAGTTTTTTATCCAGATGCTACATAATCTCCACTTCTAGAAACTGTTATCACAGAGATCTAATTATCATGTCCTCTAATTTAATATATCACTTATCCATACCTTAAAAATGTTTATTATCTAGTAATTATATGTCTAACTACGATGGTTGAACCCAATGGATAAATAACATGCTTTAAGCTAATATAATATATTATACTTCATTATCTGGATGTAAAACTAATCCTTAAGTTATTTTTCCTTTTATTATAAATATTATAAATACCTGTAAATCCTATCACTGCTTAAATCTCAAGTTCTGATTACATTATTTTTTATTTATTTTCAAATATATTTTATTACTTAAAATTAAAACTGCGTTTTTCATATATAAATTTGAAAAGTTCTTTCATATAAACATTTAATTTCATAATCATCAAATTCTAAACTTTACATCTATATTTCTTTTTAGATTACAAAAACTAACATTGTTAATTTACATTACAGATTAAATAAACTCATAATTATAATTTTTAGTATTTAATTATTATGTACAAAGAAGAAAATTAGAAAATGTAACAAAGCGAAGGTGATGAGATATTTATTCACATTTAAAATAATGCTGACTAATATAAAATTTAATAAACAGATGATAGAAGTTAGAACTAAATAATGATACCTAATCAAGCAATCGAGCCTAAACAAAATAAGTTAGCACCATTCACTTTGGAATAAATTAAATTAGTTTCATCAACTCAAGAAAGTGGAGACGGTCATATTAAATCTGTTAGAGTTTAATGTCCATAATGTAAGAAAAAGGTAAATTAAACCAGTAATTTAGGTTGATACTATTGTTGTGCGCAAACCTGGAGCATAAACTTATGTAGCTTCTTGTTTACTTTTGTTATGTTCATTTGGTTTAGTTTGTGTTTCTTGTCTTCCTTGCATTATTGATGACTGTAAGGATGTATAACACTCATGCCCAGATTGTAATATTTCACTTGGAAAAACTAAATTTAAAATTTTGGATTGATAACTCTAATAGTTTACTTTCAAAATTCTTAATTAATATATAACATTATATAAACTTATTTTACAGTTTTACTTCTTATCCTTATAATACTTAATCATACCAATTTAGCCTTTATTATGGACATTATTAAATTATTATTATCTATTAATTTATGATTAATTCAAATATTTATACATTATTATTTAAATTAAATAAATCAAAAAAAATTTATCACCTACAGATGGATATTCTTCCTTAATAATGTTTTTTTATTTCAAATTATTAAAAATAATTTCAGATGATAAATACAATAATATTGACATTCAAAATTATGGCTTATTAATAAAATTAACAAATTGTATTTTTGAGAGTATTCTAAAAATATTTCTTTAAAAATAATATTTTATTTGCTTTTTAATTTATATTGTTGTAAAAATTACATAAATATTAGTTCAAAACAGCAAAATCTTAAATAGTAAATCTAGAAATTTTGCTCAATATTATCCTAATTCATATAAGTACCCAAATATAATATTATCAATGAAATAACTTTTCTAAATTTATCATATAATTTGATCTTACATGTTCATAATTACACAAAATTTATTCAACAACTTTCAGAAATTTTAATAGGTTGCTCAATTCTTATTCAATTTTTTTATTACTATCATATAAAAGGTACTTTTTATAAAATATATTAACTATTTTAATTTTACTATATATTTAAAAATTTCTATAATGCAAAAATAAATATTGAATATACATTTTAATATTTTTAGAAATACTAGAAAATCAATAAAAATATATTGTCTCTTTAAATTGTACAATGGGATGATGCCTCATTCATTCATTTTCTATTCTTACACTTTTTTGATACTTAAACCTACTAAAAGTATTCCATTATTATAGGGAAATGGATTTTCATAAAATCTCAAATAATTATATTTCTAAATATCTTATAAGTTATCTTTTATAAAGAAAAAACTATTAAGAATATGAAAATCTTAGTAATGCTATACATTAATATGAAAGCTTTAAGATATTTAGTTACAATATAATAATTTTTTAGAAACTAGATTTTAATAATCTTTAAAATTAATTTTCAAATACATAATAAAATAAATAATATTAAATCTAGTAAGCAACTGACAGATATTTAAAGATTTACAATTTTTCTTGTCAAACTTTTAACTTCTTAGCTTTATCAATTCAATAAATATTTCTATTTAATAAATTATAGAAGATTAAAATAAGATATTGATCACAATATTATTTATGAATTAAATAGTTTAATTTATATATGTAAATTTTTGATTATATTTTACAGAATCATATTATAATATAATATATCCTCTTTTCTCAAGGACTAATCAGTTTGTTCATTTCTACATCTGTTATCGTCACAGTTTAACGAAATCTCATAGTTGATTATGATGTAATCACTGAAATCATATGTCTAATTATAGATAATTTTTACTTTTAATGTCCTATTTACAATTTTGATATTTATATTAAATGGCATCGTAATTTAGCAAAATTAGTTCTTCTACGTTACTCTCTATAATTTAACTTCTTTAATTGATTATTCAAATATGTAGTAAGAAAACAATCTGCTTTTATTGATCTGAATATTTTGTGGAATTACTCAATAAAAGCTACTTTGTATTTCTTAAAATAAACTCTAAAAATATTAATAATAAATGGATAGCATAATCTGATGCATAGAATAATTATAAAAATTTGAAGAAGAACTGATAAGGGTGTAGCATTTTCTTTTTCTGAAACATATTTTGCTGCACTAATAAATATTGTTATAGAACAAATTTATCCTGTTTGTATATCTAAAAAGTTCAAACTTTAAATAATATATGGCTTCTGCTTTACAGCTAATAATTAATAGAAAAGCAAACATAGTCCAAGCAATGAGGCCGTTAATAATACATTACTTTCAAAATATGTCAATATAATGATGATAACTGTTTTTTTTGAGAGTTTAATTTATTCCCAATAATAACTTTCAGAATTGTATTCATTAAATAGATAGCAAATATGCCTCCTTAGTTTAATTTAATCTAATTGTTCCCTATTAATATACATTAAAAAAAATAAGGAAAAGGGAATTAAAACACCAATAATTCCAAGACCTGGAATAGCAAATCCAATTATCCAAGACATGTGAGTTTCTGTTCCATAATTAAGAGATACATCTCCTTGTATGTAAGCTATATTTGAAATTTATCTTTTTGAAAGAATTGAACATAACCTAATGATTTGATGATCAAATAAATTACTGTTTGACTAAAGCAGCATAATTTGATACATATAAATATAAGACTGTATTTGAAATAATACTTTTGTTAAAAGTCCAATTTTTACATAAAGAATAACATGTGAATCCAAACCATATAATTAATAATTAGATGGCTATCAAAATTAACATAGCAATTATTCTGATATAAATAAGTTCTAAACTTTGTAATTAAGATAGATAACAATCTAAATTATTAGCCATAAAATATGAAGAATTGCTTGTTAATTCAATAAAATTTATTGAAAATGAGAAATTAGTGTTAAAAGTAAATATCACAGAAAATATCCACAAATAATTCAGTAACATTTTGATAAGAATACTTTCATGATCTTAAATAGTAACTCTAAATTACCTTAATCTAACTTAAAAATTATTTTGCTAAATCTTTATCTAATTTTTAGGGATGAGAATAATCTATTAGATTTTTCAATGCTTTTTAAAGTTATTAAAATTGAAATTAAAGACCTAATAAAAATTTATATATTCTTACCATATAGAAGTTAATACAAATGGTATAATACTGTCTTAAATTCTATTACATCCATAACATTAAGCATTCTACAAATTTCTATAAAACATTCCATCTCCTCTAATATCAAAATTATCACATTCTTCGCATAAACCTCCGACATGACCTTGACTACATAGATTATTTCCTACATCCCAACCCCCTGAACAAAATATTGGGTTTTTGATACATCTTTCTGTATAATCAGAAAGATAATTTGGTCTCCAAAACCCTTCCAATAGTTTTATTTTATTTGATGTAATATTCTCAAATTTTTCTTTATCAAAAATTGAACATTTTGTAGTATTGTAAGTTACAGAGTAGAATCCTTAATTTGATTAACAAACTTAACAACCCTTATCAATATAAAATTCTCCTTATTAGCATTTTAAGGTTTTAGCATAAATGTAGTATTACAATGGTTTATCATTAGGTTCAGCCTTGCAGTTTAATTCTATTGCTAAAATTTTATTATCTTGAAAATAAGGATCAAAACTAAAAGAAAGAGAACTTAAGTCAAAAGCCTTTGAATCTTAATCATAAGAGAGAATTTAAACCATTCTCTCATTAGAGGCAATGGTTTTGTTTTCGAAATTTATTGTTGTCTCTATTAAACAAGAAGAATTATCTAAATTTTCCAAATTTTCATTATAACTATTTTTAAAAAGTATTAATATTACTTCAATATAACTTCTAAACATAGAGAATTTTGGAATATAAATTTTATAATTATTAATCTACTAATTGCTGGGAATTATTAACTATTAAGCCTTGAATAATTTTCCTTATTCAATAATGTTATATGGTTATATAACTGTAGCTAAAATGGTTTAGTTACCAAGAAATTATTTTTCTGATGGCATTTCCATTTGATTAATAGAAATGCTTAAATGGGTTGGAGCTTCAACTAAATTATTTGCATAAACATATGCATTGTTGAAAAGCAAAAAAGAATTTTGAAAATTATCTTGATTTAAATTAGTTTGTTATTAAAAATAAATACCACCACCAATTTTAGCTCGATTCAACATGAAAATAGAAGATTGAATATTGAATTAATTTTTATTAACATTTAATAGCATTCCTCCTCCTTTTTTGCTTGCATAATTTTCAAGTATTTTGCATTAATATATTAAAAGTTTAATATTTTCAGCCTAGATGCCAGTACCTTAACTACCATTGTTTTGAATAAATATAGAATTCTATATCACTACTTATTATTATTTACTATTTTATTCATCTGCTTTTAAATATAAACATCCATATTCTTATATTTAGTTCTTAAAACACTAAAAATTATCTATTCTAACAAATTTAAAATCAGTAAGACCAATAAATAATAATCCTAAAGTATAATTTAAACAATTGTTTTAAATCAATTTCACTTAATTTAAGATTAATTTTGATTCACTATTTGAACTTAAAATTTGAATAAGTGGATAACTTATTTTTTGAGATAATTTTGACAATTATTTAATATTTTCATCTATTAGGATTTTAGAGTTAAAATTAGTTAATTAAGACAATTATTATATTTAACATCCTATAACTCTAAATTATGGTATTTTTTAGAATTAATACTATTCCATATTCAATAAATAAATTGAAAATTGTTAAATTTCTACTTTTTCTAATAAAACCGTAGAATTTGATTGTTAATTTAAAATAATAAGTTATTATGGATAGAAAGATTAAACATCATTAATATAGCAATGTCTAATATCTATTTTAATTGAATTTATTATTTTAAAAATTGGAGATATGAGGATTCCTTGGATATAAAATTTATTAATTTAAATTTATCCTCCAACTATATTAAAAATTGAATTATCATCAATTATTTGTGCAATTTCGGTTTGACTTAGCAATCCAAATTTTTGGGTTTGGGTTTGGGGTTGGGTTTGGGGTTGG